GACTGGCCTACACCACAGAACGTTAAGGACGCACAATCCTTCATTGGATTTGTGAACTACTACCGACGATTTCTGGAAGGATACTCAGACAAAAACGACCCCCTCACGAGACTTTCGAGGAAAGACATCCCCTGGCAATGGGAAGAAGAACAGAAAAAAGCCTTCAACGAGATCAAACAACAAGTCACATCGGAACCAATACTTGTTATACCAAACCCTGAGAAACCATTCGAAGTCGAGACCGACTCCTCAGACTACGCTATAGGAGGACAACTAGGCCAACGAGACGACGAAGGACGACTACACCCTTGCGCCTTCTTCTCACGCAAGTTACACGGCCCAGAACTCAACTACCAGATACACGACAAGGAACTTATGGCAATTATCGAGGCATTCAAAGAATGGAGACCGCAACTCTCAGGAACCAAGTACGAGGTCAAAGTATACACCGACCACAAGAATCTCGCACACTTCACCACATCGAAAGATCTCAACAAACGACAAATTCGATGGTCCGAATTCTTGTCAGAATTCAATTTCAGAATCATCTACCGAAAGGGCAAGGAGAACGGCAGGGCCGACGCCCTCAGCCGAAGACCGGACCATGAGGTCCAGGTACCTGAGGAAACCCGAGTTATCCTCAAAACAGACAAAAACGGAGACCTTGTGCCAGCAGCCAGACTCTTAATGATGGCCAGAAGAGACAGTACCAGCACGACTGGAAGGATGTCTCCTGAAGCCATTAGGGAGATACACTCCGCACCCGCACATGGTCACCAAGGCGTAACCAAAACGTGGAAACGCATCCGTCAACACTACGACAAAACGGCTACACGACAAGAAGTATCTTTAGCGATTAAGGACTGTGAGGTTTGCGCAAAAAGCAAACCCAGCCGACATCAGCCTTATGGAAAGATACAGCCGCTCCCAGTGCCGCAAACCGCATGGGAATCCATCTCGCTGGACTTCGTCACTAAGTTACCTAAGTCCCGAGAACCGATGACCAACGTCCACTACGACAGTGTCCTCGTCATCGTCGACAGACTCACAAAGTACTCATACTTCATTCCGTACATGGAGTCAAGCACTGCAGAAGACCTCGCCTACAAGTTTCTGCAGGTGATCGTAAGCCAACACGGAATGCCGAAGGAAATCGTATCCGACAGAGACAAGCTGTTCACTTCCAAGTTTTGGAGATCCCTGATCTCGCAGCTAGGATCTGACCACAAGATGTCCACCGCTTTCCATCCGCAAACCGATAGCCAGACAGAACGAATCAATCAGATCATGGAAACCTACCTACGCTGCTACGTCAACTATCAGCAAAACAACTGGGTCCAACTGCTACCTATGGCCCAGTTCGCTTACAACAGCGCAGTAGGAGAAAGTACAAAAGAATCACCATTCTACTTGAACTACGGATTCAACCCGACAGCCTATGGACAACCCCGACAAGGCCCAACAGCTCTGAAAGCTGTGGCAGATATCAACAAACTCAAGGAAATCTAACGAGATCTTCCCAGAGACCTTGAATTTGTGCGCGAACGCATGCGCAAATACGCTGACAAGACAAGAGTTGAGGGACCAACTCTGAAGGAGGGGGATAGCGCATACCTTCTCCGCCGGAACATCAAAACAAAACGACCAAGCGATAAGTTGGACTTCAAGAAACTTGGACCCTTCGAAATCACGAAGAAGGTATCCAACGTCAACTTCAAACTCGCACTACCAGACACTATGAAGTGTCATCCAGTTTTTCATATTTCACTTCTCGAGCCAGCACCAAAAGGATCACGAACTATAGACTACATCGAAGTCGACCCGGAACAGGACTACGAGGTCGAAAGGATCCTCGATCACATCGATCAGCACGATGACACAGAAATACAATACCTAATCAAGTGGAAAAACTACGGACACGAAGAAAACACATAGGAACCTGCATCAAACTTGGAACACGCACAAGAGGAACTTCAAGAATACTGGACGCAATGGGAAACACGACAGCATGCTAAAGTCATGCAAAGACCAACACACAACCCTCGCGTCAGAAACCCTTAACCCAAGTTTCGACCAACCAAGAAACCCCAGGGCAACAAAACGTTTCTTCGCCTAGGAACACCTAGCCCTAAGTAGCCGAGGAACCTCCAACACTCCCCGCACCCGCGCCATCCACCAGAAGACCCAAACCCACAAACTCGTCACCAAAACCAAAAAGGGACCAAGGAGGATCATTCCCGAGACCCACTGCCTGGAGGTCACTAACGACGAACCTCTCGTGAGCATCCAAGGCAGGTAGGACTTCGTCGTCCGCCAGGACGCCATCCTCCCTGTCAACCTCCTGCATACCACGCTCAAAAACTTCGGTCTGCCGCTCCCGAACCATCTTACGGACCGTCCGAATCCGTTTCAGACGACCTGCAGCATCCGCCATTTGAACTTGCAAACGAGCAAACTCTTGATGAAGCGCGAATAGCTCCTCACCCGCTTTCTCTTCTTTCTCATCCCACTCCTTTTGCTGAGAGTTCAACTTCTGAACTAGAAGCAAACATTAGCAACCCCCAGAACAGCGAAAACACAAAAACACGACTTACGAGTAGACGCCACGAGGACGCCGTCACAAGGTTTCTTCGCCTCGATGCAAGTCCTACAGCGTGTAGACTTCTCGCTAAAACGACACGGGACCTTTGCACGGAAACAACGAGTGCAAGGCATGTCGCTAGCAATCGATCGGGACTCCACGTATTCAATAAGCGCAGCTCTCTCACGATCTTTTATTACAGTCAAGTGCGACTTTGTCTTTCGAACGCGACCTGACATGGTGTCAGCATCATGAAAAACAAAGGAAGCAAATTTGTGGATCCCCAACCTGGGACCAACGACCTACTTATACTCAGGTCTCGAGGACAAGACCTTTAAGAGGGGAGCTGATGTTACGACCCGACAGTTAACAGACCACTGACGACGACCCCGCAGGGGCTCATTGATTGATTGATTGATTGATTCCTACACGGTTATGAAGCCGCTCTTATGCTAGCAGCTATGCCCGGAAAGCGGGGTTTGGCAGACAGCCGAAGCATCGACGATAAACCGCGACGCCCCACTTCGCCCTGTTGTTGGATCAGGACCAGCTGTCCCCAAGCTCCCACTATGCTATCTATTCTTGTGTGTTTATGCCCTCTGTTGAAGATTGTTGTCCTCCTGCCTGCTCTCTCGCTTGGTGTTGCCTTCTAGAATCCTTCTTTCGCGTCCTCCTACTTCGGTTCTGTTGGTGCTAGGCACCATGTCTGGTTCTGTATACCTATAGTCTCCCCCCAGCCCTCAGCTTCGTCTCTTTATCTTGTCCGCATCCTCTCAGACTCGCATGTGCTATATCTCAGTTGAATCTGTAAATCTTTTTGTTGCCTCATGCTGGGTTCCTATGTGGCTCTATGTTTCCATCTTTCGACCACCACCTCCATCCACCGCCTGGAGTCGGACTCAATCCGCAAAACACAATGCTCCAACCGCTTCGATTCGTCCGATTACTAAGTATGAGAGCTCGTACACAGATTCCGCAGACATTGTCATACGTTGAAGGGGCGACAATCCTTCTTCGCGGAGGGGGCGACAGGGGACCAATCTGTCTGCAAACTGTAGTATTTTGTGGCATCGATCGTAGCATGCCTGGTGTCTGGTGCTTTCTCTATGCAGGAGGTGATACCGTTCTGTCGGGCTTGTCGTCGTTGTTGTCGCGGGACGTTGCAAACTTTGTCGGGGGTGATAGGCGACCCATAACCTATCGGTGGCTGTGGTGTTGATGTTTGTTTGGGCTTGGTCGTTGTGCTCACGTGATAGCCCGTGACTCAACCGCGGTGGTGTCGATGGTGTTGTCTATTGACGTGTCATACTTTGTGGCTTGCTCTCGAATTTTTCGTGGTCAGAGCCCGCCCGCGGCCACGAGCAGGCTCTTTGGGAGCAGAATCAATGCCGAGGATGACATTATGCCCAAAGTGACCTCTGAGAGCGCGAGCGGGCGTGGTTTGATCAATTTGATGCTGTTTTCAAAAATTTCGTTCTCGCTGTTGTTGATGTTTTTCTCTTCCCCCGCAGGGGCTCAGCGGTTATAGGGACGGCCGTCAGCCGTTACGTCGTAACAACCCCCACGGAACGGAAGAACTAGGATACAGGTCACGTGACGATAAGCAGGACCGACGGACGATAAGCGGTCCTGGGACAGGACCGACGGTGCCAAGGGCGGTCCATGGCGATGGACCGACGTCCTGGGTGTCGGTCCCCCAGGATCAGGAAGTGTTCAGCATGGAACCAGACTTGTATATAGTTGGGACTCGAGTCCTCTCGAGTCCTACCTTTCCTAGTTCTTCAGCAATCAACTTTGTGATTACCCTAACCGGTACTTTCAGCTATACCTAAGTGACGACTACTCTACGACTCTTGTTGAGGCCTTGACTGATCACCAAGACCTTTGAAGATCTACGATCTATTCGACCAGGACCACGGAACGACTGTTACTACTCTCAATCCCTGGCTTACTGTTAACACAAACCCACTGTCAGTTAGCTGGCCGTAACAAAAAGTTTCTATTATAGAATTTTAACCCTTAATTATACTATATTTACTAAAGTAATACTTTTAAATCTCTTTTAGATATAATTATATACTTTTAATAAGTATAAATATTAATTTCCTAGATTTTTTAAATAAGTATATATAAGCGAAAATATATTTTTCTAATGTTAAGGAATACTAGTAAGTTACTAGTATCTACTAACATTTTAAAGCTTTTAGTTTTAAACTTCTATATTATAACTATTATTATATTTAAACCTTTATAAAAAATAAGATGGCTATAATTATACTTAACATAGTTTATATATATTTTCTTTTCTTAGTAAGTATAGTAGTTAGTTTAATATAGAATTTCGAAAAACGGCGTTTTTGGTGTAAATGGGGTGCCCAAATGTGGGGGGTGCCCAGAAGTGGGTGTGGGACGTTACACCATGTCGAGGAGGAGACATACGACGTCACGTGGGAAGGCTTCCAGCTGTGGATTTGGACGGCCCTTGAAGCCAACCTTGCCATTGTCTGCGGCTGTATACCTGTTCTACGGCGCCTGCTGCCTTCTTTCTCGGCTACATTCACTAGCTCTGGTCAACCAACCATTGGCTCGGCAAAGAAGTCGCAGCAAAGGCATGGCGACTTAAGGCTTGAATCAGGGGAGGTTGCAATGGTACCGATCAAAGCTCCTTCATGGACAGACACAGAGTCGATAACAATTCCTCCGGCAACTTTCGGCCCCAGCTGGTCCGACCTACCAGATAAGTGGATGACAGAGCAACAGCATGAGCAATGGCCCGCAACACACAAGTAGTGGCCACATGTTAGGAAGAAAGCATTGAGTTGAGATATAAAAAATTATTGATAAAGGCCATAACGCATGTTCGCGGCTTTCCATTTCTTGAGAAGGTTTCTGTGACTTGTATTGAAAAGGACCTTGGACACCCGCAACTCATGACTGACCAACCATTATCCATCCCACAAGCCCCGGCAGCATCTGGCTTAAGTAAATACATTCATCTCTCGTCTAATGGACTTTTTGACCTCTTTCTACAGGGAGCTTACATGGTCAACATATATTGTCAGTTCAAATGGCAAGCCTTCCGGAAATATTCAGACTCCACCCCATGTAACCGCGGACAACCAAAGAAGAATTGGTTGCCCACTCGGATCAGCTACAATAAACCCTTTGCTGCCTATACCCCAAATGCTGAGGTAAGGAACCAAAGCTTAAAGTTTTATACAAGACTTTACTGAACACGTCTTCCTAGTAGAGACTTGTAAAAACAATATATGATGGTGTAAAAGCTTTCATTATGTATGGGGTATTCGGCTGTAGGGGGTGTTCGGCTACATGAGGTGGGGTCTTACCAGAGAACCGTATGAGGACTTAAAGTTCGACCCGTTTTTGCCCGGAAGCCTGTTTGTCAGTGCCTACGTGAGAAACGATTCACCTACTACGTAGTACGAAAACGGTTCCTGCATAGCTTCAATCTTTGATGTAATAGCTTCGCTCGTAATTCCTCAGCCACGTTAGTTGACCACTCCCCGCAATAGAACAAACCGAATTGTGAGTTTCTATTCGCGCGCCAATCGACCGACGCGGGGACCCCAGTCCCCGATGCAACCCTGTTCTCCCCCGCGAAATCGTCATTGGCATCGTCCTTCCCACTAGATCACGGCAGTCTTGGAACATCCCGGTGCAAGCGATTCAGTTCAATTGGCACGCGTGTATCTAGTTCAGGGCAGTATGCAGGTCATAAAGCGCGGCTCCGCTAGAGACGGATATTGGTTATTTTCGTGACCAAGGCCAATAGTGATCATGAGGCCTTGGAGTGGCATGGTCTTTGCATGAATGCGAGAACGAGCTTTTTTTAATTAATTTTAGTTGATCTTCATATCTCCATTTTCAGTATAAAATGAGGCATAAATAACCATCTGAAAGTTTCTGTTCTGCAGGGTTCGACGACCTCAAGTCTTTGATCTTACTGTTCATTACTCTCTGAGGCTGCTCGTGGTTCAACCAAATGAAGCTCTCGACAACACTGGCCGCAGTGCCTTTGGGCGCGCGCTTGGCCCGAGCTGCTTTGGACGCGGACGCCCTCACTCAGAAATATTTCGGCAACGATGCACCATGGTACCGTAACCGTATTCCTTTGTTTGAGTCCAGCGACTCCGAGATCACCGACGTTTACTACTACCGCTGGAACGTCTTCCGTACCCATCAGCGTGATATCGGATCCAAGTACGGTTTCATCAGCACCGAATTCATCGATAACGTCGGCTGGCAGACCCAGCCATGGGCCTCCAACAACTGCGCCGCTATCTTCCACCTCTCCGAGGGCCGCTGGTGCCGTGACCCGCGCTTCAAGCAGGACTACGCGACTTTCATGTACAGCTCTGACAGCAACCCTCGTCAGTTTTCCGAGAGCATGGCCGACGGTGTTTGGAGGAACTATCTCGTAGATGGTAACCCGGAGCTTGCCTTCTCTCTCCTTGACGACATGCAGAGAGTCTACAACCTATGGGTTGGCGACCACTACGACCAGTCCAAGGGACTCTTTTGGGTCGAGCCTATCGCCGATGCCACGGAGTACACCATCTCCAGTATCGATGCTTCAGGTGGTTACGACGGGTTTTTCGGAGGTCACGCTTTCCGTCCAACCATCAACACCTATCAATACGCAAACGCTCGAGCTATTGCCAAGATTGCTTCTCTGAAAGGTGGCCTTGACAGTGTTGTTGAGGAGTACAACAAGCGTGCTGAGGCTATCAAGGAAACTGTTCAGAGAGATTTGTGGAACTCAACCTTTGAGCACTTCATCGACCGTTATTTTGTCAACAACGAGAATGTGACATACTGGGATTTCATTCGAGGTCGCGAACTTGCAGGATTCGTCCCTTGGGCACACGATCTTCCCGACGATGACGCTAAGTTCGGCGAGGCCTGGAAGCATGCGCTGAGTTCTGATGAGCTCGGAGGTCCCTTCGGCCTACGGACTGTCGAGCCCTCATATGAGTACTACATGCGCGTTTGGCGCTACGAGGGTACTCAGACCGAGTGCCACTGGAACGGTCCCTCTTGGCCCTACCAGACAACGCAGGTCCTGACATCGCTGGCCAACGTCCTTGACCACTACCCCAACTCCTCTCAGCTTGTCAGTGTTGGAGACTACACTCGCCTTCTCAAACAGTACGCAAACCAGCATTATAACAAGCATTACGACAATATTCTTGATATTGAGGAGAATTATGATCCTGACACTGGCGAGCCAATTGTCGGCCTGGGCCGATCGCATCATTACTTCCACTCGGGCTACATCGACTTGATCTTGTCTGGTTTTGTCGGTGTTCGTCCTCGTGAGGATGATGTTCTCGAGGTCAACCCCCTGGCTGACCCTTCAGTCATCTCCTACTTCCGCGCTGAGAATGTTTTATATCACGGCCGCGAGGTAGCTATCCAATGGGACGCAACTGGAGAGCGCTATGGAGATGCTGGCCTGCGTGTTGAGGTTGACGGCAAGGTTGTCGCATCGTCCGACAAACTCGAGCGCCTAACAGTCGAGGTCAGCCGCGCTCCCGTCTCTGTTTCCCGGCCCTTGGCGAAATCAATCCAGCTTCAGGCAAATGAGGCTCTGCCCATCATTAATGCTTCTGTTCCCAACTACAACGTCGACCGTCTTCATGATGTCTTTGATGGCCGTGTGTGGTTCTGGACTCAGGATACTATTGCCAATGGCTTCGACACGCCCGCCGACAGCACCGCGGAGGAGTGGGTTAGCATCGAATTCGGCTCCACTACTGAGACTTCTCGGGCTGAGATTGCCTTCTTTTCCAACGAAGAGAAGGGCTTTGACGTGCCTGAAAGTTACCGGCTCCAAATTCTTACCAATGGCGAATGGGCTGATGTGACTGACGCAACATACGACAAGCCTTTGGGCAATGGCATCACCAATGCGAAGTGGGCTAAAGCGTCGACGGAGTCTCTCCGCATTCTTCTCAAGCCTCAGGAAGGAAAGAGAGTCCGGTTGGTCGAATTGAAGGTGTTTTCTGAATAAACAAGTAACCAGCGGACTGCGATGCACACTCGAATAGGAGGGAGAACTTCAGAGAGGCCAAGAAGGAATGGATGAGGGATCATACAATAAAGCAATAATGTGAACGATTTTGAATTTTTGGAACCTGAATCACCTCCCATCATCGTGTTTGAAAGTAATAGCGGCATATCCGCCGAGTCAAATTACTCAGCAAGTCATATAGACTACTCGGAAGCGAACCACTCCCTCAGAGATTAGTAGGGCTGAGTTCATCGACGTTACGGGGAGATGGGCCTGATAATATTTAGCTGGTAAAGTTGTCTAACCCCCTGGTGTGGAACTCCTAGTGACAGTGAATATGGGGAATCCGTACTTACAATGATGAAACTTCGCCCGAACTATAAATAAAAAGAAAAGCTCTACGCCGTCTGACCAATCTGTTGGGCCCGACTCATGAACGATGCCATTCGCATTAATCTCTGTAGGGCTGTGCATTGTCTTTACGAGTCAGACCGGGGTCCTCGGGTGACAGCGACTCCATCAGAGTCCTATATTGTTCTCTTTTATGACATATCGAAGATTGAGTTGAACTTCTCTCATTTCTACTTAAACCCTGTCTTCCGCCTCTCGGCTGGGGGTAAAAACTAATGCTGTCAGAGAATACATGATCACAAAAACACATTTTCTGTTTAATACTTTTTCGGACGAAACCTAGACCAGTAAAGACATTCCTTGGTCGAACACAATGAGGATCTCAACTACTATTTTCTTTACCTTCTTCGTTTCCAGCGGATTCGCCTTAAGTGTTGACACCAGCATCCTCGGCAGCATTCGTCAGCGAGCCGATCTCGATAACCCAGCCGTTGAAGAACGAGCCTCTGCTGTCGCACCAAAAGACATTCTGAACCCTATAGTCAAGCCAAGAGAGTGCGAGGAGCCTGCCGAACCCGAGGAACCGAGCGAAGCAGAGCGCAAGAAAGGCGCAAAGAGACCGAAGAGGCCTGCCCGTCCCTGCTAATTGCAGTTCGAGCAACGTGGCGGTTTATCATGCGTTGGTCAAAGTAGACGAATATTTCAGTTCAAAACAGTTCCAACTATAAGAATCTATTCCTGTTCTTGATCAACCCTTATGTAAAACATGATTGCAATCGAGTGGTTGATCCAAGTGCACTAAAGTGCCCTAACTGCAGCTATCTACAACCGGCGCAGTGATCCAATTAGGCTGTTTGCTTGTTCCTATGAAATTCTTCAATGCAAAATCATCTTCATGCTGCAGTGCACATTGCAGATCGAGCCATCGTGTTTTCTCCCAATCTTGATACCCCAATATGCCGCGGATGATCGAGCCGAGCTGGAGAACATCATCTTTCAATGTCGAATTTGGCATCGGGGTCAGTTCCGAGATACCCGCCAAGCCGCTAGAGCCTGGTTTTGTGGAAGGGCTGACAATGCATGCGACCGTTGCAAACACTCACCAATGACAGAGGTTGGTGTGACTTCATCGCCTAACGCCACCATTTTCTCATTGCCATGCCGCCTACCGCTAACATGGCCGCCGATGTTTTCCTGTGTAATGGGCGCAGCAAATGCATAAATGAATGGGGGTTCGCTCCAAAACAATCCCGCCCGATTCGAGCCGTAATCCACTTGCAACCCCTACAGTTTCACATGCAAACGTCCCACTGTACCGAACTTCAATGCTTCGCAGATAACTAAACTAGTTTTTAGACTTTCAACACCACAGCCAGCACTTCATCCACGCAAAATGAGCAGCTCAATGTCTACCGAGTCTGCGTCTGTGTCGCAGCAACCGGAAGTTCTTGGGAGAAGTCGGGAGGGGATGATTGCTGAATCACTAAAAAACGGCGAAGACGTCCAAAAGCAGTTTCCGTCAGTCGATTTCAAAGGAGCAGTCGTTGAACCTACGGTGAACCTCATGTTTGACATACAGGTGCGTGGCTCTGATCTTGTCATTTGGGAGACACCGGTTCACTTCCATATTTATGTCGCCTTCAAGGTCTGACACTGACAGTTCAAGTAGAAGTACGTGGATGAAGCAAAACAGCGAAGATACAACACTCTCATGGCTGAGATGCTCAAAAACACTGCCGACCCCGCATTTGCCGAGAGGCTTTTGTGGGAGGCGAGAGAGTGCCTCATCGGTTACCCCGATGTCCTGTCGCAATTTGACGCTATTTTTATCACTAAAAGACCCATTCCTGTCATGATCAGTGACTTGCACGAAGTTCTGAGGACAAAGAAGGAGACAGTGAGGAGGATGAGCTTGCAAAATCAAGAACAGGGAAACAGTACAGAGGCTAAATCATGAAACAAGCCACGAACCCTCAATCAGGCACTGGTGGTGAAGGGCTTGGTCCTCATTTGGATGGCTTCCTCTACATAATTACTTTTCATTCATCTAGCGCATGCATCTATCTCGTTACTTTTGTAATGTAATACCAACTTTCATGAAGAACCGCTCGGTTGCGCTACATAAATTCACTGCTCCAATGGCCGTCAAGTTGCTAATAATCCGAATTACATAGCGTGATTGCGAACAACGGAAACAGTCTCTTGTCACTTTTGGTTATCAGTACCTTGTATTTATCTAATATGTTTGAATACTAGCCAAAATCTGTGTAGCCAAGAAAGCCTTGCTATAATGCTAAATAGGGTCATCTAACAACTCTCCGGGAGGGTGCTACCAGAGGGTTACTAGATAGTGTAGTAGCCTTTTGACGCAGTATGCTGAAGACATGAAATATAAACCGCATAATTGCGTTCTCGCTACCAACCGATTTCATCAACTAGCGGTAGGCGGGCCAACAAGGCCTGCAAGAATCCCCGTTACCCCCTCGGCGATGGTTCCCTGCGAAGAAATTCCTTATTTCAAGCCCCTAGAATATGGGAAGAGATGCGAAGCACCAGATGGTACCAGCAGTGCCACTGGGATGCGGCTTCACCCCTAAGTGCTGAGAAAAGAAGCGCCCTCGTAGGATCATTCATTAACATGAAGATCTGCCCGATGGATGGACAGATCCCAGTGGCGTGTCCCGCGGGCCGATCGCTGAGAAAGTTCGAGATATTCTTGCCCCTTGGCGGCGTCTGAAGATCCGTAACATCGCGGATAGATGCCTATACCGCGGAAGTGACTCTATTATGCTGCACACGCATTATGGACCAGGTATCGATGTAATATAACTGCTGTTCTCGAAGACATGGAGGAAGGTGATGAATCTTTGGATGCCGACGATAACTTGTGGTGCATCCTTGATGACGCTGAGTTGTTCGACTTTAGTATAGACTAAGAGCAAACTTTTGACATCCTGTCTGAAATGGCAGGGCACCAAGGCTAGCACATTCACCAAGGCCTAGATGAGGCCGAGGCAGCCAACATGTGGCAACAGTTCTCCGAATTCGATGAAGAAGACATATCAGATCAACTGAGTTCTATTATCAACCAAATCCAAAAGAGGGCTGCGGCCAGCAACGATCAGTTCTTTGTCGCCGATTAGCAGCTCTAGGTGTTCTACCTGGACGGATATGGTAACATCGTACGCCATTTGGCTATCGAGCCTGGAAGTCTGGGAGTATGAAGATGCGTGAGGAAATCAGGCGTGACGTTGATTGCTAGGCGACTGGGAGAATCGTCCCCGTCTATACGCGTCTTGGAGAAATAGGAACTAGATACTACTGGCAAGACATTGATTAAGCAGCCTCAGCAGCAAATCTAGTCTTGAGACTCGGTCTGACACTAGCATTAAATGGTCACCTTCTCTCAGCCATATCGCTACTTGTCTTTTATCCTCCTTAAAGCCATATGCAACTAGATAACGCTGATGTTTCGACATTCAAAGCCACCATATTTACTTGTTGCCGGCTGTTTGGGCGACTCTTGTAACTTCAAGCCAAGAAGAGCGGCGCGGCAGCGCCTGGGCTCGGATTCGACGAGGATGTGACAGCCGAGAACTCCCAGGTGTGATCTCGTGTTCCTTGCCCTTGTGATGAAATACTTACCCTTTGAGGAGGTATTTCTTAGTTATCTGTCAATAAAGCTACCTCGCACCGCGTTGTTTGCGACCAGGTTGGTCATCTATGCTTTTACTAAAACCGTCTCAATATCGGCTGTACCGTTGCTGTTTTTGGCGCTGATTTCAAGAAGATCCTTCCGAGTTGTTGCGCTTATAGGTTTTAGAGCTGTGTAGCAAACTTTATCCCTCCTGGGGCCTTCTCAAGGCACATGCGGAATGGAGAGCCACGAAATCAGCCGTGGCCAAGAACGGAGTATGTGGGTCGGGAACGGCACGGCCGGTACGGAGGAAAATATGGGACATCGTTTGGTTCCGCTCCGATGGGTCAATATATCTCTATGGTATGCATGAGATCCTCTCATTGGTTAGTTTATAGGAGAGGGAATCGAATAACAAGTTTTGCAATGGATAGGGTAATATGTGACATTGATTGGGTCAGGCTCATATGTAGCTGTCTTGCACAACGTGTAGGTAGATGCAGTGAGTAGAAGCGCCATCCCCTCATAACATGGGAAAATGAAAGGATGGCACACTCTTGCATCGCCAAGACATGCAGCTTCTCCCGATGGAACGTTGCGCCGTTGTTGTAATGTCGACGAAATTTCAATATTTCTCTCATCGTGCGAACAATGATCACCAATGCTCGTTGCAAGTGGCCATTACCTACCTAGGTAGAGTATAGGAAACTAGTTCTGTTAGGATTTCTCTGGAATCAAAAATGTTTGTTTGCCGTAAGCACATGGAAAAGGCTATAAGCATTTAGGAACACTGGCGAGTGGAATGCGCCACTCAATCCGATAGGACCATCGGCTCAGCCCGGCGTGGCCCCTCTTCTGCCCCCTCCTTCGGACACAGCCGCCCAATCTGAGTGAGTAATCCACCACGTTGGTTGCCTTTCACAAATTGCAAGAAACCATCTCATTTGGTCAAATCCTGCGGCCTGTCGTCAACTGTTCCGCTGACTGGTTCATTTGGGCAGGGATTGACATCCAGGTGCAGCTCGCTTACCAGTTGTAGATAGCTTGAAGGCTTGTTGGTGCTCACATCGTTCGTCGAGCTGCAGGCCTATCGTATGCGTGTAAGACCGAGCCCCACCAGTATCTGAGGTGAGATGCGGCGAGGTTTGTGAGGAAGGACAGAGAGATGAGAGAGAGAGGAAGTAGGAGGGCCGCGGCGGATATGCAGGCGGACGGCACACGGCAGCCCCCCACAGGGCTCTCATAAAGACAAGCAAACTCCCATTGCAATTTATTGTTTCTGGCTTGGTTCGGTTTTTTCTTCTTTTGTGTTCCCTCCCTGTACCCGGGCATTGATACTGCGCGGAATTTACCATTGAGCGACCCAATCCCAACCGTTCAGTTATCACAATGTTGGCATCATTGCTAGCAGCGGCCCTGGGCCTCGCTATGGGCATCTCGGCACAAGAAGTATCTTGTTATGCACCCAATGGAGACGTCGCCAACAACTTGACCTATGTTCCTTGCAACAAACTCGGAATCACCCAAAGGGGTGTCTTTTCTAGCTGCTGTGCTCTGGATGGACCCCCTGATGAACGCGACATCTGCTCCACATCCGGCCTGTGTATCAACCGTCAAAGCCAGCCTCAGAGAGGTTTCTGCACTGATCCTACCTGGAAGAGCAAGGCCTGCGTTAGCGTCTGCATGGATGAACAGGTACTGCTCCAGCTTTCCTAGAAGAGTGACTTCAGAACAAGGACTAAGTGTAAACAGTCTGGCGGAACTGCTTCCAACTCGAGCTTCATGACCGCGTGTAACGACGGCACTGCCACCTACTGCTGCGGAAGATCAAACACCACCTGCTGCGGTACCGAGCATGCGATTACGATCCAGACCCAGGAATCAGTGTGCACAGCGAACACGACGAACGACAGGGCTAATAGCAACGACGATGCCTTGAAAGGCGCCACCATTGGTCTCGGCGTTGTCGCCGGCGTGTCTCTCCTGATTGGTCTCATCTCTACTTTCTGGCTCTGGAAGCAGAACAAGTCGCTCAAGAAGCAGCTGGCCGAAAAGCCAGAGCCGGCTCCGCCGACGAACCCTCACACCCCGGCTCAGACACTCGTTGAGCCGCAGATGACTGGCAACCAAAGCTCGTACGGAGCGCCATCACCGGGTCTGTACAAGTCAACCTACAGCGCATCGCCTCGAGAGTCGGAGTTCAACCATGGAAATATTCACAGATACTCGGAACTGGATGCATCCGCAGCTACAGCTAGGAGTGAAATGGGGTCGCCTACACCGTATGAGCAGCAGTTTCAGCAACAGGGTCGCGACTCTCCTATACCTGAAACTTACACAAGCTCGGTAAACTCACCATACACGCAACCGCGATGAAGTATTGGGGTACCATTTCTTGTCAAAAGGGGGGATTTTTGCAACACATTCATCGTTACATACAGAGCTTTTGAAACATTGTGTCAGCTTATTATAATTTTATAAATGTTATCAGTTGATATTTGTAAGAACATGATCGCTCATGATTGTTCAAAGCCTGAATGGCTTTACAGTTGGCACTGCTATTAAGAGCACTCTCTGGGGGCACCATATCTTATCGGTTTTAATTGATGTTTTCTCCCAACTATTTGGATATCTTTGTTCTTTCAATACATTAGTTGTATCAAATGCTGAATTTGTTTGCCTCTAAACCTCATCCGTATAACAGTAATTAGTTGGGTGGATATCAGCACAGCTTCGCACAAAACAGGGAAACCGGTACCATCAGAAATGAACCGCGCCAGACCATGTTTTTTTCATATCATATCGGAGCTGACTCCGTTGCCAGAAATAGCATCACTTTTTATATTGCTTTTCTTCTACGAAGGTTCTGATACGACATTTCATTTGTGCGCAATATATTGTCGATGCGCTAGTGACGCAGGCACAAATGATTACTGCATGCGGATGAAGTCTCTAATATCTATCAGCTTAAGAAAAGGACGCAGGTTTCTATTTTGCCTTACTTTATATCCATTTGTTCGGTGGTTGCGTCGATGTATTATCGCAAGAGTGGCATTCTCTTGAATTAGAGTCAAAAGATATCCGAGATTCTTAGGAAGTCTGTGCCTAGGGAGGTGAGGCGGTGTGAGGGAGGCTATCTGGTATCAATGGCCCATCATAACCTCAAGGAAGCCCTAGAACCAGAGGGTTCGAGTTATATCAAGCCGTCCAACTGATCACAATCTTATCGTTATCAGATCATCACACAACTCTGTGTAGTACATTGTAGCAACAAGCGCGGTTTGGTAGAAGGTACCATGACTGAATATAAGAATCGGATCTAAAAGGTAAGCTAAAATGAAACATCTATCACGAAAGTGACGTTCGAGGGCGCCAGAGATATTATGGACAGCAAGTAAGTACGTGCCACTCAGTGCATACTGGAAGCCGTCATGGTAGGTAAAAAAGTTTCTAGCTTTCAAAAGTGGTAATACTCCTTCTCATTGGGCACTGAAACTTTCGGGTGAAGAGCCTGATATCGTAAACGAAATGTCTACTTAGTAATCTAAGTTCTCTAATTTTTAAGTCTAGTATCTTTAATGTGTGTAGATAGACAACCAAGTACAGGAACACTCCGTTATCCCTTCCACAGTTGCCATGCTGAATCACAAAGCTACATCTCTATAAGCGCGGACTATTCTGGACAATGTTCTCAAGCTTGAATCTCCTTAGTGTTTCTTCATCAGGAGACGGTTGTTAATGGTGTCGAGTCAGCAACGCAACCGAGTGGCAAAAGGAAACCAGCGAACGATAAAAAGATCAAAAGAACCCAAGGCAGTGTCACGTCAACCCTAGCAGGCATTCCTGATTTTCCCAAAGTCCTGTTACTTCGCCAAAAGCTTTCCAATCGGGGGACTCAAGTTAGATTTTCCCAAGTCAATCACGTGGAAACGTAAACTACACAAAATGTCTATTCCTTTGAGCTTTTAGGTCTCATCTTGGGACCTGGACTCGGGTTTCGATGTAGTAGCTGATGATAATCAGCAAACAGGGTCATAAACTACAGGCCGTATCAATGCCAGGCCGAGAATGAAAGGGATGCCCCCGATACAAAGCTCTGGACGCCATAGACTGCTTTCCTGAAAACATTGGGCTTGATACCATGTTGGCTTTCTGCATGGAAAAAAAAGTACAGCGAGACATTTCTGCCTATGAGCAACGCAGTAGCCCCGCTCCTGGGAGCCCAATTCAAACATCTCTGGCACAATACACAAGCATCACTTTATCTAGGTTCCTCATTATCCAGAGGTAGACTCTTGAACATCCTCACGCGTTACACCTAGGATGCAGAAAGACTTTAAAATCTTAGACTTCCCATAGACTTGTGAGGCTATCAAGTCCGAGACAAGCGATTAAGGGGCTTTTATAAAAGAGAGTGTAGGGTTGATTAATGTATATAACTTCTGTGGCAATTTCCAGAAATCGCCAAAAGGAAGAGTTGAGGCGTATAATAGTCAGCTTTCGGTTGGATCCTGATATTGCAAGTCGTTCATAGCATGTCAGGCCTCTTGTTGGCTTCTGAATAGGATGATATGTTGTCCAAGTGAAAGTTGATATCTGGGTAAGCTGCATCCCGTTTGCGATGACTCTAATATAACCCGATGTGTAGTCGAGCCAAGACATCTGTGCTCGTTGGGCAGCAAGTCCTCAGAGAACGAGAACTCTATCTCTAATTTAACTCTCCACGGGCAAATCCATGTGCCCGTAAAAGCAAACTACGACAGTCACGGATCAGCCAATAAAAGATTCTCTCTACGTCTACAAAAACTTCACGTTGGCTGTCCAATGGTCCTTGTCGGTGTTACTTAATCGATAATCTCGGCTGAATCTTGGCTCCAACACAAAACCAATTGCGGTGCGGGGACATCAGTCGATTTTCTGAACCTTCCCGGGGACAGCTCCCAGACCCGGTCAACAGATAAGGTGTGGCAAGCAGTAGCGATGGGGGTTTAACCCGCCGATCTAAAGCGGTCGGAGCTCGTTTTGAAACCTTTTCAGCTGATCGAGAGGAGGAGCTGATCGCATTGCTTGGCGGATGTGAAGTCAAGCCGTTGGTCGAATTTCGCCAAGGCCAAGACCACCCAAGACTTTTTTCTTCGAGCTTCCTACAGGAGTCACGAGTGGAGAGGACAAGGCCAGAAGAAAAATAAGAGGGGAGGGCGTCGATGCAGAATGCATCACAGGCGAAAAATGAAAAAAGACCCTTGAGAATCGCGGGCTGGGCCCATCCCACTCTGACCGCATTAAGATCCAGCGGGAGTTACTCCTGCTGTAGGATGACGGCGTTACAGACTAATCGCTGAGGCCAAGGTGGACTCTCGTTGCGTGCTGCCCCCCAGCCCAGCGAGGGTCTATGCCATCATCCAAGACTCGGGTGCATGCATGGTGCCGTATTTCAAGCTCATGGCAATGAAGCACCAGCGTGGAGCAAACGGCTTGGAAGGACGAGACAATGACAAGACGGGCAGGACGGATAGTGGAAGGCTTAGGTTGTGATGCTGGCGCTGATCATCGTCGCAAGCACGTTTTTGGTGGTGCATAGTGTCTCCATGTACAGGGCAGATTTTTGGCTGTCGAACAGCGACATGTGGCCAGCAGGTGATTTTGTCTCACCCCCAGATTGCCGCAAACAGGGTTTAGTCAGTCGATAGAGGTGCAGAATAGGAAAAGGACGGACCGGCGATGGTTTGACAGACGGCGGCCCCGAGGGAGCGGTTCGGAGGCGATGGCGCGGGGAGAGCGAACGGTGACAGCATTGGACAGAAACTGGAATTCTTTCGTAACACTATGCATGGGTGATTTCAATATCCCGATTTGGGTTTCGACGGTTCAAGGGGCCATGGCGACACGAGACGAAAGGCTTCGTTGCCAAGACCGGTCGAACAAGAGAATTTGATTTTTTTTCTGGCAGTTTAGTCCAAGCCAAAGGAGACAGACAGGGTAAGAGAACGAGAGAAAGCAAAGACGGGAAGACGGCTAGACTGAACCTCCTACGTCACTTGGCCTGGTCCACACCATCTTGCGCGGTCTCGAGAGCCAAGCACTTGGCGACTCCACCGAAAAGATTGTGACTGTGTCAGACTATTGGGAGGTTGGACTGAGGAAGGGGGAACAATAAACAAAAAAAAAACAAAAAACAAGTGGAATTGGAACAGCAATTAGTTGGTAGAGGGGTGGAGGAGGACAAGCAGCAGAAGAATTGCGACGAAAAGATATGGACAGCCGCCCGGAGCGATGGTTCGTCTGAGACGGCCGGGATAGGATGGGATGAGCAACAAGGCGGCGGGCGGGGTTTAAAAGTGATAGGCGACAGACACGAAAGACCGACGGGCGGCTCTGGCTCAGATGAGAAAAACCGACAGTTGGGATCAGCAATCGCGCTTGGATCGTCGACGTGCCCCTCCGCTTGTGCGACTCCCCTCACTATTGTCTGTGTGGCTTCGTGAAAGTTGATCGCTTGATCGCAGTCGCGGATGCACGCCAGTTTTTGTGTCTCTCTAGAAGGCATTTTAGCCCGCGGTGAGTGGTCAATTGGGAGAGAGGTCCTCTATGTCGTAGGGATACCGTGTGCGGCGGATGGGGAGGTGGAATGATGGCATCGGGAATACAGAGGTCTGGAATGTCTGACCTAGTAAGCCGTCATCCCACGTTGGAGGCAATCCAACATTGTTGAGTCGTAGGACAAGAATTGCCAAGGGACGCCAAGTAGAGCCGGCGCAAACGGAGTTGCAGCGGTGGGTGGCCATCATACCCATACGAGGCCACACTCGCATCGAGAACGAGGGGGGTCGTGTGTGTCGCATTTTTGTGGGAAAAAGTCAACATTTGATGCCGTGACCTTGCGCTGGGTGAATGCGAGGAATCCGCGGGAGATGAGAGAAAGCTGGGCGACGAAAAACCTAAGGATAGCAATGGGGACGAAACCATGATGCTCGCCTTGGATCGGAAGCACGTTGCTTTTTCCTCGAACCACCCCGGGGATCACGGTCATGACCATCGGTAGTTGGTGTCCGAAGTTTGGAGATTTCTGCCCACCATGTGCTCCTGCTTCGCCCGGCGGCTCAGGGCCTAGCGGGGTTGGAGAGAGGTCTTGAGACCCCTATTCCACTTCTTCCTATCCCCGACCGAGGCTGCGACCGGGCGAACGTGACTGTGTGGTGGTGTGTTTAGGAGAAGCCTTGGCGGCGGACAGGAAAAAGTTGAGTGAGGTGCAAGAAAGTGACCGAATGTGGCGTGCCTGATGGCTATCCGGTGTCGCTCCGCCCCCCTTCAAGGATACGAAATCCAGTTTTGGATATTGTAACGCCGTCGTCGTCCTCCGTCAGCCTGTCAAGCATGTTCATTGAGGCCAGCCTGGGTCAGCTGACGCGTACACGTGATATCAAACCTTGTCATAGGAGTCACCGAGGGTTCGGAGACCTCGAGTTGGAGTTGATGTAAATTGGCTTTTCCATGGCGTCCGGGGATAATCCACCGAAGAGCACGGCAAATGAGGGTGTGGATATAGGGACGAAGATGGGTAACAAGGTACTATCGGTACCGTAGGAATAGAGAAAGAGAGAAAGAGAGAGTTAGTAAGTTAATTTAGTTTGAACATGTGCCTGTGTGTTTCGGAGCATTTTTTGTTGAGGCAAGGTTGACATGGAACTCTGTTCCATATTTTGCCATTATTCTTTTTTTCCAATTTTCAACTTTTCGCGCCTGGGAAGGTGCAATACGTGTAACGCAAACAGCCAAACAGCAAAAACACAGCGCCAGTTTCAGCGATTCTTAGTGGTCAAGGTGGGTTTTTACAGCAGCCAAGGCGCTACGGTTTGCCCCCCTGTTGTCGCCGTGGATGACGGCGAGCCCGCTGAAATGCGTAAGTACCGTGGCTATACTTCTTGGCTGTCAAGGTACCTCCACCCACACTGTAATGCAGTCCTTGAGTCTAGAGGCTCGGCCAAGAAAAACAAAGGCATCACCAAGTTGGCCCTTGGCCAATCACACAACATAATTCTCAGAATCTCCATAGAAAATACTGGAAGTCTGTGCGCAACAGGAGCAGGTGCAACAGCACGTGATGCGCCTCTCCCCATGGCGCAGTTGGGAGTGGCCATTGGTTCTTCGCATCAAATAACCTTATTCGCCCAGAAATGGCCAATGGCGTCACTGGGGACGTGTGCCGTCATATCGTACGGCTGCAGACCATGCAGAGCCGTCCTCTGATTTCTGCAACCTGCACATTGTACTTCCTACGTAGGTAGTATAGATCAACTCGTGCTTGTCCGCCTGGAGTGGCCGTTCTTGGCTTTGGTTCGTCCCTTGTCTTTACTTTTCTAATGTGTGTTTTATTTTTTTCGGCATAAGCAGCTTTCGGTGTCAAACTCCTTCGGTGTTGTTGTACCGCTTCCTGTCATGCCCGTGGCGTTTCGCCCATTGGCTGTTCGGGGCCCCAGTAGCAAGAATAAGCAAACGCCTTCACCCGCATCAATAACAGTGGCATATGTGAAATTCCCATCACTTTTCTTTCCCCGACGTCTCAGTGGCACGCGTGTCTCTGTTCCCCGGGACCGATCCTCTCCTCCCCGCTCCTTCCCGCCTTTATTTGAATTTCTCTCCTTCTCCCTTAGAGAGACTTACCCCTGATGGCATGAAGTAATAGTCGTAGTTCATCCGTACCTGCCCGTGACTTTTCCTTTCATGCTAATACAGTCAAGGTAGTACAGTGCTCCTTCCCGTCCATGTCCATCACAGAAAGTAAGTACCACCCCGGTACCTCTTCTTGCCTTCTCTTCTTGAAATACGTACCTCCCTCCTTCCCTGTCCTACAAGCACCGGTCCCCACTTCCTCTACGGTGCTCCACTCCCGTCCACGCCGCTTCCCTCCGCCAAGAGCTCCGCCAAGGTCATCGTCACCCGAGAACCACCACTCAGCCGGTCCGTCTCTACGTTCTAGTTGCTACTCCAAATTCTCGACCTGGAACGGTCCCCCAAAGCCAAGAAGCTCACCACCCTTGCGTGCGTCTTTGCTCACCACTCTGTCGCCAAGTTGAGATCCCTTGTCTACCGTCTTGGACACTGGTCTTGATGCCCAATCACAGCTTTTCAGTCGGCACAATGACCGAATGCTTCTACTCCTCACCCCCTCCTCGCGCCTTCAAACGCTCGCCAGGAGGGGGGGCGTGTTATCATCTGCCCAGACCTTGGCGTCTCTCAGGTTTTTTTTTCCCTGCCCCGAAGGACCTTGCGAGCCACAAGACACAAGCTTCCGACGTCTTCCAAACCTTGCCATACCAAGTCTACCAATCGTTCAGCTGTCTATCTATAAAGGTAGCCTTGTTCCCCGGTCCTCTTGACTTCAAACTTCCAGGTCTAGACTTTCTAATCACAACATTCTCTTCCCCACTGCGAAGAAGAAGCTTCTTGGTTCTCAAAGCCAATATTTGATTGACATCCTCCCAAGAAGAATAGAGAGACCCATCACCACCTTGACGTCTCACATCCATCCTCAATTGATTTAGCCAACTCCTCCCAACCGACATTCTCCGTGAATGGAACGCACCTAAATCATTTATACGTCGTCACCAGCACAGACTCGACATAATGTCTGGTGACTACCCAAAGCATCCCTTCCTCCTGTCGGTCGAAGAGACCGCTCGGGCCCTGGGAGTCGACATCGACAAGGGTTTGTCCTCCCAGCAGGTACAGGAAGCGCAAGCAAAGTACCCCGAAAATGAGTTCGAGGTCGGCGAATCGGTGCCATGGTACACCATTCTGAGTAAACAGATTTTCAACGCCATGGTGCTCGTCCTCATCTTCGCCATGATTCTTAGTTTCGCAATCAATGACTACATTGAGGGCGGTGTCCTCGCCTTTGTTATTGTCGCAAACGTCACCATCGGTTTCTGGCAGGAGTATCGCGCCGAAAAGCGTATGGATGCGCTGCGTACTCTTTCTGCCCCTTCTGCCAATGTTCTCCGCGACGGAAAGACGCAGGTCATTCCAAAGTAAGTACAAGCAATACTCATGGCGCATATCATTTACCCCACCTTGTTTTTTTTTTTTTTTTTTCCTTCTTTACTTGGTATTCTGGTTTGCCTTGCCATCTCACATCGCTGACTCGTGTTACAGTGCCCAAGTCGTTCCCGGTGACATCATCTTGCTCAAGATGGGCGATACCGTGCCCGCCGATATGCGCATGTTCGAAGCCATGAACTTGTCTTGCGACGAACAGTCCCTGACCGGTGAGGCCGCCCCCGTCGACAAAACCACCGAAGCCAACATCCTGGTGCCGGGAACCGAGAAGCCCGCCACTGAGGAGGGCGAGGTCGGCATTGGCGACCGATTCAACCTGTGCTACGCCACTACCATTGTCCGCAAGGGTCGTGGTCGCGGTATTGTCATCGCTACCGGTATGCAGACTGAGGTCGGTAAGATCGCCGCATCCACCCAGAAGAAGGTTCGCAAGCCTGGTCGCTCCATGAACTACAAGAAGTACGGCAAGCGTCAGCCTGTCGTTGGTCTTACGAAGCGCGTCTACGATGCGGTTGGCAAGTTCCTCGGTCTTACCGAGGGTACACCCCTTCAGCGTAAGCTCGCTGCGCTAGCCTACCTCCTCTTCGGCTGTGCCATCATTTTGGCCATGATTGTGTTCGGAGCCCACAAGTTCGACGTCACTGGCGAGGTCATCATCTACGCTGTCTCGCTTGGTATTGCCATTATTCCTGAGTCTCTCGTAGCGTAAGTACTACCTGGCATATACTTATCGATTGGCCCATCTAACAAGTTTTAGTGTCCTCACCATCACCATGGTCGTTGCTGTGACTGTCATGAGGAAAGCCAACGTCGTCGTTCGAGATCTGTCTGCCCTAGAGGCTCTGGGTGGTGTTACCAACATTTGCTCCGACAAGACTGGTACTCTGACCCAGGGTGCCATGATTGTTCGCAAGGCCTGGCTGCCCATGTCCCACACCTACACCGTCCGCGATTCTCAGAACCCTGCAGACCCCACCAAGGGCAAGGTGACTTACTCTGAGTCCAAGGAAGAGGAGAAGGTGGAGGAGGCTCCTAAGCGCGATTACGACCAAGAGCGCTCCGCTGCCGTGCTGAAGTTTGATGTTCCCGAGGAAAAGTTGCAGAACAAGCAGCCTGCCAAGGAGCCCGAACCCGAGGTTGACGCAGAAATGACACCTCCGCTCAAGGCCTTCCTTCTGTCATCTGCCCTTTGCAACCTGGCCACCGTTCGATATGATGACGATGAGGCCAAGTGGCAAACCACTGGCGAGCCCACTGAGATTGCCCTTCAGGTCTTTTCCCACCGTTTCAAGCTTGGTAAGAAGGTTCTCGAAGGACAAGGTTGGCATCAGCTGGCCGAGTTCCCTTTTGACAGTTCCATCAAGCGCATGTCCGTCATCTACGATGCCCCTGAAAACTCTGAGAATGCCGATATCTGGGGCCACGAGAACAGCTTGGTCTTCACCAAGGGCGCCGTCGAGCGAATCTTGGATCTCTGCACTCACCTCGGTTTCGGCGATGCTAAGCAGGAGCTTACTGAAGAACTCAAGGGACAGGTCCTCGACCAGATGAACAACTTGGCTTCTCAGGGACAGCGAGTGCTTGCCATCAGCTACCGCGAATGGAACGGAAAGTTCACCATTAACCAGTCCAACGTCAGCACCGAAAAGGAGGATGAGCTTCGTGGCGAAGTTGAGCAGGGACTTACTCTGCTCGGTCTTGCCGGTATCTACGACCCTCCTCGCCGTGAAACTAAGCCATCCATCGCAGAATGTTCCACCGCCGGAATCAAGGTTCACATGCTCACGGGAGATCACCCCGAGACCGCCAAGGCCATTGCAAAGGAAGTTGGTATCATTCCCAAGAACCTCGGTATCCTCTCCGATAGCATGGCCAAGGCTGTCGTTCTGAAGGCCACCGATTTCGACAAGATGACCGATGCAGAGATTGACGCCCTTGAGGAGTTGCCTCTAGTCATTGCCCGTTGTGCTCCCGAGACAAAGACCCGCATGATCGACGCTCTCCGTCGCCGTAACGCTTTCATGGCCATGACTGGTGACGGTGTCAACGATGCCCCCTCTTTGGCCCGAGCCGATGTCGGTATTGCCATGGGTTCTGGATCTGACGTCGCCAAGTCTGCCTCTAAGATTGTGCTCACGGATGACAAGTTCAACTCCATTGTTGCTGCTATCCGTCAGGGTCGTCGCATGTTCGATAACATCCAAAAGTTCATTCTCCACCTTCTTAGCTCCAACGTGGGTGAGGTCATTCTCCTGGTCTGTGGTCTTGCTTTCCGGGATAATGATCAGCTCTCCGTGTTCCCCATCTCTCCTCTCGAGATTCTCTGGATTAACATGGTTACCTCGTCCTTCCCTGCCTTCGGCCTGGGTCGTGAGGATGCTGCCGCCGACGTCATGCGCAAGCCCCCTCAGAACAAGAAGCGCGGTGTTTTCACCAACCAAATCCTAGTGGACATGGTTGTTTACGGTATCATCATGGGTGCGCTGACTATGGTTACCTTCATCATCATTGTGTGGGGCGCCAACGGTGGAAACCTCGGTGCCCAGTGCAACAAAGAGTTCAGCGAGGCATGCAGACCCGTCTTCCGCGCCCGTGCCGCTGTCTTCGCCGAACTTACCTGGATTATCCTTATTTCCGCTTGGGAATTCAAGAACCTGCGCCGCTCCATGTTCCGTCTGAACCCGGATGACCCGAGCAAGTTCCCCCTCTTCAAGGACCTTTACGCCAACAAGTTCCTTTTCTGGGCTGTCGTCATTGGTGCCTTGTCTGTATTCCCCGTCGTTTACATCCCTCAGCTCAACACCAAGCTTTTCAAGCACGTGGGCATCTCTTGGGAGTGGGGTCTTTCCGTCGGATTCACCATCCTGTACGTTGTCGGTGTCGAAGCCTGGAAGTTTGTCAAGCGCACTTTCCACCTGCTCGAGGACCACCAGGTTGTCCGTGGTGCCTTCAACCAGGGTGGTGAGGAGGAGGGCCGTGACTTCAAGAAGACTATGACCATGTCCAGCTTCAAGAGTTGGGCGTCTTTCGGCCGCAAGGATACCGGCGAGTCCACTGGACGTCGCAGCCGCTCCCACTTGCGGACCAACACCAACCTCTCTGGTGACACACGCACCGGCGAGGGATCTCCTAACAACAGCGCGGACGACAAGGTCTGATTTATTTGATTTTAAGCTACAGAAATCGCGTCGTCGAATTGCGTCAATATTTGACATGTTTGTGCGAAAAACAAGAGTACATGATACCACTATCACGATGATTCGTTGCATGAGAGCACGAACGATAGAAACTAGACCCACGACCTAACGGCCGAGTCCATATGAGGAGGGTAGGATATGCCGAGGTCGAGTATGGGAGAGTTGTTTTACGGCCTTTGAATGGCCTTTTGCATTAGTAACTAGGGATTTGCATCAAGATGGACTTGGGGAGGAATTGGTTCTCTTGTTTTTTTTTAATAGGATGTATCTAATAATCAACTTCTATCCAAGTCATCATTTTCCAACAACTTTCATGCAGTATGCTGTGAGAACTGAGACATTTGTGCTTGTCTCTTTGAAAAGTGATGGCTTGTTTTACTGTTTCCTTACTACTTGTAACTGTTGTATCTACGAATTTTGCCACCAGACTGCTAGGCTTGCAATCTCAATGATGGTAATGCAGCGCCATAGTTGAGCTTGATTGCATTGAAATCTGCGAGCCCTTGTATCCAATCTGGCCGGTAACGGCCAAGACCGAAGATTCACAGGGCATATGAATCATGTCAAATCCAGATGAAGATGTCCAACGGGTAGTATTGAAAGTATACATACGATCTGCGCTCTAGGACATCATGTCGTTTTACCCGTCAACAGGTAGACGGCCTAAAGTACGTGGGGCCCCCTTAACTCTTCTCGAAACTGCCGCAACGTAAATAATGGAGTGCATGTCGTAAGGTGTTTTGTCTGATTGGTTACTACGCAGCAGTATTTTATACTGTACTCTGTAGTCTATTCGTACGACTGACTCGGACATTCTAATTTCCATGTTTTCGCGAGCAGATTTTTCCTTACTTTACAGATGTGCTGGGTGTTTATATGTCTTTTTTTATGTCATAACTGAACTTGGCGAACCATCATGATGACCTTTTTTTTTTTTTTTTTTTTTTGCAAATGGATACTGGCAGCTTGAGGAGGATACGCGGAAACATGTTGCAAGTCTCGATGAAGATTGTCAGGTGGGTCGAACCGTATGATAGACCATAGATCCAGACGAGGTAATGATGCCGGCGATCTACCGTTGTTGCTGACTATATGGCGTTGTCGAGAATTTGCTGCCAGATCTTGACGTCAGTGACATGGAGTTCGTGACTGTCTTCCTCGTCTCAATCAGGGTTGGAAGTTCCCCCAAGGATAGCGATGATGACCCGATAGAATGCGTAAATCATGATTGCGAAATCGGATGTCGGCAGTTTTGAACCACAGTTTGTCCTGCTCTGTTAAGGTGACATTGGCAGCTGTAGCGGCAGATGGCACGCAGTATCCAGGTTCACAGACTAATACTAGTAAACTCAAAGACCCACACATTTTCCAGGATAGGTTTCTGTAAGCGCTCTCTAAAAGTTTTAAAAACAGTACAACGTGATGACACCAACAGCCGCAGCATCTACAGAGACAAAAAGAAGACTAGATGCATTCAAAAGCAAAAGAATTGGACGAACAGGGAATCGAACCCTGGACCACTCACATGCTAAGCGAGTATTATACCACTAAACCATTCGCCCAATGGGATGATTTCGCCCGGACTTGAACCGGAGACCTTCAGTGTGTTAGACTGACGTGATAACCAACTACACCACGAAACCACTTGAATTGTTGAAAGAATGCGGACGACAAGGTGCTTTTGAATGTTGGTGGCTGTTGTGGGTGGGTAGGGTAGGGCATAGCGGGGCTTGCAGGATGGCTTCATTTCGCAGATTGCATGCGGCCGGCGCCATTGGGGGTGGAATGTGGGGCGGGGGCGGTGGCCATGCGGTTTCTGCTGTATCTGTCTAAATCCTGGCGCATCGGCCTTGAATCATGCACAGGTTTGGCACCACCTAACCTGAAAGCGGAGAGTGATGGGCGGAGAACTAGGTCGAGTTGGCATCCATGGTATTCCATTGGCACCAAGGACTGAGGATGAGCTGATTTGATTCGGTGCTCCGGGCACTCGCCCGACTGACGTGGGCCGAGCGGCACGGGGCCGGTCCGCCGGGCACGCCGCGCAAGCGAGTGCGAGCTTCTGCGATTTTTAACACGTTGAGTCAACACACAAAACCGTCACTTGGAAAGCCGGATACCGGCCCTACGGGCTCTACGGGGCATGCAAGGATTCGACATGGACATTAAGCTTAAAATGAAAAACCCATGGGTTGTAACTGCACGAACTACCCACAGTCTTGGCGAGGGAAGAGTCTGGCTTGGCCTTTGCCTTGGTTTTGGAGAGCGACGCGCGGCGGTGGAGGCAGTGAACCCTAGAGATCCCTGGATGTCACTCCAATGTAGCTTTTCTTGTCATCTGTCAGCAGGTTGCGTGCATAGTGCGGAACAGTGTCATGATTCGTGAGTACAGATGACCCTTTTGCTGACGGTTTTAACGAAGTCGTAAGGTGGGACGGTGACGACACATTCACGTAGATTGATGACGGCGGCTGACTTGAACTTTTCTACGGCGACCCCTATATCGGACCCTTATTACGTCCAACATGGGATTGGAGTTGTGGTTGCAGACGGGTTGGTGGCGCTGTGGAGGGCATATCTTACTTTACCCTTCACCGTTTAGTTGTTCCTTGACTCGAGTTAGTTTTTGATAGGTGGCCATGCTCGGAGATTGCGTTAGTCATAGCTAAAATGCATTGACTGCTCAGACTCTGGGCCCGTGTGGCGGAGAGTTGATGGTCTCGGGTCATTATCGTAGCTGTAGTTACATACCAGAGATTGCCCAGTAACTTCTTTCTCATCTAATACAAGCAGTTTACTCAATTGGCGAACCTTTTGATACATAGTTGAGAATCTCAAGTTACCAATGAAGTACTTAAGTTGCGATGGTCTTCTTAAAGAACCAGGAAGCATTGCCTGGTATTATAGCTTTATTCACTGTATTTACTTATTGGAAATGAGCTGTATCTTCTGGCAAGATCAGTTTCTAGTCGGCTTTTGCGATGAGGTACATAATCGTATTACATGGTCGTTTGTCCAGAGTTTATTGTTCAGAAGCTTGGTCGTGATGATGCTATTACTATCACCAGTCTTTACTTAGAGGCCTAGCATACTGGCAATACTCGATTCTGTTACTTTTCTTCTTTGTTATAGAAGTTTCCATAGCTTGGTTCTGATAGGGAACTGGACTTTCACCTTCATTATCTGTAGATGTGGGTTTGATTTGACTTAGGTCTAATTGAGTGCCACGTGGTCACGAATTTCAGAGCAAAGAGAGCCTCAAGGTGAACTGGCAAACTAATAGACGTTCATTTTCGTATTTGGTGCGACCATGTGATCGATAAATATACTCAGGTTACCTCCTATAATTGACTAGGAATCGTCTTGAGTCTTGTGATTGCAGGTTCTACAGTGCATCACTTGTCTGTATACAAATTCAACTTTGACAGTTGTCGTCACACGTTGTCTTTGCGAGGTTATTGCCTCCCGGGCTGCTTCTGACATATGTTTTCAAGAGAAAGCTGCAACTCCTGAAATGAAGCTCGAAGTTGAGACCCTAGCAGTGACAAATACACTAGAGTGTAATCTTCCTGTAGGGCTTCTCCTGGCAATCCTGAAGAATTACACGGCAAGCCAAATGCTGGGGTGCGGGCAGTTTCTTTTACTCGGAGCAACAGGTAGTGCTGAGGATAAAGGAATCAGATGGGCTTGGAATGGAGACACTATTGGAAATTCTCATTGTGAACTTCAGTAAATTGGGCTCGTCAGACAACTGATTTGACAGATGACGGCGGGTTTCTAAGTGCCGAAGTTGTAACTTTGCTGAAGTTATAGGTGATAGATGGAAAAGATGGTATGTTAGAAAAGCAATGGCGATGGCGGCAGATAAAAGGGCCTGAGTTGACACTTGATCCCAGCCCCCAGTGTCCCAGTGACGAGGAGTAGCATTTCAAGAACCTCTACTAGGTGATTTCGACGAAGACAAGAATCTTAAACGAGATGACCCAGGCCATCAATCATAAATCAACGCCCCTAACGACTTATATCGCGATCCAAACAGGTTTGTATCGTTGGTTTGTGACGATTATTCGTCACTTGGTATCCCTTCACAGCAATTAACTTGGAGCCTATCAATATACTCTTCATGTCTTATCTCACTCTGGCTAGTACTGTGACGCAGTTAAGACTTGGTCGAAAATGCCTACTGCAGCTTGAATCTCAAGTCCTGAAACATATATTCAATGGCTTTTGCCAATCACAATCACTGATTTGTGGGCCGTGGCAAGCATGGGACAAACTTTACATGAGGTTGTCAACAGTAAGACAAGAGATGATAAGCAACCGCTCTTTGGGTTGTCTCGATAGCGCTGTATGATCAATAGAACACATCCAACTCATTGCGCTGAAGCCAGCCATAACTCATCGAGACCCATCTGCCTCAAGCACTTAAGATAGCACTGTTGTTCAAGGACGCTAATGAGAAATACATCGCACCGCATCGATGTCACTCAGTACCATTGAACCTGTTAGGGCTTCATCACCTCAGGTTGGGCTGCTCTTGAGAAACAAGCCTCAGCCTGGAAATTCTTTCTGTCGCACACTCATCGGAGCCAGGAGTTTCTTCAAGTCGAGTCAGAGAGATTAGTGGTTGGACGTACACTTAGGTATGAGGCAATTCATTCTCTCATCGAGAATACTTGCCTTCATAACTAGCTTCAGATACCTCGCCAACCTCTTCATGAAGGTAGCAATATCGGTTTTCTATGTTAAGACTTTCTGCTATGGTATTGTGGAGTTGGCTGACATTGGACGCATTCAAGGCTTTTCCATCATGAAGCATCGACAGTTGTTGTAGCAGTTCTGGAGGGTTAAACTCCAATTTCAACTCATACAACATCGAAGGGTAAAGAATAGAAGTACAAGAATGAACATACGAAGAAAATTTGCTTCTGCTTGTCCGTTGTCGATTTCTACTTGTATCCAAACCGTTTATGTGAAAGATAGCATGTTAATGCATCAAGGTCCGGAACAACATTAAACTATGAGTTCACTGTCCAGGAGAGATGAGCTTTCTATGCTTGATGTCGCGTGGGGGACTTATTGGCCCGCTTCCATCGCGTGTAAGCCTCCTTAGCACCTTGAACCCGATTGTTAACAGGGTGTTGAAACGGGGTTCCCGTTAATCACCTTGACAAATTGTCACCTTGTGCACCGAGGGAAGCCCCGGGGAGCACGTTGCACTTTGTTGGGCCGAGAGACTTGTCGCCCGATCAGTAAGACATGCAAAAGCAATTGCTCCTACACAAACTGCAGAAGTCTTACTGACGATTTTCAATTCTCAAACTGCCAAAAGGGGTTGCCGACGCCAGATCGGCATCTTACAAAGTCGATCTCCTTGGGGAAAAACTAGACAAATGCGCAGCACCAGCTTGCAGATCCTGTCAGCAGAGCCAAGATGTCGCTTCTTAGTTTAGGTACGTTATCGTGCTTATGGGGTCGACTCTCCAAACTCGCCAAGCGTAATATTGGAACGAAGATTGAGCAATTCCTTTGAAGGCTTTTACAATAGCTATCATCGCAAATAAAGAGAAGCTAACATCGTTCACAGCTCGACGATTCCATGTTTCATCTTTTACCACACTGCATGCAATACTACCAGCACGAGCTGTTCTGTTTGTGATTGTTGATGAGACTTTGCGTTGCTTTCGGTTGTTCGGCTACTTAGCTCCTTGGCCTAAATAGCCTCTCATGTTCTTCAAAAATAAAAGAGCACCTCCTAATCCAGGGTTATCATTGGGCAAGGAGCGAAGCAGGGCAGTGCCCAATGCCTGATGCGAAGAATCTCGCACTCGCTTAAGCCGATTTTGTGGGTCCCCGTTCCGCTCTGCTTCCCCCGGCGCCGATCAAGCGGCCTCCGGGTGGCAGTGACACACGTTGGCCAGCTCGGAGGGCTTGTGTACTTACCGTCCTGATAGTATAAAACGACCCTGTAGTTCCCCTTGTCAGTGACTGATGTTTTCATAAGTCGAGTAGGTCACCCAAACGTGAAACTTCGTCGCTGTTTCTCTTCTATTACATCCACACATAGTCTACGGTCCTTACAGAAATTGAGTGGTGCACAAAAACCAACACCATGACCAACCGTCAGTTCCGGTTTCGCGATGGCGTGGCTATTTCTCAAATTGTCGTCTTTTCAGTTTTTCTCATATTTGGCGTTCTGTTTCGCTTTCAAAAGCGAATGGGCTGGTTCGGCATATCCTTTATCTCAACAATACGCATCGTTGGAGCCGGCTGCATGCTCGGCACAATCACCAACCGCTCAAAGGGCGTTTGGGCCACCATCTTCGTCTGCGAATCTCTTGGACTTGTTCTAATCACATTTGTGCTATTAGACTTATTAAAGAGGGTGTAAGTTTTACTCAATTTCTCTTGTGAAAGTTGGTTCCACATACTAATCTCTGGATAGAAACCATTTCGTAAAGGTCCTCACAGATTGGCACTTTCGAATCCCAGAGCTGATATGCTGGGCTGGTCTTGCTATCTCTATCGCAGACTATGTGATTATCAGTAAGAAGACCGAGGATCCAATGGCCCCAGGCCCCTTGACAAAAGCAGGAGTTGGACTCTTTGCGGCGCTTTACTTCTGGGGTGTCCTCCTCTTTTTCTGGCTGGTGCAAAAATGGAAGCAGATCCCTGACGGCGAGAGGCGGTCCGTCATCGGCTTCGGTGCCTGCTTTCCCCCCATGGTCGTCCGCATCGCCTACACGATATCCTACGTGAGTACTGGGAACAAGAAATTCAGTGCAGTCACAGGAGACACCACGACGTACCTCTTGATGACTGTACTGATGGAGTTTGCTATTCTTGGCTGCGTCATATGGACTATTTGGGGCTTAGAGATATTGCAGCAGCATGTGCTGGTTGATGCAGAGCAGGACAAGAGCAACAGTATGGATGCGTTGGTTGAATCTAGGCCAAAGAGTCGAGATGACCGCCAGGACGCTTCATGAGGGGATTTTAGAGGTTAGACTTTTTTTTTCATGTTGTTTGGGCTGCGGGAAGCAGCATGTTTGTTATTTAGCTTGTGGCCCTTTTACACGATAGGATATACCCAGAGTTTGGTAATTGCGATATCTTTGTTCACCATACCATTTGCAATGTTGAGGCTTGACCATGGGATAAGCTAGTGACGTTTTCTCCCCAAGAAATTAGAGGCAAACCACCACATGCCATTACGATTGAGGTATGAAACTTCCTCGTCTTTGTTTTTGTGAAATGACGAGTGTGGTGTTTGGCGGGGCTTTTTGTCATTTTCCACACTGGAATGCCTGGAATCAACAGTTGATAGTGGTTTAGTGGAATTGGGCATCAGCAACCTGCTCTTTACTGAAGAATGAGGTTTGTAAGGGTCCTGTGACGTGGTGAGGTGCTCCACTAAAGACATGAACACCAGGGGAAGGTGAGACGGCTTTTAGGTACTTGCCTTACCTAAGGTAAGGTACCCAAGTCACTAAGTTTCCCCTGGCTAGCGGTCCCACCCACCCCAACTTTTCAGCCTCGCGTTTAACTCTACCTCCACCACTTGTTCAAAGGCGCCTGCCTCGTCGCAACACCTCCATCCGCCGACTCACTCCACCAACGAAAGACGCGATGGCGGCCCCCGACGCGCCCAAGCTCCTCTGGAACCCGGACAACGTCAAGGATGTCGCCGAGTCCGTCGGTATCTCCAACCTAAACGACGAAGCTCAGCGCGTTCTGACCCAGGATGTTGAGTACCGCATCGGCCAGGTCATCGTAGAGGCATTGCGCTTCATGCGAGCCTCCCGTCGAACGACCTTAACTGTCAACGACATTAGCACCGCTCTCAAAGTCCTCAATGTTGAGCCTCTATATGGCTACGACTCGACGCGCCCGCTCCGATATGGTGAGGCCAGCCTCGGCCCTGGGCAGCCTCTCTTCTACCTTGAGGATGAGGAGGTAGACTTCGAAAAGCTCATCAACGCACCCCTGCCGAAAGTGCCGCGCGATATGAGTTTTACTGGTGCGCCCTGCTCATCTCTATTCCTATTTCTACGTTTCTTCTGACTCATCTCTTGCAGCACACTGGCTCGCCATTGAAGGCGTCCAACCGTCCATCCCCCAGAACCCCACAACAGCCGAATCACGAAGCCAAGAACTTGTCCCCAAGGGCCCCGGTGCCAACCCCGCGCTCGCAGCCCTCGCAGGAAACGACAGTCTTTCCTTCCGTCCCGCCGTTAAGCACGTTGTATCAAAGGAACTCATCCTCTATTTCGAAAAGGTCCAGAACGCTTTGCTGGACGACAACCCAGACGAGGAGGTCGTGCGCCTCCGCCAGGCCGCTCTCGAATCTGTTCGCGACGACCCAGGCTTGCACCAGCTGATTCCCTACTTCATAAACTTCGTTGCGAACCAGGTCACTCATCGCCTCGACGACGTCTTCACTCTCCGCCAGGCCATGGAGCTTACGGCCGCGCTCATCGCCAACAAGAAGCTCTACCTCGACCCCTACGCCAACTCCATCGCTGCCCCTGTGTTGACCTGCATCCTCAGCCGCAAGATTGGCTCCGAGGATGGCGCAGACGCCATGCGAGAACAGTACCAGCTTCGCGAGTTCTCTGCCTCGCTGCTCGGCCAGATCGCCCGCAAGTACGCTGCCTCCAACAACCTTCTCCGCCCCAAGCTCGTGCGGACCTGCCTCAAGTTCTTCATGGACCCCGACAAGCCACCTGCCACCCACTACGGTGCCATCACAGGTGTGGCATCGGCCGGCGGTCCCGAGGCAGTCCGGGTGCTCGTACTGAAGTGCCTACGAGCATACAACGACAACATCCTGCAGCCGCTGAAGGAGAAAGGCGAGGGCATCGAGTTCGAGATGCTGGTTGGCGGCATTCTCAAGGCGATTGCCACCATGGTTGAGGACGAGAGGGCTCCTGTCAATGGCATTAACGGTAGTGCCGACAACCACGCTGCGGAGTTGAATGAGTTTATTGGCCCCATCTTGGGCGAACGGCTGAACAACCTAGGCAACAGGAGACTGATCCGACAGGTCTTGGATGCCCGTAACATAGAGTAGTATCTGCAAATGCATAGTGTATCCGGGGAGGCGCAAAGGCGTTTGGATTTGGCACGGCAAAACAGGATTTAGGGGGGACATACCACATTAGTTTGCGACCGTTGGTGTACGTATATATATAGTAAATCAGGTCTTTCCGACGTTCATTCTTATATAGCATTTCTGCTAGGTTATCCTTCGCCATCCGAACATAGGAGGTGCTCGCGTGCCACCAAGACGTACTTCACAGATCACCAAGTTGGGAAGTTGCATGTGTGTGAACCATGGAGGAATGGATTAACTTGCTTGTTACTCAAGGGAATTCATTTTACAACTTTCAGTCTATACAATCCCTCGCCATTTAGCAAAGGGGAGGCCTTGCGCCCCAACAATCTCCCAGCAGGGTGTGTGCCTGCTATCCGATCAGAAAACTCCGGTCGCCAGTCTTCCTCGCAACATTCTTTTGCTCCCTTCCCGTCGTCCCCATTACCACCACATCGCTCACACACACCTCGTCCCCTTGACTCTTCTACCAAGCTCGTCTCCTTTACCACGCGAAAGCCAATCCAAGCGCCGAAACCAGCGAGGTGGACCAGATGACCCAGCCCCACTTGATGATGTCGGGCTTGGAGAAGCCGAGGGCGAAGTCGTAGGTGAGATGGCGAATGCCGTTGAAGAAGTGGAAGGTGAAGGGCCAGGCGACGAGGAACTTGAGACCGGCCTTGGCAGCGACGGGGAGGGCGCCGACGGCGGAGATGAGCGACGCTGACTCGATGTGCCAGCCGAGCAGGGGGGCAACGAGGTAGGTGCCGAAGTAGACGTAGAAGGCGGCGGAGAGGGTACCGCCGGTGATACGGGTCCAGATGGAGGCGCCGAACCAGGTCTGCTCGAGCTTGTAGATGGTCAAATGCGGCGAGATGGGACGGCTGAGGCGCTGCTTGGCGAGAATCTCATTGCCATCGGCGACAGACACCTTGGTGGTTGCGACGGGGCTAGTGTGGACATGCAAAGGTTAGAAACCAAAGCTTCAACAAATCTCGAATCCTTTGAGAGATTCGGAGGTTCGGAACTGAGGGAATTGGCGAAGCATGTGCCAATTGACTTGGGGAGGAAGAGGGGAGCAATTACGTACCGAATCTGGGTCGTGGACATGTTGGAGGCCGCGACGACCTTGGGGATCTGGCTGTTGAAGAATACGGAGGGCTTTCCTGCCGCTGTGTGCGTTCGTTCCTCCAGCGTCAGCGACGGTGCACTTTTCTTCACGCAGGGTTTAGACCAATGATGTAGACGAACCTCGGCGCAGGGCCGACACGCCCACCCGCTGCGCAATCATGTTGGATAGGTTTCTTTGTGTTTCGAAAAAAAGCTGTAGAGCCAGCAGTGATTGATTCGGGGGGTTCTTCGCGTCGGAAGGGCGTGTTCTTCGAGGGGGTCGTTCGTTCGGTGCGGGCTCGGCGGCTCTGCAGGGCGGAATTTGAGGGTGTTGATGTCAAGCTTTCCCAATTCACCAAAGGAACAATTGGGAACCCGACCTGCACGGGAATCCCCTCGGCTTTTCGGTTGCCATCGGCCAATCAACGTAAAGCACTTCCTAAGCTTCTCTATCCACGTGACCCGCGTGGTCGGAAAGCTCCAATGAACCGTTATTAGCTAAGCTGAGCACACCGCACGGACCATGCACGAAAAAAATCTCGCCCAACCTCAAAACCAGCGCTGCCTTCCTGGCTTCTTTTCCCTTTCTTCTTCTTTTCCTTCCTCAGATAGTCATGGCCACTCGCCGCAGCATAACTATGGGAGACCTTCTTCTTTGAAGGAGGCGACCTGATGAAAGGCGCTGCTGGTAAACCTTTGGGTTCTTGGGTGGCCAGAGAGTAATTCTGGGAATGGATCCTTCGTTGATCTCGGGTTCTAGTGTCCTCCGTCTGGAAGCCGTTTCATTTATAGGTATCTACATCTTTTCGCCTAAACTTGTGATTTGTATCGAAATCTTTTGTAAACCTGCATATGAGCAAAAGCTTGCATGCTTGCTTGTTTCCTAGTGGCAGACTCGTCCATTCGAGCTACGGCTGTCAAGAAGCGGTGGTGACAATGGGGGTGCAAGTTAGCCAGTTTCTACACTACGATTGTGCACCCTGCTTGATCCTCAGTCTTGAGACTCTTGCCGCCTGCATTCTGTGGATAGAGATTGCGTTCTTGGGATGCTACCGGTCCAGCCAGGGTAAACCATTATCCACGGCGTCGAGGGAAGGCTTGTCCTGCGGTAATTAAAGGCCTACTACGTAAATGAAGTAGGTCCCTTGGGATGTATGATTCTCCGAAAAGACTGCGTCAACGATGCTCCAACTTTGCTCGACAGGATCTGTCATTTGCTTTTTGTCTCCAGCAGCCGGGAAGGGTTGATGAGGGAAGGCCTTGCTTAAGAAAGTCCGATTCCTTCCAGAGGATGACTGTGAAAAAGCCGCTGCAGAAGCCATAATATTCAAGTCAGCGACCACAGGTCACTCTGTTGAGAAAAATTTAGAAAGATTTCAAAAAGTAACTGGATGCCAATCGCGGACGGGAATTGAGCCCGACGTGGGGGTCGAACCCACAACCTTGAGATTAAGAGTCTCACGCTCTACCGATTGAGCTAGCCGGGCGACTGTACCCAGCTAATTTGTTGGAGTGCACTGCAAATTCCAGACTCATGTAGCGTAAACATCTCATTTCCACCCACCCAACGAGACCTTTCCTTGGTCCTTTCTTTTTGGCCAGCTCGCACGTACTTCATTCAACCGCTCGCTCTTTGGTACGCATGACCTGTTCAAGGAACTAGGGAGCTGCTATTGGCGTTCTTGAAACGAAACCATCAAGCCTGAAATGATGTTACCAAGGCTGCGTTCAATAAACTCCAGTCCTCGTCTCATTATGAGCAATAGTAGGGCACTGGCTGTAAAGTAACAAGAAAGACTGGCCAATTTTTAAAAAGATGCAATCCATCGTTACATTATTTGCTTTTCTCGAATTTTGCGCAACCGTGCACAATAATAACTAGAACACGTCGTAACTGACTGATGCATTCAGCATCTCGCAAACGCCTCCTGATCTAATGCAAAGTGGTATGCCGTAACCTCCAAACTTCCTGATCATACAGTTCGATCCACGCGAATTGCTTCTCTCCATGGTTCTCAAAACTTTTGACCTCAAAAGAAAACTCCTACATGTACCGCAACGATAACCAGACGCCAATGCCATCCATAGTCTCACCAAGTAAAATACTTCGGGTAGTTGGAAGGATAAGAATATAGAGCCCGCGGAGGAGGCGGGGGTGGAGCAGGACGCAAATCCTAATCGCCGTCAAGCAAGGCGTCCATGCCATTGCGCTCACTCTCTAGGCTTTCAGCCGTGATCGGTCCATCAAACACCTCCGGCTTCTTCTCGTCATCCTGATTAGTCAGGTCGTCGAACATCTTGTTTACAGCCACCTCCTCCTCTCGAGAGCGGGGTGCATCGTCTCGCTCATTGAGCATGCCAACGTCGCCTTTGAAGACGTCCGCGCCGAACATCTCCACGGCGCGTTTGCGACCAACCTCTGTGCGGCGAAGGATCTCGAGGGCCTTACTCTTCCCAGCCTCCGTGTGAAGATTCAGCCCATCCTCCTGGCCTTGTAGCAGACGCTCTTCAAGAGATATCGATACGTTGTCGCCGACGAGCTGCGGGCCACGTGAGCCGAAGAGACCAGGGTGAAGCGTTGGGCCACTATCGATGTCCATAGGGTCGTCCTTGCTGCCGATAGATGGGTGTTGTGCGTGGCCGTGGGACGTGCCAGGAGGCGTTGCAGACGAGTGCTCCGACTTCCGGCTGTATCCTCCTCCAAGTGCACCCGGAGGTACAGTTGCACCAGAAGAAGACGCCGCGGCCGCGGCCGCGGCTGCTGCAGCGGCTGCCTCGGCATTCTGAGCTTTCCGCTTCAAACTCGCGGCCTTGGCCTTCATGTTCTCTGGAAGGTCTTCGGGATCGTCCACACCAAACTGTGCCAAGAGTTTCTGCAGCTTAGTCGGGCGCGGCTTGCGAGTGCTCTTGGAAACCTCCAACACGGGAGGCGGGTTTGGTGCGACGGGGCACCACTTGTGAAGTTCTTGCCTGAAAAAGTTTGTCTCGTAAGCGAGCAAGATTTCTGCGCCCTCGATTTTGCGAAGATAGAACCGTTGGGTATCCGCCTCGCTTTCAGTAGAGACAACTGGGTTACAGTACCCGGCAATGTGGTTTCGGAATTCTTGGGCATTGTCAATGATCCTTTGAAGAACCTCCTCTTCTTCGGGTTGGAAAGGCAGGCCTGGAATCTTGTCGGACCAAGCAATAAGCTCTTCAAGCTTAGGGCGGGCGGCATCTCTCGGGATCTTGACGCGCCAGTCACAAATGGGGCAAGTATACTTGTCTTCGTCCTTGACTTTGCCACGGGCAATCTTTAGGCACTTGCCGTGGTACCTTGACATAGTTAGCAATGATACTCATTCTGCAGTGTTATGAGACGTACCATTCGTGACAAAGCTCGCACTCGATCATCATGCCAGCTTCCACTTTTCGGCAGATGCAGAATACCTCACGGAACCGAGGGTCTTCCCATCGGTGTACTTTACCATCAGGACTGGCTTCTCTGGACGCAGGTTCGGCAGGCATGCGGGGCTTGTCATTGACGATGTCAAAACAATCTTGGTTGCGCTCAAAGACATAGTCCATGTGACTCTTGAGAATGTGAAGTGGTGCATTGGTCTTGCCGAACAACTTCTTGCCTTCTCGCATCCAGTCCTCGTGTCGCTTTTGCTCGCGTTCAAGGTCAAGCGTGCCATTGGGCTTCGAGTTCAAGTCATCCAGCTTACGCATGATCTCGGCTACCTCAGCGTACTTGGGTCGCTTGCGAATCTCGGGATCCCGTGATCGTTCGGTCAAGTCGACAATTTGGCGGTGTGCCTCTCGTTGCTTGTGGAGGATTTGGTCAACAGCAGCTAGAGTTTCAGCGGACACTGGCAGGAAATTTGCAGTGACCTGCATGGACAAGGCCTCAAGCTGAGGGTAGTGAACAATCTCCGCGATGATCAACTCCCTGGCTTTCTTTTCCCACTGTTGTCCCGCATTCATTTGATCAATGTAATAGGCCAAGTGGTCGTTGTATGGTGGAATATCCAGGCGCTTGCCCTCCTCGATGAGCTCACGAACTTCGTTCAGAGACAAGAGAACGCCTCTGTTGTTCCTGGCCTTTTCGTTCCACCGGAGCTGCTCCAGAACTCGCGAGAGGCGATCGACTTCCGGCATATCGACGTTGAAAGTCCTGCCTTCCTCAAGTAGGTCTTCGATGTCTGAGAGTTCGGCGAGGTGGATCTGTTCCAGTGCTTTAGCTGCATTCTTCTGGAAGGCCTCGATAGCCTCAGCCCGCTCCCTCAGCTGGGTAATCTCCGGGCAGTCAAATCCTATCTGCTCCGCCTCACTGAGCAAGCGATACACATTGGAAACATTTCGCGCATCTCTTTCTTTCTGGTCCAGCGAGTTTTTTCGGTTGAGAATGGACTTTTCGCTCTTGCGCCTGTTTTGCTGCTTCCGGACCGTGTAGTTGGTGGCCTCATCCACCCAATCATTGCATCGTTCGACGAATTCCCGAAGCAAAGGGAGCGAGGGCAGGTCATGGGGTATTTTCTCACCCTCGTGTAGAAGATTCCGTAGAGTCTTAAGAGAAGGAGTCGCCTCCTCTTCCAGAAGTTTCTCGTACTTCTCTTCCCAGGCTTCTGGTGTGCGTGCCTTTTCGAGGACCTTTTCGTAGGTCGCATCGATGTCCTCTTCCGACTGCCTGTAGATGACAGCATGCTTGTCTCCGTTGAAACGTTGCTGCTCGGGCATGTCACAGCATGGCTGGTGGCCAGCATGAGCAAGGCACAGGACCTTGCCCGACTTGAGACACTTGAACCTAGAGAGGTACGTGAAAGCCTTGCAGTATGAGCATTGGTACTCTTCCTCGGGCACATCCGTATCATCAATTTCGAACTTCAAGGGGCAAGAACTTTCCTCCTTGCCAGCAAGAGCGCAGTTGTGATGCTGCGACTCGAGATGCTTCGCCACAAAATCGGCTCGGTTTGCCATCTCTCTCTTTTTGATTCGGTCGAGTGCAGGTGCTAGCCATTTAGCGGTATGAATGTTGAGGCCGCCATTAGTCGTGCCCTCAGCAGCAGTCCACAGAAGTTCGTCGTGAGAGAAACAAGGCTGTCTCCGGAACACTTGGAGTCTCTCGACTCCGGCAAGACCAAACGGCTCCCAATCAGACGGGGCGAAGTTCACGGCCTCGTTGAAGTTGAATCCGTGATTAAAGCCTGCATGGTAGGCCTGGGGGAAGGTAATGACGAACTGTCCTGCGCGCTGGTCCAAAGCGTACACACGAACGCCAGCCTTCTTTAGCTGCTCAGGAGTGAGGAGGGTAACCAGTTGGAAAAGTAAATCAGGCTGGGTCTCGAAGAGTTCAGGGACAGCCTCTCGCATGGCAGCCTCAAACTTCTCGGCGTCTTCGCCAGGAATTCCATACCATGTCTTGGTTGCGCCAAAGTGTTGATAATTGGCCGAGTACGCGTAGTGGTCTTCGTTGTGCCAGCAAAATGTGGAAAAGATCATGCCAACATATACCCACGGCACCGTCATACCAGAAATATCCGATTTGATGTGTCTGAACAAACTTTCGGGATGGAGCGGCAAGAGGTTGAGGTTCCAAGGATCAGTCGAATATGGGTTGTTGGGATGCTTCTCGACAGTAGGGAATCCAGAGCCGTGAGTAGTGCAGTGAATATCGGCGCCATACTCGACTTCCACAGTCTCCTCGATATCAGCAACGAGGCGCCAAAACTCAGTCTCAACATCCTCTTCTGTGACGGGCCGATGGCAGTTGAGAACAGGGTCGAAAGGCATCTTCTTCTCGAAGTACCCCTGCTTGAAGTCCGCAGCCTTCTGCTGGAACTGCTTCAGAGAGTACAGGCCACCCTCTTCAAACCCATATTGGCCGTCTCCAACCAGGCATCTTGGACAGTTCCACTCCGATTCAGGCTTGTGCTTTAGAGGAGGATCAAGGCACGTGCCATGGTAGGCATGGTCGCATGATTCGCAGACAATCAAGGAACCGCCCTCATCTGCTTTGCCGCATTGCTCACATTTCTGCTTTATATTAACACATTGAAGCAATAGTTGGAATGATTGATCAAAGCTCACCTCTCCAGGGGCTGAAGTCTCATCTCTGGGAATCCTAGGCACCGAAGGTCGGAACAGGGACATGTGAGATCCGGCCACGGTAGGGACGGTATCTATAATAAAATGCATTAGCACTGAGTGAGCGACCAATCACGCAGCACCAGAATGGATAAAAAAAATCAATCGGGTTCCTCAGTTGGCAAGAGGTGTCACAAGACAGGACAAAGCCCCTGCAAATTCTCTGCAGTCATGGGGGCCTGACTGCATTTGGGGCCCGCCGCAATGGAGGAAGACAGTTGGCAGCGCAGATGCTGACATGGGACGACTGCCGATCTGTTCTTGTGCAGAAATGAGGGGAAGTCACTCACCTTTCTTCAGTCTTTTGCTCCGCCTGCTTCCACTGTCTGCATCATCTTTGTCTGTGTTGGTATCCTTCTTAGCGGAGTCAAGGCTATCACAGCTCATCTGACGCTTCAATGCTGCAGGACCTAGGCTTGAGGGCCTGTATTCTGGTGTGTTTTTTGCAGAGTTCAAAGGGCTGAAAGACTTTTGCGGCGTGCTTGTTGCATCATTTTGAGGGCCGGGTCGGTTAACACTTGTGAATCCTGAGTTAACGGGAGTGAAGCCGCCAGAATTGATCGCTCTAAATCCCGAAGTGACAGGCGTTGGCGCTGGTGCAGGCGTTGGTGGCGCATCTGCCATAGGAGTGTCACGGTCGGCTTCTTTCTTAAGCCCATTGATGCTGGCTTGAAGTGCGTCTGATGCATGGCGTGCAGGCGAATCCGCTCGGGCGCTGGAGGGAGTGTTGACAGTGGACCGCTTCATAGGCGTCACAGCAGGACTTGGTGTGTAAGGGCCGCCATTCTCGTACTCTAATTGTTGGTGTACTCCAGGCTTGGCGAGCCGGAGATACTCCTCGTACGGGCAAAGCCATCTCTGATATGAGTTTTTAAGTGAGGTGGACAGGGACGACATAATTTTGCCACTGTATCCCAGATCACGGCCGATCTCAGCCCACTTCTTCAGCTTGCAGACCTTATCGAAGCCGCCGCGGGCCTCGACCGCCTTTTTGAGTCTGTACAGGTCGAGAGGCTTCTTGTCAACGTATGGCAGGCGATGCAGGTTGTTTCCCTGCTGCCTGTGAAACTTGGCAAGCGCGTCGAGATAGGAGATATTTGCACGCGTGCCTGCTACTGTTAGTCTCACCCTGTGGCAAGAGCCGCGCACCATGACTTACTGCCTTCGACCGAATTCAGCTCCTGTTTTCGAGTCCTGAAGTGGAATCTCTGTAAACCTCCCAATTAGCACAGGTTCCTTATTTCCAAAGCCAGGTCTGCCGTTTCCCCGCGCGACTACACAAAACTACCGCAGAAGAGACCCCCATTCATACACAACACTATATCTCACCTCGGTATCAATAGCAAAGTCCGGGTTCCACGAATCAGGTGGAATGATCTTGCATAGTCCATAGTTCTGCGCCTCGGGAGAGATCTTTTTGATGTATTCCATAGGATCCTTCCATTCCTCCTCGGTCGGACAGTATGTTGGCGCATCCTCGAGTCCATGGGGACGGGCCTTCTTCTTGACGGGTTCCTTGATTGCGGTTGGCTGGCCTCGTCGCTCAACCGAGGTCAGGTCTAGTGGCGCGTTTCGCATAGAACTAAGAGGAACCTGAGGGTTTGTCGGGTGGTAGCCGTTGGAGTTCACCTGAGCGGCCTTGGACTTGGCTGAAGCCGTAGTCGAGGAGCCGACGGCAGGAGACCCTCGCGAGCTCGCATTCGCGCTACCGGTGCCGTTGGCGGCAGCAGTGCCGCCTGTCGTAGGGGCAGACACCATTGTGGTGGCGCAAGGGAGGTAGCCGAGAGGCCTGGTCAACAGGCGCAATGGCGAATGATCGAATTAAAGATTATCGAGGATTTTTTGGTGATGTCGTGGGTCAGAAGTATTCGGAAGGGCGGAGGCTGCCGTCGGAGACCATGCGAGCGGATGGGGATCGGTAGGTTATGGAGATTGTCGCATCACAGGCCCAACAGGCGCTTGATCGTTTGGGTCGGAGAAGTTGAAGGAGCCGAGCGACGTCAAATTTCAGAAACCGCCACTGGAGTGCATATCACAAAATGTGGCAAGGGAAGAATGGGCCTGGGTTAGAAGAGCGACAAAGGTCAGATATATGGTACAGCCGTAAAAGCTTAAAGGACATGGGTTGAAAAGGTACCAGCAACCCGAGGAGGATGCACGAGACAGGAATAACTCACTGGGTATGGATCTCGCTCAGGTCGAGCATGCAGTATGCACGGTTCGAGTATGATGAGCGAATGTGTCGTACACCTTTAAAATGACCGGAATATGGTGGAGGGCCGAGTCATGGGGGGATATGTATGTGTAATGTGTGCGAAGGAGGAAAACCGGGGAGAAGAGGAAAGCAAATGGAATGGAAGTGTGGATAAGGTAAGGGAAGGGAAGGAGGAAAGGTGCAGGTGTGGATAGAGGCCGGGTGCACCAGGCGGATGAGGAAGAGGAAGGTGTGGATAGGCGAGGCCAGGTGAGGCAAGGCGAGAGAGCACGGGCGAGGGAGGAAAGGGAAGGCAAGGGACGTTCGGGGGGAGAGACGGGGCACGGCAGTGAAAGAGAGAGCAATGAATGTGTGGGAATGGGCGGAGGTGGGCATACACATGAGCAGGTGCAAGAAGGAATGGAGTTCTTTCCTCATGCCGGAAACCAGAGAAGGTAGGTCCTGCCAAGGGTACCTGATTCACACTCGCAGGAAAGGAAGGAACACCAACCGTCTACGGGGCAGGCGTGAGGGCGAGAATGAGCGGAACGGAAGGGACAGCTCACGTCTGTCGGTGCAAAATCCCACTACAAGTGGGTCCGCACTGGACGTCAGGTCACCATCGGTAAGTATTGGGTACTTCCACCATGACGTTCCCAGTCTTTTTTCCTCTCCTCCCTCCCCCAAAAACAAAAGAAGGCCCCCCCATGGCCCCCCCCCCCCAAAAAAAAAAACAAAGCATCGTCTAGCAAGGTCTAAATGCTATGTGCAGTGCTGCAATAAATTTGTGTGCCTGGAACCCCTCAAATATATGCTGGGCTATGCTTGCAAATATCTCGGCCAAGCAGTTGTGTATTCAATTACCAGAGGAGACAAGAAGGGCCAATTGAAAGGGTCATGCACCAAAGGGAGCCGTAAATTAGCCCAGTTAGTGTGTCTGCACCAAATTATTGGCATTTCCCTCCCAGTTCCCTTACCAAATTAACCCTGGCGTCATTCGGCCATTCCTGGCCTCGGGTACATCAAACACCCGATCAGCGTAGGTACCCAGGTACTTCGGCGCCGAAAGCTGACATCTGAGTTGGTCGATGTGCGACATCAGACACACAAACACAGGGCCAACGACGTCGCAGCGGAGGTTCCATGAATCGTTTTCAGCGCACGGTCGCAAAGCTGCAGCACTAATTCTCAATCTGGTGTTTGGTGGGATACGCTTGATAAACACGGTCAATTCTCGGATACCTCATGGTCCATTGCTGATCCCCCGACGCTGTTTTAGCCATTGGCGGAGCCAGCAAGTGCGCCTCGCGAAGGTGACGTTAAGGTGATCATCGCGGCAGTCATGCTGGCAATGCCGTCCGGAATCAATTGCTGCCAGTCGCTGCAAAGTCGTAATTGGGCTTATTATCGCGAATGGATTTCGAGAGACGGCTTTCGGTGAGAGACTACTAAGTAAGTGCTTCCAGGGAATTCCGTACCGGCTGTCTTCGGGTCGTATTGATATTGGAGATGGCAAAGCATAGCCGTAGTGTCTCCTCCCCATCTCATTACGGTCACAGTAACAACAATGCTTGTGGGGTCGACACTGGCCTGGCCAGGCTCCCACAGGTGCCACGGACCATGCTCCTGCAGGGAAAAAACTGCAGCGAAAAAAAAAAACAACTGAACATCTGATATCTTCCACTGACTCGACAGGGGTGGATCACTACCAATCGTTTAGCGAGCCAATCAAAGTCGGATGACGTTGGAGAAACATGCCTAGCGTCCCAGATCGGTCCAAGGTCGAGGATAAGCCCTGTTTGCGGGGGCGGGCAAACTCAACTTTGCAGTCTGCACTTCATCTCTCCCTCCTGGGCCTTCGATTGGGCCGGCTTAGTCATCGGTCAAGAAATTCGCATTTTGATATCAGGTTCTTGCCAGGCGATATTGCTTCCCTTCAACGTGTTTGACAGACTTAACATGATCCCAGTTGCAAAGAAATACATATTGTGATTTTTTATTTCTCAATCGCAATGGCGTTTCGCATCCTATTCTGCTTAAGTGACAAGAAGCAAGGTATCAAACTTTTCCTACTTAAAGCGTAAGGTTTGGCAGCTGCCAGCAACGGATGTTGTTACTCTCAACCAGTCAGTTCACATAAACTCGGCATCTTTATACTAATCAAAGAATAAACTCTCAATCATAAACAAAATTGGATCGTTTGGCTGAGCTTTGTTCTTATGGGACTCGCGTCAGTAGAAAGTAGGGGCTCCGTCTAACGTCTTGAGCTGCGTCGAAAATAGTGCCTCTGATTATGGGATGTTATGCTCGTCCAGGATAACTAATGCATCTTTTCAGAACTCCACTAGCAACTGGCAGCTGTTTAGTAGCATTGTTACGCGACGACATCACCGGAGAGGGGAGCTTGCATTCATCTCACCGGACATGCACTCCCATCACGTTGGATTGCAAGCAAATGACCATGTTCCCGTGGTGCAACAACCCATGAAGAGCAAATAACCGCTGCCTCCCTTTGAAACCCCTGGACAACTAACGCTTGAAAAAGGTACTTGGTCATAAAGATGGTGACGAGACACTACGTTTCGGCCAAGTTTCTCCGTTGACCTGATGAAGACCCTTCACGCACTTGGGAAAGTTTGCAAATCAGCTGTCAGGACTAGTGAAATGATCTTTGAAGTTTTTTTGGGTATATTTTCAGTCAGAAGTCACAGAGGGATTATATGGATCAACCGAATGGCCAGTGGTAAGTTGCTGGAGCCAGCGAGCGAGCGGATGATGACTTCTCAGATTCGTCTTTCTATCAATATTCGAAACAGGATAGTATGCTTTGTGGGTGCTTGATCCCTTAAAATCGAGTCGTGCAATGCATAAGCCGACAGGGAATTCAAAGCAGAAACGTTACCTTCCCGTCTCCAATGACTTCTTGGAGTCCGGCCAGCGCTGGTTCTGGCCATGGCGCACCGCGAGAAACTGGGTGGAGGGTTTCATTTCTGATTTGGTGTTTATCATATGGGGCTGCCTGCTATAGGTTCATCGGGCATAGATTGTATCCACGAGGGTATCACCAATGTTCTCGATTGGAATATGTCGCCTGAATCTCTATTGAATGACGGTAATACAAAAAATAATCCTCACACGATTGTCATGGCCGTCTTTTAAAGCCACGTCACGTATTGAGCGCCATATATCGGCGCGCAATGATGGATATGAGGATGTTGATTTCTGCTCTTGATTCATATTCAGTTGCTGTCTTGTTCATGGCCTCGGAGCAGCGACCATTCTCACAAGACTGGCAGTTATCTGGCTTGATGAAACACAGAGCAAATAGGGTACCTGCGTGAACAGATATTCTCCTGTTTTGAAGTAAGCGTCAATAAAGGCATTTAGTTTGCCCGAAATGCTATACAGAAAGCTTTCGTTCTTAATTTACTTGTTTACCCCGTTGATTACACCAGGTTTATTTAACCTCACGACAATTACCTAAGTCAACAACCAAAGTCTGCCGAGGTCAGTCGCGAAGCATCAAAGATAGACCACAAGGATGAAATAGCGCATTGATTGAGTGGTTCAGGATGGAAAACTGCGAAAGAACATGTAAGGCCGCACCATGCTTTCCAGGTTCCATATATCTTATTGGACCCGGGTAAGCAGACTGATTGTGCTCTGTCGAAAGTATACAAGCCAGGGTCCATCTCCATAAGTTGCGCAGTCGGCATTTCTCTCAGCTATTTGGTGAAGCTCGGGTATAGTCAGCGTCAAACATCGCTCGAGAGTATATCTGACCGAAGCGCTCACCGGCAACCCAGGAGACTCATGTTGACATACGGGATCCTACTCTGGGCCAACGTGTAAGTGAACAGACGGGCTCGTCATAGCATCTGTAGAAACTGCTTAGGGTATTCCTATACCTTCTCTAACGCGATAAACTCCGAGCTGAACGAATATAAATGACGATATGTTCTACATTTTCAACTAGCTTCTTCCCAATTGTAAGCCCCTCAAGGCTAATCTTGAGAGAGCCATGCCATAGTCTTGCTCTTGAAGATTCGGCACGCTCCAGCCACTTCCTCAGTTCATTGCATCGTTCGCGGCCACTCAACTTCAACTCCACTGACTATGTCTACGACACCCAAAAACGATTCGCAGATTCCAGGTAGTACATCCACCCATTATGACACGTCTCTAACAGCAACACCGCCGTGCAAGACCATCGACCGAGTGCCTCTAATTGCCGTGTAATACCACACGTCTAACACCTCGGCCTGTCGAAATTGATGTCCGCGATCAGTTTACACCCCTGAACAGAAGCACTAGCCAGACATGAACCTAGCTGTCCGTCTTTCTTCGTAATCTGACCTGATGCTGGCGGGGAAGCCGAATAATGAGCCCACCTTCGGAGATATTTGACATGCCCTTGAGGTGAAAACGGCCAGCTTCCGGCCCAGCGCCGTAAGCCTTGTTGAATGACCGAATTCTACAGACGTGAATACCCGAAAGCGCTCATATTTGGCTGCCATGCACAATCAAAGAGGGCCACGAGGGAGAGGGTAAGGTCTACTTTGAAGGCCATCGTGATGCGAGGTTGCTTCCGCAAGGCACTACGGCGCGGGGTCGAGTGTTCTGAGACATGACAAAAATCACTCAACTGCAAATGGTATAACGGACTTGAAGGAGATGTATAACGCAGAATTTGTTATTCGACCATACGGTCAAAATGATTTCTATTTGTAAACTATACTGTCACTTGCATTCCAGGCTAGCAGTAGTGCTGCCAACGTTTGCGGCATTAGCCCTAGGCTTATCGCGCGGGCTTTCAGGCAAGGGCGCACGAGCTTGACGTTGTAGATCCCCGAACTGTCCCTGATGCCAAGCTTAAATCATCCAGAGGCGGACATGGTAATAAGGGCACTTGTCAACTAAGTATTTCAAATAACTTACACATCGGCAGAAACGGCTGCTGGATGCCTGGTGTATTGTTGTTTGGCAAGGCTACATAAACCTGTTCGTGATTCCCACACCTCCATCTAGGGGAGGTGGGTTTTTGGGTATGAATCTAAGATCGATAGGGTTACCTAACAATCGAGTATATCAACTCAAGAACAGTCCAGCAAAGACGATCAATCAGGGTTTGTAGCAGCTTTGACTTGGTCAACAAGCAGAAACGGCAAAGTAGCAAAACTTAGTACCGAATGCGCAAAAGGAGGTAATCGTGTGGGCATATATGGGCATTGAAAAGCGAAAAATGGGATTCCCATCAACGCCGCATGCGATCGTCATACCAATTTTCTGGTCTGCGAACACCTACCAAGCTCTTCCTGGTTCCATGGTGAGCCCGAGGAGTTGTCATGACATTTCGATTCATGAATGGGCAAACTGACTCATACAGCCAGAATGAAAACCAAGATCTTTCGAGGCTCGACGTCAGAGCTTGGTTTCTCAGGGTCCACACAAGCCTTACTCAGTTCTTCGCTCGCCTCCTTTTCTCCTTGAGGAGGGTCTCAATCTCTTTGGTGCCCCTCTCTCGCAATGTCAGCTCTTTCATCATATCGACCCACCGCACATCGCCCCCACATCGGGGACAGCGACCGTGAATAGGGACGACAGCTTGCCGCTCGCCTTCGTGGTGGAGAAAATGACGGCTCCAGCAAGCCAGATGACCGACACCTTCACAGCCCGTGTTGGGACATACAGCATGCAGGCTCTTGCCAGGGTTTATTTCTTTCTGGCAAACAACGCAACTTCCCTCCCGCTCGAAGGCCTTGATAGACTGACCCTTTTCCACATACTCTTTCACTGAAGTGTAGTCCACGGGTAAAGCATGGATGCCCCAGGGTGCGGCGACGTCAGCTAGACGTGCAGCAGGGTCGGGGCCAAAGTCGGTGAGGATAGGGAGCGTTTCGCGGAGGGGTTCAGTCGAAGTGGCAGTGATGGACTTCCAGGCGGAATGCACATCAGGCGCAAAGAAGTGCAGCTTTAGCGGCCACCGACAGAAGCTGGGGACACTTAGCAAAAGCTGCAGATTGGAGAGAATCGAGTTCAAGCTCGCGCGGGGTCGGCGGGGATGGCCGTTCTTCTTAACTCCGGCCGAAACAGTGATTCGCGACGCGGAAGGTATGTGTAATGAGAGATGCGGGTTGGTCAGCGCCCACCTGTTTATCTTTTGATTAGTATGAGCACAGGCAAAGGAGCCAAAGGTATATCTGAATTATAGCGAGAGGGGGAAAAGAGAGAGAGAGAGGGAAACAAAGAGCAAGCTAGGGGTAGCTCGGTGAAGTTTCATCCGAAGGTGGAAGAAGCACACGATAAGCAGCAGTAAGGTCCGAGACGAACGGCAAGGTTGGGGGATGGCTCCAGGGAGAGGAGGGGAAAGCATACTCGAATTTCAAAGCAGCGATACTGCCCGGGAAGCCAGAGACGAGACCGACCATTTCCCAAGGCCTCAAGCTCAGACGAGAGGTACGAGCAGCGCCGCCACGAGCCTCGCCATTGTGCTGCTTCAGACGGCGAGGGGGATTGGGAGTCGAGCCGATGTAGAGCGACGCGTGGCGTACCGTGGAACGGAGGATGTACACCGTGTAGAGGGCGGGGATGGGCTTGGACTTGACGGGCATGACTCAACAGGGGAGAAGGAACGGAGTCAAGACATTGTGCGACGTGTTTTGGAGGGAGAAGGGTGAGTTGTGCCAGTGCCAGTGCCAGTGCCTGTGCTTGTGCCAGTGTTGTGTAGGCTGGCCTAGACTCGGAGGCTGCTTATGGGAGCGTACGTGGACTTGGTTTTGGGCGTGTATCGGCGGGGTCGGGACCAGTGAGAAGGTAATGCAAGCAAGGTGCGCTTGGTGTGTGTAGTACGAGGTGCTAATGCTGGTGTTGGCATCGATTGTGGTGGTGATGATGGTGATGGTGGGTAGTGCTACTGCTCGTGTCGGTTGATTTGGTGGTTTTGGACAGAATGGTAGGTGTTGTTGTTGTTGTTCTTGTTGAGAATGTGCGGGGTCAGGCGAGCTAGTGTGCTCAGCAGAATGATTGGGGAAGAAGGTACGAGTAGGATGAAGCCCGGAACCGGTAACTAGGTGATGGTAAGGTGACGGTGAGCGGTGTGAAAGAAGTTTGCGACTGCAGCTGCCAGCCAAGTGCCAGTTGCAGCAGCACTACAGGGGGAAGCGATGTTGGTGTCGGAGACTCGGGTATGTTGGGATTGGTAAGGTTAGCTAGCAGTAGCTTTCGTTACTTCTGGGAAATGAAATTGAATTGGGGTGTTTTTTTTCCCTTGGTGTCGGTGTTGCACTCGGCCATGGACCGACAAAAATGGATCTAGTCAGGTGGCACCTCTGGAAGCTTGGGGTACAGGAACTGTGCACCGGGTAATGCTGGTATAGGCAGGGAAGGTTTGTGGGGGGTGAGATGAAAATGTGAGTCAAAGGGGAAAGAAAGCGAAATGGGGGGAAACAAGTAAAATTTGGGAGACTTGTCAAGAATTGGGGGGGAGCATTGGCGGTGCTGGCCTTGGAATTATTACTGATGTTTCTTTTACGGAGTATTGGGTTGAAAATAGAACCTTGGTCGGGAGTTGAAAGGAGCTAGTACTTTTCCGGGGGCTGTGGGTGCTTAACCTGCCTGTCCAACACTTAGTAGTAACTTTGGGCAGCGGAATGGAAGGCTGGCAGGGGAGGGAGCTTCCCTTTGGTGCTCTTTGGGCCTTTTTTTTTTTTTTTTTTTTAGTGGCCTTTGCTTGTTTGGTGCACCGGGAAGGAAATGCAAGGGCACCCATCGGAAGGGAAGGAAGGACCACACCCCCCTTGCGCCGCCTTGTTGGCAGGTGCCCGTGGGCTACCATCGTGGTCCGGCTTCGTTCTGCTCCTTCCCCGATTCCCCGCCCCATTCCCCCATGTTTTAATGATTATATTTTAAATTCCCATGTCGCAACATTTCGTCCCGTGATGCGCAAACCTTACCGACACGGGGGTCAGAGACAAGGGAGAGGTTCCAACCAGCACCAGCATCAGCATCAACACTGGCACCAGCACTCGTCAATTGGCACACTACCTGGTAGCACCATCATCTCAATCATCAATCACATGAAGCTCCAAGCCAAACGGAACTTCGCCTGTGATGCCGGTTTCATTCTCCGCGAACCCCTTGCCGTCTGTTGTTAAACATCGCTCAGGAAGACGAAAGGCATACCAGACCATTTGATGGCTTGCCCAATAATCGAATGCCACACACTTTTGGCTCAGATGTCCGAATGAAAGCCCCTCGACACGAATCGAGGCTGGCTTAGCAGGGGGCACGGGACCAGCTGAGGAATCGAGCTGATGATGAATCTAGATCAGATCATGTCGCCCATTATTACCAACCATGGTACCCCAATGCCACGGCCATGTTCACCTGATAGAAACGAGCAATTGATTACCCGTCGGTGTACTGCTTACGCAGCTATGCTTGGCTCCCCTCACCCAAACAAATAACACTGCCTTCCGGCCGCACCGATCAAAAGCCTCCTTTCAACTGAGACGGACTGGTGCTGGCCGACAGGATCGAGCAGCAAGTAGCAAGGGAGACAGAGGACTACATAGTAAATCACCGGGCTACAGCGACGACTCCTTCGTCCCAGTGAGGTCCGGCTGTAGAAGAACGTGGCTGGAACAGCTACCATATTACTGACCTGGCTCGACTGGTGCCTGAGCTGCATCCAGTCGTCCCCAGCGCACATCAATTTGCCTCCTGCCCTACAGAACCATCAAAGCACCACCGTCACCCGCATGCGCCGTTGGGAGAATGATTGGAGCACGGCCGAATTGGTACTTTCGAATTGGCATCCCCCGCTGCGCATCGCTCCGCGGTCGCTGATCAATGAGGTCTGCCATGCTGGCCGCCTTCCGACTCTGGAGTTGGCTGCTAGCTATGTCGCCATTGTTCGCCTCCGACTGCGGCCCCCACGCTTGATTTGCTCCTGGGATTTCCTTGACCGAGTTTGAGACAATCCATGGTGCGGACACCGCTGTGGGCAATCAAGCAATGTTACTGTGGACACACACTAGGGCCTGCAATGCAGATTGTAAGTATAGACGCAGACGCAGCCAAGCAAGGCTACAGTTTCCTAGCTAGCTCACCTGGCTCAACTCTTCCTGCATGCGGCTTGCCGACTATGCGGTAGTGAATGATTGTGGCAGACTGTGGGCGTGAACGGCTTGCGAAATACGATTTGCGGCTTACCACCACAATCGCCCTCCTTTTCGGAGCCTTCCAATGATCAGTCACCTACAGATCACGGAATCAGGCCTGCAGCTGGAATGGCAGTTTTGCAGAGACGAGCCGGAGCCGACGAGAGCACACCACCCTTCTCCACGGGCATTTTTGATGCAGATGCTGCAGCAAATGCAACAGCAGTAAGACTCTGGAATGCACCGAACGCGTCCAGCCCCCGGCACTGTGGGCAACGGATGCAGTCCCGTAGGTCGGTGACAGCGGCATGCCAGCCAACCAGGTCTCCTGATGGGGTCACTCTGTCAACCCGTGGTCACTGATGGTGTCCTCGTGTGCTGGGAAGGCTTGCAAGTTGGATGCAGAGACAGGCGCGTACCTGGAAACAGGGGGAGGGGATCCTTACCATGGAGCTTCTCCAGGTGTGGCTCACCCTTGCAGATCCCAGGGTTCCAAGGATCGTCCGAGCTGATCCAGGTCTTGACCTTCCAACAATAGTTTACCTTCTCCCGTGTTCACGCAACAGTACACTGTGTGTGCCAGTGTTTCCGTCGGCGAGCGAGACGATCTAGACCGCTGCCCACCAACTACTGCCATGGTGTGCATGGCCAAAGACCGATGGGCCACCCTCCATTACACAGTTGGGTTACTAGAACCATGCACGTACCGTGCTATGGGTACCGTTCGACCCGAGCACTAGAAGGATGAGAAGGAGAAAAAAAAACTTTTCTTCTCGTAGTGGAGGCTTTGGGTTTTCTGGATCCGGGTGACTGTTCGTCCACCCAGTCCACTGAAACTATCTATACTGGAGTGAACTCACTTGTCTTGCACGACCTTTGGCAGCCGCTGGGTCTGGTGCTGACGCGATGCGATGCCAACTACGTATTACTATTCTGAGCAATGACCAGTACTCGTACCTGTGCTACTCAAGTGCGCCGCCCAGCCGGCACTTACCAGTGCCCGGCAGGTAGCGAGCAGTTGTGCTCACCAGCCCTTTACAAACCATCTGTGGTGTCGATGCTACATCTAAGACACCACCACAGATGATTACGCCCGGTCTCCGGCTTGCGCATCCCGCTGCAATCAGGGAGTCTGGACTCGACTCTGCCCTGTCGGAAGCCACATACATCGGGTGCCAAACCCAATGCTTAAAGCTTGCTAATAGTACTGTGCCTCCAGAGTTCCATGAGATACGAATTTCCCAGAGATTTGCTGATTTGCCCCCCTCCACTACGCCCCCTCCCACACCACACCCACTTACACACCCACCCACACCCACGCCTCCGCCACCCCTGCCGCTGCCCTGCCTCTAGGCCCTTCAGGTACCATGAGAAAGTACCCGGCCGCCCGTTAAAGAAGAAGCGTTGTTCCTCCGACTCAGGACAGTTCGACTTTGCTACTCTACTCAACAACCAAACCCAACTCGATTCAACTCCCACCCTCTTTGACACTCTTAAGTCTTTTCTAATAGACTTGTTTTTGAGGGTTTGTCTAGACAGGATTCCTTTAGATGACGGGAATCTCGTGCTAGGCGTTTCTTCTTTCCAATCGGTTCTGGTATATCTTTGTAATGATCATTATCGACCTGGTTCTTCTCAGACAGCCCCTGCAAGCTGTCACTTGAATATCACGGAAACCGAACCCAAACCATTGTCGTACCGAAACCGAATCTAGACCCGAACGATCCTACTTTTACACACAACATCGAAAAAATGATCCCTAGAGGCCTCGCCGCCCTCGGGACACCGTCCCTGGAGATTGGACAGATCCTGCTCGGAAATGCTAGCAGGTACACTATTCAGAAGAAGATCCGCGAGGGCGTTTGGATTGCTACGTAAGTGAACTGGCTTAGCTCTAAAGGAAGTTCAGGGACTAACGTCCACAGTAACCCTACGGGTGGCAAGTCCATTGTCAAAGGCGTCCAGGGTCTCTCTGGTGCTCAGAACGAACACAACGTCCTCCGCAAGTTCCAGGGCAACCCCTTCCTCCGCCCCGTCATCGACGAGATCCAGCAGGATGCTCCCATGATTGTCCTTCGCCATATGGATGACCACCTGCTCAACGCTACCATCAAGAAGCCTCTGACCAACCGCGAGATTCGCTTCGTCGCCCGCGCAGTCCTGCGTGGACTTTCTACCCTGCACAAGGATGGTTACGTCCATACCGATATCAAACCCGATAACATTCTTGTCAACTACGCTTCCGCCTCCGAGGCCGATCCGGACCTACGCTTCTCTGACGTTCAGATTGGTGACCTTGGCGCTTCGTACTCTGTCGACTCCGACGTTGCCCGTAAAGGTTTTCTGATTGGCGCCCCTATTTGGACGAGCCCGGAGGTGTTGATGGAAGTCCCTTGGGGCACAGCGAGTGATATTTGGGCCTTTGGCTCCATGATGATTGCATTGTTACATGGCGGCGATTACAACCCCTTCCGCCCCACCAACGCTTCCTACCACGATCGTAGCTACATCTTCGAGGTCCTCCGTCAACAGTCCCGCCGCTTCGGCGCCATTCCCCAGACCTATCTCGAGCGTGCCCGCCCAGGCAAGGCGATGGCAGCCAAGGCTCTCACAATAGGGCGCAAGGTCGAGCCCCTCGACTTCCGCACCGCCTCACACTTCATTAATCGCATCATGCGCATGGATGCCGCTGAGCGTCCGTCTGCCGACCAGCTTTTGGAGGAGATGTCTGGTCTGTTTGAGGACTAAGAGCTTCCTCCAAAAATGGAAGCTTTTTTTGATGACGATCACGAATGGCATCCCAGGGGATGTAGAAGATCCAAGAAATGGATCCAGCCAGCGATTTTGTTTACGGTATCAACAAATGATTTACCGACTCTACACAACTATATACGCCAGGGGATGAATACAAGTTTAATGTGGAAGAAAACGGTGACGGCCACCGAATTCCTTTTGTTTGGGGGTCAACGGGGACTATGAGCGAGCTTTTGATTTTTCAGCGGGGAATTATGGAGAGGTTTTTTCTCAAAACACTCTTGGGACATCAATCCGGGTTTTTTTCTGGGTCAACTGGAATATGAAAAAGAAGAAAAGTACAAGGTTTATTTGAAAGCGTTTTGATTCGGGGTAAAACAAAAAGACGGACCCAGGCGGTACTGTACACGGGATAGAGCATAGACATTGTTAGGGAAGGTATAGATAGACTACAAAAACACCAACTGGACGTAAGCCACACACAAAGAGAATGGCGCGATTTCTATATTCAAAGTTTCCCTAGTCTTCTATGGCGGTGATGATTGAAATGTAAAAGAAAAAGCTATAGCTCTGAAGGGGTTTTTGGTGCAACAAACTATGATGTCACAGGATTGGTGCGATCCGTTTCTAGTATTCGCCACTTTGCTCATAATCTTCAACCTCTTCCGCTTGTTAGCTGACTTTGCCATGTTCACTTATGCAGCCTCACTCTGGCTAAATGCCCCCCCCCCCCCCCCCCCCAATTGATCGCCACACATGATGGAATAAGGTAGCACCGGTGTGTTCCAGATCTAGAATGAACATTGTTTCGATTCGCTCGGCTCGGCCGCATTGTCTTTTCAAAAAAAAGATGACCCAAAACGGGAGAGGGAAATACTACAACAACATGAACCACCCAACCCCCAGTTTTATTTCACGGGCCCCCGACATCAAAAAAGTAGCCCCAGCTCGTTCAATGGTATCTATCCATTGGCTTCCCGATGCTAATACGTTCTACAATCCCCCCTCCCCGTGTTCTCTCCGAACGATCTTTTGGCTTTTTTCAGACATGAGCAACATCCAGGTTTGAAATCTACATTTACATATACACCCCCTTTCTCCGCGTGGATCGGTAGATGATCTGTCTCTACAACAGACCCTGCTTCTGCAAATCGTAATACACCTTCTCGGGCATGACGTTGCCCTCTGCGTCTTCCATCTGCACGATGCTGCCCTCGTCGACCTTTGTCTTCTTCGTCTCCCGCTGGATCTTGTCCCACAGGTTGACGGCCTCCTCGATGCTCGTGATATCGCGGAATAGACTCGTGTTGGTGATGCCGAGACACCGCAGGCCGTGGACGTGTCGAGCTTCGTTGAAGTGCTTGTCGAACGCCCTGCGGCCCATGTACACGAAGTTACCGCAAATCTCGCAGGGGAACTCGACGCCGAGGCCGTGGAGACGGTACAGCCAGAAGGGAATGGGCTTGCCGTCCCATGCGAGGGGCAGTTTAAGCGGGTTATAAATCTTCTCCTCGCCATCGTCACCGTCTTCATCCCCGTCCTCGTCGCCGTCTCCCGCGCCGTTGTAGGTGCCGGGGGGCGCTGAGGAGAGGTTCATGAGGTTCTCGAGCTCCTGCTGCCGCTCGCGCTCCGTCATACCCTGCTTGCGCTCCACGTTCACACGCGTGTCGCCGCGTTCCGTGGACATGGCTGCCGCGAGACGCTTCACGCGGTACTCGCGCTCCGCGACTGCCCTCTCTTTCAATCTTGTAGCTGAAACCCTTGCACCGCTGCCGCCGCCGTTTGTCGTGCCGTCGCCCCCGTCCTCTTCTTGTCGTGCTTTTCTCGCCTCAGCCGCCTTGATGTGTTTCCGTCCAGTGAGATGTGACTTGTAGACATTCTCGTTCTTGAACTCCTTCTCGCAGTCGTCGCACCATATAGCGTCCGCCGTGCTCAGTTCCTTACCAGTACTGCCGTTGGATTCCTCCTTCTGCCATCCTGGTACCTCGTCCTTCTCCCAGGCCGTCTCGAAGTCATTATCAAAGCCCAAAAACACCTTGTCGAGGTTCTCCAGGGGTCGCGTCCGCCGCATGAAGGATTCGAGGTATTCCGCCAGCTCGCCGAGGTACTTGAAGTACTGATCCGTCAACTTCTCGTTCCTCTTCAGGCCTCCGTATCCCGGGGCGAAGTTGTCAAACACTTCGAGGTACTGCAGGTAGGATAAACGCTTGACGTTGGGGAGGTTGAGGTAGGACTCGTGGCAGGTGTGCAAGTCGAAGAATCGCCCAAAACCTTCCTCACCCGTGAAGATGCGGTCAACGACGTAGGGCATTAGCTCGCCCTCGGTGGGTTTCTTGACGCGGTATCGCAGCTCCGAGTTCTCGGCCTGCTCGTTGGGGTATTTGGCGTGGTGGTCGCGAACATCCTTCAGCTGGCCGTAGAACTCCTCAAACGGGTCGCCCGTGCCGATGCTCTGAATTTCGCGCGACCGCTGACCGTCTGCATCTTTGTAAATGTCGAGGAGCTTAACGGATTGCGCTTGGATCTGGTCGAGCAGCTGGCTGATCTCGTGGTCGCGGTTGAGGCGGTCGCGGATGTGTTTTGGTTCTTCACTGATGCGGTCTGCGATGCCTTGCTCGAGGCGCTCGAGATCCTCGTGGATGTAGCGCTGTTCTTCGAGAACGCCCACCATCTTCGTTTGTGAAGCTCCGTCGGCGCGTGATGGTGTTGGGAGGGTGATGGGGGTGTGATGGTGGGAAAGGTGTTTGGCGAGGCTTCGGGAAAAATCGAGGTTCGCGCAGCCAGCCTTTCCCTTAGCCGCGTCCGCTGAGTGGTCCACTGAATAAGGTCGCTTCAGCTCCAGTTTTTGGGATGGAAGGACGCTAAGTGCGCTGTGGAATATTCCCTGTGGCGAATCGGCGCTGCTTTTGACAGGTCGGAAGAAGGAATTTTACGCTCCGAGTCAGGACCTAACTGCTCGTCCCGTCACCGCAAACCTGCAAGTAGCCGCGCTGCTTGGTGAAGCTTCGGCGCGCCCCTCTAAAATTTCACGAACTTGTCTCTCACCCACCTGCAAAAAAAACCACCTCCCTCGAGAATCCGTCGCACCGACAAAACACCATCAACCCAAAACCAGTTGAATACCCGATAACAAACAATCAATCATAATGGCGGAAGGTGGTAGCGGAATCGACCGTAAGGCCGACGAGAGGATGGAATTCTCCACCTCCAAAGAAGTCACCGTCCACCCGACCTTCGAGTCCATGTCCCTCAAAGGTAATGAAAATGACAATTGAAGAAAGAATATCTTTTGCAATTGAGCCACGAAAACTGACGCGCAACTCTCCCAGAGAACCTCCTCCGTGGAATCTACGCATACGGTTACGAGTCCCCTTCAGCTGTCCAGTCCCGTGCCATCGTCCAGGTCTGCAAGGGCCGCGATACCATCGCCCAGGCGCAATCCGGCACGGGTAAGACGGCGACCTTCTCCATCAGCATGCTTCAGGTCATCGACACGGCTGTGCGTGAGACCCAGGCTCTCGTTCTCTCCCCGACGCGCGAACTTGCGACCCAGATCCAGTCCGTCGTCATGGCCCTTGGCGACTACATGAACGTCCAGTGCCACGCCTGCATCGGCGGAACCAACGTTGGCGAGGACATCCGCAAGCTCGACTACGGCCAGCACATCGTCTCGGGTACGCCCGGCCGCGTCGCCGACATGATTCGCCGCCGTCACCTGCGCACCCGCCACATCAAGATGCTCGTCCTCGATGAGGCCGACGAACTGCTGAACCGCGGTTTCCGTGAGCAGATTTACGACGTGTACCGCTACCTGCCTCCCGCGACGCAGGTTGTTGTCGTGTCTGCTACGCTGCCGTACGACGTGTTGGACATGACAACCAAGTTCATGACGGACCCCGTGCGCATCCTCGTCAAGCGTGACGAGTTGACCCTCGAGGGTCTGAAGCAGTACTTCATCGCCGTCGAAAAGGAGGACTGGAAGTTCGATACCCTCTGCGATCTCTACGATACCCTGACGATCACGCAGGCCGTCATCTTCTGCAACACGCGCAGAAAGGTCGACTGGCTGACGGACAAGATGCGCGAGGCCAACTTCACCGTCAGCAGCATGCACGGCGACATGCCGCAGAAGGAGCGTGACAGCATTATGCAGGACTTCCGCCAGGGCAACAGCCGTGTTCTCATCTCCACGGACGTCTGGGCGCGTGGTATCGACGTGCAGCAGGTCAGCTTGGTTATTAACTACGATCTGCCGAGCAACCGTGAGAACTACATCCACCGTATCGGTCGTTCCGGCCGTTTCGGACGTAAGGGTGTCGCCATCAACTTCGTCACCAGCGAAGATGTGCGAATTCTTCGCGATATTGAGTGTAAGCTCTTTTTTTTTTTTTTTTTTTTTTGTCTCCGCCGTTACTTTTGATATGCCACAGTACTAACGAAACGGCAGTGTACTACTCTACCCAGATCGACGAGATGCCCATGAACGTGGCCGATCTCATTTCTTAAGCTCACGGATATCCGATACGAGAATGAATCAGGTCCAGTCAAGGGGTACTAGGACCGGCAGGTGAGAGGCAGACGAGAAAGGTCGTCAAGCCGAGAGAAAGCGGAGGAAGGGGGCTCTGTTTGGAAGCAGGTGAGCATTTATACTAATCTCTCCCTGACTCTCGTTCATGCCGCTGACTCTACCTTGTTCACAAGACACTAGACTGTTATTGCAAAAGCGACACGTGTATACGGATGTCATGGGCGACTGATGGACAATTTAAGAAAAAAGAATGTCGTTATTCGTACAACTAGGAACAGCGGCGTCCCGCGCTGAAGGGGTATTTAACTAGCATGATACCCTCCCCTGCCTTCTTTCCCATTCCGTACGCCGTCAATTTGTTGTTACATCGGTAATTTTTCCACACCCCCAGAGGTTCGCTATAACGTCGCACACCCACTTCTCGCACACCCCCACATTTCGCACACCCATAAATCGCTCATGTAGAATTTTACCCTCTTCAACATTCTTTAATATCTTCACCACTTTTACAGCGATTATTATAATTCTTTGAATAGTTACTCTTATACGCTTAATGGGCCAGTATACGGAAACAGAAGTCAATCAAGCTCTCAATGCAGTTGCAAGTGGGCAGAGTGTCCGAAAGGCAGCTCATGATGCTGGAATTCCACCATCAACCCTCCAGTCTCGATTAAAGGGTTCACAGGCAAGAAATGTAGCTTTCTCTAGCTTCCAGAAGCTATCTCCAGCACAGGAAAGTCACTTAGCTGAATGGGTGCGTATCCAGGCGGCGTTAGGGCTGCCGCCAACACATCAACAACTCAAGGAATTTGCCCAGCGAATCCTAGACATCAGAGGCACTACCCAGCCACTTGGGAGAAACTGGATTCAGTTCTTTATTAAGAGAAATCCATCAATCAAGGTTCATAGAGCTAGAGCCATCGATTCTAAGCGTGTCAATGGGGCCTCAACTAATGTAATCAGGCAATGGTTTCAACAACTCGCCCTTCCAGAGATCAAGGCGATCAAACCACATCATCGCTATAACATGGATGAAACTGGTATCCTAGAAGGCAGAGGATCAAATGGCTTAGTACTGGGATCATCAGAAAGCTCATCAATGCGAAAAAAACAGCCTGGGTCTCGGGCTTGGACAACTATGCTTGAGTGTGTCTCTGCAACTGGTCAGGCGCTTCCTCCACTTGTTATTTATCGAGGGAAATCGGTTCAACAACAATGGTTTCCTCTTGATATCCATAAACGTGATATTTACAGTGGTTGGAAGTTCACAGCAACTGAGAATGGCTGGACTTCAGACTCTACAGCTGTGGAATGGCTTGAGAACATCTTTATCCCTCTGACTAAGCCTGATCATCCCTCTGAGCAGAGACTATTGATCCTAGACGGTCATGGCAGTCATGAAACAACAGAATTTATGTATCTCTGTTATAAACACAAGATATATCTCCTTTTCCTACCGCCACATACATCCCACGTTCTCCAACCTCTAGACCAAGCAGTCTTTGGGCCTCTCAAGGCGACCTATCGAAAAGAGCTTGGATACCTCATTCAACACAACGATTCTACAGTTGTAGGCAAACGGAACTTTCTTACCTGCTATGGAAAAGCACGCCAGATGGCATTTTCAAGCAAGAATATCAGAAGCGGCTGGAAAGCAACAGGACTATGGCCCATTTCGATAGCTCGACCGCTCATGAGCCCTCTACTGCTTGAGAATGCTTCCAAGCCCTCAAAGCCAGGCTATTCTACGCCTATGAGGGCCTCTGATGGTGGAAAAGACGAAAACTGGGCATCTGCTACATCCATAGTAGCCTGGTCAACGCCCAAGAAGACAGTTGATCTATATGATCAACTTAGCTTATTCAGCAAGTTGGATAAAGATCAGCAAACGCAGCGACTGTTGTTTCGGAAGGTTCAAAAGGGATTTGATGAAAAGGACTATCAATTGGCTACAGCAGAGAAGAAGATTGCAATGTTGGAAGCAGAAGTTGAGGCTGGAATGGTACGGAAGCGGCGTAAGGTCCAAATGAGCCCAAATTCGAAGTTTGCCAACATTGAGGCAATTCACAAAGCCCAAATTGAGGCTGGCGAAATTGAGGATAGCTCAGATGAATCTAGCGAGCCTGAATTACCTATTAAAACTGGCGATAGTATCACAGTTGCAGGAGACGAATCAGACTTATAGTTATGAAGTTGATGAATACCTCATGATGACCCAATTTATGGGTGTGCGAAATGTGGGGGTGTGCGAGAAGTGGGTGTGCGACGTTACAACTGGCGCTATCCTGCGCCCAAAAACTCCGTTGATACATAAAGGCCGCCCTCGGCCTTTTGAGGTGTCCGCCCACGTTTACACATACTTCACCGCTGGAAGTGCAACCCAAACGCCTTCGTTCTTCATAGTACAAGAAAAATGTAGGTAGTAAATGTGATGAATAAGTGTTTCATAATATCTGACGGCCCGGCACGCGGGAGCCATGGCGATCGACGGACCCATAACGTTCATGTCGGGTCGTCGTAGTCGTCGTCATCGAGCTGGGGGTCCTTAAGTGCATTGGCACTTGTAGTCTCGAACCTCTGGTCCAGCTTGAAAATCTGCCAAATGGCGAAGGAGGCTGGACTTCGGGCAGTCTGAATTCGGAGACCCCGACGCTGCCGCCGCCCGTTTTTTCGGCGAGTTGCGTTGCGCTCGTCGGTGTGGGAGCCTCGAGATGCTCCGTCGACCCCATCTTGACGTCGCCGACGAGACTTGCAAAAGTATCCCTCCACATGCGCGGCCGGTCACGTTTCGTGCCGATAGTGAGCGGGCGCTGGTAGCCTCTGTCCTCGCCTGTTGAGAAATTCTCCTCAAAGTCCTTGCGGCGACGGTCTTCTGCCGCAGCGATGGTGAAGGAGGCTGATGAGGAGGAGGAGGCGCCCGCGGTGGGCTTGAGGCTAGGGAAGATGTGACAGGCGAGGGGCTTCAGGGTCGTCAAGCAGGCGGCAACGATGGCCGCGTTTACTTCGATGACTGTCAGATTTGCGATGCGGACGGCGGACCAGGTTACATCTAGCAACTGCTCCTCTGTCTCATCTGTATGGAAGAGGCGCACTAGACGGACAATGGAAATGGCGCAAACACTGAGGTTGTGTTAGTCTAGGACCCCTTTTACGGCTGGTGTGGTATAAGTAGAGTGGTGATGAGACTTACAGGAAAGCGAAGCAAAAGACAAAGTACAGCCCCAGCTTCTGCCGCATGGGCAGACGCATGCTCGAGATCACAGGCAGTGGCAGCAAGAAGATCAGGAAGTCGGTAGCTAGGTGCAGGCAGGCATTTCCCCAAAAGACGGAGAACGGGTGGCAGTACGGCGGCGGGCTGGTGGGGTTGGTGTCCCACGCCGCGCTCAGGGGGATACAAGTTGTGAGGATGCTGACAATGATCCATGTGTGGGAGAGGATAACGACGCCCAAAAGGATCTTGCCGAGAAGGCGGACAAGCTCATATGTCAGAATGCGGATATAGAGAAGCAAGATGGAGATTTTCGTCAGGGCGAGGGAACAGGAGTAAAGGAGATTTGTGAAGGTGCCTGTTTTGACGTAGAGAGGAAAGGTGGACCAAACGTAGCGAAGGTGTTCACCAAGGCCATAGTTGAGTTCTGTGGTTTGTCAGTATTTTCATGGCATACGCTGACAATTCCATGTCAACAGGAAAGACAAGCTTACGGACGATCATGCCGCCGCAGGTGGCGATGGCAAAGAATAGCGATGCAAGAATGAACCAATCGTCCCACATCAAGGAACGAAGGATACGGGCGCGTGTGTAGAAGCGTAGGCCGACGAAGGTAGTGGCTAGCGTCGCTGAGATGGCAGCGGCAGCAATAACAGAGGCGCCATTCCACTCACTTGGGTCCGGATTCGTGCGGGCAAGCCAGGGTGGGAGGGTTGTGTTGGTTTCTGCTGTTGCGGCGGCGGCTGCGACGTTGAGGTCGGAGCGGAGGACGAGAGCAAGGGAGAGAGCACCGGTGCCCGTGGGCGGCATCTTGGCTAGATTTGACTTTGTTGACGAGTGACGATTACTGGTCAACTTGATGCCATGATAATGATTGCCCTGACCAGAGTTTGTGGCAGTAGATAGCAGGTGGTTGATAAGGGGTTGAGTTGATGGTAGAAATGGATTCAAGATTGAGATTATCCGTCTGGCGGCTACAGGTGTGTCGCTCCGTTTAGGTCGGTCGTCTTGATGTTTTCTCCTGGAAAGACAACAACAACTAGTTCGCCATTATCGTATATTGTGCGTTTCGGTCGTCAGTGATAGGAGGAAACCAACCAGAAGCAGAGATCCAAAAGGACGAGAAAAAGGAAGCAGAACGAAACAGTTGGGGGCCACATGGCGGGTCTATTTCGACCTTATACCGATGAAGCCCCTGGCTCGCTACCAACAGGAGAGCCGGGCAAGGTGGCTGCGATACATCGATAGTCAAGGGGGGAAAAGGTTCGGTTGGCTGTAACGGCAGACTGGATGCGGGAACCCACATCTTCCTGCTGCAGACTGTAAAAAGGCCCAGATTTACGGGAGGAGATCCCGCTGATGGGATAAATTGGCCGCAGCTGAACGGACTGGTTGGTGGCCCCGGCCATGCCAGGATGTGGCAGGGGTGTTGAGGTTGTCGAAGGGATGTGGAGGGCAATGCGGCGCTTCGGTTACATGTATGTGGCCGTGGTGCCATCTCCGGGCCGTTGTGAGGCGGCAGTGTTCGAGACTGCGATTGGCGCGTCTGAATGCGAGGTTGTAGTGTAAGATGATTGACCGGGAGGGCGTCGTCCATCGCTTGTGAGGACGGACTATCATGATTACCGACGGCGTGGATGAGGGTAGATCTGCTTAGACCCCTGAAACGGTTTACCCTGACAATCCCCTTCTTGCTCTTGTTCAACAGAATTGTGCGGACAATACGGAGAAAAACAAAGTTCAATTCGTGAAACCGGGGCGGCCCTGGAGAACAGCTGAGGGATAGCAACTCTGTTTGTCTGCTCGAAGAGGTTTGGAGATAGCGCCGGGTGAGGACTTCCCAATCGGCCGTTGGGGCAAGACAAGACGAGCAATATTGCGGACATGGGACTGATGGGGCGGCGACCAGGACTGGCTTGTTTGACTTCGGGGTATTTTAGCGCAGTTTTCAATCAGGTCGGGCCTTAGATTGACAGCGGCCTTTGAACGATGAGGCCGTTTCAGCTGCCGATCCGCAAGGTTCTGATGATTCGAGAATGTCCAAGCCGGCGGGTTCAGCTGGCGAGATAGGCTCTCTCTGCCACCCTGCATCTGTCTCTGACCAGTTCGGATGTGGCAGGCATTGCGATACATTAGACTTCCACTGTGCAGGGTGTCCGCAGTGCTGGATTCGCAACATGATACGACAATGGTGGGAGAAGAAAGAGTTGCGAATAAGAGTGCAATGTTTCCGTCCCTCGGCCACGGAAAAACGGTGGAAGATGGATGAGACGATGTCTTTACCCGGAGGAGGAACTTGACAACTGAGACACAGCGAGTGTCTTTGAACCCCTGCTTTCTCAGTTGGGGGGAGGGGACTCACCTAGTGGGCCGTTTCCCCTGAAGCTACAACTGACGCGGCTCTGGGTGGGTTCTGTTAAACAATTACTACCTTTACATATAGCGACTTGGGGCCGAAGACGATATCCTCCGAGGTATTCCCAGGGGTTGAGAAAGGAGGCAGAGAAGGAAGGACTCTCTGTTGGGCGAGGACGGTGCTTATTTCCAGAATTGGGTCGCTAGCAAGAAAGACCCAAATCTCCCCATTCGTCCAGTCCAACCCCCCCTGTGGTTGCCAACTTTGAGCTGCGATCCTTCGTTCCTCCCTTTTCTGTCGTTCGTGACTGCTCATTTCGGACGAGTTGCACTACGGTACCGAATCAAGGGATACAACACCACTTCAGCGTCCCAATTTGGTAGGGGGCTGGTGCCTGATAAGTCTTTGAGCCTGCAAGTCCCAATATCCGCCTCAGTATCCGTTTTTTACTTGACTCGCTGGTGTGTGTATTCGCCTCATGTGGCAGCCACGACACGTAAGACCAACAGACATAGTTCTTACTATCATCACATAAATCAGCCTAGGCCTAGTATCCAGGCCGTGTCACTTCTGAACTTAATTCGCCCACGGAACAATCGTACGCGTGTGGCCCAGCTTCTAGACCGTCTCTTTCCCAAGTTTCCGCTGTTCTCCCCCCTTCGGCCAGCTTCAAACTACCCCCTGTCATCAATCATCTCAGGCCACCCCCCTGTCCGCCGATTAATGACTGGGACCGCCTGGGGCTCAGTGCTCCCTGTTTCCAAACCACACTCGAACGCCAACCGCAGGAAATAAATGAAGCGCCGTTGCCGCTGTCTCTGGCCTGATTTTTGCCCCGACCAACAGCCAAAACCCATAAAGTATCTCTCGCGCTGTCTCCCTCCTCAACCTAATTGATGAGATGGCCGTAACGGGATGAGATGGCCGTAATGGGAAAGTACATCTTATTATAGTTTAGACTTTGTCTAAACACCTACTTGAACGTGCCTGCTGCCGCATGAACGGGCCTCCCGTACAAGCCTGGTCACATGGCATCTTTTTGCCGCTCTTGCCTTCGCCGAGGGTTTTTCTTCTATTCCGCGCTTGTGAAAAGGAGCAAACCTTTTTTTTTTTTTTTTCCTGTCTTTTTTTTTTCTTTTTTGATGAAAGAAGCGTGTCAGTAACGCTATGTTGGAAATGATAGAGGGGTAAGCCGCCATTCGACATGCTCCTGAAACCATGAGTCCACTGTTCTGAGAAGCCAGTATTGAAATTCGCTTTATTGCATGTATGGTATATATCTGGGAATAGGGCAACCTACACGACTAGTAGAACAAAGTGCTCCCCGCCAAAACAATCAGCATTGTTTTCTCTACATTTTACGAAACACTTCGTTCTTACTCTTCGTTATTCTCATAGGGCTGCCGTAAATCATATAGCCTGCAAGCCCTTGCAAATAATGGTAAACAGGCCGCCCACATCCTGCTGTTGTGATTCGATGCCTAGCGCAGCCCCAATCACCAGCATTCGTTTCCACATCTACTAAACGAACGATCGCACTATTTGAAATGAATGAGTAATCAAGAGGGTGTTTATCTGAGGCGGATGTCTATTTCTGAGTTAAATCACATAAAATTGAAGGACATTCTAGCCTTGGCCGGTTTACGCAAGGTATCTACCTATTGACAGTTCTCTCGCGGTTACTTCCATTTCCATACTCTATACCCCTCGCTCTTTGTGTCTTTAAAATATTCAACATACACTAAAATGTACAATGAGGCTCTTATTTAAGCGTGTTGGTCAGAAGTAGCTAGTCAAAGCTTGTGCATGTTGAATACGCAGTCAATGCCTTCGAGTGATTCAGCACTCAATAACGTGTTCGGAATGACTTGTTGGGCTGAACACACACCTTCCAAGAATTTCGAGTTAGAATTTTGCCTAGTTTCTTTCATGGGAGAACCCCGCATACCTCTGTTTCCCAGTCTATTGCAAGTGCCCAACAGTTTCCGTTACACTGCTAGCATGGACGTGATACTGCCACTGTACAACATAGCCATAGCCACTAAATGTCGTGTGCCGAATACAAAAAAGCAGGCAGCTCAGATTGAGACAAAATATCATATCTAAAAGGAGTATGGAACGTCTCTTTATCCGCTTACATGTATATGAAGGTAAATATGGCATGGTTCCGCTTGAATGAGCTTCATTACCCTCCTGGTGTATAGCATTACGAGAACAGTAACTCCCCATCTTAGTAGAAACTTATAATGGTCTTCAATGTTTTTTTAGCAAGAAAGACAACTGGGTGACAGTGTGCATAAGACCCATCTAGTTATACGATCTTTTATGGTCGCCCAAGGCTTAGAGCGGTCTTAAGTTCCATATGGCATTTGTTGAATTTGCAGATAACTCGGCATTAACAAACATATCTCATGTTACTGAAGCTCTGAATCATGTAGCGTTCAAACCAGCAATGGCTTCAGCACGCAAAGCCTCCCGCCTGCTGAGGCTCTGTGGATCGAAGTACGGTCTTTCCCCAAGACTGACACTACGAGAGCCGGATCTTTCACCCAGGTCTTCGTGAATGTAATCCGGTGTGGCAGCATGGTAAACTGATCGATTGTCCCAGATAGCCACATCGTTCACGTTTTGCCAGCGGTGTCGGACTTGGAGGTCATGGTTCTCTAGAACCAACTGAACAAACCAGGTGAGGAAGTGCTTCGACTCATCCTCCGACAGGCCATTGATCTTCTCCACGTGGTGCCCAAAGGCGAAAACGCTCTTCCATCCAGTGACGGGGTTCGTTCGGATCACAGGGTGAATGGCCTGGAGGATCTCGCCTACGTTCTCGGGCGCGCCTCGCTCAGCCGAAAAGAGCTTGAAGCCGTTACCGTCCGCCGCTTGTTTGAAGCCCGGCTGAGCATACGTTGCAGTCAAAGTGTCAAGGAACTTTTGCAACGGCTTCGAAATGCGGTCGTAAACTTCGTACCCGGAAGCCCAGAGAGTATCTACAGCCATGTCGTCAGCAAATATCAGATATCCATTTGGAAAAGAGGAATATACCTCCACCGGTCTTGGGTAACTGTGTAAGACGTAAGAGAGCATAGTCACTCGGCACAGGCTCAAAAGTGATATCCGAGTGCCATTGGGACCTTTGAGTTTGCCCCTTATTGTAGTTCAAGAAGCGGTGCAGCGACAATTTCTTTGCATTTGCGGATGATATGACGCTAATCTCGTCGTCTTTGTCGTTGCCGCGGGAAGCGTTATTGACGGGATGGATATGAAGCTTTGAAGTCGATGGCTTTCCCGAGAGCTCGCCGAGACGCTGAACAAGTTCCTTCTGGAGGTCGTTGTCGACATTATCTTGTTTGCGGAAGAAGACAACGCCGCGTTGAGAAACTGAGAACGATGTTAGACTACAACTCATCCAATATCAGGGGAAATTACTTACTGGTGATGGCAAGATCGCGGAGAAGATCGTCAGAGTTTGGGGCTCTGAGAAGCTCCTTCAGGTCGACGTTGGGGTACTCTCTACCAATGATCGGCGTGACCTCAAAGTGTTCAAACTTGTCCAAGGCGCCACTTAGCTTCAACGGCTCTTTGTGGCCAGTTCGAAGTTCGGGTAGCTCCTCCTCCTGGACCTGAATACCCTCGGTGGGCTTTGACTCCTTGACAGGCAGGGGTTTGGCCTGCACATCATCAAGCTTAGGTGCCGTCTCTGTTGCTGAGGGGGCCATGTTCAATATCGCTAGATTATATTCTCTTGATTAAGTTTGGAGCCAACCGCCCATCTGGAAGCACTGCGAGGGTTCGCCCTCTCTTATACGAGTCTTGTCAACACCCCCCCCCCCAGTAGAGTTGGTGCTGCATTGATGCGACTTTGGATGAGTTTACGCGAAATCGCGCGATACGCATCTCATATTCTGTCATGTTGCGCAAAGTAGGTAAACATCAGATCTCGGCACCAATCGCTTTGGTCAACCTTCCCGTGCGGCAAACTCAAGGCAGGTAGAAAACCCCTCGCCGGTACTCGCCGGCACGTATCGACGCCGAGTCGGAGCCGCCAGTTCGGTCCGCGACCCTCCATCTCGCCGCATAGTTTGTCTTGGCTGGAGTCTCACGATGCGGGGGACCAATAAAATGTTGACAACTTCAAATTCGATGCCACATGGCCGAGCAATAAGATGTAATCCATTCTGCGGCACCATGGATTATGGATGATTGCGGTGGTGCAATTTTGGTACCGATCGCGAGCAGCAGAGGCCCCCGCGCCCACCGTCCAATCTAGGGGGAGATATGTCACTGTAGTCAGATGATTCTGCTTCACATTTGATGCGCAGACCAGCCAGTTACAGATTGCCATGACCAATGATTGTCCAAAACTGCCGTGGGCCTAGAAGCAGAGCTATCGAAGTTAAACAATCTGGATGTGGAACCTCCACAGAGCGAGCATCTGGACTACTATGCGAATTACACAGCATCCAAGTATCAACCGCGAATGTGATGATAGCTGATAACAATGACAATGAGTGCTGATAAATAGATTAGATTGCGATTGTGTGGACGGAAATGGGAAATTCAATTGTCGCTCGCCTTTTGGAGATGAACAGGTGCCGATCCAGAATTGCCCGCGCGCCGACGTCATCGATCTGTCACTGAATATCAGTGCAGAACCCGCATGCCATTCTTTAAGATATTAGTCGCCTTCAGTTTTCGCTCTAACATTGCACTTGCAAAGTATTACAACAGATAGCGGGAGCTTGAGACCTCACTGCAAGAGAAATCGAAATATTCAATCCAGCAAAACATCAGCTTCCACCATGTCACACTCAGCGCCCCAACCCCCCAAATCAGAAGCCTACACCACCGCATCAAACCCGACGACAAGGAACCCGGTCGAGAACGCGGCGGCACAAGGAAGCGAAGCCAGCGCGCGCGACGCAACACTAGGCCGCACCGCTTTCCCATCTTCACAGTCCCAAAAGGCCGATGATGCCGTGCCGAGCTCCCTGGGCTGGGGCGTGCATTCTTCCGGCCCTGTCAGCGAAACAGAGAAGCGGAACACGGTATACAGCGACCGGGCAGCAAGAGAAGGACCCGAGAACGCGAACGTAGAAGCTGAGCAGCTAGAGACGTTTGCTGAGGGCAAGGTTGCCGACGCCGTTGACCGCAAGAGCGGGGGGCAGAAGGTCCCTGGCCAGGAGCTTCACTTTGACGACTATGCTGATGGGCTAGAGAGGTGAGTTTGAAACGGCTGGAAATGTTAACCATCACTAACGATTAGTAGGAAAAAGGAGGAGCAGCAGCAGGCGAGGGAAGCTGTGAAGGAAGCGAGGCGACAGGGCGTGGATGTTGATGGTGGATTTGGAAACAGAGGTTGGAATGAGGACAATCGAGACGTTTGAATAAAGACAAGTATTGCAATAGATACAATTAAGGTTCCAGCTTGCAGTGTATTAGCTGCCCATGTCCGTATTGTGTAACTTGAGTATCATACGGCAGAAAAGCAGAATAGCAATGGGGTCTAAAAGTCAGAAGCCTTCACTTGAAAGACAATTAAAATAAAATGGAAAAGTAAATAGCAAGCAGGCTGAGACAAAGAAATGCTTTGTCAATGGTTCCTGAGGGTAATTTTCGAGGTTGCAGATGGACAGGAACAGATAAAAAAATTTGAGGCGTGAGAAAAGTCAAAAAGATGTTCTCCCCTTCCAGAATCGAACTAGAGACCTTTCGATAATCTTGGTATGAACCATTACAGTCGAACGTGATGAACCAACTACACCAAGGGGAGTAACAGGGCTAAGCCCCGCTTGGTGGATGTTTGTTGAAGGGCCAGCCGAATTACTAGCTCAAGTACTACTAACCATCTGCTGGTCAGCAGAGTGAGATTTTGGTCTCTATCTCCACAGGACCCTCTCTGCTATCAACACGTTGCCTCACCCTGCATTTTCCTCTCTAGGTGGTCTCTGCAGACTTTCAAAGTGGGGGAGTGGTTGAGAACAGGGTTACTGGACCACCCTCGTACATACTATTGAATTTGTCTCTGAATGTGGAACGAGCCTCTTGAGCATCAATTGGCCGGCGGACACCCAACGAGGTCCCGACAGCTCGTCTGGGTCTATTTCTTCACGAACAGGGCGTGTAGCTCAGTGGTAGAGCGTCCGCTTTGCATGTCTTCTTCTGATGTCTGCGGAAGGTCCAGGTTTCGATCACCTGCCCGTCCAATTGAATTGAGCAATCCAGCTTGGTTATCTTTTTGCATTTATCGGGTCTTTTTACTACGACGATCAAGTACCTAACCATTAAAACCAGTGATCGGTCAGCACTGCACACCTAGCTAAAGATCGGAAATGAAAATCGTCCAGCACTCTCGGAACTCTTTTTGGTGACTATATTTATCTTTATTTGATTCTGCATCGAAGTGGAATTGTTGGGGGAAGCTCATTTTTAGCAACGATCAGGAACCAGTTATCTTGGCTTCGGCTTAAGATGTTTGCCAACCTCTCTCCCAAGCGAAACCAAAGGCGGGCAAAATATTTCGACGTGATGAGAGCTGCAGGTGATCTTGGCCACGTACTAGTTATCGATTGCCCAGATTCGCAAATGTAAGACCCCACAGCTAAGCGGTCCAGGGTATCAGCAAGACTTCTTATCTCCTTGATCACTCCTGACTTAGCGAGCCGGACTAATGCACGAAGGTTAATGTGTGGACACAATCCATGATCCATTTTTGGCTAAGCAAAGTTCCTCCACGTCCTGCCTCTGGGGTAGACATCTAGTTGACATGAAGCTAAGCATCTTGGTCCGTTTCAAGCGGCGCTGCCAGACTTTGTCTTGCTATCGAAAAACGACACATCAATCGACAAGGTGTTAACGGTAATGGCACCTTTAGATTTGCTCCACGTGCGAACGTCACCGCAAGGTGCAAACTCATATCTCTTCCATGGTCATTACTTCTTGTCAGCTTACTGACGAGTAAGATGATGTTTACAGGCTGCGAAAGCCTGGCGACCTGCTATCTGTCATGTATTCATCGAACCTATACAGGTCAGATTCCTTTGCAGCATAATTAGTCACTTCAGTCACTTCAGGCACTGATTTGTTCAAAACTTCATGAATATCTTGGTATTATTTGGTATCCTTCATAACTTTTTTGATCATCATATCATACAATCATCCCTTACAGACCAAGAGCCTTGACAATGGCCTCACCAACGGCCTTGGCAGAAGCAGGGTTCTGGCCGGTGATGACGATGCCGTCAACAACGACCTTCTCACCCCAAGGAGCGTCGGCCTTGGAGTACTTGCCGCCGACCTCCTTCAGGCGGTCCTCGAGCAAGAAGTTCATCTCGTCAGTGTAGCCAGCCTGGTCCTCCTCGGTGTTGGAGAAGCCGGTGACGTTGCGGCCCTTGACGAGGTACTCGCCGTCGTTGGTCTTGGCGTTGACAATGGCGCCAGGGCCGTGGCAGACGGCGGAGACGGGCTTGTTCTGAGCGGCGAACTCGGCGATGAGCTTCATGTTGTCCTCGTCAAAGGCGAGGTCGTACATGGGGCCGTGGCCACCGGGGTAGAAGACGGCGTCGAACTCGGAGGCACGGCCGACAAACTTGGAGAGAGGCTGGGTGTTCTCCCAGGTTTCCTTGTGGTTCTCGAGGAAGTTCTTGGAAGAGGGGTCGTTGGCGAACATCTGAACGGAAGCCTGGTCGAGGGGAGCAACGCCACCCTTGGGGGAGGCGAAAGTCATCTCGACGCCAGCCTCCTTGAGGACATCGTAGGGGTGGGCAAGCTCGGGCTATGGAGAAATAGTCAGTAATTGAATAAGGTACTATGTAAAGGGTGCATGGAGCTATAGCTTACCAGGTACCAGCCAATGGGCTTGCCGTTCTTCTCGGTCTTGTCGACGGAGGTGAGAACAACGAGAACCTTCTTGGGGGCCATTTTGACAGTGTTTGGTGGTTGCGTATTGGTGGTGGGATTCAATTGGGCTTTGAAGGGTATCGAAGGGTATCAAATGAATAGGAAAGGTGAAAGACTACTGGTTATACTCCAACATAGCATAATGACTTGCGCCGTGGGTTGTCGAGCTCTTTTGTATTCGCATTCCCCCTCCCCCGCCCCGGCAGTTCCATCCCAAGCTCGTAACGTGCGTGGTCTGGCCATCACGGTAGAATTCCGCCCTCTCCGAATTACCCCACCATAAAGCAAATGGAATACGTAGCTTTGCCTGGCAAGGTGATGGGAAGAGAAGGTAAGATTGAGCTTCACCCCGCCAATTGGTCAGCTTGACGTCACACCGATCGACTTTCCCTGTCTGCTTGCTTTCCTGCGTCTCCAGCGGTATTGACATGTGTCTTCCATCAGCTTGACTCGTTCATCTGCATTTGGCGCCTCGGTGTCTCCACCAACACACACCCCAACGCAGGACGGATACGGATAGTGAGATGTATGCTAGACTGCTAAAAGAAAATCTCTTCAGTGTCAGGGCAACTCCACATAAGAGTTGACAAAGCATGCCGGGCGATTAAACCATCCGGCTGCTTCCATACTATGCCATGACTTGCCATAGTAAGCTCCTGGGGGCGGAAATGTGACCCCCGAGTGGATAAACCGGCGAGAGCGAGTGGGGTTTCGGGGGGGAGATCCAAAAGAGGACACATGATGTTAAAGCCGATGGGTCAACTCGTCATAACGCCGATGATCTTTGTTTGGAAATTTTTCGAAAAGGATGCCGAGGAACATGCAAGGGGTGAGAAGAAACAGTGCTGGTTGCTGCTTTCGTACCACGAAGAGGACCTAAAGCTGTCGTAAATAGAAAGAAAGAAAGAAAAAAAATCAAAAAATCAAAAAAAAAAAAAAAAAAAAAAAAACATCAAAAATTCTAAAACCTAAACTTATCAATATTTTCTCCTTTTTTATTCTTTTCTTTTTCAAGATGATAACTTTGGTAAATGGTAAATGATAGTTGTACCAAAAACTCACAGCTTAGCAGAAAGCCGTGGTTTTGGGGTGTTTTTTTTTTTTTGTCATCTGCTGAACACCCAGAGATGCTACCGTTTCCGGCATGCGTTCGCCGAATCGTCCGACACCATTTGCACCGTTCTCGCAATCGTTGTCGGCTCCTTCACCCTGCCAGAGTGGATCTTGAGCAGCACGGCCTCGGTACCATCTTCAGCTTCAGATCGGTAATATCGGCATGTCGCCGCCGCGGCCCGCGTGTGTTGCGCGGCTTTCTACTTCACCACCTCACCACCTCACCCCCGCGTCCCAAAGATATGTTGGCCATGAATCGCATCTTGCATATATTTCAGTCTCGATAGGCTTGGGAGTGAACTATTGGATTGGAAATACGAAATCGACAGCCAACTCCGCGGGCTAGCGGAGCTGAATGCATCGACAACTTCAGTGACGTGCGTCAAAAGCCTGGCTTCATGGCCAGCGCCTGAATATTTTCCCGACCCCTTCAGAGGTTTCCCGGGTCCAACACGGCCGAAATGGTGGCGCTTACGCATTGTAAGGTTTCTGTCCCCAAACAGCCATTCTTCAACTGGTCAACACAGCCCGCAAGGTCATCTGCATCTGGAGTCAACTTACATGGTGAGATAGGCGTGGATATTTCTGTCTGCCATATCTCTCCGCACATCCACAAGGAGAAGCTCAGCTTCTTCCCGAGTCCAACCCAACACGTGCGTAAATATCTTCATTGTGATACCCTGGACTCCCTCAAGGTTGTTTGTCATCTGCATCGCACCGAGTATCTTCTGGTTTCGTCCCCTGGCCCAGGGGGTAGAGGGCACCGCGAACTTCTTCTCCTGGACATTCTGAAACCCTGCTTCAGTCATCTGTGTCGCGAAACTGAACGGAGACAAGGCATTGCGCCCCGCCCTCCGGACGCCCTCCAGCAACAGACGATTCCACCGTTGCAAAGCTGTGCCCTCCAACGACCCATCCACACCCTTGAAGTCAATGACTGTTTCTTGGAACTCAATCCATCCACCGGGATTCAAACTGTCATAACTTTGACTGAACAGCTTAGGGAAATCGAAAATGGAAGTGCACATGTATCGCCCGTGAATGTAGTCAAACTTTTGCCCGTACATCCATTCGTCTTCGGCGTCGTCGATCTCAAAATGGCAATTGGAAGGGACATACTCCGGCTGAATGGGGCTGAGGTCGCTCCCAAGCACTTCCGACTCCGGGTTACGCTCGGCGAATTCAATCGCCCAGATTCCTGTCCCCGTGCCGACGTCGAGCACCCGGTGGGGCTTGTCTACCGGGGCTAAGCCGAGGCGCCCATCGAGTATGCGAAGAGCAATTGCGTGCTGTAGGTCTAAGCGGCCTTGTTCTTGCTATTGATGCTATGCGTCAGAGGTTGAACCGCGGTGATAGCACAACTCCAGGTAGGCAAGTCTCATACCTCGTCATTGGGAAGCAGATATTCTACAGATCAGATTAGTCTCTGTTCGAAGCTGTGAGAGAAGATGGCGAGACTCACTCCCTTCCTTGTATTTATGATACGTTCGCCCGAATTCTTCCACAAACTTATAGATGCTTGAGGCCACTGATGCTGATGAAGAGGCGCTGTCTACGTCGAATCCTAGGGCCGAATCGGCGTCGCTGTTATCAGAGTCGACGCTCAGCTCGACGGAAGAGATGCTCGGGACATGTGTGGACTCCAGCTCATCCAACTCGGTAAAATTCAGTCTGCCGTATTGATCGTTGACTGTCGAATGAGAAGTCGTTGTGTGGTCGGTACGCTCCTCTCCATGGGCCGGCTCCGACCGGCGCTCGGCCCCGCCTTGTCCGTTGCGATCCTCCATGATACCGAAATCTTGATGTCACCTGTCTCAAACTCTCCAGATTCAGTGAATGCAGTGGAGAGAGTGACGATGCAGTAAATCGGCTGGGGATCGTATTTTCTGTACCTCGTGCGGCTGAAGAGTGGTCATAACAATAGTTTACCACTCCCCAAAGGAACGGAAGGTTACTTCGCGCAACGCCATAGCGTCAGTTTGTTCTTTGCTCACACAGTCCAATTGCGGCCGGGCTTTTGTCGTGACCAACATTCCACGCTAACACTGGCTCAACACATCGAGACACGGCTTATCTCAGCAGACAAATCAACACCTCTCAATGTATCGGTGGCGCCAAAAGCCAGTGCCGGCGATCCAAGTGGCATACCTTAACCGCTTCTGTCTTTCCCCGCATCTAAGGTTTCTATCTAGGCTATTCAACCAATACCATGCCAACGAGCCACGCTGAGTTGATAGTTGTTGGGAACATGGATTGGACCTCCCAGATCTACTCTGGGGTGGAGGAGGTATGGACAGACTATGCAATACGCAGTGTGGTGCCATTCAAGAAGCTGCTCATAATTCGCAAGAGTTGGTAGATTATTGAAACCAGATATTTAATTGGGGTTCCATTGAGCGCCACCACTGCTAAAGCAGAAACTATCTACGGTTATGCGACACGAATATTTACCTCGACTTCTCGACATGTGACATTTCTCATTCTCCTGTCATGTCACCTCAAAACATTTGGACTTCGGTCCCTAACCGAGTCACATCAATCATCTACTCAATATCCTCGATTTCTAACTGAACAGATTCAGAAGTTCGTCGCGGAAACGTCCACCAGCTCATGTTCGAAGAGATGGCCACTCCATCTGTGAATAGCCTCGCATACCGCGTCTCCATAACCCCAAACTCCATTCGTGTCGTCTTACTCATGTAGAGAGTGTCCAGCATCCGGCAATCTAGTATGAGCTTGTTATCACGGACCTCGAGCTCGAGGCCCATCTCTTCAACCAGGCGTCTTGAAATGACGGGTCGTAGCTTATGAATGTCGGCAACCACGTAGACCGAGTCTAGGGTATCATAAATTGAGGAGATGCTGTTAGGTAGGAACAATTGCATTCTGGTCTTTACCTTCACCAACGAGTCGGCCCATTGTGCGAGGAAGCAGTCGAAGATGTAATACTTGTGCTTCGCAAGGTCCTCGAGATCATGGCCGGCGCTCACGAAGTGCGATGTGATTGTATCCCAACTGTGGAGAGGAAGACGGTTCTTGACGCAAGCCGCAACTTCATCGTTCAGATTCTTTCTATAGTCGAACAAGCGCAGCCCTCCTGGAGGAGGAATATTGGTAACCTCTGAGTTGGCTGGTGTCTTTCCCCAGTACTTGCAGTAACATCTCAGATATTCATCCAGGATCTGGCCTCTATGCTTATCAAGGAAGTCTGGATAGACGAAGTCACCAAGCTGGGGAATAGCACTTGTCCAGTTCCTTGGCATGTCCCGCACCTCTGCTTGAAGAACAGCCTCATTTACGAGTCTTGAAATCCGGGACAAAAGGTAGGCAGTCCTCGGAGAGACATCTTGAAGAGGCCTAGTGCTAGGCATCTCTGAGTTTTACTGAACAAGTTCGAGCAATTATGCAAGGGGAGTCGAGCAAGTGCGTTGGAAATAGTTCTTAAGGCTACTTCTAGCAATGACTTCAATAGGTAGTATACAGATGTGACTTTTTAATAGACAGCAAATTTATGGGAGAAAGATTTCAAACTTGCACCACTGAATTACGTATGAGAATCCTTCACTGCTATTGTTCAAGAGAGGCCCTCAATTCACTACAACGAAAACCCGTACTTGTGAATCTACCGTTAGAAGTGGGCGAAGTCAAATATACGATGGAACAACCTGGGTTTAGTACCATAGGAACCTCACTACATGCTACCACAATTGAATACGCTCGATGAGGTACGTCCACATTATTTGTCTGCGGGCATTTTCCTTCGCAACACAACTTGTACCCTTGCAGCTCTTATGGGACCTTGAATGAACTGAGCATCTGTGAGAGTCATAAATCAAAGCCTCGAAAAGCCAACGTTGCCATGGAAGACTGCGCAGGATTAGAATGCAATTTTACACACAGGAATTCTAGGCCCTACTGAATACCTTAGTAACAACACTTCATTAGCGTCACTACAGCCTATTGTTGAGACATCACTTATCGAATACCTGTATCGTAAGAATAGGCGTGACAGACGCACGAGACTCCTATTTATACCTTCTATGGTGCGCAACCATAGTAAGTAGAAACAAGCCCAGTTAACCTCATGAGATGAGACCCCTGAAGGCCCAGAGTCTCCTGTTCGTAGAATTTTGAAAATAAAAGTACACTAGGAATTACAGAAACCTACATGCAATAATTGTATAAAGTTAATATTAAGCATTGAAATAGAAAGTTATCAGATAGTCAAGGGCCTTTTGCTACACTTTCGTAGGCTGCAAACGCGAAAACTAATCCAGCGAAGAAATCTACTTCGTCGCGCTCTCCTTTTCCTCCCCTTCCTTTCGAGCGGCATCTTTCAACTGATTGTCGTCAGGTCGACTAAGCTCTACTTGAGGCATCATGAAAAATGCTACAACGAAGGCCACAGAGGCCAGCCCTGCCATGATGAGGAAGATGGTGCGAAATGCCTTCCTGTAACCTGGCAAAATCGCTGCTCTTGCAAGTTCCGCCTCCGCTTGAGACATCTCTGACATGACGTGCTGTGGATTGGCAAGCAGTCTTCTAGAATCTTCATCTGATATGTTCAACCCGGCAATGCTGCTTGAAAGAATGTTGTTGCTGTTTACATTAGCCTTACTGTTGCTAACATCACGCGAAATGAAACGCGGCATAGAATGGACCTACATAAGTGTTCCAGAAATTGCAAGTCCGATAGTGCTTCCTAGATTTCGGATAAAGCTAATAGCTGTGAGTTTGAAGTGGTTTCTTGAGCTTGATGTTGTGTACTTACTTCCGAAAGGATGTGACCACTGCCATGTCTCGACGACTCACACCAGCCTGGATTGCTATCAAGGCGCTGTACTATAAGTTAGCAAGTTCAAGACGGCAACGATTGGTAATCGACTCACGGCTGTAAAGTATTGCCCACTCCGGCACCAATTAGTAGAGAGTACCCTACTTGCTTTCCCACACTGGATGTCTCGTCAAGAGTAGACATGAGGCCAACACCAACGGCCCACATCACCCACCCAAGGAGAATGCATTCCCTGTAGCGTCCTACTTTATGCACTACTAGCCCAGACAATGTACTGAACAGAGTTTGCGTGAGGGTGACGGGAAGCAACATAGCGCCTGCCTTTGTGGCGGAGTAGCCGAATGCCAGCTGATAGAAGGCAGGGATATAGTAAACTTGGACAACAAAGTTCCATCCGTTTATAGCCATGGTGATACAGGCGCCGTTTACAATCTTGGACTTGAAGATATGCACTAGAAGACGTCTATCATTAGTCGACAGGACATGGTGAAAGGAACGATAATCACTTACGCGGCACAAGTGGAACCCTCGCGCCTTTCCACTGCCAGGCGACGAAGCCAACAGAAACAAAAAACCCGACAATAATCGTGGCAATGACATGAGCAGAGTTCCATGGGTACTCTCCTCCGCCCCAAGTGAGACCCAGCATCAAGACTGATGTACCAGCCAGAGCCAGGGCGCCCCCTACAAAGTCGACGGCCTTCAGTTTCCTATTGACGCATAACTCATCAGCTTGTCTTTCAGGACCAGGAAGTAGCATTCTTGAAACAGACGTGTGCTTACACTTTCCAGTCCCCTTCCACTTTTCTAAGAGGCATAAAGAAAATGACACAGAGAGTAGTTAGAAGAGTGAGAGGCATGTTGAGACGAAAAATCCACCTCCAGGAGTCGTGTGACTGAGAAGCCAGCGCACCACCAATGACAGGCCCAATGCCGTTAGCGATGGCCACGACAGCCCCCTGATAGATCGTTAGTATTGCTGTCGAATATGATGCTTGTGATTTGGGCTTTGTAAATGGCGAAGAGAAGGCGATACGTACCAATATTCCCTGGTATTTTCCTCTTTCCCTTAGCGGTACCACATCGCTGACAATCATCTGTGCCACAGTCATAAGCCCGCCGCCTCCGATACCGGTCCATGCTCGGAAGACAATGAGTTGTGTGCCTGTTGCAGCTACGGAAGATGCCAGAGATCCGGTGAAGAATATCGCAAGACCGATTAGAAGAATGACTTTTCGCGACCAAATATCAGACAAGCGCCCATACAACAATTGGCCAGTAGTGGATGTTCTGGTTCAATAGATGTTAGTTTGCGGGGCGATAGGTAGGAATTGAGACTCCTACGTTGGGTAAGACATACATGTAATAGCCACTGGCAATCCAGGCGGTCTGGTTACTCGCGTTGAGAGCATTGCCAACAATGTTCAAACTGGCGGCTAGTGTCGTCTGGTCCATAAGGGCCACGAGATCGACGCTGGCACATGCCAAAAAGATCTATTGACCAAAGAGACATTAATCAACGTGTCTTTTGGAAGCATGGAGGCCTCGCTTCGGTGGACTTGCCGTGATGATCGTTCTTGGGCGGACATAGTTCGTCTGCTCATTGAAAGCATGGCTGGCATCCTTTTCTTCGTAGTGATCCAGTGTTTTACTGTCGCTATCTGAGTTAGTATTTCCCACTGGCGGCGTATCTGGCGTTTCCGAGGCGAGAACCCCGCCTGGTTGTTCTACTTTCATGATGAAGAGCGATATTGAAATATACAATAGAGCTAGGCACCGGAAGAGAAATGTGAAAGACGCTTCACTTGCAGCAGTTGATTGCCAGATGAGTAGGGGTGAAGGTGAGAAGCGAAAGCGAAGTAGACACAAATTATCACCATGATCGGCTCGGAATATCGGAGCTGGAAGGGCGGCCATCCAGGTAAGCGGTCAAATACAAATAAACATCACATCATCCATTTATAATGCATTAGTACTATGTAGGGATAAAAGCCCCTAGTTCTATCAAATTTAAACTACCGAATCGTCGTTTACAACGTTGCTAAAGTATCCGATCATCGTCACGGCAGTGGACTTTTACCCCAGTCTTGAGCGTTTGATGAGCTGGGTCCCCAACAAGGATGACCGTGGACGTAAGAACCCTTGCGGGCTACTCCCGTGTAACACGCTTGACCCGGAAAATCGGCAGAAACGAGCTCAAACTACCTCTTGTAAATTATAAAATCGTAGTTGCTGTGAAGATCTCGTCGAATCGTACCGGACTATAAAGCCCTCATCACGGATTCACGGCAACCTCAGTCATTATACAACTGCATCTATCGAATGCGCAAGATTTTCAATGTTGCAACTTGCTCAATCACTGAAACTTTACGATTAACACGCCGCGCGTCACCCCTGCTCAGCGGCGATGTTCTTGTTGTCTGACTGGGACAGAGCCTTGGAAAACCCTGATGACTCTTGCGCCGATCGGTTACATTCGACATGGCACTTCTTTGACAAGGCGACTTGAAGTGAAGCATAAACTCTAAGTCGCACGCTTCACGTACTAGAAATTAGAGCAAGCCCTCAAGTTCCCAAGTAGGAAGGAGCTGCAGGCCCATATATTAGCGCAACATATTTGTTCTTCAGCTTCCCACAACGCATGTCATTGGACGTGATTTGAGACGATGTTGTTAAGATCAGTCGTCCTCATACACGTTAGCTCCATGTTGATGTGAGAACATTGACGGCAAATGTAACCCTCCGACGATGATTTCCCGCTTCACATTCACTGAGGATCCATATGACCCTGTCATTTTTGTCCATGTGCATCACACACTCAATGTGCCCTACTGCCCACGCACTATGATGAATGTGACCGAGAGCTGGACTCGCACGCAACTATAAATCACCTGCCGCCATTGTTCTGTGTTAAGGAATCCTCGAAGTAGACTCAGGCACCTGAGTAGGATCAACAAGCCTTATTACGACTTCAAACTAGTAAGAGAAACGCCTCGAAAATGACTGACGGAAGTCATCTCAACGTTTACACCGGCCCTGATGCCGTCAAGAACTATTTCGACCCTGATATCGGTCCTCCTTTACCTCTGGTTGAGATACCAGACTGTCTCAACCCGTACCGCGACCATGGCGTTCGAATCTACGCCAAAATGATGTCGATGCATCCTGCTAATAACGTCAAGGCTATGCCAGCTCTAAACTTATTACAAAATGGCGTGGTACCGGGAAAGACCAAGATAGTTGTCGAATACAGCTCGGGGTCCACTGTCATTTCGATGTCTTTGATATCAAGAGTGTTTTATGGTAACTCAGATGTCCGCGCCTTCCTTAGCAACAAAACCAGCCAAGCAAAGTTGAGGTTGATGCAGTTCTTTGGACTTGACATGTAAGTCATAACGTCGATGAATCATTAGGCCCCTCTTTGAAATAGCATGTGGCTGATGGAACGGGTTAGCACGCTTTTTGGCGGACCATCGCAGCCTGAGCCAGCTGATGAGAGAGGCGGTATTCGTGCCGCGAAAGATATGGGAGACAAGTCTGAGACTGCCATCAACCCAAATCAATATGAAAACGATGATGTAATAACTATATATCCTGTTCGACATGGTTAAGACATAATACTGACATGACACTTGCAGAACTGGAAGTCGCACGTTCGTTGGACAGGGCCCCAAATCCTCAAGCAGCTGCCAGACATCACGCTCATTTGCGCTGGAATGGGCACTTCCGGTGAGTAAAACCACTTTTGTTGAGGTGAAGACCCCTCGATTAACACATACACGCAGGAACGATGACTGGTCTTGGAACCTACTTCAAGGACAAAAAGCCTTCTGTCTACAGACTCGGAGTCTGCACAGCGTCTGGCGATCGGGTACCCGGCCCACGTTCATTCGCCCTTCTCCAGCCAGTAGAGTTCCCTTGGAGATCTGCTGTCGATCACATCGAACACGTGGGCTCCCACGACTCTTATGCCCTGTCCCTCGATCTTTGCAGAGAGGGTATAGTCTGTGGTCCATCATCTGGATTCAACCTAAAGGGTCTCTTTCAATTTTTGGATAAGCGAATGGCTGCCGGAACACTAAATGAGCTATCTGCTGAGAACGGAGAGATTCACTGTGTCTTCGTATGCTGCGATCTGCCATACCAGTACATCGACGAATACTTCTCCAAATTGGGACCGGAATATTTCCCTGTGATTCACAACGAGGTAACAATCAAGATAGCACACGTACGAGTTTCATAGAGGGACATCACTGACACATTTACAGAGCCTTCAAAAGGTAGACCTTCACCGATACGATGAGGCCTGGGAGAAGGATCCCACCGATGCTTTCGTGCACATTCCACAAACTGATATCGTCCCAACCGATGTGGACGCGAAGCTGCCTAGCACCCCGCGATATGTGGATACGAGTAGCGCCTCCCTTATTCCTCGGCTTCCGAATACCGTTGTTATCGACCTGCGTCGCCAAGAGGACTATGAGACACTGCACATTCCCGAGTCACAAAATATTCCCCTCGTAGAGTCGAAAGATTGGGAACCTTTCTCGGACCCGAAGGTTCTCGAGACATTATGGCTGAAATTGGAGGCAACTTTCGAGAAGACAAGTGAGATGGGGAAGAAAGTTGAGCAGTATCGCGAAAAGCCGGTGTTGCTTCTCTGTTATAATGGAAACAACGCACGGGTAGCAGCCAGTGTTTTACGGGCCAAAGGATTCGAAGCTGACTGCGTGCGAGGAGGATATCTCGCATTAGAGAGGCTGCAGAAGGCTCACTCAACGAAACCTATGTCTCTGCGGAAAGAGTCAAGTAGTATGGTCCACGTTAAAGAGTTGTTGGTTGATGAGACGCCGCGCTTGAGGTTGGCATGACGAACGTTCGCGAGGTTTAGAAAACACATGGACACAGTTTTTTTTGGACCTTTCTACTGAATTGTCTTCCTTGTCAGCGTTCGTGGACTCGTGGTCATGAATGGTATGCCAAGTAGTCATCCTTAGACAAGCATGGTGACATGATTGGAGCTGTGAAGTCGTGGACCCCTGAGGTCCTTGTGTCTAAGGGCACAGTTTTAGCTCATGAACCACCAAAGTGTGGGTTATCGTACGAAGCCAAGTCCAATCTAAGTCAATCCTCAGAGGGAAGGGCCGGTAGGTGCTGCCAAAGACATTGACGGATAGTTCCGCCATTCCGGATGGAATGGTTGCTCTGACAGATCTGCAGGGGCTTGGGGCTGAATTTCAGGGGACGCGGCAGGGCATTTGAGAATGTAAGCTGACTTATAGAAGAGTAAGGTATGTGGGTCTTGGTGCACCGATCGATGTATTAATAGGGCTACCAAGGGAGGGATCTTGGAATCGTTGATTCAGACATCTCCAACTTTGGCATTCTATCTAAGCTATTCACTCGATTGAGGATTTGAATGGATATATAGACAGAGTGTTTTTGTAAATATTTCATGAGGCACAGACGTTATGCGTTATTGTTCAGTGAATCCCTGGTCATCACTTAAACGTGGTTGCTGGATACACATCGTAGGTTTTGAATCTTCATTCGATTGACTTGTCCAAGAACGGCTTAACTCGCGATTCCCTAGCTCCCGTGCGGACCTAGCCGAGTTGCGATTCAAGCCAGGCAGACTGCAGAGGAATGTGTTTTCAAACTGAGACAAGGGAACATATCACGTTATGGTCCGACCTTGTGCCACACCGTTGCTAACCAACCGTCCAACCATACCGATCTTGTCTAGGACCCGCATGCCTTTTCTCGGTCAATGCGAATATATCCTTGGTCCTGCACATGCCCCTCGTAGGACTACACGTGGTGATGGTCATCAAGGAATCGACTGACCAACCGGTGCTGAAGGCTGAAAGGGGACACAAGTTAGCTTCCCTGAACACTGGGATGAGCCTCGCTGATCAACCCAGCGTCATAAAAGAATAAACGAACTGGTGAGTAATGGAATTACTCGAGGTAGTTTGAGGTTTCCTCACATGTATCATCTTTACAAATTTCAAGAAACCAAACATCATGGCTTCAAGGGCAACTCTGTCAGCATTCACGAGCTGTTTCATCATAGCAGTTTGGAATGCTGCAGTCTCAAAGAGGGGCAGCTGTCTAAATTGGTCATGATTGAGGGAGAATCTCACCTGTGAGTTTAATAAGTCTTTTTTACGTCGATTGTTAGCCGAACATCTATATAAACACCGGTTTCTGACCTCTAATATCACCTGGATCCGTATCAACACGACAAACTCAGTTACTACTACCTACTCCAGTCACATAAACACAACTATCGCGCGCCATCTTATCGCAATGAATATTAACAGCTATCTTGTCGCTTTTGTGGCAGCATTTAGCCTTGTCGACGCCCAGTGCCACGCAGTACGTTCAAACTCAGCCTGTATTCATCTAAAACTTGGGTGTTAATCTGTTCACAGAACAACTGTGCTCGAGCTGTTACCGGCACTCGTCTAGGACCCGCTACCGTGGCCTCACGTCGAGAGGACTGTTCATCCTATTTGAGGACTACCATTACAAATGCGGCTTCAACTGAATATATCACTGTTACCTCTCAAGGGTCGGCCATCACACGTACCTACGCAGCGTCTACCGTCACAGTCACGACCACAGTAACACCGTTTTCTATTCCTCCTCCTTCACTCACATTAGATACGGAGGTACCCATTGTCACGCCTTTCTCCGAGCCCGAACGCCGTGACATCGAAGGCCGTCAAGTCCTTCTTCCCATCCCCGTGTATGCTTCTGCCTGTGATGGCTCAAGTGCATACCGCAGCGCCTGTTCATGCTGGGGTGTGTCTTCAACTTTTATCGTAGTCAGCACCGATACAACCAGCACCGTTACCATTACTTCCATCGAGCGAGATACCATTAGCGTCGTTGACAGCACTGGAATCACCACTACCACAGCATTTGTCACATCTACACCGGATGTCAACGTCCCAACCGATGGCCCTTCTACGATCCCGAGCGTCTCTGAGTTACCTAGCGAAACTTCCTCGGACGAACCTTCTGTCTCTACCGATCCTCCAACGACTCTTGTCACCAGTGTGGTCTCATTGACATCTGAAGATCCCTCTTCTACGGTAAGCGATAGTTCAAGCGGGGTCTCGACAATGACTCTAGTTCCCTCACCCAAGCTGACCGACTGATAGGCAACTGGAGTGACTCCTACTTCCTCTCCCGCCCCTGGAACTTGCAACGACTATACTTCCAGTTTCCCCGTCACGCCTACTGGGGTTGGCGTCTTCTGCAGGTGTACATACGAAGACCCAGTTTGCGCGCAGGGATTCGGTCCCAACTCGAATTCATGGCCCCTCGTCTTGACCATCGAAATCTGCGCCACGATATGCGATGCCGACGCCAACTGCCGCGCTTTCTCGTTCAGCCCGTCGAGATTGCAATGCGTCACGTTGGATGGAGGCCCACTTCTTGGAAGTTATCCCAACCGTGAGGACTGGACGTTTGCTGTGCGCCGGCCCGGATCTTGCATAAGTGAGCAATGTAACGATAATGTCTCCTCTTCGTCAGCGGGTGCCATTGCAACCGCAACCAACACCTGAGAACTGAGTTGGACACGCATTCTCTTTTCCAGGTTCCTAAATAGCTCTAGCATAAGACTGAATGATTTGGGGTCTCAGAAACACATGTCACTGTTCACTTACTGGCCACTTTTTGAAACCGTGTCACTTTGAAGGCTTGGATGCGTTTTGCTTGCTTCGCTATCTGCCCATTGTAACATGATGGATGAGATTTCTGTTTAGGAATTCTACGGTGCCATGTCCATCCAGACTTAAAGAGGTTCCCCAAAAGCTTTTCAATATCTATGTTGATAATGATGAAAGTCGTGATGGCTTAACTAGGTTCCATTACAACTGAATGCTCCGTTCTGACCTACAGATCTTTGAGTGCGCCATAAGCCTGGAAACCGCTCTTTTCACTTAGCTACAAACCCAGTCCGGCAAATTCTATAGTTGAACCGCACTTTAACCAGTGTCTGTTACTTGTGTTGAAAGAAAATACATTGACAACAGATAACGACCTTTATATCTGTGACATTGTAATTAGGTAGTAGTTTACCATAATTAGAGACGATCCAAGTTTCACAAGTTATTCTAAGATAAGTGAATATGACACAGAGCTTAACGACACTATTATAGAAATTAAAATTAAAACTCTGAATGAAACTATTATACACGCTTTTATGCTGTTGGGTATTGGTTATGCAGCAGGCCGTTTACTCATAATTTGAAAATCTGAAAGCTCAGTGAAAACTGTTGTGCAAAACAGAATGGCCTACGAACTGATAGGTTGTTGAATTGCGCAGTGTGCTAGGCATGTGATTGGCTCTGCACATCACTCAAACCATTTGGTCAGGAGCTCTGGATCCAGAACCGACAGGCTTGCGAGCACCGACCATACCCCCATCATAGCCATTCGCGCCGTTCATACCGGTAGCAGCACCGTGGTGGTGGTGTCCGTTCTTCTCACGGTGGAGGAAACCACCGCCTCCACGAGCACCCCAACCGGCCTTGCGAGTAAAGACGGCGTCGTACAGCTCAGCATCAGGGCCGTAGGAGAAAGCCTGGCCACGGTTCAGGGGGATATGGTTGTAGCGGAAGTCCCAGACGGAGGCGTAGGTCATGCGGTAAGACGAGAAAGCAAAGACAATGCCAATGGCAGCGCCAGCGAAAATGTCGTACCAGTTGTGGAACTCGTCGATAGTGAGTGCACCGCCAATAAGAACCGCGCCAAGAATAGGGATGTAGATGATAATGAGCTTCCACATAGCGGGGTGGTAGTCGGAGAACACCTTAAACTTGGCGTTCAGGTAGAGGTACAAGTATCCCAAGCCTGCAAATGCTGCCGTGGTGTGGCCGCTGGGGAAACTCTCAAGGGAGTCGTTGATCTCCTTCATGTCGCCTGTGCAAACCTCCTTGGTCACGTACAAGGCCTGGAAGCCGGCAGCGCTGTAGCCAGAGCGGGCGATGCCACCTTGGCTGGCGGTGACCCGAGAAAGATCGGGCTGGCAGGCCTCGAGGAAATGGGGGCGAAGACCTCCGATAAGGAACTTGATGAAAACTTGGAAGACGGCGGCGCAGATGAGGGAGTATAGGAGACCAATAACGGCGTTGTTCACATCCCAGAAAGAGCGGATGCGGATCTGCATGAGGAGGATAATGAAGATGGGAACAACGGAGGCGAGGAAAGCAGCGAGCCAGATTGGGATGATTTCGTTGCGGAGAGGGTAGGCGAATTGAGGATAGACAACCTCGCCGTCAGCGAAGGTTACGGCGAAAGAACGGTTCGGAGCAGGAGGTGCCATGTAGATCTACACTTAGTTAGTAACGGCATCGTGGGAAAGAATTTTAGTAAGGACTTACTCCAAGGCCTAGAGCACCCATGCAAATCATGGTGATGATGTCGATGAGGGTTCCCTTGAGCCATTGTCCGAAGCTGGGGCGGCGAGACATGGTGTAGGGCTCCGCTTTGCTGTGATGGCCGTTCATGGCGCCGTTGTGGCCATTGGCATGACCGTTGACGTGGCCGTTTGAGTGACCAGCATCACGAGGGCGCTTGCTGAAGAAGCCCATTGTGGTAGTTTGTGGTTGTTGTCTGAGGGTGTTGATGTTGAACTAGAGTAAGACTGACAAGAAATGCCAAGACGGGATGGCTGTGCTGGTACCTCGCAGAGAGCCGCCAGAGTCCTTGGCGAGCTTGGGATGGATGGGTGGCTTGACCTCTGAAGAAAAACTCGAGGTGAGAGGGAGGGAAGTGATCAATTTTAAGCTTAAGGAATAAAGTAGTGGTGCTCGGCGTGTTTGGCAAACAGAAGCTTGCGCAAGGGAAGCATTTGGCTTGACGTCATTTTGTCTAAACCGCAGAAAGGGAACATCGTCGATGCGAGACGAGGGAATGCCTCTCGTTGGAGGGATCGAGAGTTGGAGCAACACGGGAAGCAACGCACACGCAAGCAGGCCACAAGGGGGCGTTCCTATGTGGCCCTAGTAAGTTTTCTTTATTATGTCATGTCCACAGCTCTCATCTCAAGTGCCTGGACTGTCTGGACAGGGAAGCAAGACCTGGTTCATAACTCTTTTTCTGGCTCTTTTAGGATTCTGTTACGCACTAAACCCCAGATTGTGGCTAGTGGATTGACGCCTTTTGGTGAACTGTGGCAGCCAGTGCTGTCATGGTGGTGTGCTGGTGTGGTGGTGCGCAACGAGAGCCACATTACAATCCCTGTTACAGCGTCGAGCAAAACCGCTAAACGACGTCATCCCGCCCAAGACGCGTGGGCGTCCTTGGCAAATCTGGGCCCGTTCCCGTTGTCGGCACCCTTGTCACGGCACTCTAGATCCGACTTCACCAATCAAAGTCTCGGCTGGCTATGCAAATCGAGAAAGCCTGGACTCTGATGATGCACAAGGGCAAGCCATGGCATACGAGACCGTGAGACCATCGAATATTGACCAACTTAGCACCCAAAGTCAAACACATTTGTCGCTGTACGCACAGGCCAGCGGGCGATTTGCTCCGATTTGTCCTTCAGCTGCGCCGATCACAACTATAAGTTTCTTCCAGTGACATTTACGCTACTACGGTAGTTGTGTGATGTTTTTGTTTTCCCTAGTGGATCCATTTGATCCACTGTGATGTCGATATTGATGTTAGTACCTAATTCCAAAGGTGTTGGCGACCAACCGAGAGTCAACGCATGCATGCTGAGAGCGTCTATTCAATGATTGGTTGTCTTACCCAACGTGGACCGCTAAGTGATTTAGGATAAACTTTGATGTTATCTATCACAGCGATCTGGACATTCAATCCCGTAGTGGACGACAAATATTGTTTCTTCTTACATAAAAACAAGCGCCCCTGACTTTTGTTCAGACTCGCACATCAGGACAATGGGAAAGATGGCGTAATCAGTCCACATGTTGCTGCTTCTCTCGTACATCAATTCTTAAATTTAAGATCACAGATCTACAGCGCCAGCGTACGGGGAGGCAAGTTCGCGCCATCAAGTAAATCACAGGTGTTGCCGCACTGCCGTCGAACCTCTTGGCCCTTGTATTTTCATGCTTTACTCTTTGATTGAAGATTATCCATTCCAGATGTGGCTATTGATGACGGATTAAACTCAAATAGCTTCGACGGGATCAGAAAAAGCTTGCCCAGTGGTTCAACCAGTTTGCTTTCTCACCGCTTTTGGGAGACTTTTCAGGTACACATAGGCTGTACCTACTATGTAGCATTATTCCAGGCCCTGGGAAGCTTGCTAAAAATGTATTTTTCCACTGCTTGATTGGTTACAGATGATGATTAACCGCGAAACTTCGAGCTTTTGCAGCTGTTGATATCTTTCTGGCTGTCATATTCAAGGATTCCTTGTCGGCGACCCGACGTCATCCACCCATTTCGCCGTGCCGAATACCGAACGACTAAACCGGCCCTGGATCCGTATCAGGGTACGTACACCCACTCTCGATTAATACTACAGTCAAAATCATTTGCTGTCTCAAATAAGGCTGAGCTGGCACTGCTGGACACCTTTGGGCATTGTGGCCTTCCTCTGCCTCTCTTGCAGGTTTTTCTGCCAACAGCGACTTTCTGAAGTTTACTTTCTCAGTTTTGCCAAAAATAACCACACAGACAAGAAAGCCTTCACATGCTCGAGTTTTCGCTCTTAGCTGTTTATGTAAGATACGATAAGTGTATTCTAATTACTACAAGCTTCCCCATTATGCCTAGAACATCTCTATCCCTTCCGCGTCGCTCTGCTCAGTGGCCTTTTCTTCCATAAAAAGATCATAAATGCCCCTATCTGCCGTTTTAACAGCCCTATATATCCAAAGACCCGTTTGCTTTCCGTCCTTCCCTTCAACCACTGAGTTGTTCTCATCGATATCTTGAACACGATCCGCAACAAGTCGTAGAACTTGTGCCATGGCGATCGGCCCTCCCTCCGGTATTACGACGCGGCTAGCGATGATGGCTGTTGCAAGCCCTAATATCAGCTGCGCCAGCACGACCGACATCAATATAAGGCTAGCATAGTCCCAATGATCCACCACAACATGAGAGCCTTGCACAGGAGGAAAGCCGTCGACAATCATAGGGTCGTTGGAATGTGCGGTGACTGCAAGAGTTCCAATGGCAAATCGCGCCATGGTCATTGCCATCGAGGAATTAAATCCCTTAGTGGGTAGACCGAAGACAGACTCGGAGGGGTAAATTTGATATTGCAGGTTGTCGTCGTCGAGAGATAATACCGCACTTCCTTGTAGAGCGATTGACGCGGCAGCCATTGACCTAAGGCTCTCGGAAACTTCGTGTTCGGGCAATGTGACATTACCTACCGCGCTGACGGTTACGTTGCAGCTGTAATACCATGATGCTGTATCTGCCACCTCGAAGGCGGTGACAATTCTACAGCCAGATCCGCAGTTCTCGGTGTTGTCGGTCATATAAGTCGTCTGGTTGACTCCGCCTCGCACGGGAATGGCTACTTCCTTGACGTTGGAAGCACTGCCCGGTTTGGTATCCAAAGTGATGCGTGTATCATTCCCATTGGCACCATCCAACACGCGCCAGCTGTCACAAAGTGCTGCAGACAAAATGCTTCGATTGGTAGTTACTACCAGCGTCTTTGAATGTCCATCATCGTCGTCATCATCATCGTCACTTTCGTTTTTATTGGCGCCGTCAACAGACTTCTCGTGGAATATGTACTCGCAGAGATGTTCATCGCAGAACATGAGTGGGTCGGATGCTGTCCACAACGTCCCAGGATTCGGGACTTGATCACGCGTACTTGTGTTGAAGGCGAGAGATACCTGTCCATAGCTATGTTGTAACTGATTAGTTCGTGAAGGGCAACAAAAAAGATAAAAAAGAACAGAAAAGCGAAGATTAACGTACGTGTTCGCAGTATATTCCTGAGCCTCAACGGAATCAGGACCACTCCTAACGATTCTTGTTGTCTCAATGCTAGACATATCTGGTATCATAACCTTACCCGCCGTAACGACGAGAGCTACTGAAGTTTGCTCCTCAACCGAGTAACAGAGACCCAGGAGAGCCAGAGCCACTTGTGCTGCCTGGATATATGTCATTATTGGTTGCTGTCTCGAGTGCACGCCGTAAAGGAGGGGCGGGATGGAGAAGGAAGTAGGCACATACAAGAGTCAACCCTAGCCACAGGCTTGCAGCGACGTGAAGTTTCAAGCGGCTTGTCCTTGCAGCTAGCATTATTACGCGGCTGACGCTCTCTGCCTGCAAAATCAGATCGACCTATGGAGCAAGGGTTAGCATCAAGGAAGTTACTGGGCGGAGCCAGAGTAGAGACAGCATTCTGTTTCTGTTCTCTTTTTTTCCACATACCTTCCGTAACGAATGGTGATGCCGACTCAATATCCACCATCGGAAAGTGGCAACAAAATCGTTCAGCCCTTTGACGACAGTGATACTAAGTGCGATAGATAGACCAGTGATAAGGGCGTTGAACTCCCGTTTAGTCATTCTTTGCATGTGTGGTGACCGACGTCAGGCACGGGCGGCATCAACTAGGAACAAAACGGCTTGTATTCTCTAAGTGAGCGAGCGGAGCGAAGGACGCTTAAGAATACGGTCGCTGGAGCGAGGTCACGTGACCTCGCGGCCGAGACGCGGCAGAGTGGGTCCGGAGGCCCGGAGCCAGCACGACACACCCCCCCAGACGGCGCGTAGTCGTCTGGAAAACCGCGCCTCGAGGCCATATCGCTACTATCGCCTAGATACAAGATTATGAGGCTATTCAGAGCCTCTTGTGAATATATATATAACAAAAGAGAGGTGTTGTTGTATTCGCCTCGGTCTTTGTGCTCGAAGTGATGTGAATATGGCGAAATTCGCCCTTGCGCGCCGCCTGGCGCAATAATCGCACTTTCCTTTATTCAACCGTCGTACTTGCCTCTTATTATTGCCAGTTGAATTTTCTGAAAATCCTGCCTTCTGATTGGCCCACAACGTGGGTTGCCCATCAGTTATTATTTCCTCTGCCCGTTGACTCTTCTGCAGCGGTTCCGGCCGTGGCCGAAGCGGCTGGTCTCCGTGCTGCCATTGACAGCCTTGTTGGAGGACACTTGCCGGCGGCTGTTCTCCCCGCGTACAACGTCCTGATGGACACGTACGCGGCCTCCCTCCGAGGTCGTTAAAAGAGCCCGCCCTACGGGGCGTAAGTACGCTTGCTTTTGCTCCTTTGGGAGCGTATCATGCTTCCTGGCCAGGGGCCAAGTCAAAATTTAACTTTCGGCCTCCGGGCCAGCATTGCTCGCGCGCACCTGTTTCTCTTCGCTTCTTGTGACTTGTGCCCGAATGTCTTGTAGGTTTAGAAGTGCCCTGAAGTGTTCGAACTTCGCTCGGGAGAGTGCTTTTGTGAGACCGTCTGCTGGCATCTCGTCGGTAGGCATATATACCACGTCGAACGTCTTCTTGGCATACTCTTGGCGTAGCCATATGTTCTGTATATCAACGTGGCGAAGGCGCGTTGAGATGCGTTCCTTGTCGCCTACTACCAGGCGAATCGTTTGGCGATTGTCACAATGGATCTTCCATACGTCTCCGAGGTCTAGTTCAATATCCCGAAATAAGCGTTTGAGAGCGATGGTCTCCTTAGCAGTGTTTTCGAGGCTAAGGAGTTCCGCTTCTGTAGTAGAAGTGGTAACGGTATTCTGTCTCGCGGCTTTCCACTGAATGGGACCGCCGAACAGTGAGATGATGTACCCTTGAGATGAACGCCGCGTCTCTTCGTCGTCTGCGAACGAGGCGTCGCCCGCAATTAGGAGAACTTGGGCACCTGCACCCCCCGAGCTACCGAAGCAGAGCGAAAGGTAGCGAGTGTGATAAAGATATCTAATGACTTGGTTCGCGGCCTTCTGATGTTCGAGAGACGGGTTCGTTAGGAACCTCGAGAGTGTAGCGCAAGCGAAGGCGACGTCGGGGCGAATCATGATCGCAGTGTACAGAATTGAGCCGACCTTCTCTTGGTATTGCTTTACCTGGTCAGGGGTCGCTTCAGCGGTGTTCTTCTGGAGCGGGACGAATGGCAATGGTGTATGCGGCACGATCGAGTCGATAAGGTTGAATTTCTTCGCTACGCGTTCGATATATTGGTCGTGTGCGAGGTTAATTGTTCGCTTCTCACGGTCACGTATCACGCGAATGCCTAGATACCACTCGACAGGGCCTTGGTCCTTGAGTTCATACTCGGCTTTCACCCCGTTTATAACGTTTTGAGCAGCTTCGCGGTGGTCCCTATGGTATAAGACGAGGATATCGTCTACGTAGAAGAGTACCATCACTTTCTTGTCGTTTGAAGTGAAGAGACAGGGGTCTTCGCTTGCAGGCTTGAGTCCCAGGCGCCGCAGCGTTGATGAGAACTCCTTATACCAAAGGAGGGGAGCGTCTCGTAGCCCGTATAAGGCACGGCGGAGCTCGACGTACTTCCCGTTCTGTTTGAAGCCGTCTGGTAGGTAGCAGACGACAGGCGGGTCTTTCGGTCCTCTTGTTGCGTTTAGAAACGCATTGACTACGTCGAATTGGTCTACTTCAAGGTCGAATTCCGCCGCGAGCGCCATCGCTACTCTAAACGTCCTTGCTGCGAGGGTCGCTGCGTAGGTCTGTTCGAGAGGATGCTTCGCCTGGAGGTCGCCGCGGACGCAAATTCGTGCCTTGCAGCGGTCGAGGTAGCCGTCTTGATCAAGCTTGTAAGTGAACACCCACTTTAGAGGAATAGGTTTCGTAGACGCTTCGTGTTCGTCAATGATTTTCCAAGCGTCCATCTCCTCTAATTTACTTATCTCGGCTTGGGCCGCTTCGTAAAACAGGTTTCGGAGGTGGGTCGGCATTTTTTCAACACTTTTCCACGTTCGTGGGGGCTTTATAAGCTCATCTGTGTGTATTTTCACTCGCTGTGGAGTGACCGCTCTGGAGTGCTTCGCTTGGTGTATTGACGCGAAGACGAAGCAATGGAGCGTATAGTGGGCTTGGTTCGCTTCCTCCACAGCCTTCTGCTGATCAGGCATATAGGTATGGAAGAAAGTTTCCCAATTACGTTCCGTTTGTAGGAATGCGAAGTGTTGGGCGAAGCGAGGTGATCGTCTCGGTTTGCCCTGTTGTTGGCCGTAGTCCTTGCGGTTGTACACCCGCTTGGTCTTTATCTCGGGTTCGCGCCCGTTCCCATTATCCGAGTGTGGCCGCACCGGGTGAGTTGGGGAGTCACCCCCGAGATCATTACTCGAGTCGGCCTCCACGGCCGGTTCTCGTGGAGGTTCGTTGTTGGTCTTGACGTATATCACGTCTTCGACCGCCTCAGAGAGGGCTTCGTGCCCCGGGTCGGGAACGCCGGCGTCCATCGCTTCGGAGCTTTGTTGGCCGGTCGTTTGCCCGTCCGTCCCCTCCGGCGCTGCGGCCGGCTCAGGGGTCGGTTCCGGGGTGAGCAGGCCCTCTTCGCGTCGGCTGTTAACCGCGGAGCGTTTTACCGTTGTCTCTTCTGAGATTACGGTCGACGGCGCGAAGGCAGGTGGCAGGGGCTGCTCTTCAAGTGAAAATACGAGTTCGCTTGGTTTTGCGAGTCCGAGGAATTGGAGTCCTGGGTTCGCCGTAGCCGGAGGTTCCGAGATCTCCGTGGAGACTGTCTCGGCCACCTCCGCTTGTAAACTAGCTTTTGCATCGTCCTTCGAGTAGAACTTCGTCTCGTCAAAGGTAACGTTTCGCGTGATAATCACTTGATCAAGCGAGGGTATCCAGACTCTGTATAGGTTGTGAGCGTCCATAACGTAGCCCACCAGATATCCAATATGTCCTCGCGGTTCCACCTTGAAGTTACGTCTGTTCCTATCCGCTTCGCGGTCCTTTTTCAGGGGATAAGCCCTACACCCATACGCGTACGTCCAGCCCCAGTGGGGGCGAAGGTCGCGGGCGAGGCTCGCGCTGTATTGTGGTTGCCACCAGCGAAAATACTGTCGGAACCAGCTCTCTTCGACTTGAATTGGTGAGAGCCAAGCTCTTCGCTTCCGTGGTGACATATTGTACAGGTAGGCGGCTGCCATGACTGCTTCCACCCAGAGAGTAGTTGGCAGGCCCGCTGCGCTGAGCATCTTTATCGCTCGGGTTATTAATTCCTGGCCCGCTCGTTCGCCTCCGCCATTGGGTTCCTTGGTGTAGGGGGGTGTCTCTTCGATTTCAATCCCGTTATGCTGGGCCCAAAGTTGATACTCAGTCATTCCGTTTATCGCAATTACCGCGCGTTCTACGTCTTGTCTCAGCTTGCACAGGGTGACGCCTCGTTGGCGAGCGACCCATCGTTCGAAGTGCTTGAGAGCGTCGAAGACGAAGGTGTGCGATTTACTTACGCGCGGAAACGCGAAAAGACGACCGGTATATTCGTCTTTGATCACTAAGAGCCAGCGGTTCTTGTCAAAGCTTGTCGGGTAGTCGAAGAGATCCCATGAGACCCTATAGTACGGTCGAATTGCTTTCCGTTCAGAGGTTCGCCTCGAAATTAACTGTTTCGCGTGCGCTGTCGCGCAGTATTCGCATTCCAGACGCGTGGGTCCTTTTATCTTTACTCCTCTCACGTTTGACACCATTCGTTCTAGTGCGTCTGGTGCGAGGTGACCCGAACGAAGGTGCCATAACCAGGCGTCATCATACCTATCAGGTGGTTTACGAAGCGAGAGTCGAGCGGGATCCTGTACTGCAAGCACCAAATGGTTCACGATTCCTGCGTTACTCGAGGTAATTCGCTTCTGAGCAATATACTGGGAACCGGTCTTATATTCGAAGAAAGTAATGTTCATCTTCCTAACAAGATGCTTGACTACCACGCTGTTTTTGTACGTTCCCTGGCGAAGTGTGTTATCCAATCCGGAGTACCAGATGCCTGTCTTTCGGAGGAGTGCTTCCGAAACGATGTTAACGTGAAAGTTCTCTACGTATCCAACGTTATGGAGCGTAAGGTCTGCTGTGAGGTCTCCATCAGGGCCATTTAGTGCTTTTGGCAAGATCCACGTTCCCTTTGCTAGGATTGGGTACGAAGCAGTTCCTGAGTCGACTCTCTCGTCGCCGATGCACGTTTTAATAGAAGACGATTCAAGCAAGTCAAGGTTGTTAACAAGGTGCGTAGCTCCGCAGTTGTCGAGAACCGTGCTTCGTGACAGAACATGGGGTCCCGTCAGTGGGGTTGCAAATACGCTTGGTTGGTCGTAGTCCGAGTCGAAGTCGTCCGAAATTTCCCGGAGAAGTTCACGGCTGATCGTTACTGCGTGGATATTTCTCTTCAGTGTCACCTCTGACTCATTCTCCTCTTGCTGCGATTTCGCTTTAGAGCCGGTATTTCCTGACGACCTATTGCGAGGCGGCGCTGGGTTTCGGAAGCTGGGAGGTTCCGTCGCCCAGATCCAGCCTTTCCGAGCTAATTCGGCTCGGAGATCATAGTTCTCGGACTGATTGATACGCTTTCGAATCTCCTTGCACTCGTCCCTCGATAGTTTGTCCTGGGAAGGCTTGATTCGCCCGGTAAGGGCGTACTCCACGCGGGTGCACTCCAGGGGGTTTGCGTTGTGGGGTTTGTTGCAGGGGCACGCTTCGGATTTGCCTTTTCCTTTCGAACCGCTTTTTCCATCTGAGATTGCTTCGCTCGGGCGACCGGCAAGGGTAGCGTACACACCGCTTGTTTTACCCCGATTTTTGTCGTATAGGGTGTCCTCATACAGCAAGTCCTCCAGCATATCCCTGTATTCACTTACAGTAGGGATGCGGTCCCCCTTGCGCTCCATTTTGACAATTTCAGTGAGCTCGGAGGTCGCCCAGGAGGGGGCAAAACGGTGTCCCACCGCTCGAAGAAAAGTTTTCGAAGCGAGCGTTCCCTGGCTTTCCGGTATTCTGAATCGAAGCGCGCGGAGCAGTACTCGATGGAAGTCTCTTAGCCAGGTCTGGGGGTTTACGCTTGTGTTGGCCTTTTCCAGGAGGAGAAGGTACTCTTCGCGAACTGTAGTTTGACTGCTTGATTCGCTTGGAGCGTAGCGTTTCCGAAGGTACTGAATAAGAGCACGGAGTGAACGTTGGTTGTTCGCTAGGATCTCCGATCTCGCAGCGTAGAGGATGTCCTTGTCGACCGTTTCCTTAACCCAACGCTGAATAGAGTCGAAGTCCCGCTCCCGACGAGTTTTGAGGACGTCGCGGCCTGATTTTGAAGCGAGGTAGTTCGTATATCTTTCAAAGGTCCCGGGCGTGTTTTGCGTGAGAGTTGGTTGTGCTACAGGCTCCTGGAGTTCTTCCCCTGTATCGTCACTCGCTTCTGCCCTATGCTGGAGAATCGAATCGTAGGCTTTCCGCTTCCGATCATAGGTTCTACGCTGCTTTTCGTTCTGCTGCGTGATCCATGATTCGATCGAGAGTTCTTCATCGTCCTCTCTTGGGTCTGACGGAGACGTAGTGTCGTCTGGGTCTATGAGATCCCAGACGTCTGCTGCGTCGGCTTCGGCGTAGAGAGCGTCGTACCAAACGGGGAAGTCCCGGCGGCAGGTTAGCCTTGTCGTGCTCGTGAGAACAGATATCTGCGACGACATCTTCGTTGTAGAAGTTGCTGTTTGAAGCGAAATTTGTGAAGACCGTAAGGAGTTGATGGTGTTCCGCCACGAACCCTTCGTCTGGTTAACAGTAGAAAGGGGTGATGTGGTAAGCTGGGCTCATAACTGTGGTGACCGACGTCAGGCACGGGCGGCATCAACTAGGAACAAAACGGCTTGTATTCTCTAAGTGAGCGAGCGGAGCGAAGGACGCTTAAGAATACGGTCGCTGGAGCGAGGTCACGTGACCTCGCGGCCGAGACGCGGCAGAGTGGGTCCGGAGGCCCGGAGCCAGCACGACAGCATGACAATCATTACCTCTGAATAGAAGTACAGACTGACATAAACAGCAACAACGATAGCTAAAGTAACTAGCCATCCACTCAGAATGCCTAGATAAACCCATAGTCTGCTCCTTCTCCGAGCTCTGAGCCCACGAAATCTGCCTTGTTTGGCAGATGGGCTCTCGGCGGCTACAGTGGTCTCGGATGAGCCATCTACATACGTGGATTAGCTTCTTTTCCGTGCCATAGTATCGTTGTAAGCACCGGGCAGCGCTAAACAAGGAAATGGGAGTGACAAACCATCGGTTAGACGGGCAAAAGACCCATTTCGTTGCATCGTTAATGGCTGTCTTCGCAAGAAAATTTGTCCATATGGGTGGTAAGTTTTAATGGAAAATCAAAAAATTATCAACTCTCAACTAGACACAAGATGCTGGCGAGGAACGCATCGGGGCCCGACTAACGCGCTCCGACGCAGGGATTTAACTATAAACTACACTAATTAGGTAGCCCGGGCTTGCCGATGTGGTTCAGACAAGAAGCTTCTGGGCTGGCACACTAATGGCACAACATGAAAAAAACTCCTGGCGCCTTAGGGCGTCAGTACCAGCACCGCCTCCAGAGGTAAAATTAAGCTTGTTGTGCGGACTTTGATTGGTCGAAATCACACTACAGGTGTAGAGGTTGGCCCACAGCTCAGAAACAGGAGCCGGCTAAGGGACATTCATCCAATCAGTGAGTCTCATCGGACGATACCAACGTTACGAAGTACAAAAGGGGAAATAGGACTTAGGGCCCATAATTATTCATTAGCCTGTCTTATACAGTGTTGGCGGCAGGATTAGTTTTTGACACTCAGTGATTTAGCGAAACCGAAGGGTTAGACCACATTGATGGGCCCAGCCGGCATGCTTATCCGATCTCATAGTGGATATGATTGGGACAATGTGCCTTGGGGTGCTGATGTGTCATCCTCGATTCTATATCAATGGTTTTGACAAACCAAGTAGAGCAAGTAGAGTCAGTTGAAGGGAAGGCCATTGAGCAACAAGGAGGGAGGGGTGGATGGGAAGACATGTCATCTCATACACCTTACTTGCTGTAGAAGGACTTGCCACTGTTATTCTTATAAAACGCCGCGACTCATCCCAGTCTTGCTGCTTTCTTAAGACATACGGCATCACCTCCTCCTGTCGAAGCCAATCATCCTCACTCTTTCTTGAACTATATCTCTAATTCACTCGTTAAACTAGTCTCTCTCTTGCCATTTCTTTACAATGCAGCCATCTTTGCTTCTCGTTCTTGCTGGGTTCACCGCAGCCACGACAGTCTCCCAGACCACGGCCACCTCCTCACTTCCAACAACGCTACCTGGGCTTGTATCCAATGTTCCTTCATGTGCTCTGCCATGCTGGAACAAAGTCAGTACTGAGATCGGCTGCGATACTGGCAACTTGAAGTGTTTGTGTGAGACTCCTGGCGAGCTGGAAGTAAAGATGGGGATTTGCATTCTTTCCAGTACATGCACTAGAGACCAGCTTGGCGGTAAGTTGACAATTTCGCCTCATCCCCTATAAGGACCGCTGAAGAGCTCGGCACCCTACCGATTCCACCGAAACACATCTCGCGGATTGGATGCAGGAGCTAATTGGTACCATATAGACACGAACGCCGTTATCGAACCGATTTGCGACGCCGTTGGCAAATCTCCTAGCAGTGAGGCGATTGCATCTGCCTCTAGTATCATCACTGGGGCTGTAGGCAAAGCGACTGCGACGGCTTCCTCCACCCATAAGCCCACTTCAACCAACGCTGCCAGCCTTTCGGGCCCGGGAATTGGAATGGCTATGGCTGCCTTTGCTGCCGCTATCGTCATATAAAGGATCTGGTAGATGTGGAGGCCGGGACAACCGAGTCTGTAGATGTCTACGTATTCGAGAACGTTGAGATTCAAAGCCGCGCTCGATGCCATGGCCGTCATTGGACACTGTAGTATTATAAACCGTGAAAACGATTGGTATTTACTAGTACATCTCTCAACCTCAGCCGTACAATTGCCCCAAACATTCAAAGCAGCGAGAATCAAAGTCAGGACCCTAAAGCTTTTTTCTGCCCAACCTCAAAGAAGCGATTAAATCCGCTTAGTCTCAGGGGGATAGAATTTGTAAACCTTCATGCGTGCAAATATTGACAGACCATACGCATTAAACTTGGCGATGCCACCATCAGTTTATGATATTCCTTTATGAAAACATTGAAACAGATATGATTTACCGGCTTAGAACGCCGATGGAGCGGCAATAGGAGCCTTTTGCGATCAGGGGACCTACATGTGCCCCTCTGCTTGGCCCAAATTCCTCAACTTAGGTACGAGGTTAACCCGGAACAACCAAAGCGAATCAGATGTATTTAGTTACCAAAGATGTTAGGCCAGGGGAGTCATTAGCAGCTTACGGTTAGATCAAGAAGAAAACGCCTTGCGGAGAGCCTGACTGCGATCGTGGGACGAAAATACTACAGAGCCCACCAATTTCCCCCTTCCAATTTGTTCCGAATCCTTTTGGCATCGGGGTTTACTTACATGGGATCTACAAACTGGCCACAGTACTACACGGTCCTCATAGACTGGGATAGACCTAGGGGGTTACGATATTACTGCTGTCGCTCGCCACTGCTGCGTCGTTAGGTATTATAAGAATGAAGCCAATACAAATTCTCCTTATTGAACTTTTCGTCGGTTCTCAACTCTCCTAGACCTTATTTCTTGAACGAAGAACGAGGCCATTCACTGTAGACGTGATCGAGCAACGATTATTTCTTCAATACCTATGTCTGCCGTTTGGAACAAGAAGCGGATTGCTAAGGCTGCACGACAGAGGTTGGCTCGCGCTCAGGAAAAGCTCAAGGAGAAGGAGAAAACCCAAGAAATGGGAGAGGAAAAGGCCAAGTTAGAAGGTCAGTGGGCCCAGCATGCATGTACTGAGCGGGATGTCGGCGAAGACCAAGGCCACACCACACGATTCTCCCCGAGACCCGAGGCTTCAGCTTGGCACACTACCTGCAAGTCACGGCAATTCTTACCAGTTTTCTTAATCAAACATTCATAGAGACATGCTAAAACTTTAGTAGGCTCACCAACTACGTTACTAAGTCCCCAAGGTCATTTTACAACAGACGAGTGGACTTCATCGCTGTTCGATACCTTTTCACCGAAAAGCTGTAGCACAGACTTCGAGGCCTCTCCATTACAGGGCTTTTACCGCTGATAGCATTCAAATTTCCCATTTTGGTAAAAGGCGCACGGGTAGTTATGTTTGATCGGATGAATGAGGGGCTAACAGGTTCATCAGCTATACATGATTTACTTTCAAACTCTGGAAAACTGCATAGGAGGCTTTGTTTGGTGTAAGGGCCTGGAGGTACTATAAGTTTGGATAAACGCATGCTTTCAGACTATAGAAACATACTATTCTTTACAATCCTTCATTAAATCCCCCCAATTGGGCTGGTTCTGGCGACTATGTAAGAAAGTATTTAAGAAAAGGAAACGGCAGTCGGATCCCGCGGATTCCCCTTGATACTCGACTTAGGAGAACTCTGGAGGATGGAGAAAGGATCTGCCTATTAAAGTTTTGACATGTTAGATATCGTCACGGTGAAAGGGTAGCCTGCAACTGAACAGCTTCCATCCATGTCCCCAGCGTCATGTCAGAGTTACCAGGCTCATGATCTCACCATGCAGCTGTCTGCGTAGAAAAAACCCCGCAATGCAATATTTGTTCAGCGATTTATCTGTTCCATTAACGGCGACTTATAGCTGGCCATCACTTCGGAACAGATATTAATCACATCGGTCGACGGCACGGTATTTGCAACACTGAGCGTATGACCACCCGGAGATACAGTATGACTGGAGTACCAAAGACATAGAAGATGGAAACTTGTGTGAATTTTCCCTTCCAGGGAACTTACGAGGTTGCGCAAGCATGTAATGAGCAAGATTTCACGTAGGCAGCAATACTTGATCACAAGGGACTGCATCACCTAGCATACTTAATGTTATCCGTCACCAGTCCCACATTGTCGGAAGAAGTCGAATGACTGTCAATACACGGATCTCCTGGCATCTCCGACACTGGGTCATATCCTTGAGCAATTACCTTACTCAAAGATGCATAGTCAGTTGCCAGAATGACTTGATATCCTTCGGCTTCGCTTTCTTTCCTAGAGTGTATCGAAGGTTACATGTACCTTCCTTGGTCCGCCTACTTAACCAAGACTTTCGAAAGAACAGATATTGGTACTTTTAAAAACTTGGAAAACTGAAGCAATCTTTCTGCTTGTGATTGCCGAAATGTTGAAAGCATAAATACAGCTAATCTTTTGCACCCCTGAGTTTCTCCATTGGCCCTGTGAGATCATCAGGTCGGCACTACTTCGCGCACACTCGGAGAACGACATAGCCGAGCGGAAATACTTGGTAATGAGATCAGACAAACTCCTCTATTGTTGGTTGAACTCTAAGCATCTATACGGATACATACTTGCTGTTGTCCGTGCTGCGTGGAGGAGGTTTGACAAGGATCGACCACCAACTCCACATGAACCCTCTTTCTAGGACACTAAAACATAAGAGTGTCCTGCTCCTGTTACAGTGGAGATCAAAGAGTTGTAATTGCCCCTATCCAAGTGGTTCAGGGCAAGGCAGACTGAACGGTGGAGACCTGCAGGGTTTTTCGCTTCGATGAAGGCGTCGGGTCTGCCTCGTTATCTCCGGCAATGTCTAAGTAGTGGACGATTTCAGTTTGGCTTCTCCAGTATTTTGATGCATTTTCTTTGCTAGTGGTATCTGCTGTGCTGGTCAAAGGCTAAGCGGATCAGTGACCTATGCAATATGTCTTGGTTTGCCAGTGCTCTAATCTACTCGTCTCACCGCCGTGATCAAATCGAGACTCTGCTGACTTTTGCCCCTGAATGAGTAGTGACCACATGCAAAAAAATGGGGAAACCGAGGCCTCGTAAGGAGTTATATATGGGCTTGGGCGGTAACTTTTGTCTGAAAAGCTTCTAGTCATTGTGAAAGGAAAGGCGAACAAAAGGCACATGCTCGGTGGCGCTCGTCATGTTGCAAACTTTGCTCTTGGTTGCCGGGCACCTGACAACATCACATTGGAAAGGTCTCCAGCCAGAAAAAGCCCCTATTTTGAAATTTCTACCATGTAATTGGAGGGTCTCTAGCTTTGAGACTGTCTTTGGCCTTGAAAGCGGTAATACATGGGAGGATGGTGGACACGTGGGAGCACTCGGGTGGCAGCTCCCTGATGGTCTTGACCACAGCCCGGCGTCAAATAGATTCAAATGTGTTTCGTAAGAACAGGGTGGTTACAACTCTATCCTCGCCTTCCATACTAATTGCCGAATTGATCAAATCCTTTCTTTGTCCTAGTAAGAAACAAGGTGTGCGAGGTTACACCAAGCCAGGCAACCACCTGTTCTTTACATTACCCATGTACTCCATATACTCTCTTCTGATGTCTGGGCTCAAACCCTCTTTCCGCATAAACTGACGCTCCTCCAGTTCAGCGCCATCCCAGTAAAGTTTGCAGAGGACCAAGAAACAACCCGTTGTGATGACACGTCTCCAGCCTGGCCCCGCGGCCAAGTCAAGGACAACGCTGCCTAGCCAACCAAGAGCATAAGACGTGTAGGTCGGGTGACGAATGAGAGCGAACGGTCCACTGGAAATAACGTAGCGTGGCGTTGCGCGGGCAAATATTATGGCCAGGTTTCCCGGAAGCGTCGTTACCACGACAGAGAGAAAGAGCACATGCGACGCAAGTAAAAAGCCTGTCGCGACTCCGGATGCAGTTGTCGAAGGCGTGAAAGAGCGAACTGGAGGATACGCCGTCGTGGTGAGCAGGGAAATAACGAAGGAGACAGCTATGAGGAGCTTTTGCCTGTAAGGATTTGTAATAGGACCATCTTTTACATTCTTTGGGTGGTAAAAGTGAATTGTCAGCGCGTAGAGCTGGGATAAGTAGAAGCCGTAGAGGCAGATGGTAAGAAGAGCCATGCTTTCCTGCGTTGGTATTGATCCTCTGGTAGGTTCTCAGAGAGTGGTTAAACCAACAAAGAATAGATACCATGCAGAGAAGAGTCCTAAATATGCCCTCAGTTTGAGGTGCCCACAACAACTGTCATCGTTCCGTCATAGGATAGTCATCTAGAAATACAGGATTGAATGAGAAGGAGTGTCAATATACGGAATTTTGATGCAATTACGATCAAATGAGCTCAAACACTTGATAACTATCGGAACAGTTACACTTCTCAGTAGAATGCAACTTGATCCGCTGGGGAACATTGAGGGAAGGGAAATGGCTCCTCAGCAAACAACTCTGCCAGACACATCAGTTATTTAAAGGACGACACGTCAATAAAAAACTTCACTGGCGAACCCGCCAGCGAATTGTCCTTCAGCAACAGAGATTAGGGATATGTGGACAAAAGCTTGCCGAGCCGCCGCTTACGGGCGGGGCTACGGAGTCCGGCGCCGCTCACAATGTACGGAGGAAGTGGGGCCGACTTCAAGTCAACCAGTTGTCTGGATTCATTTCATGGAAGGGAAACTCCGAACTCAATAGCATTGGAACAGTAAAGAAACGCGCGGGTAATCGCCCTAAATGCCTTCAAGTATCAACAGCAATGGGTTTTTGTTTGTATTAACCTCCGCCAAACGCCAGTCCTATGAACAAGAGGGCTCCAAATGTGGTCCCGCCCCCAGCGACTCCAGTATCATGTCTTCATCCATATCTCCTCTCGGTCGCTATCGACGAAAACAACATCTTAATACGGATCAAAGTTTGGTGGTTGTCATCCCTTGGATCTAGCGTCGTCCACGGCCACCGCCCATGCCGCCCATACCACCCATGCCAGGCATACCGCCTCCCATGCCCATCTGTTGCATCATGTTCTGCATAGCCTGCATGTTAGGCATTCCACCGCCGCCGCCGCCGCCGCCGAGCATCTTCATTAAGCTGCCCATGTCCGGCATTCCGCCGCCACCACCGGCGCCACCCATGCTCTGCAACCTCTTCTGCATGGCAGCCAACTGCTGTGCCTTGTTTCCACCGGCCATAGCTGATTGGGCGCGCTGCATGTTCTTCATGTTGCCGCCCATCTTCTTGGCCATGCCGGCCATCATCCGCTGCTGCGTCAGCAGGTCCTCAACCTCACGTACCGACGTTCCCGAGCCGTGGGCTACACGTGTCATACGCGTCGGTTGTTCGATGAAGATCTTGCCGTCCGAGTCAAGCTCCTTGTCCGTCATCGAGTCGCAGATGTAGATCATGCGCTTGAGCTTAGCGCTGCCCTCCTCATCGTCCATGCCCTGCATCATGCCGCTCATTCCAGGAATCATACCGGCCATCTTGGATAGTGGGCCCATCTTCATGATGTTGGAGAGCTGGTCCCTCAGGTCACGGACCGTGAAGATACCTTCGGTGATGTGCTTTATCGTATCCTTTTGGTCCAGCTTCAGACTTTGGACGTGCTCTACGAGACCAGCCATGTCGCCCATGCCGAGCAGTTTTGAAACGAATTGTTGTGGTGCGAAGCGCTCGAGGTCAAGCATGTGCTCACCCGTACCGATGAAAACAATTGGTGTGTGTGTTGCCGCTACAGCGGAGATGGCACCGCCACCGTGGGCGTGACCGTCAGTCTTTGTGATGATGATGGCTCCGAAGTCCGCCGCCTCCTTGAAAGCCTTGGCTTGCGACTCAGCCTGCTGACCAATGGATGCATCGAGCACCATGATAGTCTCGTCGGGTCGAATTGCCGTCTGGATATCAACCATCTCCTGGAACAAAGCCTCCTCTTGCCTGTGTCTACCGGAGGTATCGACAATGATTACCTCGAACTTCTCCTTCTTGAACTTCTCAACACCGTCTCGTGCGACCACCGCGGGATCCGTCTCCGTCAATGAGCCGTAGTAGGGAATCTTGGCCTTGGTCGCGTTCTGCTTCAGCTGATCAAAAGCACCGGCACGGAAGGTATCGGCGCAAACCAAGCATGCCTTGAAGCCTCTGGCTTGGTAGTGTCGCGCGAGCTTCGTACATGTCGTCGTCTTACCGGCACCCTGCAGACCGACAAACATGATAATGTTGGATTTGCCCTTTTTAGGCTTGAAGGGTTCGGCGTGGGGATCGACAAGCTTAACGAGTTCATCAAAGACAGCTTTCTGGATCAGGCGCTTCTTGTTGACGGCGGGTGGGAGTTCCTTGAAGTTGACAGTAGACTTGATCGACTTTCGCAGCTGGCCGACAAGGCGAACATTGACATCGGCCTCGAGAAGGGCGGCGCAAATCTCCTTGAGCATTCCATCGAAGGCCTGCAGTGTGGTAAACGGTCAGCAGCTATGTCATCTGTGGTTGGTTACGTAGTAATGCGACGACGGCGACAGCAGCGACTCTGCGGGGTAGGGAAGGCGTACCTTTTCGTCGAGGTTGGGCTCTCTGGTGAGATTTGTGACGGCCGTGTTAATTCGGCGACCGAGATCTTGGAGAACCATGATGGGAGGTTGCGGCTATGGAGCCGACTTGGGTGCTGTGAGCTGGACGTTGGTTCGTGATGCTCAGCTGGCGACGTTGCAAATGGGAATTTGGCTCCTGGGTGGGATGTGGATTGTTGCGCTAGACCGTCCAAAGCCAGTGCCAGTGCCACCCAGCCAGATTTCCATGGCCCTGAGTGGCGGATCTTCAGTGTGGGGTTCCCTGTGACGCACCGACCTCAACCGTAAAGTGGGAACCGGAATTACCTTTCCCCATACTTCAGATGGCTGGCCCGGAGTTGAAGTACTGTTGTATCCAGTGAGGATCCTGCAAATTGCTGCTATAACCACTGTACGGAAGCCCTGAATACCCAGGTACTCGCAACTTCACAACTATGAGGGGGACTAAGCATCTGATATGAAGAATTAAGAGGGAAAGAATTACAGTTTGCACTTTTCCACCTAAATTCAATTTTTCCAAGAGTACGCAAAGCTAGTATGCCTGTTTATGGATATAATTCATTATGGTGCCCTCAAGCAATTCGATTGATAAGACCCGCAACCTCAAGGTGTAACATACTTCCCGCAATGCCCAGCTTGATTGATATCAAAGCCATTTCAGTACTCTAATAGCTACAAAGAAGCCAATAGAGTGGAAATTTTCTTTATTGAACTTATTATAGAAAGTTTCTTATTTCGATATTAGCTTCCGCATCCAGGTCGCTGCGTCCTATTGCTGTGACGCTTCACACTGCTTTTTAGTACATATTCTACCCAAGCAAGCCTCAATCTCAACTGCGATGCTTCCTCTTAGCCTTCCTATAAAATCGTTCAAAAGCTCTGGGAAATCTTATATGGAAAATTCAATGAGATCTATAGGTCTAAGAATGCGCTACACGCCCCTAGAACAGTCATTGATGATCTTTAGAACACGCATTACGTCCCGCTCCTATCCATCCTGCCAGTAGATCTTGTCCCAGTTCTCATAGCTTTTCCTTTCTGAAAAGTTATACCGAGGCCACAGTCAGCCAATATCAATGCAAGCCTGAACTCAGCGTATTAAGGAATCAGTGTGCAGATACTTCAGGAATAGAACTAAACGCAATTGCAGGCACCGGAAAGGCTCTCAAGGTAGGGAACATGCAGTAAATGTGCGAATCTGGTCTGTTTGGCTAGCAAATTATAACTAAAATCCGTCTTCACTTATAAAACACATTTTATCGGTTACCGGGCTTTATGTTAACTTAGATGATTAGACTCGTTTCCTTCATCTCATCAACCTACACAAGTTACTATTGCCAAGACTACGGCCTACGCCAACCCGAATGAAATTATTAGGGCTATCATGACTTTCCCTCTATTTAACGCTCTTCTTTTCTACTTAACACTTCCATTTTGGAACGGCCATCTAAAATCTCAGCGCCTGCCAGACTCTGCTCCCATTAGCGTCATTGATCGCTTTCACAACTGTACTACTGTTCCCACTGGCTTAGGAACATCTGACCTAGCCGATTCACGCTTCAATACCATTTTGAATGCCAGAGAAATCGAATCCGCACTACAGAGCCTCGAGAGCCACTACGATGTCTCTCTTACCCACGCGCCTTATAAGAGCTACTGGGGGTATGCTCCACTAGTAGCACATATCAAGTTCAAGCCTTTGCCTACTCCCCGCCGAGCTCCTTCGACCAAAGAAAAAATACCCCAGACTGTCTTTCTTACGTCAGGCTTTCAAGGCCGCGAGCGCGGCGGCCCAGATAGTCTCATTTACTTTATCTCTGATCTTCTCTACGCCTATGAAAATTCCAAGGGCCTCACCTATGGCAGAGTTTACTTTACACATGATCAAGTGCGACAGGCATTGTCGCAAAATATTATGATTCTCCCAATGACCAACCCGGACGGTCTTATCTGGGATCAGCGTCACGATAGTTGTTGGGGCAAGAACCTGAATCTCACTATGCGTAAAAGCTCACCCTTTGGAACCAAATTGAGAGGAATAGGTGTAAACATCGACCGCAACTTCGACATTGCATGGGACTATAGACGCATATTCAGCAAGAAAGCCACGGATGTCGCATCCGACAACCCCTTGCATGAGCTCTACCACGGTACAGAGCCCTTTTCAGAGGCCGAATCCCGCAACGTTGCTTGGGTTATTAACAATCATCCTGAGATCCGCTGGTACATGAACATCGGTACCAATTCTCGTGCCATCAACCACCCATGGGATATTAGCGGTGTTCAGATCTTAGATCCCACGCAAAACTGGCGCAATGAAACCTATGACGGGAAGCGTGGCGACCCGGAATACTCGTACGGCGAGTTCATGAAGGAAACGGAGAGGAACAGATTTCATCGTGTCGCCTACAACATCGCCGAGCAGGTGCAAGTTGTGTATGGTAAAGAATTCAAACACCAGCATGATGTAAAAGAGAAGAGCAAGCTCTTTCTGGGAGCCTCTGGAACAGCGACCGACTGGGCTTACAGCCAGCATATTGTCAACAAAAAACGCGAGGTTTACTCGTTGAAGTTCCAGTTTGGGTTGTCAGACGAGGAGGCCGAGGCCATTGCACTGAGAGGCGGCTGTCCTTACTACCCTACCAGCGAGCAATACAAAAGAGGCATGATCGAGGCTGCTGCAGGGTATATGAGGTTCCTGCTAGGAGTGTCAGAAGAGTTTCAGAGCGAACCTCCTAGGGTCCCGCTCGAATAGGAAACTAAATGAAGGATGAAAAGATGGAGCTGATTGTGGTACTACTATGATAACGGTATTGACGGGTTAGATGCTGGTGTAAAATGTAACGGTTTTGCAAGATTGAGTAGTTAAAATCCTAACAAATGCTATTTTAATCTGCCTCCTTTTGGTCTATACCCAGTAATCCATGCCCTTTAATCGTGTTCTTCATTCCTCATGGCATGGCTCTTACCACATTCATCATATCTTATCCCCAATCCTTCCACTACATGTAGATTTGGCCAGTAGATACACATATGCCGGGCAGCTACCACCACTACTGGGCCTTCTTTGGTATGAATCGAGCTTTGACGCCAGTGAGCATGGCCATGAAATAGTACTGTATCTCCTCTTCCGGCGGCATCTTTACTTCCACATCAAAATGCTCTAGTAACGCTGGAATCGCCTTATAGACAACCAGCTCTGCAAGATGTCTGCCGGGACACATCCGTCCGCCACCACCCCACGTAAGATTAAAACGCTCCATGGCCCTATCGTCCTTTTCTGCATCCAGCCAGCGATCCGGATTGTAATCTTCCGCATCTTGTCCAAATATCGATGTGTTGCGATGCAATGATACAGGGCTGCAACCGACGGTAGTACCGGCCGGAAAAAACTGATCATGGGCTGTGAGACCCTCAGGGGGCACTGTGCGTGGCAGCGACATCCCGAGCACGGGATACAAGCGTTGGGCTTCCTTGATTGCTGCCTGCGTATATGTGAGACGGATGGCGTTATCGTAGGTCTTCGGGTCGTCTGTTGCTGTTCGAACTTCGTCGGACACCCGCTGTTGAATCTCGGGATGGGAACCGATCATCGCCATAATGGAGGTTAGGGCCGAACACATCGTCTCGTGGCCGGCGCCAAAGTTGGTGATGGCCATGCGGCGGAGGTAAGTCTCCGTGAAATCGGGCTTGTCCTTGTGGAGTTGGATCAGATCTGTCAAGAAATCATCCTTACGGTCATTCTTGGAGATATGCTTGTTGGCAAGGGCGGAGGTGACTCGTCGAGACACTTGGCGGTACACGCCCGTGAAGAAATGGCTTGAAGTGCTTGGGTGTTTTGTACGTTATGCGCCATAAATTTGCAAAACTTCTGCCAGCAGCTTTTGAAAACAGCTCCGCTTTCACTGCGACTGGGAAGAGCCCAAAGACAGACTTGCGGCGCCAGCCCAGATATCCGTGGCTACTGGATGACTGGTCTGTCTTGTCCCGTAGATAGCCGGGAGACCAAGAGAGAACCACAGCCGAGAGCGATTCGACTGCGATGATGTGCATCCATTCTTTGAGATCGATCTCTGCGCCGTCGAGGGAACGGAGGGTGGATATGACGCGGGACAGCACAGCATCAAGTGCAGGCTCGTGGCGCTTCAGGTAGTTTGTTTGATAGAGGGGCCCAATTAGCCGACGCTGAAGACGATAGCGAGCAGTATTTCGCTCAGAAAGAAGATCTAAAGTCTCTGGAGAAGTGAAATTCGGAAAAGGGGTATATGTGATATCCGGCCTCTGAAGAGCTGTCGACACTATGGATCACAATGAGATGAGTCAGACATAGGGGGTATCAATATGACAACGTACAGTAGAAATCTGATTTTTCATAACCGCTGCCGGGTCCTTTACACCAGTTAGAAAATAAAATCAAGAGAGTGCCGAAGCAACTTACTGTAAATTTGCTTGAACGCATCGACGGAGTCGAACCACACCTCGTTCGGGCCAACCCTCACCATAGAACCATATCGTTTATGAAGGGTCTTGCCCAACTCAAGCATCCGGCCATTGCGTACTTGGTATGCGTACCAGGCGTTGGAAACAGCTGCTAACCTAGGACCAGGTACGCGAGCAAGAGGATGGAACACCAGCCGGTAGACGGCGACTACGATCACGCCAGCGACGGCTATGAGTAACGTGATTATGACTGTCCAAAAGGAAAAAAGCGCCAAGGCGCGGATTCCGGAATACAGGCTGTGTACCCCAAGCGCCGGAGAAGGCATCGCCACGCCGGCGCCTTAGATGAATAAGGGCAAGGCAAATGTGGGAGGAATAAGGTAGATGGTATGTGGGTGAGATTGCGTGCGTGATGTGGCGGTTGACAGGACTGCGCCGCGCCGAAAAGAAAATTCAGCTGCAGGCAGCGTGGCTGCACCGTTCCGGTCTGTGGGGCCGGTCCGAGAAAAGTTAAGTATAGCACAGCCAATGGAGTTTAATGTGTGCCCTAGCTTACTGGGCTCACCCTGTGCTGGAGTTCCCCTGAGAAACTGTAAGTTCAGGGAGCTGTGGGAACGCCATAGGGCTACTATGCGCTGTGTAAGGGGCTGGACCCGCTGTTTCGAGTCCCTTTGCGCGGCATCCACTCCGTGTTTCCTTTACACTGGCATTCCAGAAGAATTTAGTGTAGAAACTGTCAGATCTTTTTGCAACCCCCTAGCGCCGGTGAACTAACTCCGAATAGCCGTTGTCCTTGATGAGCTTTCAGGTGATCAAATAACTATGTTGTTGAAGTGTGTTGAATATCCACCTCGTTTCAAGGTACGAATGTCACAGTAACTTCTGTTCTGTTTGGCACATGCAGCCATGTGCTGTTTGTTTGAATTTTGAGTGCAAACGTATCGTGGAATCAGCAACACGCATTTAAAGTGATGAAAATTAGAGACGTGACCGATAGTTGGGCAAGAAGGCGTCGTGAGTTAGATCATGTAGCTGCATATCTCTTTCCAGGTTGATCTCCTCGTTGCAAGTACAATTACCCATCGCCGTGCATGAAGTCGGTCCATCGCCCTGAAACTTTCAATTCTGTGACTGAAATTTAATCTGTGCAATCTTCAAGCTTTGGTCATAAATAGTCACCCAAAACCTTAATGGCTTTTACGCCAGCTTTTGTGACAATCAGAACATTCTTGATCCTTGTGATGTTAACAGAGCCTTGAAAACAGCTTACAATTTTGCAGAGCCAGCACATGGTTGGTTTAGTGACCGGTATAAGTATCCATAATCAAATAATCCTAAAGCAAAATGCGTGAACTTGTTGAAATCGTGGGTTCGTTGACTTCACCCAATTAAAGTGTACAACATCCGCACCCTCAGCCCCCCGCATCTTTGAGAAAACTCGAACAAGCTTGGCTTTGGTGACTTGATTTTTCGGCATTACTAGCAGGACTCTCATGTCATTATTAACTGACTGCCTGTTACCTCCGCATTAGCAACTCGAATACTACCATCTTACAAGCGCTGCCAGCCAACACCCCCTCATACCCCGCAGTAGACCTGCATTATACTCCTTCGACCAAGTAAGGTGCCATCACATACTACGTAGGATCGCCGTTGAGGGCTTCAAGGTTTATTTAATTGGACTATGCAGCGCAGAAAAATGGCTCTGTGGATACATATCTTGTATTGCGGGGGTTCTGGCGAAGTTCAGGTTCGACTCTCTTCGTTCAGAGTTATACCGACTTGACGATCTCCGGCTGATCCCATGCGCGCAAATGAGGAAGGTCTTTTCATTTAGATGTAACAATATAACAGGCATAATGTGTGCTCTTATGTCTCGGCCATCAAACTCCGTAAACATATCACCATGCATCTAACGCGTCTACTGCTATCTGCGGCTGTCGCTACGGCCATCACTGTTCAAGTATCCAAGGATGGGGGCAAAGAAGCCGCATCACTTCAGTATGGCTTAATGTTTGAAGATATCAACTACTCCGGAGATGGAGGTCTGTGAGTGTTGTAGGCAATGATCAAAAAAATACATTCACTTTGGCTAACTCATCCTAGCTACGCAGAGCTGATTCGGAACCGTGCTTTCCAAGGCGACAAGTTTATGGAGTCAACCCTCTTTCCATGGGAGCCAGTTGGTACTGCTACTATTGCACTTTCTCATGATTCCCTTCCGGTTTCCCCTGCTTTGCCGGTCTCCGTTTCTGTTACAGGAAAGGCAGGCGAGGTGATTGGCTTATCAAACCCTGGGTATTGGGGAATTGATGTCAAACCACAGACTTATACTGGGACATTTTGGGTCTTGGGTGACTTCAAAGGCAACTTCACTGCGGCTCTCCGCAGTTCGGAAACAGGAGAGACCTATGCTTCAACCGAAATTCCCTCTAACTCCAATTCCGACGAATGGACCGAACATGAATTCAAGTTAAACCCCGAGGTGGCGGCCGGTCATGAAACAAATTTCACTCTAACCTACACTCTGGAAAGAGACGAACAGGCCCTGCATTTCAACCTCATTAGCCTCTTCCCTCCGACATATAATGACCGCCCCAACGGTCTGCGCATTGATCTCATGGAGACACTCAAGGAACTCAAACCCGGCTTTATTCGTCTTCCAGGCGGCAACAACCTTCAAGGCTCACAGCCTGGCAGCCATTGGAAATGGAATCAAACGCTAGGAGATTTGGTTGACCGCCCCGGCCGTATGGGGGCATGGCGGTATTTCAACACAGATGGCCTTGGTCTGATTGAATACATGCAGGTAAAATAAGACTCACAAAGGCGAAAGCTCATGTAGAACAGTTCGCTAATGGCGACTTCAGTGGTGCGATGACCTGGGCGCCGAGCCAATCCTGATCGTCTTCGCAGGATTATATCTAGGAGGATCAGTGATCCCCGAAGACGAATTGCATGTCTATATTGATGATGCTTTGAACGAGATAGAATTCTTGACTGGCGATGCTTCAACAGAATATGGCGCCAAGCGAGCGGCACTAGGTTACGAAAAGCCTTGGAAACTGAGGTTCGTGGGTGTAAGTTAAGCCCTCTATTCTTCCGGCTTGTGATGTCAAGGTGGTGTTTGATCTGACTTCGGCTATGTAGGTGGGCAATGAAGATCACTTCTCCAGTGGGATGGCTTCATATAATGCGTACCGATTTAGAATGTTCTTCGATGCGATTTCCGAACGCTATCCAGACCTCACTATCCTTTCATCGACCGTTGAGCTGGACCCCATTCCAGATGGAGCTGCGTTAGACTACCATGACTATGGAGTAATGAAGTCCCTGGCCCCTTATTCTCCCTACTGAATTACGCTGACGTGGACTTTCTAGAATCCCGATGGTGCAGTGAGAAATTTCACTCTCTTTGACAACTATACATTGGACCACAAGATCCTCGTTGGCGAGTACGGTGTCGCCAGGGACAATGGCAACGAGGTTTTGTGGAGCAATCACCGCCTGCGGCCATGGTGGATTGCTAGCGTGGCTGAAGCCATTTTCTACATTGGCACAGAACGCAATCCTGACAAGGTCTACGGTGCCGCATTCGCCCCGTTACTTCAAAACATCAATGAGTTTCAATGGAGGGTGAGATACTAGATTGCTATCTTAGGAAAAGTCTAGCGTGCTAACTGCAAGCCATGTCTAGCCTAACATGATATCCTTCAATGCGAATACTTCAGCTACCGTTCGATCGACAAGTTTCCATGTCATGTCGTTATTCTCTCAACATCGCTTGACCAAAGTTCTTGACGTGAAGAACTCTGAGAATTATGGCCCAGGATACTGGGTTGCGGGAGTAAACGAAGATGCTAACACTTATGTATGGAAAGGAGCTGTGTACAACTCGACAGATGATCAGGCATTCAATGTCGTTTTCCCTGACGCAAACAAAGGATCCAAAGCCAGCCTTACCGTTTTGACAGCTCCGGACGCATTCTCGCAGAACTTCTTTGATGGGCCTGACGTTGTTCAAAAGGAATTGCTAGAACTTGAGGCGGGAAGAAACGGCTTCGAATTCACTCTTCCTCAGTGGTCAGTGGCTGTCTTGGAGTGGAAAGCCAAGAACTAGGCAGAGCAGGGAGAATTCTTTACTACCATAAGTGTAGACGGAACAAGAATGAAAAGAGGGTGAAAATTTAACCTTGTACTCCTCATTTGTGGCCATTGAAACCCCATGTCGAATGCCTCGCCGACACTCTGTGTCATTATGATGTGCCACATTGAGAATGTGCAGGGTTGGCGAGTAGTGACAACGCATTAGCATAAGGGAGCATTTCTATTGTCAAGCATATTACATAGAAGCCATAATTACGGAGAATGTCAATGACGCTTAATCTGGAATGATGATGTTCGTTCCTTTTGGCAAGGTGCTTTGCTAAATGTTACCTCGATACAAATCCATACCGTTTACCGTGACATTGAGAAAGTAAGAACGAACAGCTTACAAAAACATACAGGATATGACAAAATATTTGATTTAAATTAAGGGTTACTTTGAAGCTGCTAGGTCTAAATATTACTGCTAGGGACGTTCAGTGCTCCGGGACTGCATCGGTCAGCGATCATACGTGGTCCGGTACATGTGGGGGAACGAAATATCCCGTCCACACCGTAGTATGCGGGCAACAGATTAACCCAGACAAATACCGCACCAATAATCTGGAATATTGAGATGCTATATTGTCAAAGCGTTAGATCTGTTTCTGATTGCTTGGTCAAGATTGGTCTATTCGCTTCAACCGGGAGACGTCATTAAGAACTGAAGAGGATCGAAAAGAAATCTACGCTTCCCCCTAAATCTCTGCCTTGTCTCAAGGATCTACAAACTTACTATTTACTGCATTAGTTGAGACTTGGGCAAAATGGCGGAATGTTGTATCTCCAGATGAATGATACCTTATAAGATGATCAGGGGCAAATAAGCGGAACTGCCTCTCCGAGGAAGTTCTGAATGCACCCTAGGTATGCAGCAATTAATCGTGTGTTTGGTGGCAATTACATGAAGAAGAACTTACAGCAGTCACGGCATGACACCTAGTCCGTTCTCGGACCTCATTCTGTTAGATGAATCCCTCGGCGGGACTTGGTTGAACTCATGTCGGCAATCATCATCAAAGAGAAAACCCACATATCAATTAATGACTGGATGGATAAACTTAGAGATGTAGATCCGTACATAGTACGATATTCTCCGTAATGGTGTGATGGTCTCCGTCAATTATGCTTCCGTGCATGAAGCTAAAGTGCTGCCGCCATTGGCTCAGACTGTGGATTCTCGCAGCTAACCATGGCCGCTTTCTTTTCCCACATTTCGGTTGATCGACGGCCTAGGAGAGCTTGAATCAAGTTGATTATGGTATACGTTGCCATGTTCGAACTAATGGTTTCATCATCTCACTCCACTAGAGCCTTTGGAGTTCCACTTGAGGACGACAGCTCCTAATTGGGACGAGTCAACTTGGTGACGAACATTTCTTCTTCTAAGAATAGACATCCATACGTAGCGTAGAAAGAAGCTGAATTTGAATCCACGTCATCTTCTTAGTCCAGAGGACGCATTGAACTTTTCATCGCTTATGGCTTTCCTCTGTCCAACTCTCAGCCGCTGTCATGCACTGAAAATCTGATGTCTACACATCTCCGAACACCAGTCTGGGAAACATCGGCCGACGTCGTCCGATGTTTCTTGTTGCATTCAATACACTAGCACTATGGAAAAATAAGGAGTTCGATATTGTCTCAAAGAAATATGGCCTCGCCACATTCCTCAATGTGGTTGGCCTGTCCGTCCCTGGCCCTGGCGGCGGTCAGCCCTTCGGGGCGCTACCCAGGATCTTAATTCGGGAAGTGGGCGGGCTTGCGTGTCGAGCTGCCAGCCGTCTCGACAAGGGGCAAGCTAGCAACAAGCCGCAATGCCCGAAACCAGACGTTTCGAAACAAACGTCGACGGGATGCCAATCGATTTCACAGCTCAGATGCTCTAGACCCGATGAACACCTCCTGTCGAGGGTTGACCCTTGGCCCCCAATGGAACCGCCTCACTCAACTTGACACCATCCGACAGGGACTGACAGCGATTGATGGCGCGGGAGCCACGCAAGCATACATGCCAATGGGACTAGCCGTTGTAAGTCAAGCATTGTCCAGCTCCGCAGCAATGGAGCCTTCTTCCGTAGTCTGCGATCATAGTGTCACAGCATGTTACCTGACAGCCCCAGAACATCGTGGGGACATCAGTTGACTGTGGACCTGAGCCGCGTTGACAGCAGCTTCGGGAGGCAAAGACGTGCTCAGTTATGCCTTGTACAATATGAAAAGTTGGCGTAGTCGTTGATGAAAAAAATAAGATATAAACAGTCAAGATGTCCGACAATTCCAACTCTTTTTTCCCCTCTCATCACCACACTCATCTCATCAATATCTCTTCTTTCTCTTCAACAACAATCTCCTTATCCAAAACCCCCTTTCTTTCCTTAGCTACGCCTTCTATCTTTTCTCAGCTTTCACCTTCATTAGTTCGCCAGGATGCGTTCCAACTACATTTTCGCTCTCGTTACCGCCATCGCGGCCATTAGCTCAGCGGCGCCGGCGCCCCAGGTTTCTGGCTCCGCGCCCCCGGCCCCCATCGGCTCCGGCCACCCTCCCCAGCCCCACGACAGTGGAGCTCCCCCGAGCGGCACCCCTCCCCCGCGCCCGACTGGAACCTTCAAGCCCGATGGACCTCCTCCCAGCGGTACTCCCCCAGCTCGTCGCCGTGGCATGTTCAACCGTCGTCAGAACTCAGCCCACCCCAACCCCCCAAGCGGTGCTCCTCCTTCTGGCACTCCTCCTCCTCGCCCTAGCGGTGCCCCAACCGACTTCCCCAGTGGTGCAACCCGCCCAACTGGTTCCCCTGGTGGCCATGGCAACTTCGACGCCGAAGGTGCTCCCTCTGGTGCTCAACCCAATGGCCCGCCTCCTTCTGGAGTTCGCCCCAGCGGTCCTCCCCCGTCTGGAGCTCCTCCCTCTGGAGCCCCTCCCTCCGGCGCTCCCCCTGCTGCTACTGGCAACGCCCGCCGTGCCGAAAAGTCTGCTCCCGCTGGCGCTAAGCCTTCAGGGCCCCCTCCGTCTGGCGCCCGTCCCAGCGGCCCGCCTCCCTCTGGTGTTCGCCCTGACGGTGCTGCTCCTACCGGCCCTCCTCCTTCTGGCACCCCCCCTTCGGGAGCACCGCCTTCCGGTCCTCCTCCTAGCGGCGCCCCCGCTCCTACTGGCAATGCTCGTCGCGCTGCTGATGAGTCCGCTCCAGCTGAAAAGCCTACCGGCACTCCTCCTCCTCGTCCTAGCGGCGCTCGTCCTAGCGGCCCTCCTCCCTCTGGTGTCCGCCCTGAGGGTGCCCCCTCTGGTCCTCCCCCTAGCGGTGCCCACCCTACCGGTCCTCCTCCTTCTGGAGCTCCTCCCTCCGGCGCTCCCCCTGCTGCTACTGGCAATGCCCGCCGCGCTGCTGACGAGTCTGCTCCGGCTGAGAAGCCTACTGGCACTCCTCCTCCTCGCCCCAGCGGTGCTCGCCCCAGCGGTCCTCCTCCTTCTGGCGTCCGTCCTGAAGGTGAAGCTCCTTCTGGCACCCCTCCTCCTCGTCCCACCGGTGCTCGTCCCAGCGGCCCCCCTCCCTCCGGTGCTCCTACTGGTGCTCCTCAGCAGCAGCGTCGTGAGGCCAACTCATCTCGCCCTGCTCCTCCCTCTGGCACTGGTGCTCCTCCCCCTCCCCCTTCCGGCGCTGCTCCTAGCGGTCCTCGCCCTTCTGGTGTTCGCCCTGAGGGTGCTCCCAGCGGACCTGCCCCTAGCGGCCCTGCTCCCACCGGCCCTCCTCCCTCCGGTGCTCCTCCCGCCCCTACTCAGAGAGCTTAAACATGCTCTCAAGACAACGACATTGAGAGTGCCCTACCCACAAAGCAGCGAATCTGATACCACCACCTTGAGTCTGGGTTGTCTTCCCAGGAGACGTTGGGCTTCGATCAATTGAAGGAACAAAAAAGGGGATGATGCAGGAGACTTTGCCGTCGATGATTGCAAGACACTGGCGACTTTTGTTTTTTGCTTTGTAGATATTGGTGAGATTTGGTGGGCATGTATCCGTATCATAGCATTTCCTTAGAAAAACCCGAGAATTACAGCGCTGTTACTCGAAAGCTTATCCAAGTTCCTCAATTGTGATGCATGCCTCGAATGTGGAAGCAATAGTTTGAGAAGCTCCTAATGCCACGCGTGAAATATTACAGCTAACTTGGGTCGAAAGTCCCCCTAAGTAAACGGACTATTATAGTTGTCAGCGACATGGCTGGCTTTTGTTGTAATGACGTTGATCATGCTACCCCGCTTCGACTTGTCTTCCATGGCTACTAATTAGTAGGTAAGCCAATCCGACTTTGAGAGCGCACGTGAGAAACCCATAAGTTTCCAATCAAATTAGACTTTGGGGCGGTAATTGCGCATCCTCAGACGCACCAAATGTTCTCCTCATCTTGTCACAACCACCTACACAGACTCGCAACTTGTGGATATACAACGCTGCTTTGATGAGAAAGTTCTGATCATTGATACTCTTCGAAGAATCATAATCTTAAGAACAAGGCTACTAGTCAGTCGACATCTACCAGATCTACATGTGAGGTTACTGAGCAATCGCTGTCAAAGTTGAAAACTACCATGCTGCGAGTTCCGAAACTTCCGGCGGAAGCCTGGGATTCGCACGTCCATGTTATCGATGAGGTAGTAACATCTGCAGCATGTACTTTCAGTTGATGATCACTGACGTAATAAAATGAAGGATGAATTTCCTTTTAGTCCAAGCCGGCCATTTACGCCAAAGAGGGCTAACGTGAATGATCTTGTCAAGTTCGAAGATGGCCTTGGCATCAAACATGCAGTTATTGTGGCTGCATCGATATACGGCAATGACAACCGAAGCATAATCGACGCTCTAAATCGTATGCAGGGCAAAGGGCGAGGTATCGCCTGTATCGACCCCGAAGCGGTTACTGAAGAGGAGCTTGACGAACTTCACCAGGCAGGGGTTGTCGGCGTCCGTCTCAACTTGTGGAGCTTTGGCGCGACACCCGATAAAGAATCTTTGAGGCTTACATTGAACGCCCACGCAGACCGAATTCGAAGCCGAGGATGGGTTTTGCAAATCTTTGGGACGATGAATCAGTATCCGGACATCTTGTCCATAACTCCAACTTTGGGAGTCGACGTAGTGATCGATCACCTCGGCTATCCCGACCCGGCAAATCCACGATTAGATCCAGCGGGGAGGCAGGCTATTTTGCAAGCTCTACATTCCGGTCATGCATGGATTAAACTAAGCGGGACTTATCGGTTCCCGACAACACCAGGTCTAGACGAATATGTCAGAGAGTTGCTCCAGACAGCTCCAGAAAAAATTGTATGGGCGAGCGACTGGCCTCATGTCGGCGGGCCTCCGAAAAACCCTGGTGGGGACAGGTTTCAGCAACAGGACTTCTTAACTGTTGACATTCCGAGTTTCATTGACCGCTGCATTGAATGGTGTGGAGGTGACAAAGAGTTGATAGAGAAGTTGTGGGTTCACAACCCGCGACATCTTTGGAGGTATGAAGGCAAGGATTGATCAATCCGATCGTTATAAGATTATTGGCATAGCTTATCAAACAATCTGAACAATCCTCCCGTTGTCTTAGGGTATGGTACATGATCTGCAGTTATGGGTCATCCACGATTGACCGGCAATCGGAGTTGGTTCATGTCAATGTAACCCAAATAGACTCTCTGAATGAAGGGCTATGTAAATTGTGTCGAGAGATGTGACAGACTCGGGGAGTATGCAATTGTTGCGGGGTCAGCCTCTGAGGCCGTTAAGAAGGGCCTACCCTGCGGCTTCGAAGACCGGCATCGGAGTAAGCCCACTATCGGGACGTTGACATCGGAGAGTGAACCGAGCTTCTTCCATTTTCGGCTTTCAATCCGTCTGCCGCACCGCAAAATATCTGTTACAAGCATGAATGAAACTTGGGCAACAAGATGACGTTTCTGAAGCTGGCATTAGGGGTACAATATCAGAGGTGCCTACCAAGCATTTCGAAATAAATCTGAGCTCGGCCCTTTTGGCCGACATGAAATCCGGGCAGGCCCCGAAGGCCTGTGCTGCACACCGATGCACACCTACAAATATCCTTTGTTCCCAGGGAATTTAACCTTGACAATTCGTCCGTCTGAACTACGATGATGGACACACGTGCTGCCCACGTCACGATGATTACAGCATAGAATTTGTGTCTGTATGTTAAAGGCCTTGACAGCCTTTTTTTACTTCTAGATTTATTTAGTTGTTATTTCATCTTCACTAGCCAAGGGAGAAAATAGCATCATGTGATCGGGCGTCGGATACTGCATCGTTGCATTATAATGTATATAAGGATGACCTGCATATATCCGGGGTAACAGCACTGGTTATGACGTGCGTCACGTTACCGGGGGTCGGTAACCCGGGCTACGATTCCGTGGCACCCCTCATTTCGTTGTTCATTACTGTGTTCTAATTGGCTACCCACCGACCACATTGTCGGCGTTGGCAGACTTTTGCGCCTCAATTGAGACGACCGTGACGATTTAATAATATCCCGTCGCAGCTGAGGAGATTCTGTATCTTGCCTTTGAGCGACGCCACACGAGCTGATTTGAACGCAATGCCTCAACAACCGCCTGGCAAACAACGGTCGGCGAACGCGTCAGTCTCAATGACCTCATGACCTCATCTCACGACGTGCCACTGACCAGTAACTTAGCTGCAACACTTGTCGGCGTCGCAAGGTGAAATGTTCAGGCGAGCAGCCTTGTCGCAATTGTGTCAGAAACAAACTTGACTGTGAATTCGGCGCCGGCCGCCAACGATACTCTGAAGCGTGAGCCACTGCATTTCTGGATGTTGATATAAAGTACCCAAAGGATGTGGCTGACATATCAATTAGTTATGTCCAGGAGCTTAGGGCAACCGTAACTCGATATGAGTCGCAAATCAGAGGTAGGCAACATGATGTATCTTGATATTGTTACAAGCAATGCAGCATCTGTAAGACAGCTCTAACTCTGCGTTGCTGCTACAGAGCTTAAACAATCAACACCCGCTCCAACGCAAGGCGGGGTTTCAGTCGCCTTGGAAAATACACTTGGCATTGCTCCTACAGAACCAACAGGCGAGGTACCTCCACCTCCAAGCTACTGTTAGTACAACTACATTCCACCGTCCTTTGATGACAACACAATACTCACAAGTACAAAAGCCTCTATAGAACGCGCTCCTGGTCCGCTATTTGAACAACGCGTCAGGAATCTATTTCATAATTCAGGCAGAGACTCTCCGGAGCAGGACTCCCCTGAGAGCAACTCGCATGAGAACCAACAAGATGCCCCCTTCACTCCAGAATGGACCTCAACCGAGGAGTTGATTAGGGGCATCCCTCCTCAGACCATGCCCACGGAAGCCGAATCAAATCGTCTTCTTGGCCTTTTCAACGACTATATGAGCGGAAATCAACATTTTATCGACCAGCGAACCTTTGCAGACAACTTGACATTACTATTTCAAAACCAAGCCACTCGAGCCAAACAGCTGAACAGCCCCTGGTTCACACAATACATGCTGGTGATGGCTATGGGAAAGTTAATGGAAGCGGACAGGAGGATATACGACGGCCCTCCGGGAGCATTCTATTTTGCCGAAGCTATGAGGCGGTTTCCACCACTTCATAGCATTAGCGAGTATGGCATAGTTGCTGTTGAGATTTTGTGTCTTGCAACAACTTATCTCCAGTGGTGCGACAGAAAGAAGGATTCATATTTCTTTGTATGGAGCAATTCTTGACATTCTCACTGAAACGCACATTAACATTTAAACAGGTTGGTACAGCTGTACGACTAGCTCTCACGTTGGGCTGCAACTTGCCGTTTTCTGAGCAGCAATGTCTTCCTTCAGAAAGGGCACATCGAACTCGAATTTGGTGGACTGTCTATATGCTCGACCAGTAAGTTCAATATTATAGTGGAGCAAGCAAAGAAACCGAGCTGACATGGCCATAGACGAATCTCTGCAGGACTTGGTTTGCCGGCATCTGTCGATGACAGACAAATAACCTTTGACCTTCCTGGCCCGTCACCTGGTTTTGAATCCCCTGAAGCGTTGAATATCAACGTACGGATTGCCCGTGCCACTTCTGAGATAATGACGTGTAAGTTTTGGTCCTCTCGCTACATTCATATACCAGTTGGTTCCTCTGTTTCATATTGAATACTAACAATTTTGACCCACAGCACTATACAGTAACGGGGCTTTGTCTCAGGGCGATCTGATCAAAAAGATGCGGAATGTTCTCCAGTCATTATACGACACTGGACGGTCCATTCCAGCCAACATTGCCATAGACTTCAAGAATAAGGAACTCGAAGTCACGAGAGCAGGTTCATCACTCTACCTCAGATTATTCCAGGTACGTGATCCGTCCTTCTTTCAGTTCGTCTTCCATTCGCTAATGTTTTGTGCGAACTTTCAGGCTATTATTCTTTGTATTAGACCTGTTCTCCTCCAAAAGGTCAAAGACAAAGTTCAAGACACACAAAAGCAGATTGTCACGCCAGCTATATCGCAGCTATGTTTGCTTTGCAATGAGGCAGCCCTACGGACTATTCGTATTTTATACGCCATGAAGAAGCAAGATGAAATCGGTCAGTATTCAGTGGTCGCCACGGAACCTGGCATTTGATTATCTCATTACGAAACACTAACTCCTTCCCAGCTCCTTTTGCATTTTTCGATTTGGACGCTGCATTCTCAGCGGCATTTGTTCTCATTATGCGCGGCTTCGCTCACAAAAATGACAGCCAGAAGCCGCCACCTCCAGAACTGCATCAAGCTGTAGAGGTTTTGGAGTATCTCTCTAGTGCAGGTAACAACGCAGCATCACACCGTCTGAAAGAAATCAGGCAATTACAAGCCCACGTTTGGGCCTCCAGATATCCCCCTCCCGAAAAGGATGACGTTCAGATGAAGGATTCTGAGAGTTCCTCTCGTCCGACCCGAGCCGGAGGGGCTCATGAGCAAGGGACACCAGGACAATCAGGGGAAGGCAGCTCGGGGTCGCAAGTAGTTTTATCGCCTCCTGACCCCAGCCCCTCGACTCAGCCGTCGTGGGATGGAGAGATGTTTGGTACAGATTCAACAGAGTCTTATGACCCTGACACGCTATTTGGGTTGGATCTAAATGGAAGTCTTGGCCAAGAGTTCAGTTTGGAAGCTGAAGGAATTTATGCCAGTTTCAACGATCCTTCACTTCCGCTTACCGGAGTTGATCAACTGGATTGGGCCGAGTTAGAAAAGATGATGGCACCCGGAGGTTACGGGTCATGAAGAGTCACATTCGAGCCAATAAATCAAATGTTTCAACACAATTCCGAAAATACTCCTTTTCGCCAGAAACCCGAGGTTGAATGATGAACGCATGATTGACAATCAACTAGACGTATCCGCTCGACCGCGACTACTCTGATAAGGCAGTTGTGGTAAAGTGGGGCCAATCGGGTATCATCCGCACGCCGAACGCCATGGTTTCGGATCTGGAGCCGAGCTTCACCATGACTCCCCATGAGAGAATTAAACACCATCGGAACAGAGCCGAGCTTCAGTTGAAGTCAATTATCGGCATCATATATATTTAAGACTCGTCCTCGATTGTGTAAGTGTAGATTAGACTCAATAATACGTTCAGAGAATCACATTATTTATTCAGCAATTATCTGAGTTTTACAATCTGAAAATGGCACAACAGACTTCTGCGTTGGACAGCGTTGCTGTCCTCGGGGCTGGCAACGAAGCTTCTCGTCTCATCCTGACCAAAGATGCATCCAAGTTCCTGGCAATCATTCACCGCAGTTTCGAGCCTACTCGCAAACACCTTCTCAAGTTGAGACAACAACGTCAGATTGAGACCGACCAAGGCAGACTACCTGACTTTCTGCCCGAAACCAAGCACATCCGTGATGACGATACTTGGAGGGGCGCAACACCCGCACCTGGGTTGGTTGATCGCAGAGTTGAGATTACCGGACCCACAGACCGCAAAATGGTTGTGAATGCACTCAACTCTGACGTTTGGGCCTACATGGCAGACTTTGAGGGTATGATTTACACTGTTCTATCAATAGGGGAAAAAAATGACTAACAAGTTCCAGACTCGAATGCACCGACTTGGGAAAACATGATTCAAGGCCAAGCAAATTTGTACGACGCTATCCGTCGTCAGGTTGACTTCAAATTGGGCGAAAAGGAGTACAAACTCAGAACCGACCGCACTCTGCCAACTTTGATTTGCCGTACCCGCGGCTGGCATCTGGATGAAAAGCACTTTACTGTAGACGGAGAGCCCATGTCGGGAGCACTTTTCGACTTTGGTCTCTACTTCTTTCACAACGCGAAGGAGTTGATTTCGAGAGGAGCCGGCCCCTACTTTTATCTGCCCAAGATGGAGTCTCACCTTGAGGCCAGGTTGTGGAACGACGTTTTCAACATGGCCCAGGACTACCTCGGAATTCCTCGGGGTACGATCCGAGCAACTGTGTTGATTGAGACTATTAGCGCCGTGTTCGAGATGGATGAGGTGAGTTCAACATTGCCTGACCAAACCCAGCGGATGAAGTATACTAACATAACCCCCACAGATCATTTACGAACTCAGAGACCATAGCTCTGGTCTCAACTGCGGCAGATGGGACTACATTTTCACCTTTGTCAAGCGTTTCCGCAACAGACCAGGCTTTATCCTTCCTGACCGTTCAGATGTCACCATGACCGTTCCCTTCATGGACGCTTACGTGAAGCTGCTGATCAGTACATGCCATCGTCGTGGCGTTCACGCCATGGGCGGCATGGCCGCTCTCATCCCCAGAAAGGACGACCCTGTTGCCAACGCAAAGGCGATGGATAATGTCCGCGCGGACAAGCTACGCGAGGTCAAGGCCGGACACGACGGTACCTGGGTTGCGCACCCGGCACTGGCATCCATTGCGAGCGAGGTTTTCAACGAGCACATGCCGACGCCCAATCAGATTTTTGTCCGATCCAAGGTTAGCGTCACTCGCGATGACCTCCTAAACTCCGTTGTTCCCGGCAAGATCACCGACGATGGCGTGAAGAAGAACCTACACATTTGCGTGGCGTACATGGAGGGATGGCTCCGCGGTGTTGGTTGCAGCGCTATTAACTATTTGATGGTAAGATTTTTCCGAGTATAACTGGTAGAGAACGAGCAGATATCTAACATTCTTATAGGAGGATGCTGCAACTGCAGAGGTGTCTCGCACGCAGCTGTGGCAATGGGTCAAACATGGCGCTAGCACTGCTGAGGGCACCAAGATCGATAAGACATATGTGTTGAACACTCTTGATCAACTCACCAAAGAGCTTTCAAGTTCCGCTCCAGCGAACAACAAATTCGAGCTTGCGGCGAAATATCTTCAACCGCAGGTAACAGGCGAGGATTATGCTGATTTCATCACAACGTGAGTCTTCCTGTTCATGACAACTCCCATATATATGTACTAACATCCTTTTCTAGTCTTCTCTATGATGAGATTACTTCTCTGGGTCCGTCAGGGAAGTCGTAATTGTGTGATTTTTTTTGGATGATTTATGGAAAGGTTAAGGTTGGTGGTTGACGCAGCGGTTTGCATTTTGTTATGCATAACAAACGAGAAATTTTGCTTTTACATTTCTCTCTTAAGTGATGCGATTGCATCAACACATTTTATTTTTCTAAGGGCTAGACTAGGTGGTTGTTACGTCCAATTGTCCGTGCGGGTAATGAATAGAAGAATTGACACGAGCATTTGCATTAGTACCACAACAAGACGTTGGGTCATTTTTTGTAAAAAGTATAGATTCTATCAACATATCCGCCTTGACAGTGCAACTAAAAACAAAAGAATCGACGTTGGCCTGATTCGAACAGACGCTCCCGAAGGAACAAGATTTCTAGTCTTGCGCATTAGACCACTCTGCCACAACGCCACGATGTTGAGTCCGCCTGAAAGCGGGTATGCTGGGTAACCGCCTCCACAATCTCAAGGTCCATCGGGCAAGCGAAACACAGGACACGAGCTGTTGATGTCGGCTTTCTCATTCCTAATCAGAACCAATCAAGCGATATGGTTTGAATTTCATCGCCTCATTCTGTGTCTACTTGCGAAGGTGCACTCGCCCTCTGCTTCAGATCCACCATTCTACTTTGGAACATCAAAACCCAAGCGAATTTGTATGAAAAGAATTTCACCCATCTTGCTTTCAACTATTTACGAAGAATAAAATAGTTATAGCGAACCGTTCTTTCCATGAAGCGCTTTTGATTATTAGCATCACCTCTTAAAGGAGTTGTTACTGTTACATGGTTCCTAGGAAAGGCTGGAGTAGGCTGGCCTCGTGAGAAATATCATGACTTGTAACCTTCTGAGATTACCTCGAGCAATAAAATAGGTTAGTTTGTGAGAATGGTAATTTCGTCGTCTCTTTTCTCTTTTCTCTTTTCAACCGAGAGCCACACTACGCATAGGCCGTAGGACGAGAACTTATCCCTCATTTAGCGATAGAACCATGGGGATAGGACTTTGGCCTCCGATAGTAATCGACTACTCTCATTGTAGGTAATGCCTCATCTGCCTCGCTGGTTTCGCTAACTGATACCCACTACCTACTTGCCAGGTCCGTTAACGCTGAGCATGTGCAGCTAGCGTATTTACAGATGTGACAGGGAGGTGCGACTACTCTGTCACAGAGGTTTGATTCTGACTTTTGATCTAAGACAAAGCTCCTAGGAAACACGAAAGTGCAGGCACAGAAAACCAGATAATGTGAAAAGGCGGATGGTCTCGAGGAGCGAGTGGCCAAGGTCCGGCTTTCCGGGCGGATGCTGAGCCGTGCATTAGTTGGAATGAACGGATAATGTCAGGGTCTTCGGTTAAGTCGGCAACCTGCATTTCATGGCGACAAGCCACTGCTTCCAGAAAGGGAGCTACAACCAGACGATGATTCTACCATTACCTTGGGTATCTATCTTAACCAATCAGACCGCTATCAATCTTTTAGGACTAGGTCACCATGTGCTTTAAACAATTTGCATGTGGAAACGTTTGCTGTGGGTGTTCCACACATGCTTTCCCCATGTAAGACTTTGACTGATCATTTCCAGAAGTAGAGAAGTGCTGAGCCGCCTCAACATCAGTGCTCTATAGGAATGGCATGAACTCTTTCGTCAAGTGGGCTATCCAGACAGTTACAACCATTTGTCTGGTTCTGGCTGCATGGAGCCTTTTACAGACCGGTATCTTTCAAAATGAACTTCAGAAAACCCACCATAAAACGATGGGCTTTCATCATGATGGTGCCTTGTATGAAGTAAGATCAACTGAATTGGGCGGACAACATGCGGCTACCATTACGAGAAGTAGGGTGAGTTGTGCCAATGTTAATTTCCCCGCTTACAATGGAGACCTAGGGCTGATGCTGGGACCAGCTACTTCGTACGGCATGGCCTCGCATTGGTGGCCTTGTTCCCGAACGAAATCAATCCTGGGGAAGAGTACGCGTCGTAGGCAATTGATAACATGGGGAAACATGGGTGGAGGCTGGGATTGTTTGGTGCAGCCCACCCCTTGTCACTGAAGCACAATCCTTGCATTGCGTGCGGGCGTTGCTCCAATCGGCTGTCCGCGTAACAAAAGTCGTGATGAGCGGCTACTACGTTAATTCGCGGCTCTGTAACGAATTCCAACTACACTCCAAGACTTCCATTCTTCCATCTCGAGCAATTCGGATGAAGAAACGGGGTAACAAACTTGAGTTTGATGAGGTGGGGAAGCGGTTAAAACGGTGTTGGTTGAACAGATGAACGAGCCACAGTTATGCGTTTGCCAAGAGGAAGCCAAGATAAACAGCCTCTTGGCAGACCCAACTAAACGTACGTTTCGGTCGAATTGATAATGACGGGAAATTCATATCTTTCCACCAACCACACGTCCGTAGAACTGGCCGACGGTCGCTCAAAACTGGCTCACCCCCGTGGCGGCTGAGTGCGTGGTATCCATAACCCCATGCCGAGCAAGCTTGAGTGATGCCGGATGAGCTTGACCCCTCGAACCGAGAACTCCTATCCCCTGCTTTGACCCTCTTTCCCCGCATGATATTTGCAAGGTATCCGTGAGGAGGCAAGAAAATCCATTTCGATTTGTACTGGTGCAGGTGTAGAAAACGTTGGCCGACCTCGTCTACATAGAGTCAAGGTTCACTTGTGGTCGGAAAAACTCATGTTCGGCGGAGACAATTTGGAGATGACTCCACAAGCCGAGCAACTCCAAGTTCTCGTTGATATTGCAGCGATGGCGGTGGGTGGTTTTCAGTTATTAGTGGTATAGATCTCTAGCCAAAGTTTCTCGATGCTACCCTCTCCTGTGCGCTTCACTCCATCCATTTCTTTCAGGGACCGGCGACAAAACACATTTCACCATGCAGCTACCGGTAACCCTTGCTGTCGCCGCTTTGGCATCGACTGTTGTCCAGGCACGAGACTTCATCCCTCGGCCTGACATTCAGCCTGGTCCCATTAAGCCTTACAAGGCTATCCCGAAGTCAACTCCTCGCACGAAGACTTGCTTTGTGAAGCCTAGCTGTACTAAGGGTCGCGATGATACCCCCAAGATCATGGCCGCCATGCATGAGTGCAACAACGGCGGTACCATCGTTCTAGACAGCGAATACAATGTCTGCTCGCCGATGGACCTTCGCTTCCTTAAGCACGTTGACATTGCCATCACTGGTACCATCAACTTCTGCGATGATGTCGATCATTGGCTGCCTCTGCTGTTCATGTATGACTACCAGTTCGCCGCCAGCCAGTGGGTTATTGGTGGCGAGGACGTCAACATTTACGGCGCCGGAGTCGGTACTTTGAATGGCAATGGTCAGAACTGGTACGACCGTTTCGACACGAACAGAACCTTGATCCGCCCTATTCTTCTTTTGACAGACGGTCTGCGCGGTGGCTCAATTACCGGTCTTAAGATGCGCAACTCTGCCAAGGTAAGCGCGCTTGCCAGTTTAGATCGGCAACTGACTAGGCTGCTCACTTTATATGTTCTTGGGCTAACTTTGAACTCAGTGGCACAACCTCATTATGAATTCCAGCGACGTTCTGATCTCAGATTTCGACATCTATTCCCGGTCTACCAGCAGTTACGAGGCAAAGAATCTAGATGGATGGGATACTTACATCTCAGACGTATAAGCCCCCTCGCCTTCATTAGAGGTATATCTACTAACATCTACTAGAATATCATCATCCAGAACTCCTGGGTTGAGCATGATGATGACTGCGTCTCATTTAAGCCCAACAGCACAAACATCATTATCCAGGGCCTCACATGCTTTGGGTCTCACGGTATTTCTGTTGGCTCCCTTGGCCAGTATCCTAAGAGCTTCGACATCGTAGAGAATGTGTACATCTACAACAACACTCTCAACGGCGCCGCTGATTCTGCTCGTATCAAGGTGTGGCCGGGTGCTGAAACCGACTTCCAGCCCGATCTGGCAGGCGGCGGTGGAGCTGGATACGTTCGCAACATCACCTACGACGGCTTCTATGGCACCAACAATGACAACGCCATCAAGATTGACCAGTGCTACGGAGAGAAGAACGCCACTCGCTGCGCCGAGTTCCCCTCCAAGATGAACATCTCCGACATTGTTTTCAAGAACTTTGCCATTACAACCAACTCAAAGAACGCCCCTCGTGCCGGTGACTTGATCTGCAGTGGCCCTGGCGTAAGTGAGCTCCGAAAAAAACATTGTGCTTCGGATGTGCTAACAGGTTCCATACAGACATGCAAGAACATCCGCGCGGACAACATCACTATTACTGTTCCAGGAACCCAAGAACAATACTGGGCCTGCAGATATGTAGACGAGTCGTTGTTGAACCTTGGTGGTCGGGGCTGCGTGCCCGCTTGAGACTAAATGTGGGCGAAACCAGCACAGAACGCTCAGAATGGGAAAAGTGGTGTTGTTGGTTGGAAGAACTAACTAACTGGCTAGAGGGCTGTGGAGGCTGGCTAAGACCAGTGGTGGCGGCCGTCAGCCCACGTGACGGGCCGGCGAGGCCTGCCACCCACACTAAATGACCTAGAGTAGTATTAATTAAAGGTTGTGTCAAGTATTTACACTGTGGTGACGGCTCCGGACTTGCAGGCCCACTTTGCCGACCTCCGGTCGCAAGGTCACGTGATAGACCCGCTCCTGCGACTGAAAGCACCGATGTTTACATAAGCAGGCAGAGCTCGGCCGCAGTTACCTAACGAGGAGGCTCCTGCTTTAGCCGGCAACCGTAACATGGCTCTAGTTATATAAGTGGATTCGGTATGTCATTGGTAAGGGCGGCCCTGTAAAATCGGGAAAACCCCTATGCTTTACGATTTCGGAGTTTGGGCACTCCCAAGGCGAAGACTCAATGCTGCAGTGCGGAGTTTCGTGGATAGGTTGTGTTTGTTTGACTAGCCTGCTGACGAGCGTAAGGACTCCGCCGATTGCTTTTGTCAAGGAAGTTTGCGCGGTTGGGTCAAGTCCTCACAGCGACGTATGCACTAGACGCGGTAACTTTAATAACCTTGCCATGCGAAAGTCCGCTGCGACCGATATTCCTGAAAAGGCTCTAGGCTAGAAGAGCCAATCAAATTGCAGTCCTTAGTTCAAGCCATAGAACTCAGCTGGCTCAATTCGAGGTGACCTGACTCAATCATTCCTTTGAGACCGGATAAATGTATAATCCCTGACCCGCGACTAACAATTATCATATAGTCTTCTTTCTAGCCAAGAATGGAATAGTTGAGGTGCAATAAGTCATACTCTATGAAAAAGCTAGTTCTTAATCTTCTATTCCTTGAATATGTAGCTACTTCTTATATTTTCTCCCTCCATATCGGTCGGTGTAGTACTAGAGGAGCCCAAATCGTCTGTATACCGCACATGTAAGTTACATCGGGGTGTCGGCTGTCTCGTCTAATAGCCCCTAGTAAACCTGTTCGAGCTGGGCAACAGCCCTTAATAAAGTCTGCCCTGACTATACCCTCCTTGTTACGAAACCACGTGGCAGAGGCGCGGCAGAGTAAGTTCGGAGGTCCGGAATTATTACGACAGCCTATGTTATCATAGCAGGCGCATAACATGAAAACAGATCAGACTTTAGATAACGGATTGCTGCTTCTGTCTCCGTGTTTTTGAGGTTAATTTCACTATTTGCTACATTTGATCATCTAGATGCTAAATTTCTCAATTTACTTTTGCTCGAAGAACATTTAAACACCACCAGGCAATTGCCTTGTGAATGTGTTCGTTTCGCGCGAATGGTCTGATGACCTATATCTTGAAGGCCTGGGTTAATCTGGAGACATGGAAGCCTGCAACTATCAAGTGCCAGAGACCGGCTGACGTTGAGTTAGATCTTGCAGCCCAAGGCGCCGCTTTCATGCCCGCTTCCGGCTCATAACCGTTTCCAATTAGGGAGAATACAAATCTGTCGAGAAAAGTACCATCTTGGCTGTAACGTGACAGCTCCTTAACCCAATGAAGCATCAACTTTTGCTGTCCGTTCCTAAACCGGCACACCACCCCGCATTCTTCCTCATGGTTCTTGCGGCTCTTCCAAATTTGATAGGAATTGCCGATTGGCCCCCCCGCATGTATTTGATTTGAGCCTATTGTGAGCTAGATGAAACGTCATCCCTCAACCAATAGGAACATGGGGGCTGAAATGCGGAATATGGCTATGTTAACTAGTTAGTGATTGTTGAGTTGAAGTGAGATGTTATACATATTATTGATTTTGTCTAGTCCGAAACGGCCGATGCCGCGTAAAGTTGAAATTGATAGTCTAGAGAGTACCAAACAGATATAAAATTGCGTCGCAGACTCAAATTCGAATTTTTAGTTTCCGTCTGATTACTTGGTTGTTTAGGCGCCTTGTCTTCCTCTGTTTGAGCTTATCATTCTCAGGCTTCTGGCTCGTGAGTCTCTGATTGAGAATCAACGCCACTATGTTTTCGCTCAAGAGCGCAACTCTGTATTGCTTGGCTACGGTCTCTCAACTCGTATCCGCCTGGCCCACGCAGCATCCCGAACATGTCAACATCCTCACTCGTGCTGAGCAGATTGCCTCGGAGTATGATTATGTCATTGTCGGTGGCGGCACATCAGGTTTGACAGTTGGAGATCGACTTACGGAAGATGGAAAATGTATGTTGTTCTCCAGCTTGCTCATGATTGACTTGCCTAACAAAAGATAGACACGGTATTAGTGGTTGAGTATGGCTTCTACGACAGCCAAACAGGCATGAATCCGAGGCGCATGTTCAACATCACATCCAAGCCGTGCCCAAACTTGAACAACAGAAGCTTTTCTGTTGGCATTGGATGTGTCGTAGGTGGCAGCTCCAGTGTCAACGGCCAAGTCTTCTTAAGAGGTACCAAAGATGAATACAACGCCTGGAAGGAACTCGGCGGGCCTGGGTCAACATGGGACTGGGACAACTTGTTGCCTTACTTCAAGAAGGTATTTTTTCCTTATAGTGCTTGGCGATGATATGCGACAGTCAGAGTTAACCAAGCACAGGGCATCACCCTCGCACCCCCTGATGCAAACCAGGCGCGAGAGTATAACATCACTTACGACATGAAGTACTGGGGCACCACGTCCAAGATCTACGGCGCCTTTGGAAAGGGTCCATTGACATCGATCATGAGTTCGTACACGTACACTACAACACCCTGGTAGCCACTGACCATCTAACAGAGACCCTTTACAATGCCATGGCCAAGATGCCAGGTATGACTATTCCCGTCGACAGCGGCGCTGGCGAGGCCGGTCTTTACTGGTACCCAATGTCCCAAGACCCGGTCCAATTCCAGCGCTCATACGCCCGAACTGGCCATTGGGATGGTCTCAACCGCGCAAATTATGAGATGATTGTAGGTGCAAGAGTCAATCGGATTCTCTTCGACGGCGACACCGCCACAGGTGTGCAATTCGTGTCACGTAACAACACCGGTGCCGCACCAGTTCAAGTCAGAGCACGCCGAGAGGTCATCCTTGCCGCTGGTTCGGTCCACACGCCACAGGTCCTTATGCTCAGCGGTATCGGCCCTCGCGCCCACCTTGACCAGGCTCGCATTCCCGTCAAGGTTGATCTCCCTGGAGTCGGATCCAACTTTCAAGATCACAGCTACATTCCCAGCATTTCATACCAGTGGGGCAGAGCGCCACCTAACACTGGCGGTGGCGGCTGGGGTGGCGGTGGCCCGCCGTCTCTTGCCTCCATGGTTGGATTGCCTGTTGTTAGCCCCGATAGGTACGACGCGTTGGCCAGGGCATACGAGGCCCAGGATCCCAAGTCTCATCTGCCGTCAAGCTACACAGCGGAGCAGATTGAAGGGTACAAGCAGCAGCAGAAGGTGTACGGCAGACTCATGCGTTCCAAGAACACCGTGTTCTCCGAGATGATGATGTACGGCCCTGGAGGCTCTGTTCAGAACCTTCATCCCATGTCCCGCGGCAACATTCTGCTCAACACGGGCCAGCCCGAGAGTGAGATGTTTGTGGACTACCGCGCTGCCTCCAACACCATCGATCTCGACGTCATGGCAGAGATCATCAAGTTCATGCGCCGATTTATGACCACCGGCGATCTTGCGCAATACCAGGCCCGCGAGACATCTCCTGGTACTGGTGTCTCGACTGATGCTCAACTTGTCAACTGGGCGAAGGGTCAGATTATTCCTTCTGTGTTCCACCCCGTGGGCACAACTGCTAAAATGCCCCGGGAGTGGGGTGGTGTCCTTGATGAGAACCTGCTGGTTTACGGTGTCAAGAAGCTTAGAGTCATCGATGCTTCGATGATGCCTACAACTGTTGGTGCCACAACCTCCATGACCGTCTACGCCGTGGCCGAAAAAGTAAGTCAAACCTACTAAATGCATATTTTTCGTTGTGAGGTGACTGACAGCGTTCAAGGCCGCCGATATGATCAAGGCTCAAACCCAATAGGCGGTGTAAGTGGCTGCTTTGAGCGGGAACGGTACATGTAGGAACATGAATACGGGGGCTTCGAATAACAAACAGCTTATTTTTACGTACATACTGTATACTGTACCAATCAACATTCGTTCTCACAGAGGCAAAGTGATTTTCCATGCCGATATGTATTCTATAACCAGTAAACAAACAGTCCGGCCTCAATGATGATAGCGCTAGGGGCTTTGGAGATTGGCGAGAGTGAGCCGATTGAGCTTGTAATCTAGTGCACGAGCACACAATATGTACACATCCAGCGTCAACAGTTGCAGCCAGAAATGCTAGTAGTACACGACATCCTAGAGTTCCTCAGAAAAATAACCTGCCGTCGTTAGCCTTTTACTTGTATGAGTGGCCTTGAGCCTCGTACCATCTTGTGATCCACTCTGATCTTGCGTCTCTTCCCATTCCTTCATCCAGGCCTTGACGAACTCGACTTCTTGCGCTTGTACCTCCTTGATGGAATCGGGTGGAAAGTCAACCGTAACATCCTCATCCTTTACGCTATTCTCGTCCCAGTGATGGACGCCTAGCGGAATAAGGAGGAAGGGTTCGCTGGTTGTCGACTTGCGGTCCAGGCCGATTTTGTGGGGTGTAGCCGCCCTCCACGGGTCAGCTTCTCCGTCAACAATAGCGACACGGGGATAGCTAAAGTTGAAGCCGCCATGCTTGTTAATGGCATCGACATTCGGGGGCGTGGTGATGTTGAACGCCTTGCGGCAGTATATCGAGCTGTACTCTACATCGATAACACGGGAGATGAGCGGCAGTTGGTCTTGAGGGACACCAGAACCAGTCTGGAAGTACCCCCACCTTTGTGGCTCTTTGTTAGCAACGGACTATATCTGCAACGAACTTGGAACACTCACTCTGTGCAGACCTGGTATATCCAGCTACGGCCAGAGCCTTGGTGAAGAGAAGTGTTGTTATAATTAGCCTCGTTTTGGCTAGAGTAACAGCGAGCCAGATCGCCGTCGCGGCAGCCTTGTTTTACATAGTTCTTCACATAACCTACGTAGTTCAAGAACCGGTTTACCAGCTTCTTATCTGAACCGCTGACTGAGAGCAGTTTCTCGACAGTCGGCCTAAGATGACGGGTGCTGCCGAAGAGCACACTGTCTGATGAGACAGTCGCGCAATAGGTTCCGAAAGTCGTGCTATCCAGAGCAGGGTCCCAATTTGTCGATTGCAATCCCGTGATGCCGTAACTGAGCGTGTTGGCAAAGTCATCATCTCGGAGAGCACTGAGGCCGAACAACGCCTTGAGTTCATTTACGTGGTCATCCGTACTGTCCTTGCCCTTACCGAGGAGAATGTTGTCGACGACCTGTGTGAGCTTCTGAGTCGCCTCAGCACAATCGCCTGGGGCGAACAAGCGGGCACCCTCGTAGTACTCCCAGTAATCAACTATGGCCGCCGTGACGCCAGATGAAGAGATTCCACCCCAGAAGACTTCCGGGTAGAGCTTTCGCAGGAAAGCAGCGAATGCGCCGGCGTAGGAGCCGCCATAGGCGATGTAGGGGGTTCCCGGCGCCGTCAAATTCAAGTCCTCATGTCCGGGGAAGCTGATGTGCTTCGCAAAGTAAGCGGTGTCGGCAAGAGCCTGGTCGGTGCTCAAGAAGCGTAGGTTTTCGGTGCTGAGGTCGGGAACAGGGAAACTCTTGCCATAGTATCGATGCTCCAGGACGACTCCGACGCCGCCGGTGGCTTTGGTGAGGATGGAAAGGATGCCGTGGTCAAGGAACGGGAGGCGCTCTTTAGCGTCCGTCTCTCCAGCAGCAAGAATAATGACCGGGCCTCCCTTGCGATAATGTTTCGCATCAAACCAGTAGCGGAGGTTGAAATGCTCATCAGAGTGCGGCTCATACCGCGAATCATTGTGGAAGTGGTCAATGGGGACGGACAAGTTGTATTCGGGGTACTCCGCGAGGGCAGAGATAGGCTCCGACAATGATTGAGCGGTCAATTGATGAAGCGTATTCCAGCCCTCGATGTTGGCAACATGCTGAGGACGCAGTCCCTGAACGGTCCGGGACGCGCCCAGGAGAAAGAAAGCTCCGAACTTCCAATACGCCATGCCGCCGGCTTGTAAAGTAATGGGGAAACCAATGATGTCCGGCCCACGGGGATGGAGGTCGGTGTTTGTTTTTGTGACTAAAATTACGGACCAGAAGTGATTGGGTGCGGGGTTAAGTACTTTGTACTTCGATGACGATATGATCCTTCGCGTGGGTGCTTATCTTGCACTAACAGCGTTTCTATTGTTCCAAAGTCTCAGGTATACTCGGTACATATGTAACTTTGGTAGAAGGGGGATGAAAAATACATTTGAACTCGGTCCAGAGACCTCAAGAGTAATGTAAAGATTTTTTACTGCCATTGTTATTCCTAAAAGGTTATTTAGACTAGGGTTGATAACACCTAGGTTGGTAATCGGCTTCATACAAACTGCTAAAATTTCATCCGAGAGCCAAAGGATCTCGCGTGGAACTGGTAGGCTGCCGATAACGCCTAGGTATCGCACTTACAGGATCCTGGTCGCAGCACGCGTCCAGGTTCATAACGATGGCTCCTTGCACATGAGGTCAACGGGATCTCGAGGGTGGTGTCCCTTTTGGGTTGTTCTAGGGTCTCATTTGGTTCAAAACTTGCGAGGCCTCTGAGTAGAACACAACTGAGGGTGCAAGTGGCGTCAGGCGACCATCCTGATGTCCTTTTTGGGGTGTGAAGGCAACCAGCTGTACTAATGTAGGCGCAGTATGCAGGCTGTGCCCGCAGAAGCAGAACCCTTTAAAACCAATAGTTCCCTAGCTGAAATCAATTGATCAACCATGAGAGATTTTGGGCATTTCTTCCTCTCCAGCTTCCAAATCCATCTGCGATGCCTTTACGATGAGCAGTGGGCAATCGTTGCAGTCGCCCGGCAATCATCTGGCCAGGCGATTTAACAGTCCTGGGCCTCCTGACAGCGATGAAGAGGTGCTTGAACAAGCCTTGGCCACATTTCAAGCGGCACTCACCGATGATGAGCGAACAAAACTTCAACAGACGAAGGGCAGCCCTTGCGATGCCGGGTCAATCATTCAATTCACACACGCCTTAGACAGCCAGGATCCGGCCCGACGAGGGAAAAGCATGGCTACCAATCTGTATTCACTTTTTCAAAGTGTCCAGCAATTTTACCAAATAGTCGACACCTATGTATCGTCCCATCCCGAGATTGCTGCTCTCGTATGGGGATCGGTGAAGCTGACGTTTATGGTTCGCAATCCTACTGGCTTCAATCGGCATAGGGCCTATAGCATTTGACGGTAACTGACACTTGTAGGTCTTGGGAAACTTCACGTCGTATTTTGAAAAGTTCTCTGAGCTTCTCCGAGGTTTTGGCCAGCTCGTTCCACGTTTTGCCGAGTATCAATCTCTTTTCCCCGATTCGGTTCGACTTAGGAGTGCCACCTACAAATATCAGGCTGCGGTGATTAAATGCTGTTCGCATATTCTCATTGCTACCCGACGTCCATGTATGTTGAATTCTCTTCCGATGCAAAATCGATTTGTAGCTTAAATCTAAGGCAGGGAAAAAGCAATTGCTAGTGGTTTTATCACAATCATTTCAGTCGGAAATGCGGCCATTCATCGACGATATTCGTCTTAAAGCAAAGGACGTCAAGGGTGAGATCGCGCTGGCAAAAGCTCAGGCCGATCATCAAGAACAGGTATCACAGGCCGAGGAACGTCGGCAGGCAGGCAAGACTCGAAAGGAACTTGGTAAATGGTTTTCACAGTCTGGACAGGAAATGCAAGGGCTGCGACGAGAGGAGCTGATGAGAGCTACGGGTAAGATCTTTGATCGCGCAAGGAAAACCCACAGGGGCATATCTGACTATTCGCTAAACAGAACGCAAATGGGATGCCCTTCTGGAAAAGCTGTCTGCTTATGACCATGCTGCGGCTTTCAAGAGAGCACGTTCCAAACGGCACAACGGGACAGCTGAATGGATATTTAATGCAAGTGATTTTAAGGCTTGGTATAATGATACTAAATCAGCCGTACTACATATAGTGGGCAAGAGTAAGTCGGTCCAATCCTTCTCTGATTAAAGGTTTATGCACCGTGCTAATGTATGTCAGTTGGATGTGGCAAGACTGTTCTCACGTAAGTCTATAGGGCACATATATCCTTACAACTTGACCATTACTTACGCTTCACCAAGTGCAAATGTAGTCGACTATCTCATTAAACATAGGCAACAACAAAGCCAGGCCGTTGCATTCTTCTTCGTCTGCTTCGACGACCAGACAAGCCAAGAGTCTGAGCAAGTGCTACGGTCAATCATACGACAAGTTCTCAATCATGGATCTTGCAATGACAAGTATCTCGGCATATTAGAGAAGTCAAAAGACCAGTTCTTCAGTAAAGAATCTCTATTACAGCTTTGGAACGAAATAGTCCAACCTTTTGATGACTTTTTCTTAGTCTTGGATGGGTTTGATGAGTGTTCGTCGGCAGAACGCAAGAACATATTGGATAGTGTATCGAAGCTTTGCCAGGCATGTGATAAAACCACCAGGTTGAAAGCTCTGATTTCGTCAAGGGGCAGTGTCACAGAAGAGATCGACCGGATCGACTTGCCACTTTTCCGATTAACTGTTGATGCCAGCAACATTAACGACGACCTGGCAAGATACGCCAAGGAGATTTTGGACGATAAGATCTTTACGGGAGAGTTCGTCGTTCAAGATCAGCTTCTGACTGCCGAGATTCTTGATGCTATCAGCCTCGGTGGGGAGGGAATGTAAGCTTCGTCATCCCTTACTGAACCTTTTTAGGTCAACTTATCATGTTTCTAACTTGCTCAGGTTCCTTTGGGTTTTTCTGGCCCTCGAGGATATTTGCTCGCGGGTTACTGACCCGGAAATACGAAAAGTCCTTCTCAACATACCTAGGAAGCTTTCCGATACATTCAACAGGGCTCTCCAACGCATTATGAAGAATGGGAAAACCGACATAGCCAAAGAAATTTTCAACTGGACTGCTACTGTTCGCTCACCTCTAACATTGTATCAGCTTCAGGAAGCGCTAGCCGTTGAGATCGGTCAAACCTACTCACAGCCGGAACGCTACCTCAACGGGATTGAGCGACTCACATCCTGGTGTGAGAACATGGTCCATGTCGAAGAAACCGATGAGACGGTACACTTTATTCATCACTCAATTCAAAAATATCTCTTTGATATCTCTGACACTTCATTGAGGTGTTTCCAAGTTGATCCAGAGGATGGGGACCACCTCGTTGGGGAAATTTGTCTCACGTATCTCGACTTCAACGATTTCAAAAAGACATTGGTGGAAGTAGTCAGTGTTGAGAAACCATCGGTGGGTATAGCAGACCAAACGGCGCGAAATACGTTGAACGGAACAACCAGGGGAAAGATGGCGCGGTTGGCCCAGGAGGGGTTTCGAAAGTCAAAGCCGCACGCAATCACCTACACAACAGATGAGAAACCCCAGCCTGACTCTACATTTACCCTCGAACACCCGTTCTTCCAATACGCCATACATCAATGGCTCACGCATACGAAACATTTCAATTCCGCAAAGTCAAAAACCTGGAATTTGTGGAAAGACATGATCAGGAGCGAGTATGCACCTTGGATGGACCCGAACTGGCAGCCGCCAGGTGTCTTTGGCGTGACTCTCATCAGACATGTTCTCTACAGCGATCAGTTGTGCACAGCATGGGTCAGAGCACAGAGCCTCATTTTGCACAAAGCTGTTGCATTTGCGAATTCCATGGAGCATCAGAAACTCATTGAGCAGTTCTTTTCAATGTTTCAGGAGCGCAAAATCAAACTCAACTTGAATGCTCTTGGAGTACTCATTCAAGACGGAGAAAAACTTCTGATATTATCAGAGGATTTCCCTTTGAACTCTCATCACTTGTATGTTTCTCATAAGAATTTGGTCGCCATGTTCACCAGGTACATTGCTTCCGGTGGCACAACATGGCCTGAATATGGCGAGCCTTGGTACACACATTCCAAGTGCGATAATTTGAACGGGATACATCAAGACATTTGCAGGATGCTCAAAGACCGTCGGAACTTGGGCATAGTTACAGTCGGCAAGCCATGGCTACAGACGTTCGCAAAAGTTTCAATCTCAGACCCGAACCAAGATCTCCTCGGCTACATCACCCAGGCATTCAAATCCTTGACTCCAGAATGCTTTTTCGACGCCAGAACCCGCCTAAAGAAGACAATCGTCAACCTCGTCCTCGAACGGGGCGGCGACTGGTCAAGAAAAATAGCAACTTGGATGTTGCACACGTATCCAACCTCCATTCTCAAACGGGACAGTTTGCGATATGCGCTCAAAACTAAAGATGCAAACACGGTAGAGTTCTTGTTGCAATCAGGGCAAGAATATTGGACAAGAAGCTGGCAAATCGATCAAAAAACGATAAAACGTGCAATCAAATACACAGATATGTCCAACACACTTACAAAACAATTCGTCAGGAATTGTATTCCAGTCGCAATTATCAAAGCACGAGAAGAGCGAGGTTTGAGGCACAAGAGGAGGAGTAAGCAAGAGCTGGAGTTTCTAGGCGTACATGCATCTGTTGCTTCAGATGAATGTCCGAGAAGTGACGAGGAGATCAACGCAGAAATGGAAGTCCGCAAGCAGGTCCTTGGCATTGCCGTCGATGAAGATTGTTGGGATGTTGCTCTTGCTCTGCACGAACTTGGAGCCCGTCTAGGGAATCCAAAAGATGCGCAACTTCGGCCCAACGAAACTGTAGAACGAGATGCTTATGATGCTATTTTGGATTGCATTGCTACCAGACAAGACGGCTGTTCTTTAAAGCTGCAGCATAGGTGGAGATCGTACTTGGTCTGTTGTGACAGGCACACCAGGCCTCTACGTAGTAGGCTCTTACTAGGAAAGACTGACGAGGAAATACGATACCTAAATCACATATCATTAGATATTTTGAGTTCATGGGAGTCTTCTGGTTCTGAGGACGACTAAATTTAGCTAATCAATGAAAATCAATTGTTGGAATAGCCGGAACTCCGGGTTGAAGTGGCTGCCGGCACCGGGGCTGCCTACGTGACGGGCAGTCCAACAGACGGCTGCAAGTTCCACGATCACTTCAACCAACACTCCTACTGGAATTTCTTCCATAGACATAGTCACAAGACAATACACCAGTTTTCCCGTCAGTTTATCCCTGTGATACCGACATAAATGAAAGAGATTACCTGAGTAAAATGAGACGCCGAAAGTGGAACGTGTTAAACTCGGCCTGATGGCATAAAGGACTTCGATTACGAATTGACGATTACCAGTGAGCACTATTTTCTAGGGGCGGGAATAAAGCTGACAGTTTAGGGATGTTCAAAAAGCAACGCCAACGCCAGAGAGCACAGACGATGCCGTGGAGAAGTTGTCATTTGCCCCAAGGTTTCCTGCACCGTCGAGAAAGTTCATATTAGATGGAACGCAATGCGGAGTAAAATAAATGCATAAGTCCATTCCTCATCGTTACTTAGCACCTCCTTCGTTCATTTCTGGCACCAACAAGTACACGTTCACGGGTAAACACCAAAGTTTCAAGCAAGTCAATGGGCTCCTTTTTGATTAGTTGTACACTACCTAACGCCAAGTGGAATTCCATGTGTGGCCATCTTTTACTACGCCCCTGCTGATATGAAATCTCTTACCTGGCTTAATTACCTTTTTTCCTCCTCGATGAAAGATATTGTGTGATGTTGATCACGTATGCTGCGTCTTAAGCCGACTAGACCATGATAATGCCATCCTACATCTTGACGCGGAATAAGTATCGAAGGCGGATTTGAGCGACATCATAAACGATAAACTCGTTGTAGTAGAGGCTTGCGTTTTTAACACCCGTATCACCTGGGGTAACGCTTGTGTCGGGCTGGAGAAATTGGTTAGCAAATGTATTTTGATTAGACTGAACAATACGGCCGAATTAGCAGTATAGTGGTGTAAATGCTTACCATTTGGATGCCCTTGAGCGACGGATTAACACAGCTTGCATCCATCCATTTGCTGGGTCCTGTTCTACCCTGTCCCCAGGTTGATAGCATGCCGTTGGCTTTGGCAGTATCGCCCGCATTGTAGCTTGACTGGATGAGTTTTTGGATTGGGTCGCCAAGTTCAGCTTCGCAGAGCAGCAAAAGGGCTTCACCGCCAGAGTTGTACGAGGCGCAGTAGCCGGCAGACTTGGTTGACATGTCTGCGAGGTAAATACCCTTTCCGAACATGTATCCACTGACTGGGGCTTCAGGAGGGGCAATTCGGAGACCCTGGCTAAGGATACCACCAAAGTTTGTAACTCGAGAGCCGTGCCAGAGTAGTCGTCGATCGGTCTTGGTGTTCCTAACATTGGCCGCCTTGAAGCGATCCAGCTCACCGTTTCTCTCGATACGGAAGATCTCTTGCACCGTGTAGTTGACACCGTGGGTTGAACCCTTCGATCCATTCAAGTAGTCCGAGAGCAAGGTGAACTCTTCACTCTTGTGGTCAAGAGCAGTCATCTCGTCCATTCCAAGGCTTTGGAATTGTTTGTCGGCAGGGTGAACGTCGACAGCTTTGCGGTCAGCCTTCATAAGGTCGGACGCAACCTTCATGTCTGACAAACTGTCAAGCAGGTCAAGCTCCTTCTTGAGGGTAGCTGGAGTGCTGATGATGGGTGGGCGCGTTCGACCGAAGTCATGCGGAATCAAGGTGTAGTACAAGTTGGACAAATGCTCATTTGCCTCTACAGGGGTCATGGAGTACTTGGAGCTCGCAAGAGTGCGGTCGGAGAAAAGGGCGCTCAAATCTTTGAGTGCCTGGAAACCGCGAACAATGGTGTTCTTGCTGAGCTTACCCAAGGGCAGCTTATTGGCGTCGTAGTTCATGGACGACATGGCTTGCGCAAAGTAACCCGGGTTGAAGATAAGGCCCATCAGCTCTTCGACCGGTTTCTCAAGGGTGCATGCGACAGACACCTTGTCCTCCTCGGGCTCTTCTTCCTTGGTCTTCACATCGCCGGCTGTATCATCATCGTCGTCCGAATCAGGCTCGTAGCTGCGCTCAATGAAAGCATACTTTTTGGGCTTGGGATCCTTTCCGCGGTCAGCCCAGGACAGTCCACTCTTGTCCTTGAACTTCTTGTCAAACTGCTTGAGAGCTTCAGACAGTTCGCCGTCGCCGAGGACCGCGTTGGCGCCTGCCTCGCCAACTCTACCCCAGCGAGTCCAGACTTTGTAAGTAGGTCCATTTTTGGAGCCATTTTGGATGAGCTTGTAGGGTCAGCTTCTATCACCATGAGATCTACTGGAGCAACCGGGGAAATATAGTAACATACCTGAATGCGATAAAACTTGTTGTTGTTGTTGGATGCGTTGGTCTGGTTGAGAGATGCATCATAGATAACGCCGTCAGGGGCAATGTAAACAACACCGGGGATGGAACATCCCTCATCGAGGGGAATGGAGATGCTCAAAGTCTTAGCGACTTGACCTTCAGCGAGGGGTTGCTTCTTTGGAGCCTGACTGTCGGCAGTGGCTTCTTTTTTCACGTCGGTCTTGATATCGGCATCATCATCCTTCTTTACGTCGGTCTTAGCATCAGCATCGTCAGAGGGCGCGGCAGAAGCCACGCGTTTTCCCTTGGTGCCATTGGCGGCTTTCTTCTTCTTTGGCTCGGGTGGCGCATCACTTTCATTGTCGGATTGCGCAGCGTCCTTGGTGCGCTTTTTGCGCGATCCGTTGGCCTTGGTTGCGGCAGCGGGCTGCGACTGAGACGCGCCCTGCTGGGAGGCATTGGCCTGAGAAGAAGCTCCGTTCTGGCTGGATCCGTTGGGTGCTGCGACAGGGGTCTTTTGCCGGGATGTTTTCTTTGGTTGTGACTTCGATTGGCTGCCAACGGCGAAGTCGTCCTCGGAGACCTTGGAGCCCTTGGACTCGCATTCCTGGGCCCACTCCAAGCTGACAATAGGGAGGTTGTTATTCTGGGCGGCCGCGACCTTTGTGGTGGCCGCGTCAAAGTCTTCCTGAGTCGTGATGAGATGCGTCGTCTTCTTGGTGACGGACTTTGAGATGCTGGCACCAAGGGAGTTGAGAAGTGACTCAATCTCAGCGTGTTTCTTGTCAAAGGTGCCGCTGATGGCAATGACGGCTCCGTCTAGCGGTTGAGCCGCAGGGGCTGCTGGAGCAGCTGGAGCAGCAGCGGCAGCAGCAGCAGTTCTGCCCGATCTCCTAGGGGGCATTGTGGGCTACTTAGTGGAGGTACTTGGGGGAAGGGACGAACAAGACAAGGGTGGTCCTTGTGATGTGACCTGATCAAGTGACTCCAATTGATGGCAGTAAGGTAGGGAAAAGGTGAGATGAGATGGGAATTAGAAGTGAGACTCGAAGATGAAAAAGAAGAAGTGAGGGCTCGACGTGATTTATTTTATTTTCATTTTGGGAAAGAGCTCAGCTCAGCCCATACCAACAAGCTGGAAGGTGCCAGGGAGGGGAAAGCGCGCCCCAGATGCAGTGCACGCTTTCAGCACCTACTAGGACATCCAACATGGGCACAGCAGGCACCAACGCCGCTGGTGCCTGGCGCACGTGCCTCATACAACCTCCCAAGACGTCGCGTGTTCACGTGTGAGGGGGGCGACCCCCTTCCTGCCTAGACATCTGGGCTTTTGAAATTGGACCAAGGTAATGTTAAAGGAGGTCATAATGAATGACTACATGATGGCTTCACTTTTCTGCAACTTTCAGCCTCCTCTTTTACATCAATGCTTCTTACTAGGAGCTTGCTGCCTAACCGGTGCGCTGAGTACCCTGCATGGTGGACTTAACCTCATTATCCCATCTCCAATGAAGTATCTTGATGCCATGGCGAGAGCTTGTTTGCCCTCGCTGGACACCTCTTTTGTCTCATGACTTGGTAGGTATAAGACAGGTTTGCCAATTCTATCACACAAACCATTGCATTGGTTATTCGTAGACTTCATCTTCACATGGCGTTCCGTGGCGTTTTCGGGCATCTTATTCTATTATTGTGTCTTAAAACATCATGGCCGGATCAAAGCCATACGTCTCAATCATCAACATATCTTCAATCTCCTCGAATGCGTCTACCAGGTCATCAGGATAATAACCATTCATCATCATGAACTCGTCTAAATATGGAAAAGAGCCGTCAGCATTATGCTCAATTATTCGTCATCCTCTCCATCTTCATCTTCCTCTTCATCTTCTGGTGACAGAGTGTTAGAGCGGAAGGGCCGGGTGTGTGATTTATAGTATTCAAAGGGTAGAACTTACCATCCATCATTTCTTCGTCCAGGTCAGTATCCTCCTCGTCGTCGTCGTCACCACCGCCGTCGCCCGTGTACCTTGGGGCTGGCAGTTCTTCCACCTTGACCCGCGCAGCCAGTTCTTCAACGTAGTGTTTCCAGTCAATACCTGTGTACTCTTGCATTGTCAACTTCTCATCGGTGGGCCCGTCCTTTTCGTGGAACCAAACATGAAGGTTCCGCCCATAGGCTGGACCACATCGCTGACTGGGTAGGCCGATCTTTATGTGCTCTAAATCTAGCCCAGGAATTTCGCGCATGGACTTGAGCATCTTCGCCCACATGTTGACCTTGTGTTGTCCGTCGCCTTGTTGGTTGTAGCCTCCCTGGTTGTTGCCTGTCTGGTTGACAAGTGTGACCCTGTACAGCTCCAACTTCTTGAGGGTCGTCGCGAATTTGCGAATGATCTGTACAAGACGCTTCGGGCCCATATCACAAAAGCCCAAGTTGAGCTCTTCAAGATGGGGAAATGCTGCGGGGGGCGGGGGAGCAAGCAAGGCAGTATCCGCAGGAGGTGTTAAAGGATCCTTGGGGACAGGGCTCGCCAACCACTCGAGAAGTTGATCGGAATTGGGACCTGGGTTGAAAAAATTGATGCGGATATGCTTTACATTGGGCAAATAGCCCAGAAACTGACGTAGGAGATAGTCGAATCGGCCGGCGTCTCTCTCTGTCGGCTTGCCAGGGACCGATGTTGCTCGCATAGGTCCTCCCCCCACATTGGCGACCAGTATAAGGGTCTCGATACCTTCAAGAACGGGAACAACCTTGGGCTTAAGGTATTTGGTAAAAAGGTTGAATGCATTATCGTTGGGGACACGCTGCTGTCTGCGCAGCATTTCGAATACTTTGGGTCTGGCGCCAGCGTTGCCAAGTGCAGTGAAAAGAGTAATCATAACTTTGTTGATGTAGTCCTGCAACGCGGGGCTGAAACCTGCAGTAGAACGGAGGAGATCGACACCTGTTTCTTTAAAGATGGTGGTCGCTCCATAACTTGCCCAAGAAGCGCCATTGCCGTCACGCTTGGCGCGCTCCCGAGAGTTGTAGTCTCGAATGCCCACGGTCTTGAGGCTTTTCAGGTTCTGGAAAGCTTCAGTGAGCATGGCGACATCCTGTCCGCTGGCAACAAAAGAACGCTGATCAGCCAAAGCGTCGGCGTAAGCGTTCTGGCGGGCAGGCTTGTCATGGGGAAAGAAAGTCTCGTCGAAGTAGTTGAGGCCGATGATGACATGGTCGAGACAGTCGCTCAGTCGTGACTTGCTGATATCAACGAGGGCTTGCAAGCTGAATTCAGTAAGCATGAACTGGCGTTTGGTGAAGAACTCCTTCATGAAGGTATTAAAGAGTGATTTCTCAATGGATCTGCAAGTCAAGCGCAAGCTGCCTAGTTCCGGGGTTGTAAGGTGGGAGGATATACGAAGAAGGACTTCAAGTGGTACTTTATTGAATGGCGAAGCCGTCTGAGAGTTTGTTGAGGCAACCATCGTCGGCAGAGATGGCTTAGTCGGAGGTGGTGTATGTTGTGACATGTTTTCAGTGTGAAGTTTGATGTCCTCTTTGAAGAAGATGATTCCGGTTAACAAGGGCCGGCGCGAGGTATAGAACACAGGATCGCCGCGACGAAGTTCGTAATAGATGTAGGATCGATGCAGTTACGCAGGTACTAATGACTGCTGTCTGCTCACAATGAACGAGAGGAAGTGGAAGGAAAGAAAATCATAAGAAGAGTGATGATGCTTCGTGACCAAAGGACCTTAATGTACCTTAGGTACGTCGTTGGAAAGTTTAGGCAGGCAACGTCGAAGCGGGGACGTCAATGAGGCAGGCAATGGGTCCTGCGGCGATGGGAGTCGTGACAAAGGCTGCCAATTCACTTTGATGGCTGGGATTGATGTGCGGTTGAACAGTGCCGTGGTTTACTTCAGCCTCGCCACATCCAATCGTTGTGCCGTCACGGGCTTTGGCCTGTTCCTGCCTGGAGACGTTCTAAACGGTGAGGGAAGCTGACTGTGGTATGGGCAGGTACACCGACTGGGAGGAAGGTACCGTCGCGATGATCTTCGTCTTCGATGCTGATTGGCTCGTAGACTCTGTCGGTCCGAGCTCTGAAGAGGCAATAGCGCTAAAAAGGGCTGTAGCTGTCCGCTGAACATTGGTTCAGTTGGCACCTGGCAGCTGGATGGAAGGAGCTTGGACCACTGGCTGAGACCTTTGTCGTCATTGCCTTTCAGCTGCCAGTTTCCTGCCCCCGCAGGTGGGTGACTGAAAACACATGAAAAGTGCTAGATCAAAAGTCTGTTTACATGAACCAAAACACTACCAAATCTACCAAGGCCACAATTGCAATTGGGGCATTCTTTTGAAGTTTAAATATCGAACAACGAATTCAAATAATACTCTGAGAATCTTCCCTTCAAATTGCATCTAACAATTGTATTCCTGGAAACTGTGCAGTGGGAAATGAGAGTTTTAGGGGAACCATTGTGTGGCGTTTTGCTGTAAACATACTTTTGGCCTATAACTCCGAGTTGTACGTAGTACAGCCACAGCCATGTTTAAGATAGAGTGAAGCAAGGATGCCTTGGTAGGCTATCCAACTAGCATTGCGATTCTCGGGAAATCACCATAAGTGCCCTTTAATAAATTGATTTCTTAAATACTCCGCACTTCGTGGTAAGATGCACACCTCGCACTCGCAAAGATCAATATATTAAAGTTTGGGTTTACTACATGGTGAAATGCCCTTCTTGACGACGCAACCTCTAGGTCTTCAGAAGTGCCAATGTTTATCTTTTTGTCGTGGGGTATGAGACGGAGAGGATTTTGACCTGCTCCTACCCCTTTCACAAGAACCTTGCAGCACACTAGGCTGCAGTGCCCCATTGCCCACAAATGTACTGCGCTAATCCCATTTAAGCCCAGAATCAGGTGTTTGGATGAATCAGCCAAATAACTGGGTTCTCTGAGCGGAAACTCTCCGGCCACCTCAGTGATGGTTGAGCCAGAAAATAAAAAAATAATAATCAAGGTGAATATACTTTTTAGGCCGAGGAGAAAGTGTAAACATGACCACCACCCCTTTCTTAAGGTTTTGACGGTCTACACTATTAAATACCTTAATTCATCGTCGCTCCAAATACCCACCACGGAAAAACTGTTGGATAAGGTAGCCTAACAGCACATGACTCTTATAGGAAGTCGGTCATTTCACAGAAGCTGAGCCAAGACTTCTAGCCAATTTGCCAAGGCCAAGACGGTGCAGGATGTGCTGGGCAATTGCTTTTCTTTTTCCCTGCGTCCTGGCAAGCTTGTAAGGCTCAGCTAATGTCAACCCCCAATGTCAATCCACGCCACGTCCATTGTCAGCGCGAAGTCAACAAGGTCCTTTTCATTTTGAAACAGGCCCTGGAGAAGTTCGTCTGTTCTCTCGGAAGCAACCGGCCAAAGTTGCATTGCGAAGAGCCAAGACTTCTGCGATGTCCTGGAGGCCTGGGTACTGTCCCGACTGGATCTTTCTTCGGCTGCTGGCCGCCGTTGACGATCGGCTTGGTCTCAGTTTTATGGAATGGAAATCGTACCGTCTACGGTTTATTTCAACGTCATACAGCGGTTGAACCGACGCTAATGTAGTCATGCCGTAAACAGACATGCTGTTTGCTCGCTGGAAATGCGAAGTCTCAGCAAAAAGTCCTGCGTCCAGACCACGGTTGGTTACGAAACTGATCCTACATTTATGGCCTCAGATTGCGCAATCTTTGCTAATCATCAGGCATCTTTGCAGAGAACCCAGGACTCGCATCTCAGTTGCAGTGGCAATGGGACACAATGCCTCTAGACTGAGTAGTTTCTCCGGCTCGGCGCGCGCTCTAATGCCTGGTCAGCGCCATACATACCCCGTGTGGTAAATCATGCCTTCCCAGGAGGCCGACAACAGGCGAAATCAATCATTAGACGAGAGGCGACAGAGTCACACTGCAGATGGGTCCGCACACTCAGCAGCCGCAGTACAGATGAAAGTAAAGAGGCGAATACGCATTGCGAAGTACGAAGACAGAACCTGCCCACATTACGCGAATGTGGCTCCCTAAAGATGAACTTGCACGGCGCCAAAAACCCTTTTGGTGAATGTTGGCCTTTACCTGCGGCACGAAGACCCATAAGTTTAAACCGTGGAGAGGGGTGTTTACTACCGCTACAGGGGCTGTATAATCGCTGTCGATGACCTTCCTCATCTTCCTGCTGCATGCCAAGAGTTATAGCGGGGAGCCTCAACACCACTCGCACCCATCACTGGACGCGGACCATATTTTTCCATCCTCCGACGGCCATGGGCGGAGATGACTTTCGATGGGGGCAATGCAACGATACTTGGCACTCAACAAGCATTCACCAGTCCAACAGAGGGTGTGGTCAAGGCGACCATTGGGGGGGGGGGATAACCTGACCAATTACCCACTTATTTTGTGATTTGTGGGGCTACCCTGAGATCAGCTGACCATGGTCAGCTAGTTAGCTATGGTCAGGTTGAAATTCCTTAGCGCGGTTTGAAACCTTACCCTTGACATACTTTTTGTAAGAACATACGACATTTAAACGCTTCTAAATCCGTTCCGAATCGATTTACAATGGCTTTTTAATCGATTGAAAATCTCTTCCCTCGCCTAGAGGGAATAAGTCCTCTATTAGAACCTACTAGTCTTGATGTAGAAGCTGAAGAAGACTTAAATCTTTACTATCAACTACCAGCCCAGGCCCAGTCTGGCTTACTAGTAAATGAGGAGGTAGGGATATATGAGAACGACTTTGGAATTAGTTCTAAATCGATTCAGGATCAACTCGAAACCGATTCAGAAATACCTCCAACACTTGTTTCATCAGAGGCAACCCGTTCTGGGCATAATAGCCTCAGGGATGTTCATGTACTTGCTCAAAAAGTAATCTTTCTACCTACATTTATAGAATATCCAGAAACAAGTGAGAATGGAGTCCTTTATGTTATTGATATAAAGACTTTAAATGAGGAGGATATTAAATCGTGTTAGAAGTATAAGTATATTATACTTCTATTTTACTTATTTATCCTATTTAGTCTTATCTAAGACTTAGTAGGACTTACAAAAGTAACTAGCTAAGAATGGCTGCTTGCTAGTTTAAACATATGATATTCAGATCCCTATGGAATACTCTCTTTAACCTTATCTAAAAGTCTATTTAGTTAAAGAAGATTCTAGTCTGATTTATAAGCTGCTTTATAAGCTAGTTGACGTATATACTTACGTATACTAAACCTAGCTTATAGCTTCCTATATTAGCTATTATAGGCGACGTTATACTACTATATAACTAGCCTAATTCTCTCCCTTAGCTAGCTATTAGTTCCTCAACCAACTCAGCTTCAATATAAGCCTATACATTCTTTACTATTAAAGCCCTACTTCATAAGTACAAGTTCCCTTACTCTAATACCCTGTTATAAGGATATCGTACTATCTACGAGATTCCTACCTACCGTTCCAACAGGTTATGAGCCCAGCGGAGTAATAACTTTACTTATTCTTTTATCCTCAACTCTTCGGTTATTAAATATCTTAAACTCTATTTTATTCCTATAAACGATATAAGTTTTAGGAATTTATATTTATTATTCTTTTAAACCGTATATTATTATAACGGTTATTATTATAACGGCTATATTCCCCTAAGACGAAAAGTCTAAAACTTTAACTCTATTCTAGTACTATTAAGGCAGACGAAGTGTAAGTCCTTAGTACTACTAAATACGAGACTATTAAGGGGATTACGTCTTAGAAACTATTATTCTAAGATATTACTTGCTGCTTTTAGTGCTTATATACCCTATTATAAAGGCATATCCTAGGGCTTAGCACTTAATAACAAGGCAAAATACCTGTTATTTACTCAAGGCATAGCTCCTTAGTATCTTCAGCAGCCTATTAAGGGATAAATTCCCTATATTATAAGCAGTTTTTGGGCTATAAGTCCCCTATCTCAAGGGCAATAAGTACCCAAGGGCTATAAGTCCCTATATTTAAGGGCAATAAGCACCCTATTAAAAGTCAATATGTCTTCGACTACTACGACTACTACTACTGCTATAAGAGCCGTTACAGGCTGTTTAATGCCTGAAAACCAACGATTAAAGGGTATAGATAACTGGAATACCTGGATTACTACCCTTCAAATCTATTTTAAATTGCTGAATTTATCCCAATACTTTGAGGATCAAGAGAAATATTCAGCTATAACCGAAGAGCAAAAATCACAAGCCTTACTAGTTATAAGGCAAAATTTACAGCCAGAACCTCTTAGCCTGGTTTTTAATAATAAAGACCCAGCAGAAGCCCTAAAGTTACTAAAGGATACCTATGAAGGTTCCGGGCCGGTTCTAAGGCAACAGCTATATCTCGAATTCCACGCTATTAAATTCGAGGATTATAGCTCTTTAAATCTATTTATTAGCTCTTTTAAGGCTTATTTATCTAAATTAGCCTCTGTAGGAGCAAAAATCGAGACTATAGACCAAAATGCGGTCTTTATAGCTGCCTTATCAAAATCATTTCCTATTTGGGCTGAAAGGCAAAGGGCTGCCTTACGTTCTAAAGAGATACCTACTTTAGAAGCCCTTATTACGGATATATTAGATGAAAATAGGCGTGATGAGGACACCCCTATGTCTAATTCCTATATCCATAGGCAACAGTCTCAACAACGGTCTAAAAAGACTAAGAGGTCTAACTATAGACCTAATGCCTTTAAAGGCAATAATAAAAGGGAAAACCAACAGCCTCCTAGCAACTCCTACTCTTTCTATAATTTAGAATATTATAGTGGGATTGATGCTAGTTACTTTAATAAGAGGCCTAATAGCCCTAGTTCTAGTTCTAGTCCTAAGAACTGGTGGCTGTATGATTCCGGTTCTACTGTTCACATAGCTAACAGTAGAGAATTCTTTACAGCCTATACTTCTAAAGACAACCTCCCAGAAGTCAAAACAGGCGCTGGACCTATAAAACCTAAGGGCCAAGGTACTATAGACCTACCGCTCTACTTTAAAGGTCAAAGGTCAACTATTAGGCTTGAACAAGCCTTATATATACCGGATTTCCCTATAAATATTATTTCAGGTCTAAGGCACTATCTCTCAGGAGGCTATATTAACGGGAATTATTTATATACCCCGTCTCACAAAGCCTTTGCTGCCTTGAATATCCCTAAAAGGGGATTTTTCCTATCTATATATGGGAAATTAGAACCTGATATTCATAGTTTGAGGAATAAGAAGACGAATAAGTCCTCCTCAACTAATAAGACTAAAAAGTCTACTACCTCTAATTATAACGAGGTTGATTTATCCTCTAGAATCGATGAACTTTCCGATTCTGAAGCCTCTAACTATATGGCTTTTGAGGAATTACAAGGTAACCCTAACCCTAAGGGTCTAAAGGGTCAAAATAACCCTAATCTTAAGGGTAATAACCCTACTAATCCTACTATGGATTGGCATAACAAATTAGGACATCCTAGTTACTCTTACCTATATAAGACAGCTAAGATAACTAAGGGGATTCCTATCAACCAGCTTAAAAAGGACGATTTACAGTGCCCTAGCTGTGAGAAAGCTAAGTTAACTAGACAACAGTCTATAGTTAACTATAACAGGGCTACTAAACCTCTCGATCGACTATGTATCGATACGATTAAGATTACGCCTTCTACTATAGCTGGGAATATCTACGCTATCCCATATACTGACGATTATACTAGCTATAGAGATATAGATTTCAGTCCTACTAAGGATAAAATCTTATCTCTTATACAAAATAAGCTAGAATATTATTATACGCAGTATAACCAGTACCCTAAGTCATTACGAATTGATAATGGTACTGAATTCGCTATAAGCGAATTAGAAGCCTATACTAAACCTAAAGGGATAGTTATAGAGCTTACTACTGCATACACGCCAGAACAAAACGGTATAGCTGAACGAGCAAATCGAATCATAGTTGAAAAGGCTAGAACTATATTACTAGCTTTAAAACTACCTCTATTTCTATGGGATGAAGTCTTTAAAGCTGTTATTAAGTTATTAAACTATACAGCTACTTCAAGACTCCCTATTACACCATACGAGGCATTTTTCAACTATATATTTCCTAATAAGGATAATCGACCTGATTTATCTTCCTTATATAACATAGGAGATTCGGTCTATATATATTATCCTAAGGAAAAACAAGTCAAATCGAATAAGGTTTATACCTATACTCAAGAGGGCATATACCTCTATACAGAGGCAACGAATATTCATATTATATACTGCCCTACTAAGCCTTATAAATCACGAATCATAAGGGCTACTCATATTCGTTTTATACGAAATACTATAAGAGAGGGGGAACAAGAGGCTCAAGATTCCTCTAAATCCATTACTTCTAGTATTTCTAAAGACGTCTCTAGAGACGTTAAAGAAGCTAAAGAAGTTATACCCTCTAAAGACGTCTCTAAAGACGTTATAGTCTCTAAAGACTTTAAAAACAAAATCGAAATCAGGCTTCCTTCTATTAAGAACAAGGAGGAATATATAACTATTAAAGAGAATAACTATATTATTCACTATCTCTTTTCTAGTTACTATACTAAGGAACCGTCTACTATTAAACAGGTTCTTAAAAGCCCTGAAAAAGACAAATGGCTTAAAGCTATATATCAAGAGATTTCCCAACTTATCTCTAAAGGCACCTTTAAGGCTATAAATTCTAAGTTAGCCTCAACCCAGCCTATAACGGCTAGATGGGTATTTAAGCGGAAATTATTACCTAATGGAAAAATTGATAAATATAAAGCCCGCCTTGTGGCTAGAGGCTTTGAACAACGTTACGGAATCGATTATTTCCAGACTTTCGCTATAGGGTCTAACCCTACAACTTATAGGGTTTTATTTGCCCTTGCCGCCTATTACGATTGGGAAATTCATCATATCGATATCATAGGAGCTTTTTTAAACGGCGAATTAGAGGAAGATATCTATTTAGATCCCTCTAATATTCCTCTAGCTGAATTCTTTAAACAGAACCCTAAACAAAACACTATAGGATATAATCCTACTAGTAATCAGGTTCTAAAGCTAGAAAAAGCCCTATACGGCCTAAAACAGAGCCCTCGACAGTGGCAACTTAAGGTTAAGGCTATATTTAAACAACTAGGCCTACAACCTCTTAAATCCGACGAGGCAACCTACTATAATAATAATAAGGACAATCCTATTATCATAGTAACCCACGTCGACGATTTTATTATATTCGCTAAGAATCTTAACGAAATAAAGAAGCTTAAGTTATTGGTTTCTAAATTCGTTGAAATTAAGGATCTAGGCGAAATCAGCTATTTTCTAGGTCTCAAGATCACTAGAGATAGACCTAATGGGTCTTTACAAATCTCTCAAAGCCACTATATTCAACAAATCCTAGAAAACAACAACTTTAACGGCATTCAAGAGGCTATACGAGAGGCTATTTGGCTTCAAGGTCTCCTATCTGAACTAGGCTTTAACTATAAGCCGATACCAATCAAAACCGATAATAACGGAGCCCTAAACCTAGCCTATAACCCAGAATATCATAATCGAACAAAACACACGGCGATATACTATTATTATACTAGGCAAGAAGTAGAAAAAGGAAATATCTCTATATCCTATATTCCTTCTACTAGTATGCCGGCTGACGGGTTAACTAAGCCTCTATCTAGACCTAACTTTATTAAGTTTATTAAACTTATAGGTTTAGATCCTTCTTCTAGTATTAACTAGAATTACCCTTTTATCTTTTCTACTAAATAGTATAAAAGAGGGGGTGTTAGAAGTATAAGTATATTATACTTCTATTTTACTTATTTATCCTATTTAGTCTTATCTAAGACTTAGTAGGACTTACAAAAGTAACTAGCTAAGAATGGCTGCTTGCTAGTTTAAACATATGATATTCAGATCCCTATGGAATACTCTCTTTAACCTTATCTAAAAGTCTATTTAGTTAAAGAAGATTCTAGTCTGATTTATAAGCTGCTTTATAAGCTAGTTGACGTATATACTTACGTATACTAAACCTAGCTTATAGCTTCCTATATTAGCTATTATAGGCGACGTTATACTACTATATAACTAGCCTAATTCTCTCCCTTAGCTAGCTATTAGTTCCTCAACCAACTCAGCTTCAATATAAGCCTATACATTCTTTACTATTAAAGCCCTACTTCATAAGTACAAGTTCCCTTACTCTAATACCCTGTTATAAGGATATCGTACTACCTACGAGATTCCTACCTACCGTTCCAACAAATCGCCTTAGAGAATAGTAAACGAACTACTTTTAAATCGATCCGGGATCGATCCCGAACTACTTCAGAACTAATTACATCACAGATTTAGTACAACCATGCCCGGCAATTCCCACCAAAACGGACGACTTCAGCATTCCTTCAAAATGCTGTTTGTTTACGTTCAACTTACACTTGTACAGGTGGAAAGGCATGCTCTTATTTCGATCAGAATCTTCCATGCTGGAAGCATCAGAAAGTTACCCCAGAAATCTTGCAAAGTATTGAAGCATTACGAACAGAGGTACTACAGTATGATCTCAAACGGAAAGCAGTTTCGTAAGCATTCAGAATCGATTCCGAACGGGTTCGGAACCCTTTTAGAAATAATATACTAATACTTATAAATAGATAAGCATAAGCATAGATAAAACGTTTCCAACAACATACCGCCTGCCGACCGTTTACAGAAAGATGTAGTCTTGAAGTAGTTAATACAGAGTATGGGGTAAGAAGCCTTTCTGAATGGATTGGGAATCAATTTGGAACTGATTCGGAATCACTTTAGTATATTCCAGGAACTTCCCAGATTACAGCCCGCTGCATCTGCTGGTCACAAAGTCTCCAAGGAGAAAACCATTATATTGGCTTTCCTCCAATCGAATTCCAGCTATATTTACCTCTAATCAAAACTATACTTCAAGGGGGAAGTATAGAAGAAAGCTCCCCTACTGATAGCTGTTATCTTTTTGCTAGCAATAAGAGGAGAATTACACGATGCGGTAAGTAAATTAGTATCGAATCGATTCCAAATGGGTTCCCAACTGATTCTGAATCAATCTAGACGCTAATCATATCGTTCCTGAAACAATTCTTCAAATTACGTGTTCAGTAAAATGGAACTTCTGGGTCCCGCTTGATCTAGAAGCTACCCCAGTTATTCTTCTAACTTCTCATGGGGTCCATTTACATCCACCACCACCACCAGTTAGAGCCCCAGCTAGTATTATATCTAGGCTGCAACAGGTAGTCCAGAAGATCAATCAACCTAGAACGGGGTTAAGTGAGAATCCTTTTAGAATCGTTTCCGAACCGATTCAGAACTAATCCAGTATTGATTCTAGATGCATTCCTACAATCTCGCGAACTTCAGGAATTCTGTGATACTTATAATAGCCAGACTATTACAAGCGTTCATCAAAGTCTAGCAAATACAGACTTCTTACGCTCAATTATCCGTAAACAAAAAGCAATTAGCTTTCCAGCAGGCTGTTCACGTCTAGCGATTTGGTATGAATACCAGTATGCTCAAACTAGGCGTCAAATTCGGGTATGAAGTGATTCTGAATCGGTTCTGAGCGGGTTCAATACTAATTTACTTATAGTATATTCAGTACTTTAATGATGACGGCAATACATACCTATGTATTGTATTTCATGCAGAGCAAGCTGAATTATGGAAGAAAGAGGCTTTTAATACTTTCCAGGTAGATACAAACTATAAACATCTAGCTGGAAAGGAGGAAGTTGAGGTTATTTGGGGATGGTATAATTCGATATCTTCGAAAGGTGCGTAATCGCTTCTAAATCGATTTAGAACGGATTCTTAACAGATTCCTAACTATTTTAGCAATTCCACTTATCCGAGTTTTTACCAATTCTGAAAGTACAGAAATGTATCAGCAGATGTATACAATTGTGTTTAAACTACTTTATAAGAAATTTGGATATAAAGTCAAGTGGAAACACCTTCATGGTAGGGGTCTACTAGGTATTACAGTTGATCAAGACCATAAAAACCTTATTGGTATGGGTTCTTAATAGTTTCTAAACCGATTTAGAACCGATTTATAACTAATTATCTAGGGTTTAGGAAATATCTATCTCTAGAATGTAACCTAGAGCATAGACCATGGGCATGGCAGGTTGAACGCTCTGTACGCTTCTGTTTAATTTATTTCTAACGAGGGATTGAGGCATACTGTATAGAAGACCGTAGCCTTGACTCTCTATGGAATTAAATGCGTAGCCTACTATTCTGCCGTTCCTTAGAAGACTACTTTGCTTTATGTTAGGCATTTGAGAGTAAGGATTAATTCTATATCGCTTCCGAATCGCTTTAGAATTACTTAGGAACTAATTTACTTAGCTGAACCTCAAATAAAAGCATGGGCTCAACATAAAGCCCGAAAAACAATTGCAGCTGGACTTAATCAGAACTGCTCTAAAATCCCCTTATCAGATTGGAGTCAATTCATACCTAATACAAATACTGTTGAGGTTTTACATGAAGCCTCATATACTTGGAGTAATCGGTATTTACCATTACTTACATGTATCCAGAAGTAAGTTTGGAATCCCTTCTGAATTGATTCGGAATTGGTTTGGAATGCGTTGAGAACTAATTCAAAAGTACTTAGATGTGCAGAATACGATCGCCATCTTTTAGAGCAGGATACAGTGTTTACAACACTAGGAATCCGGCTTTCCTGGAAAGATGTTTCTATTATTAGCCGTTATAATACAGCTGCAAGCCGTTTACGTAAGTTAAAAATACTTTAATATTTATTAATAATTATTTCTAAATTATTTTAGAACTTAAACGCCAACGCCAGAGGGAATCCCGTGAGCAACTAGATAATGAACGTGTTGAAAGGCTTTTATCAACCCGACTCTTTACGTCTAGTCCCTCAAGGGGTACTAATTCAAGAAGTCCATCCTCAATTCCGAATCGATCCCGAAGTCTTTTAGAAGCGATTCGGAATCGATCCCCTCGTCTTTCCCATGCTTCATCTTCTGGGGTTATTAGGTCAAATACTCTCCAAAGAACATCTATTTCTAACTTAAGAAACGAAATCAGACAGGGATAATAAGATAACTTTGACTTATAGAAGCAAAGTCTAGAATTAGAAGAAAAGCGATTAGAATTAGAAGTAAGAAAACTTCTAGTTGAAAAACAGAAGCTTGAACTACAAGAAAAGGAACTAGAGTTAGCAGAGCGGCGGAGAAGGTTAGGACTTTGATAGCATATAGGATAGGTAGAGAATCGATTCTAAATTATTTCTATATTGATTTAGAAATGCTTTTTTAAAAAAAAAGCTTAAAAACCGAACGCCTCGGGTATTTATAAAGAATTAATTCTAAAGCGGTTCTAAATCAGTCCCGAAAGAAGTCCTAAACTAGTTCCAAACCGATCCTGAATTGATTCAGGCCTTATCTTCTTCATTATCCTTAAAGCAGGCCTAGACCTTACATTCCTGATCGCGAAGGGCGGGAGGACATTCTGAATCGATTCGTAATTAGTTCTGAACTGCTTCAAGACTGATTCTAAACTTACTAGCATTGCAGGCAATGGTGCAGTAGGTGTACTTGCCCTTGGCAGGGAAGCCGGCGGCGCGACGTATTTTAGCGAAGTTGATCTGTTGCAGAATCGATTCAGAATGGGTTCTAAAAGGATTCCGGATCGATTGAGAATTACTTACTATAGTTTGGTTGCCCCGCTTGCGCGTAGGCACGGCAAGAAGGGGGGGAGGGGTCTGCGCCTTCCGTTTCTTAGAAAGAGTCTGCAGCTTGCTGTCATCGCGAGCGCCGATAGCGATGCCGTAGATACGGTCGTAGAATTCTATTCATAATCAGTTTAGAACTAGTTTAGAATCGGTATAGGATCAGTTCAGAATTACTTACTAGCTGTATTATCGTTCTCCTCGACGGAGTTCGCGCCGGACTTGCGGCTCTTAACCTTGGCCGGGACCCCGTCGAGCTTGTGCTTCTTGATGTGGTTCTTGAGGTTCGACTCGCTCGAGAACCGCTCTGTCTAATCGATTCGAAATTAGTTCTGAACTGATCCGGAACTGATTCTGAATTACCTTGGTGTACGTGATGCTGCTGGATCTACTACCCTAGCGGTAGTAGAGTTCGCCAGGGGCGAGCTTGACTTCGCTAGCCTGAATCGATTCAGAACTGTTTCTGAATCGTTGTTGAATCGCTTCTGAATTACTTACCTCGTTAAACTCGAAGGGAGGAAGATCCTCTATGCGGTGGTTCTTGCCGCCCTGGAGAAGACCTTCTTTGTAGGTCTTGTAATCGTCTTGATTCTGAATCAGTTCTGAATCGATCCTAAACCGATTCTATTGTACTTACAGAATCCTTGTATGAAGGTATGATGTCGGATTTCTGAACTGATTCGGAAGTAATTAGGAATCGGTGCGCTAGGGGGGGGGGGGGGGGGGGGCGTATACGATTTGAAAGGGTTACGGAGGGAAAAGGAAGAGAATCAGAATGGAATAGGGATTTAAATATTAATATGGGGTATGCACCCTAATCAGTAGTGGGACGCAATCAGTAACTGGTCCGTGCACCTGACCGATTAAAAATTCCATGGTCAGGTGGACCCACTTCACCTCAATACAGCCAATCATAAAATTGGTCAGATAGACCCATAATTCATTTAAATAAGTGGGTAATTGGTCAGGTTATCCCCCCCCCCCAATGGTCGCCTTGACCACACCCTCGTCCAACAAGCCTAGGCGATAGCCGTCGGGTAGAGTCCATCGCAAGGTGAAGATGGAGCACTGTTCCTAGATGTTATGTTGTGGTCCCCCTGGTCATTCGAACCCCCTCGTGCCCCCCACCCCCTAGTCCAACGCTCTCCAACTGCTGCGAACCCCTTGTTCTCGCGTCTGGTCATACTCATTTGGCCTTGATAGATGATCAATGACAATGAATTAAGGCAGGCTTGGACAAATCCCTCTCCACTGTCGTCCCCAATCACCCCGACAGTCCCGGACGGCCTAGAGCAGCCAACCTTATAGTCTTGCCGAACCGGCTTGGTTCCGATCATGATAAAAAGATGCCCTCCCCCCAGCCATGATCAATCTTGGCTCAGCTTGGCGACTCAGCTTCGGTTCCTCACTCTGCCGTCAACTCATCTAGTAGTTCCCTACTCAGTCACTCTTTTCCAAAGACCGTAATCATGAAGTCCGTTCTTTTCTTCGCCACCGCCGCTGCGGCTGCCGGCCCTTACCTGGCCTGGACTGCCGACTCGTTCACCCAGCACGAGATCGACAACAAGAAGCCCTTCCACTACACCAAGGCTGTCCTCTACGACGGTTTCGAGGCCGCCTATGAGCTGACCAAGAACGAGTCTCTCGCTGACTGGTACCGTGGCCGCATCGACGAGCGTGTCGTCCTTGCCAACGGCAGCATCGCCAACTGGAAGCCCGAGCACTACTCCCTTGACGAATACCGCATCGGTAACAACATCCTCTGGTGGTACGAGCGTACCGGCGAGGCCAAGTACAAGAGCGCCGCCAAGATCATCCGCGAGCAGCTGAACCGCCACCCCCGTACCGACGAGGGCGGCTTCGTCCACCGCAGCCCCATCTACGACCACCAGATGTGGCTCGACGGTATCTTCATGGCCGACACCTTCTACGCCAAGTGGACCAGCCTCTTCGACGCCAAGAACGCCACCGCTTGGGATGACATTGTCAACCAGTTCGACATCATCGACCGCCGCACGCGCAACACCACCCTCAACCTGCACTACCACGGCTTTGACGAGAGCAAGACCCAGTCCTGGGCCAACCAGGTCAACGGTGCTTCCCCTCTGATCTGGTCCCGTGCCGTCGGCTGGTACGCCGTCGCCCTCCTCGAGGTCATCCAGCTCCTGCCCAAGGAGCACCCTGGTGTCGCGAAGCTCACCAACTACTTCGTCACCCTTGCCGAGGGCCTCAAGAAGTCCCAGGACAAGTCTGGCGGCTGGTACCTCATCATGGACCCCGAGTACACCAGCAACCCTGCCAACTACATCGAGTCCAGCGCCTCTGCCCTCTTCGTCTTCGCCTGGCTCAAGGGTATCAAGCTCGGCCTCATCTCCGAGTGCACCTACTTCACCGCCGCCGCCCGTGGCTACCAGAAGCTCACTGACTTCGTCACCGAGAACGCCAACGGCACCGTCAACTGGGAGGGCACCGTCGAGGTCGGCTCCCTGAACAGCGACGCCAGCTTCGAGTACTACACCACCGTGCCCCTGGCCGCCAACGACTACAAGGGTGTCGGCCCCTGGATGTTCGCCTCCTACGAGTGGGAGACCTACAACCAGACCAAGAGCGCCGCTCCTGTCACCGCCCCTACCAAGCTGCGCCAGCGCCAGTACAACCGCCGCCTCAAGAGCTACTACTAGACAATAGAAAACCAGGACTCTGGCGAAGCTAAGTCTACGAGATTGAAAAGCCACGACACGCTCGCATGTACATGACTTGTTGCTATATTTCTAGAATCCCCGGCCCGGGGTCGTTGTATATATTGTATTCAAATGAACATAGATTCATAACCTCTTCATTCCGCCATCCCATATGAAAGTGCTTGTATGTAAATATCGCTTAGGGTGTAACCTCATTTTCAATCGTCTCATTTTGACCATGGCAAGTCATTGAGCGCATCGCCAAGTCTTTTCAACCCTTCGCTCACCACCTCCGGAGGCTGCGTATAAACCATGCGGAACCTCCCAGGCGCAAGACAATGTTCCTCGCCAGGATGCAGGAACAGACCCTTCTCCAATATCTTCTCCGCCAACGCGAACTCCCGTTCCTGGTCTGACCCGTACCCAGCTGACTCGGTCGGCAGCCACGGAGACAAGTCCACATAGACGAACAAACCCGCATTCGCCTCATGATACTTGACCCCGAGCTCTCGCAATTTCCCCGTGACCAACTCATATGCCGCAGCAATCGTCTTCCTCGAGAGCGCAATAAACTCATCATGCCACGCCCGATCCTCAAATATCGCCGTAGCAATAGCGACAGACGGGCCCGCCGGACTATGAAAGCGCACGACGCTCGAAAACGCATCATGAAGGTCCTTATTCCGTGATATAAGAGCCCCAAGACGCAACCCAGAGGCCGCAAAATCCTTGGCGAGACCGTACTCCGCGTGCACCAGGTCCGCGTCGATGATTCCCTCCGGGTCAATAGACAAGACGGACGTGAATCCCGGAAGAGACTCGGAAAACACAGATAGCCCGTAAACCTCGTCGCTGATGAGATGCAGACCATGTTTGCCGCAGAACTGCATGATCCTCACTAGCGTCTCGCGCGGGTAGCACCGTCCGAGTGGGTTGTTCGGATTCACAATCATCACCGCCCTGACCTTCGCCCCGTTCTCCTCCGCCTTGCGCAGGGCGTCCTCATAGGCATCCACGACATCTGCGTCGAAGCAGTTCTCGGGCGTCGTGTCGGCGTACACCACTTCGACCCCCATCTCGTTGCCGAAATCCAGCTCGAAACGCCCGTATACCGGCCGCGAGACCAAGATGCCCTCGCCGGGCGATGCCAGCGCGAATGCGAGAATATGCTGTACGGCCGTCGCGCCGCTCGCGAGCTGCACGTTCGCGGACGTCAGCGGCGCGTGAGGGTTGAAAGTGGCGTTGAGGTGGGCGGCCAGCGCGGCGCGGAGGCGGGACCCGCCGGCCGTGCTGAAGCTGTAGCCAAAGACTTCTTCTGGCAGAGGCACGCGGGAGGCGAGGGAGGCGATGGAGGGGTGCATCAATACGTTGGAGGCGCTGGCGAAGGAGATTAGGCCGGAGGGGTTGGAGGGGCTGTAAGTTTGCGACTGGGCGAAGCGCCATGGTCTGGAGAGCTGGGAAGACGTTTTTATCGCGCGTGGAGAGAGCATTTTTTTTTTTTTTTTTTAGGTTTATTCTAGTGCGCAATTTCTGATTTGCTAAATATGGTGGTGTCAAGTTTATGGTGGTTCGGTGAACTGTTCGAGGTGATGTTCAGATGGTTATCATTCGGATGAGCGCCGACCGGTTCGCGGGGTTTCATGGGAACCTTTACGGCTTGCGATGTCGGAATAGGAAGCTCTGTTTGAAGCGATGAGTCAACTTGCGCTAATGTGCTCAGTGATCCCACCTCGGACCAAGGTATTTAGTTGCTGAGACTTGGCGCTGTGAAAATGCGAAATCACAAACACTGACAACTATCTTTCGGCATCCGGCGGAAAGGCTTCAAGACCCGGTCGAAACTCGGACAATTGAACCGGCAGCGGACCGCCTACACCGGATGCCGAACGGCTTCACGGTAGATTCTGGCGGGATGGAGCTGCATTTTAAGGTTGGCTTGTACGGTAACGGCTTGTATGCATTACGTCATGAGCTTGCAGTGCGGCTTTACTTGCTTATTGGAGAAGACTTTGAGTAGGTGAGATGGCTGTAGGTTATATCTAGACAAGGATTAACCAGGCCAAGCAGCATACTTGGAGCTGTTAAGTCTTTGTATAGTAGTTCGTCTTAAGTCGCAGGTACTGGTTTGCGGGGTGATATGAACCCGCCCTGGAGCCACTGTAATAAGGAAGATGCGTGTGGATAGAAATGACGACAAGGAGTATTATCCCAGGCGAGGAAAAAAAAAAAAGAAGAAAAAAAGGACGTCAGTGTCTAAGCACGGAAAGTTGCTTTATTTGAAATGTGTTTGGTTTTAGAGAAGCCAATGGCCTCAGTTCTTATCTCAACGTTTAGACTGGTCAATTAGCCTGGACTATAAAGGAGGGGCCACTATGGATAGACACTGAAGGAATGCCGCGCTGCATTAAGATCTTCCGGGCTAATTTCCCTATACTCCGACAAACAACCTACATAAAAAGTATGCAAATAAGTAGTGGATTTTCACTATGGTCTGTCTGGTTCATACCGTTGCCGGCGATTCTAATACAGCTGCTCGTTGATTACTTCTTTATCAGATCATGTGCAATTCTTCTGACCTGATTATCTAGTATGCCTTTACGTGCTCTTTCAGAGTCTTTCTCGACTCTTCGTTTCAGAGGGGCCATTGAATAATTATACACATGACCAACTGATGTACTTGGATGCTATGTTAAGCAGAAACCCAGAAAATGCTTCAGAATTTGTCTTCTTGAACTTCGGGGCTTGAAATAGGGCACCAAATGACGGCGAAGAGCGTGTCATCTGACCGAGGAGCAGGCATCTCCTGTTGCACACAATTCTGGCTCGTTTTTCGGTTGAGGAGCCTGCACTCGCAGGACTGATTGAAACACACTGCTAAGTCTCAAGGCGTGTTATCTATGCGATGTTTTGGTAAACAACCACGTCGCGCAGAGCGACCTTACGTAGTGATCATCCCGCCCAAGACCTCGACCAATCCAGAGCATTCGGTGCCTAGCGCAGAAACTCAACGGCACTCTTGACCCATGTCGCTCACCGAGATGCGGTCACCAATAGCAGAGCCTCAATGCAGGCCACCGAGGATCGTGTCCCATCGGCATGACGTAGAAATCGTCAGGCACAAAAAAAAGCAGGCTTGCGGGCTAAGAAGAATGTGGGGAACCAAAAGAATCTACGAGCAAAGAACGCTAAGTCCCATTCAGGCCGCGCCGCGTGTACGGTCTTAGACAACGGGCCGTGACGTCGGAGGAGCCGGGGTTTAAGTGGGCTTGTTACCACTTTTTGCTGGCTCAATGATCTCACTGCTCTTGTCTAGTGTTGGAGCCATTGAACCATCGAGATGAACACTAGGTATAAAGGCATTTCGGAAGACCGGATTTCCAAATATCCAAAATGTGTAGTGCAACTCAAGCCTCCGACTGTCTCTACGGTGACATATAGCAACACTCCGTCGTCTTCCCTACGACTACCTAACAGCTCCGCCATAGCCCGTCACCATGGGCTCAAAGCTCCTTCGCTTGCTGCCCCTTGTGGCATACACTTCGGCCTTAACTCTGTACTCGACTTACAAATTCAACCCGCTCGAGCACCTCGGCGGCATCGCACCGTACTTTGAACCACAAGACCCTCCGTCGTCTCCTGATGTCCCCCAAGGCTGCACAGCAGAACGTGCTGCCTACTTGGTGCGTCATGCAGCAATCTATGCCAACGACTTCGATTTCGAAGAGTACATTGAGCCGTTCCTCGAGAAGTTCCAAAACAACACATCCATCGACTGGAACAGAGTCCCTCACTTGAGCTTCCTGGCAGACTGGGAACCTCCCGTCTCGGAAGCGGAGACGTCGATTCTCACACGCGTGGGTCGTCTCGAAGCAACGCAACTAGGCGTCGACCTCGAGTTCAGATACCCCAAGCTCAAGCTTCCCCAGCGTGTGTGGACATCTTCGGCGGAGAGGACCTACAAGTCTGCCCAGTCGCTCGTACGCGGCCTGGAGATGGACGATGACACGATGAACGTCGTGAGCATCTACGAGTCCAAGGAGTCCGGCGCCAACAGCTTGACGCCATACAAGGCGTGCCCTGCATACTCTTCTTCTGCGGGAAGCGAGCAGTCCGCCGTGTTCCAGAACAAATACGCCAAGCCCATTACCGAACGCCTCAACGCCCTTGCGTCCGACTTCAACTTCACCGTCAGCGATGTGTTTGGGATGCAGCAACTGTGCGGGTACGAGACCGTCATTCGCGGCAAGTCCCCCTTCTGCGACCTCGACCTGTTTACGCCCGACGACTGGCTGAGCTGGGAGTACACCGAGGACATCCGTTACCACTACAACGTCGGCTACGGCAACGATATTTCGGGATACGTTGGCCTGCCGTGGCTCAACGCGACTGCGAACCTTCTGCTGGGTGAGGACTCGGAGGAGGATTTGTACGTCAGTTTCACCCACCGCGAACTGCCGCCGATGGTCCTCGTGGCAATGGGTCTGTTCAACAACTCCGAGGCCGGCGGAGGCAGCGAGGCGACGATCAACTACACCATGCCCCTCGACAAGATCAACCACCGCCGCGCGTGGCGCAGTTCCCACGTCCTGCCGTTCCTGAGCAACATTGCTATCGAAAGACTCAACTGCACGGGCAGTTATGGTTACGAGGATGGAGAGTACTACCGCGTGCTGGTGAACAGCGCGCCGCAACCTTTGCCATACTGTGTTGATGGCCCGGGCACGACTTGCTCTAGAAGCGGGTTCCAGGAGTATCTCCAGAACCGTGTTGAGAAGTTCACGGGTTTCTCAGAGAAGTGCGGTGTTGAGTATGACAACAGCACTGATACCATGTCGATCTACGCCGATGCGTCGGTTGGGAATGGTACCACTGTGGGAAAGCGGTACGCGGCTGCGTTCTAGTGGTCGGTCTGTAGGAAGTAGTACATCATAATTTTAATTTTAATTACAACTTGATCTGTTTCCAACTTGATTGTGTGCCTGTCTAAGTCAGTGCTTTTATGGCATAACATTAGTGAGGTTGGTGTGGGTTTAACCAATTTGATCTCTTTGTGCCCACCTTCGTGAACTTATGTACTCACTCCTCGAAAGAAAGCAAAGTTTGATTCTTCTCCCCGTCAGTTTCAATCGTTGTTCCCAGAATGATTTCCATCTTACAAAAGTAGGAAGCATGCCGTAGCAACTTCATTCGTTTGAAACCAAACCTCAAAATGCCCGAGGAAAACTTGATAGGCGTTTTTGTTACGCCGCATGATAGCTACTTGACCTCCTTGCCACAAAAGACTTTCATTGTGCCTCAAAAGCCAGAGTCACTGCAACAGACATCTAACAGGGCTCTGCAAGTTCTTTCCATTCGCTCTCACCCCACACTGAGTTACTTTCTGAGTCGCGCTTCCAGTTACTAAAGTATCCAGGGTCATCTATGTGAGGGTGTTTGAAAGCGCCAGGTGTCTGCAGTGAACAGTGATGAAGGCATGCTGCCTGGAACTACCTAGTGATATAGCTAGACCAGACGGTCAAAAGACGGATGCTAAAACGTCAGTAGGGTGAAAGATAAGAGGTACGACAAGAATATCCAAACTGAAAAGATCAAGGGGTTTGATATCATTCTCATGAAGAGCACTGGCAATCAAGTCTCCTGTCGAATGTGAATTTTTCAACTGTTCTATTGAATACTCTGGTAAGTTGATCGTGCGGACGTGGTACTGCTTTCACTTGCACTGCATTCGGGACGCAACCTACAATTTTATGACAACGTTATCTTCGTTACGTTGGTGAGCTTTGCCCGTCATATGACTGCAATCGCGTATACTTAGGCTTAGCAAGATAGCAAGCAAGATCTCATACGTCTACAGACGGTTGCTACAAATTTGCTTGGCTTTCAACAATAGTTACTTCCTCTTCTGCCTGAGCAAGGTCGATATCATCAACTCAAGCATTGTACATCTTCGGCAATGTTTTGAACAAGAATCCTAATTTTGAGCAAGAGAATGAAGTTGGCCATATCACATAGAAGAATCCCCAAAACTTACACGAACCACAGTGTACTGGTCAATTCAACTCTCCAGCCACGTAACATATACAAAGTCAGCAACAGAAAAGACCAAAACCATCCCAGAACAAATTCCCAGCTGCGCCGCTCACGATACTGCCAAGGCTCGAGTCCAGAATGGCCGAATGATCCCATGGACCAAGAAAAACACAGGTGGGCGTAAAAATGATCCAACAGGAGCCGCTTACCTCAGCCGGCACCAATAAGACGCAGAAACCTCCCTTGTCACCCCCCCTTCGTCATTGTCATAAGGTACAAGCCATCCCGAACCCCAGACGTCAGCCATCAGCCTCATCCAAAGGCAGGGAATATCGTCCTCGATAAGACGAGAAGAAGAAGAAGAAGAAGAAGAAGAAGAAAAAAAAAAGACGCAAAATGGAGCAAGCGTTCCGGCGACCGCAGGAGATTCTCCAAGCCTGCGTACGCGATGGCGACTTGGACCAATTGCAAGCTATGGCGGCGGTCTCACCGGAACTTCTTCAGCAAAAGTCCGCGTGGGGCACGCCCCTTGACGTGGCTGTTCGTCTCGATAACGTCGCCGCCGCGCAGATTCTGCTGGGGGCGGGCGCGGATCCCCTGGACGACAGGGGGATTGGCGATGTGTATAGGACAGCCATGGAACTGGCGGCCGTAGTGGGAAATCGAGGAATCTCACGCCTCATGTGGGAACACATCGGGATCATGTTCCCTGATGGGATTGTTGACAATGATTACTCGGGCACCACCAAGCTGGTTGAACGGTGTCTGCTGCAGGCGGCCTCGTACGGACATGCTGCTTTAATAGGGGATTATCTGGAGTGGTCTGCCGCTTCCATGGCACCGTTCACGTGGAGTGATATGGCGAAGCGTGCCGCTTTGGTAAATGCGGCGCATAGATGGGAGGCGGATGTCGTCGAGCTGCTCCTAGCAAGTGTGCCGTATGAAAAGACCACGCTTGATGCTGCTTTGGGTCTGGCTATTGGGTTCAAGTCTATGTTGCCGAGCGAGGAGACGTCAGGGATTGTTTACGGCGACGAAGATGAGATCAAGCAGTATCGTATTTGTGTTGGATTGCTCAATGCTGGGGCAGATGCAAATGGGGTTAACCAGGGCGTGCATCATATCCATCGGGCGATCGGCGGCATCGTGTTGTATGGCGCTCTTGAAGCTCTTCTCGAGAAAGGGGTAGACCCAGATGCGAGGGCGGAAAGGGGTCGGACTGCCCTCCAGCTTCTCACCTGTCCAATCCCAGTACATGACCAGAGCCGAGAAACACGCTTACACGAGAAAGGAATTCGGCTTCTTTTGCAAAAGGGGGCTTCAGTCTCCTTAGGAGATGACGAGGGGGAATCACCTCTTCACTGGGCCGCGATGAACACCGACAGAGATATCTTTCTGCAATATATATCGTACTTCAAAGGGATCACCCCAGTTCTTTGGTCCACGAACCACCATGGAGAGACACTTCTTCATTACGCTGCCGCCGGCGGAAGGTACGACACAATCGAACTACTTATATCCCGTGGTCTAGATATAAACGCCGCCAGCGAGAACTCCTGGACACCCATCCTCTGTGCCCTCGCGCCCACTCTCATTGGCGACCAGGACAACGGTCGCGGGGTACCTGGGCGAAGAAAATCAGAACAGAACGCGGTCAAGTCCGCGAAACTCCTCCTTTTCAGTGGCGCAGACACAGACGTCGTGACAGCAGAAGGATGGACAATCCTGCACGTCGTGGGTAGCTACCTCCAAACGGAAGAACAGCGAGCGGATGGACCAGCCAACGACGACTACAGTGCCGCCGGCCTCGTGTACGGACTACTTGTCCCAGGGTCCTACGACCTGCCGCCCATTAACAGTCCTGCCAGGGGTTTCGACCAACTTTGGCTATCGCGCATCTCGGAGGTGACAAGAAAAGGTCTCTTCGGCAGTGAACCCTGGGGGTACCGGGTAAACAAGAATCTTTCTCTTTGCGCAGAAACGGAGACGGCCGTCGTGAAAGAAGGCCTTACGCCGCTGCACTGGGCGGCTGAGCATGGAGCTGTTGGCGTTGCGCGGGTGTTGGTTGATCGAGGAGCTGACTTGGAGACGAGGGATAGCACAGGATCGACGCCTTTGAAGCTTGCGGCCAAGTCAGAGTTCCTCAAGGATCACGAGGCTATTAGGGATGCGGTAAAGAGGGTATTGGAGCCGGGAAATTGCTAGTTGTGGCTGTACTGTTAGTCTTACTAACTAAATGGTCTACATTTATATCATATTGGCTGTTAGTGGGATAGTCATTGCCGAGTCCGTCACTGTTCACCAGGACTCCATAATGGAAGACTGTTATTCTGGCAGCCCGAAACCATTCACTTCTAGATAGCACTGGCAAAACTTTCCAAGATTGTAGGTGCCACCGAGAAGAGCTATAGCGACTTCAAGGACGACGCCTGATTCCAAATTTTTTGCCGCCGTCTCGTAAGGCTTGCATACAAAGCTCTTGGGAGCAAGCACCACTTACATCAACAACACCACGTGATTTTGGCAACTTTACAGGTCGACCGGCTGATCCCGCTGCTATCTTGGTATGTGCTCCATGACTTAGATGGAAGCTTTTTTATCATTATTAGGTTTTTTTTACTCGAGTTGCAGAAACTCTAGTGGCGTTGGATCAGCTCTGGTTGAGCTGTCTGTAGCTCGCAAGGATTACATGGACAGCATTGTTTACATAGGTCAACAACTCGCGCTAGACCCATGACAACAAGAGAAGTGACACGACATTGTGGCGATGGGACCAATTACCAGGCTCATGCCTGTGGACTAGCGCCGGGAGCGCAGATTACAGCGGTGGCATATGCAGCCCTAATATCAATGGCCCGTTGAGGATGCAATGTGAAGGGCAATTCAGAACAATTGCGTCAAAGAGGTCATGTGTTGGCTGACGGAGCTATCCTTTCATCATTGAACGACTCATTGGTCAAGTTCTAAGACATAACGCCTCCACGTGCTGATGCATCTAACAAGCTGGAACGGCTGCGCCTCCGAACAAATCGCGGTGTGGCATGAGCAGATCTGGATTCGGCTGGGGCCGCTTGCGTCTATTGGACTGGATGGCGACAACCCAGGGTCGATCAAGGGTTGTAGGCGTGGATACGATACCTTACGGACAGCAGCTACCTCACGCGGACAGCGTTTGTAAGGCAAACAGGAAATAGGTCGATACGGAGTTGCAGGACCCGCAGGTTCATGGGGACGATAGGTTGGCGGGTGATGGACGGTAGTAATAGTCAAACAACGGGCATGGGGGAGAGGTATGGGGCAGCGGAGCGAATAGGGACTGGTGTTTTAGCTGAACGAACGTGATTGCCTGGCAAATCTGACGTGCATGAAACGAGCGATCTGTTGGCGGCCAGAAGCGGGATGGAAAGCTATTATGGTGCCACGGCTGGAGAGATCAGCGGCGGTTGTGGTGCGGAATCAAGGTGATACCGCTCTAGCGGTGCGAGTGGCTGGATCTATCCAGCAGAGTGGTAGAGGTCGAGCATTCCATATGCGAGGCCATGGAGGAGGTACGGATGAATAACATGGATGTAGCGCGTGGGAAGTATTGGGCCGTGGAGGCGGATCTTGTGCAGACCATGTTGAGCTGTGTAGAGACCGCACTACCAGTACCTTGGTGTTGCCTCCCAATGATGGATAAATTAACGCAGTCGTGGCTCCTAAATGATTGGAGCTGGTAAGTTGGCAATTATGTGGTGAATAAGAGTGGCGGTTTGTTGATAAAGTATGCGTGTCAGAAACTTGGGTTGTGTATGCGCGCCGAAAAGGTTGACCGAAACGTGGCCATATCAACTAACGTCTCACGATGCGGTCTAGCACTCACAGAGAGAGAGAATAGAGTGTCGAGTGGAATGGCGAGGTTCGTGAGTCGGTGTGTCGATGGCCCCTGGGCAGGATTTGGGCCGACCCTGGATGCGAAGGCGGCGGCGAGGACAAGCAGGTGCAGGACGGTGGCAGGAGAGGGAGCGGCTCGGTACTTAGTGACGACTGGGTGTAGCGGTCGGGAGTGGTGTCGAAGGGGTATCGAAGGGGTGTCGAAGGCAGTGGTGCAGCAGATGAGGTGGGTTGATGCTGGTTGGGCTCGCGCGGGGGTTGATTGGGCCCTGTGATGCGTTGGCATGGCGTGCCAGCCTCGTGTACGATGCAGATTGGATAGCGGGCGACCAGGGCAACCCTCTGTGCGGTCGTCCTGGGGGGAGCGGACAGGCGTCTAGGAGGGCTCGAAATGGCGCAGGGTGTCCGAACATGTAAAACAAGAGGGCCAAAGGCTATGCATGCCAACTCATCCGGCGGCCAGAAACAGAGGTAAATTTTTTACCTGGCACTGCTGGCCGGTTGCCTTGTTGCTCTTTGCTGTCGCTGCATTTATTGGCCGTCGGTGAGCCGTGATTTGTCCGACTTGTTGAGGAACACGAGATGAAGTGGATGACATGGGCATGGAGGAGCCGACCGGTGTACACATGTAGATATATGTACCTCATGCATTCTGTTGCAGACCGCCTTTGAGCGGGAAAAAGACGCTGCATAACTGCTGGATGGATGGATGTATGCCCCCAGTTCGATGCCTTTGCCGCTGGTCATCATCTTCAAGCTCGCTGATGCTGGCGAATAGTTGATGAGTACGTATTTGAATTCGTCAAAACGGCCGGCAGCTGTGCGTAACCTGGCACAGCAGCAGCAAGGCAGTGAGAAACGATGCACAGAGACGGCGCAAGGTGGTCTTGGGATTGAAGATATTAGTCGCAAGGTAGAGAGACCTTCGCATCAGACCCCAAATCAAGCAACTCCCTGTCTGTTTAGGAGGTTGTTGTGTTGTCAAGTGCTGTTGAGACAAGGACAGCTGCGACAGAGGAGATGACGATGCTGAAAGGCAATAAAAAGAAATGTCATGCGGTTGTTCTGGTTGGTCCCGTTTACAGTATAGTAGCCCTCCTCTGGTACACGTTAGTGAGAGCATGCCGCTAAGAAGACGAATGGCGCCTTAAGGTGGTAGGGGGGTTACTGGTTCGCGTGGCAATCCAGATAAGAAATAACAAAAACAATCAAGAGAAGAAGAAGGCATATCCTCGACAGCACTGTCTGAGCTGTAGTCGATGCTTTTGTCGACAATGTCTAGGATATAGCTGGATAGTAGTAATATGGGTGTTGTAATTTTTCTTGCCCCTCTGGTTGGTATTTTGTTTTTGTTTTGTTTTTTCGGAGGGGGTTTTTTTTTTTTCTTCTTTTCCTTTTTTGCCTTCTTCCTTCATTTTGGTGTGGGTGTGCGTTGGCGCTGGTGTTGGCGGCTACCGTTTTCGTCCAATCTCAGTTCAACTTGCAGCTTCTTACTTCCTCCATGTCTCCTCCCATTTTTTTATTTTTCTTTCGGTTCTGGTGAGGTGGCAGGTGGGAGAGGCTTACCCCGTCCGCCCCTTCTAGCTTTGTTCGGCTTAGGCCGCCTCCTCCCCCCTCCAGCCCTTACCCCACGCTACCTTGCCTCACCTGTATGGTAAGCTTCGAAGGCTTCGCTGCTGCTGCTACTTCCTCACGAGCCAAAAGAAGGCGCACCACAATGCCATTGCCAAGTATCTCATCCGTACCTGCCTTGGGTTAGTTCTTACTGGAAGTAACTACTTGTGGTCATTCACTCACGCTTTCCCTGGCTACTTACTGGCTGCTCCTCCTCCCCTCCGTCTTTTCTCGGGGATCCTCCAGCAGTTCGCACCAGCGGAGAAAGCAAACAACAGTATTAGCATCGAACCTTCTCTCTGTGTGTTGTTTACCTTGCTGCGCTGTTGTGCTGTTGCCACGCATTCACCAACCATGAGCAAGTCAGCATCCCTTTTCTTAACCGCCGGCCCATTCCTACCCGGTCGGTCCTGGTTCCGGTCTGCGGCCCCATTGGGGTGGCCCCTGCTCCAGTGAGTCGGACGTGGAGTTTGTGGTGAGGTGGTTGCCGTCGTTGCCCGTTGCGGTGGTTGTCGTTGTGCACCTGCCCTGTGCACCTGGTACCGGCATTCAGCACCTACTACGTACTACGTACGTACTTGGCCCGCTGCTCACCTCTTACCTCAGCGTGGCCTCCTTGCTGATTGCTCCAGTGTTTCCTGCTTGCTATGCCCCAGCCCCATTAAGCTGCTGTCGTTCGTTACTGCTCCACACTCCCCTCCTGCACGTCGCCAGGTCGCTTCCTTGTACCTGGTCTCCTTAAACTGCCAGGTACCTGACCCGACCTACGTACATAGTACCTTCCTGCCCCAAGGTACCAGCCCACTCCTTGCCGTTCCTTGCCTTCCCTGGCCCTGCCTGCTGTGTTGCTGTGCCTTCCACTTCTCGCGTTGTGACCCTGGTTCTTTCTTGTCCCGCCCCTTCCTCCCGAATACCTTAAACCCCAACCGCAACCAAACCTCAACTCCTGCTACAGCTGTAAGGCTTTTGTGTTTTCCCTTTTCTTCCAGGAAACTTTCAACACCAACAATTTGAGCCTCTTATCGATCGTCGAAGCGACCTCGCGGCCACGAGGAACTGGCATTGCGCCGCTCTGCCACTCACCCTTTCCCCCTTCTTCCCGCCCATTCTCCCACCGAGTCTGCCCCGCCCAAGCAGACATACATTTGATCCACTGCCGACGAGCTTCCGTTGCCGTTATCCTACATTCGACATCGGACGGTCGCAAACAGCACAGCTTCCAGCCTCAGCCAGAGTTGCTGCTGAAGCTGCTTGCTTGTCCTACGTTAACTCTCTAATGTTCGCATTATGATTTCCATGCAGCGTTCTCTTTCTTCGCCCGTCCGCATAGTATCTGCTCGTATGTCGTACATCCACCCGCCTGACTGTCGCCCAACATCGGCTCCTTGCTTGTGTGCTCCCAACATGCTGACTATCGCTTGCTTGCTCAACACAGCTGCCTCCCAAGATGGCGCGAACCCTCCCCGACCCCCGACTCCTCCCTCCGAAAATTACAATACCTCCTTCAGATCCCGCCGTCAGCGATCCCCTAGCCCTGCTCCAGTTACTGACGGTGTGAACCTGCCTGTTCGCCGAAGCGAAGACTTGCCGCGACGAGCATCGCACCAAAAGCCTGTCATAGCACAGGCTGTTACGCCTACTGCGACGTCGCCCGTCAAGGCCAACATGGATTCATCCTCGGAGAATGCGCCCGCCGTGACCCCGGGGAACACAGCTTCACCAGCCATTCCCCAGGCTCTACTCCCAGACCCTTCCCTGTACACGAACCCTCACATGGCACCCGAACCTGACACCACAACTCTGGAAGAACTCGCACATTTGGTTAGACTGTCAAAATACCAGGAGCGCAAGCGCGCGAACACAAGGATCCGTCTCCAGAGAAATCTCATCTCCACAGCCCTCTCTGCCCGCTTGAACCGTTGCGGTGAGATTGCCCGGAAGAACTTGGTTGACTGCTTCCGATCCGATGACAAGAAGACTTTCTCTACTCTGTTTAATGCTATTCACGACGTGCGCAAAAGCTGCGACGAACTGCGCCGCTATGCGCTCTTGGAACCTGAATTGGAGTCACTGCAGTCACCAGCGTTGGCCTCCTCCGAAAGTATAGAAACACCGCCGAAATCGACTTCGGGAGCAAGTTCTCTTGGCTCCATCGCTCCTTTTCTTTCTGAGCTGCCAGCATCAGTCCGGGAGATTTTTCTTAACTTCTTGACGCAGATCCGGACAAACCCGGATTATTTGGCTACAAGGTTATGTTCCCTAACACCAGCAGAGTTAAACGCCTTCACCAGTTTCCACCAAGGTCTGGAGCCTGTTGAGTCTGTTCTACCCTACCATGGCCGCTCTACCGCCCGGAGTCATGTTGGCTCCAGCACTCGAACGCCTTCCCATCTACCTACCGCTATCGAGCGCCTGCTCTCCTTCCAGCGACACGACCCCCTGTCTGCCTTGGTACATACATGTTTTGCCAACTCTGCCGGCCCCGATAGCGCTGAAGACCGAAGAAGGACGGAGATTTGGGGAACCGCCCTGGCTAGACTCATCACAGAGTCCAAATCTGCTAGTGAACCTATGCTGACATCCGTCCTCAATGTTTGGACCGCTATGCGTGACTGGTCCGGAAAATCTAACATGGAGTGGTACCTGATGAAAATTCTCGAGGATGGTGCTTTTCTCCTGGACAAGGCCGAGGACCAGCATGGAACCCGATTTAACCTGGCGGATTGGACAGCCAAAGACAGTATTGCTGCCGAGGAGTTTTATGACAGGGCCGTCAACGAGCTTTTCGAGATTATCGACGACGAGGACGCTACAGGTATTCCCGAGGGTCTTATCGAGCTGGGCAACGCCATTTTGAAGAAGCTTGACAGCAAGCTTGTCGAGGGCACACGGAACTGGTTTGTTTACAAATGGCTGTTCTCAGTCTTTCTCCTTGGTGTCGTCATCCACCCAGAAAGCCATGGTCTCATGGGTGAGTACCATATCACCGAATATGGGCGACAGAAGATCCTCAAACAAGTTGCCATGAGGGCTCAACAACTGGTCGTGGATATTACCTGGAACAAAAAGGGCACTGTTTCCACCCCGCCCAAGATCCAAGAACATGTTGAGAGTATCTTGAACCGATTCAAAGGATCGCGGTCTCAAAGGCCCCCACCGAGGCTGCTGCCCGCTCGCTCCATAACATCTCTCCGAGAGACCGTTGAGGTACACCCGTACCTAGTTGTCAGCCCAGCTGATTTGGTCACTCTGGTAAACGCTCTATTCCCTGAGCGCCGGCCCATGTCAGCCCAATCCAGCGGCTTGAGATCCGGAGCCCCGTCAATATCTGGATTTTCGGCAATCTCCCAGCCCATATCCATGGGAGGTACCCGACACAACTTTGAAACGGCCTCAATCCTGAGCACAAGCGCTTCATCCGTTCTCAGCGATGCCACCACATCTAGGGAGACAAACTTGGAGGAGCAAAGAACAGGCTCACCTCAGCGATACTCGCCGCCTGTGTTAGACCCCTTATCACAGCGGCGTCTCAGCAATTATGAAGATGATGGCTACCGCCTTCGCTTTGCCTTGCGAGAGATGAGTGCCCAAGTCGGCATGGACGTTATCCAAGGCTCCTGTCATCCTTGTGCTGAAAGATGGGCTGTTTTGTTCATATCTGCAGACGGCAACAGCTTGTCTAGTCAAATGACCTATGACCCAGAAGAGGACATTGAGGAGGAAGAAAACTCGTCAACGAGCGACACAGATGATGACGAGATTGATGACAAGCCCGAGTTAGACAAGGATTATCATCAGCTCCGTGACTCTATCCTGAAGCTCGTCCAAGACTATGAAATTCCCCAAAGCATCGAGCCTGAAGGCAATCGGGCTCAGTTCAGTAACAGAGCTACTGGAATCAAAAAGTACCGATCGAAGAACAAGATTATTACAGCTGAAAAGTCCACGCCAAGCAGAAACCCTTACCGTCGACGTGAGACGGAAACGCAAACAAGCCAAAGCGACGCGCAAGACAAAGAGGGCTCTTCAACGCAAGACGCAGACAAGACACCGAAACAAGAAGAAGAGCCACCATCTGTTTTGATCGCCATGCTAACTGCAGCATCCGCTCAGTCGCGAGCACAGGCCGATTTTGTATCAGCTCACCTTTATTGGAAGACATTGCAGCAACTGAACGCTCTTAGCTCGGAATCTTTGAGGCGGAACGGATTCGCCATTCTCTTGAACATCTTCTCCCGCGGTCCACGAGACTCCATTCGCCGCTGTGCATCTGCCATTGAAGAATACGATGCCTGGCTCGTCTGGTTGAAGCAGAGCCAGGAACGACATGAGGGCCTTATTGAAGCCATGTCGAAGAGATTGCGTGCACTTCGCGATAAGATGTGGTATGTAACTGATGTCCGCAACTCTGCGCCGTATGAACAGAGTCGCAATATCTGCGCTGCTCTCAAGACTATGGGCATGCCACGCCGATACAACTCATACCAAAGGAACCGTGCGCATCTAGCCAGAGCACCTGCATCCAGCTACTTATATCGCACTGAGACTCAAATCATGGACCTTCTCGCGGCCTCGGAAGATCAGGGTGGACCTAACAAGCTAAGTGACGATCAAGCGGACAAAACGTCTCGCTGGCTTCAGCAGGCAGGCGTCGAGAACTTCTGTTGCGGCGAGGAACGAATTCACAGATTCTGCTGCGAAGTGGACACGTGCATTTCCAAGCTGATTGGCGAGTCAATTATGGATGGGCCTGTCCTTTGGTCGAGCGAGCTATACCAACGCGACAGACGCAATCTGGAAACCAGCAGGAACCCTCGTGACAACAGAGACCATCATTGGGACGACAGTGCCAGTGTCATGAGTGACCCAGAGCGGAGGTTCATGTCCACCGGCAGACCTAACTCTGTCCGGGATCTGCGAGCCATGTCGGCCCATAACTCCAGCCAGCAGTCGTTTGATTCTGGCAGCTACCGTTTCTCAAGGGCAAGCACCGTCTTGTCTGACATAGTTGATGGGCCGGATTACTTTGGTGTCTCATCTCCTGTCCACACAATCGATTCTAGTTCCACATTCTGGTCACCTTTCCAGTCGGCGATTTCTCCAAGCTCGGCGACATCTCGCGCGCAGTCTCCCACGACAAGCATGACGAACCTTTCTAGTTCATTCCAGCATCATCAATCACTCGCCTCACATGCCAGCCATTCCACTGGACGACCAGGCACCTCGGCCTCGTCCAATGAGACAGTTTATCAACAGCGCCTCTCTGAAGAAAAGACTCGATTTCTCAATGAGCTGCGTCAGACCTTGGTTAGTTTGTTACTCTCTGACCTAGGTACGCTTGTATTCGCGCGCGGTTCAGAGACAGACGATTGGTTTTCGACGCTGGGCCAAGAATGTATTGACAGGCGTGACGCTCTTGACAGGCGGGCGCGAAGAATGGGCAAATCGGGCAAGATATCTCTGAAGCCTCGAGTCATTGAGAAGAAAAAGAGCTTTGGCAATTTGCGAGGCGCTGGCGAGACTGACAGAAACTCCGAGACGACGGAGACTGGTAGCACCCCCGGGAATGACGGCTCGACAGCAACGAACGATACTGTCGCCAGTCGACCCAAACAGCCCGCCAAGGAATCAACTCCCGAATTTCCCTTCAAGAAGGCATTCCAGAGACTGCTACGCATGTTTAGCGTTCATCCCGATCCGCACGCCAAATTGAGCGCTCTTCATGAACTTGAACAACTAATCGTGGCTTCCTTAGCCAGTGGCTCAAAGAGGTCAAGGCTTGGATGGACCAGATCGGAGTTCATGTCACCTGTTGTGGACGAGTCAACCGGGAATGGTCGCTCAAATCCTCTGGAAGAGGTGATTGATAACGTTAGGGAAAGGCGGTCACATGCACTTCAGCAGTCCCCTCTCACTTCGCCACCAGCCGTTGGTGGCCAGATGCGACCAGGCGCCTCGGATGCCCGAGCGATTGCTGCAAACAGCCAAACGACCAAGGACGCGATCACCAACGTGCTGCGAACTCTTTTCCGGGACTTGTCAATCCGTCCCAAGACGCTCTTCCGCGACTTGCAATTCATTGCTGCCTTTGTTAATCCGTCAGTTTTGGACAATACAGATAAAGGCACGGCGTTTTGGGATACTGGACTGGCTGCATTGGGCCTTAAGCAAGAAGTATGCCGTACCATGATTGAAGTTGCGGATGAAGTCCAGGGCGTGTACACGAATACTCGAAAAACCACCAACGACACGCAAATGCACGACACCGAGCGGCTGGATTCCGACTCGCCTCCTCCTGTTACGACAGCTTATAGCTTGGCGCAAGCAGGAAAGATGTGGACCATCACAGCCAAGGAGGGTCTGCCGACCGCTCAACGAGAGCTGGCCATCTTCTACTTATCTAACCCTGAGCTTGTGGAGCGTACCACACTCCCTCTTTCAAAACCTCGCGAGGTCTTCAAACAAGCCGTCATGGATAAGTATGCTGGCACCTCAGGTCGTAGCGGACCAGGTGCTAGCAGACTTTACGCTGCGGATAGGAGTCGTACCTCCACTGGTTCCTCTGGTCTTGGCTCTGTTGGCGCTCAACATCCAGGTCAAGATGCAGGCTCCAAGGATGGAGACGTCCGCAACGACCCTGCCCTCATGTGCGTAGCCGTTCATTTCTTCCAGGCTGCTGAACAAGGTGGTGACGAGCTTGCCACTTCGTTCCTCCGCCAGAACGAGTTCAACGCCATGGCGTAAATGACATCATGAGAGACATGACATGAGGTATGAAATATTGTTGTTTATTTATTTTTCTTACATAATTCTTTCAAGGAAATATTTCTTTTCGTAAGCTGCGCCAGGGGCAAGCCAGCCGTTGGATGATTTGAGGAATTTTATGACGGATGCACGTTGGGTCTCATTTATAGCATTGTACCGGGTATATACAGCAGACGTCGTACTTGTAGCCGCGTTGTCAATGGACAACAATTTGACGACAGGCCCAAGTGATTTTACATTTCTTTGGCAGGTATCTCATGTAGACAGTGGGACATTTGGCAGCGGGCACATGGTTTTGGAGGATATACCACTTTCCTATGATTATGACTAGCATATGAAATACAGGCTTGGGTATTTAGACAATGTTTGATGCCGTCGACCGCATTTGTGATGTCATGTTAGCCCACTAGGGACTGTTGTGTTTCCTGGCCCTCATTTCCTCGTTGGCTATCAAATACTTTGTCCAGCAAATTACCAATCAGACACCATTTTTCTGCAAGGTCGTGCATATAACACGGGATTGCGTGTATGGCTAGGTTGAAGTAGTATAATTGTTTGGATAATGTCGACCCCGCAACATGTTGTCTCAAACGCACTCTCGATCTAACGTCTGTTTGAGTTACCTCGTCTATTGCAGTATAAGAAGCCAGATGCCATGTTTACCCCTTTGGCTACTCTGATTCTTTGTTAAACGCACAGATCTTAACTTTCCAGAGAACTGTACGAGGCATTTTACGAAAAGTCGCCTGATGAGAATGCGTAATTATTGTCAAGGCGCTGTGGATGTGACCGCCGTGGAGAAGACTCTTGATGAATCGTCGGCTTCGAAAAGACAAGAGATCCATATTAGTTGTTTTGATGACGACGCGGAACGACTCAAGAACTACAGAGGGAGATTCGTAGTTGTAGCGGGTTTACAATGCGGACCTGTGCCGATCATTCCGTCGTCTGAGCAGACGCCCGGCGAGCAGCTTCGTCATCAACACAGCCGTGTAGATCACCATATATTGGACGGGCGATGTAACCGGTGACCTAGCCAGCCCAGCAACGACGATTTTACAACAACACAGCTCCAGTCGTGACCAGCGTCAAAAGTGGTCCCCCACCCCCCTGACAGCGCCACACGGCATCACTGTGCGTAGGGCTTTCCGCTGTGGAAATCCGGTCGAAATCGGCCGGTAGAAAGGAAGCATAATTATAAGGCGCGGTTTTTTACTATAGCTGAGGGTATGCTGCTAACTTAAAATGGCGTCTTTGCCGGCCCTCGAAGGCTCTATAGGGATAGAGGACCGCGAGGGTTTCGACGGGAGAGAGGCGTAATCGTAGGGGCTTCCCTGGCTATTGCGGCTTCCGCGAGGGAGGTTTTCGTGGGAGGTAAACGTTCAAGGCTCAGGGGCCTTCGGGAACTATTTTGGGATGTGGGGGTGGGGGGGAATAGGCGTCAGGAGCCGCAAAGCTTGGGAGTATGTAGTGCAGGGATGTCCTTGGGCTTTCTACCGTGGGGCCGGCAGCTTAACAGGTGGAAGTCTAAGCTCAAGGTTCATCGCTTCGTTTGCTTTCTTGGAGAACAAAAGATGGGGCGGCAGAATGCTATGATATCAGTTACCTCTATGTGTCTTCGTCGTAGGGTAATCCCAGTGTCGAATCTCGGTCTTGCCCCTCTCTCAACTAATAAACTGGGACTTTGCAGGTTAACAAGGCAGAGTGGCGGCTGTTGGTTGAGGGTCAACAGGAACATTGTCAGAGTTGCTTTACGGTGTCAGAAAGTCAATTCGGATGAACCCCTGAATCCAGGTCTAAGCGGTGGAACTATCGTGACGGCATCCCTGACGAGTTTCCGGAACGTGGACACGAGCATAGTTGAACAGCCACATATCGAAAGGTAGAGCCAATCCTAGTGCATAGTCGTTGTTGAACATGAATGGCAGGGTCGTAGGGTGGCATCCACGATGGAAATCGGTCATCAGCCATGACTTCATGGATGAAGTTGATCTCCAGAACGTTTCAACTGCGTCGTAAGCTACACACGACGCTGAGCCTCCGTGTTGACTTATGGATCAGCAGATTAGATGGAAAACATGTCGTAAAAGATTGATCCAGTTGGAGATAAAAGGCCTCCTTTGTCGCGGTAAAGTCAAACCTTCATCTCCTCATCAACACACATCAACACACATCAACATCTGACCATCATTCAATTCAACCACTCAGTCACATTCACTTCGTTTACCTAAACAACCACACCACCACTAAACTATCAAAATGCAGTCTTTCACCATTGCCACCATCATCGCCTTCGCCGCCGCCACCCAGGCCGGCCCTCTTTCCGTCAAGCGCGCTGACCAGTGCAACGTCGCTCCCAGCGGCCCTACCAGCGCCGACGTATCCCCCTTTTCGCAGCCCGCTGCAGCTACCGCAGACGCCTGCCAAAAGCTTTGCGAGGCCGACGCAAGCTGCCAGGCCTTCGTCTTTGGCCTTCCCGAGTCCGGAAACACTCCTCTCTGCTGGCTCTACAACGTCCCGGCCGCCCAGATTCCTCCCCAGTCCAACGCCAACCTGATGGTCTTTGACAAGGCATGCACTGGCGTTCCCACCGCTGCTCCCACTCAGTCAAACGACCAGAACAACAACGGCCAGGACCAGGGCCAGGGCCAACAACCCAAGAAGCGCAACGTCTGCGGCGCTGCTCCCACCGGCCCCGCCACCAACGATCCTACCCCTCTTGTCACTCGCGAGGACATCACTACCCAGGCGGACTGCTTGGCTCTTTGCAAGCAGACATCTGGTTGCCAGGCGTTAGTTACTCTTCCTCAGAAATCGAAAACGTACATTCACGGCTAACTGAAATAACAGCATCGAGTTCGGCAAGCCCTCCGCTAATGAACCGGTCCAGTGCCTCTTGTTCAACGTCCCTGCGTCTCAGCTGCCTCCTCCCACTGACGGCCAGACTTTTGTGGCTTTCGACACCGGCTGCTAAATGCAGCTTAGTCAGTTATGGCCGTCGCTGCGGGCTCTTTCCGTCTTAGACGCGTCATTGAGTCTTAGCAGGCTTGTACAGTAATAGCCAGAGGGAGCTGAGTCGAGTTATGGGACTGAATATAGGGTTGGGAAATCGAGTATCATGTTTTCCTTTGTAAAAGTTCCTTTTGGTCATCGATGTCCCTCTTTCAAAACTTCCTTAGGTTCTGTAGAAAGAATTGGGTGCTAGTACGGTTCATAGATTGAAATTGCAACACACTCGCGCTTATTACGTCCCTTTCATCACTTTCCGTGATGATTTGATAACCAGTGTCACTCATGAGCCAACGGTAGGAATGTGTATCCCTATTTCCACGGAGCATGATATCTCCCTCCATGGGTTGTTACCTTTCCGAAGACTCAAACGGAAGCGTAAAGATGAAGGAGACTAGAAACGGGAGAAGGTAGTAACTAGAATCTATTGACTGTGGGAAGCTACCACTCTCGCCAAGGCCCAGCTGAGTATCCTGCAGCGTATTCAACTTTCCAGAGACTATGAGGCGATGGTTGATTTTGCTCTTGTTGCAGCCGCAATCATTTACCAACATTTTCTTACCAAGTATATCCGATTGAGTCCAAGTTTTCGCACAGCATTGTTCATTCTTAGACTGGCATTTTATGCCAAACGAAGTTGTGGTGTGCGTGGTCTTGGTTCTGGAACAGGCCTGAATCAGCCTAGGCGAGAAATCTAATCATCAGGCAGTACTAAAATATCTTCACTAAGACAATTTCTTCACTAAAAGCCCTTTGCCTAAACGAAATTTTTTCACTGCAATTTTAGCCGCCCCCCAGGGTTGGAGACGGATTTACGGGCCAACCACGGTTGATGTGGCGTCAGGCTGTGCCAACCCTTGCTCCTTTTCCTCGAGCAATGAGTAGGCGAAAGACACTTGACAGCCATGAAAACCTTCACAAGCGTTCAACCCGGAAATCATTGGGGATATGCATAAATTAACAAGAAAGTCGAATCAAGATAGAGTAATGAATGTTTGATCAAGAACAAAGAAATTCACCCCCCACCCCCAGGCTTTTACTTCTCTGGATTGGACTTTTTAGATAGGTCTAACCCGAAGATGCCGCTTCCAATCTTGACGCCGAACTTATCAGGGCCGAATTGGAATCTTGAGCTGCCGCTGCCTGAAGAGCCGGCACTCGCACCCTCGTCGTTCAGAACAATCTTGAGGCCGCGCGGCTCGAAGAAGCCACTGTTCCACCGTGCGACTATTTCAGCCACTCGGCCTTTCCCGTTTCCTTGTCCCTTTGACTGTTGCTTATTTTCCTGTTCGTCGGCTTCAAGAGCGGCTGTGAGGTTGGCGACGAAAGTAGACCAGTCTTGCCTGGAGATGTCGCGGCCGAGCCATAGTTCGGCAGGGTCCGGAAAGGGAAGAGATGGAGAGGCCGTTCCGGACTCTATGGTAATGTAATGCGTTTGTATCTGATCTGGGCGGGGAAATGGTGGTTGCCGAGCGATGGCAGAAGCGGCGTCCTCGTAAGGAGGAGGGGGAGCATCAAACTGGTCTGCGCTCATGTTGACTTTTACGATGGATCTCGTGGGTCCAGATTTGTTGTGAGGGGTTGTTAAGGTAGTCAGGTATGTATCACTATGCAATTGGTGTTGTCTATTTTTGTTGTGATTTAATGGCTTCGAAACCCAAAATAAAATGCAAATGAGGCAGATATCAGACAGGTGATGAAGCCCATGCGAAGGGCAGGATTGCCTTCTTATTAACACGGACAGTCAACCGGTGGACTAGCCGGAATTGAGAATCGGATAACGTTACGGATACACCGAAGTCCATGGAGTGAATGGATCGCACAAGTGCAAGGGAAAGGGCGGGGAACCAACATGCATACAGCGCAAAAGAGATTGATAACAACCTACTTGTGGCCCGATGTCCCTTACCAACGTGGCAAAACAACTAATCTAGACTTGTCTTTTGAATGGATGCAACACCACGGTGCATCAACGCGTGTCCAGCATGTGCTGCCGTAAAGAGAGCGAATCAGCAGTTCGCTGTTATTTTTCAACGACCAAATTATGGGGAGACGAACCAGGGTATCTTTTGTTCTCTCAACGTTGGCCCAACATGTCGACTTCCGTGTTTGGAGTATTAAAGATCTAACCGGATATGCAAGGCCGGGCTCGAATTCGACTGGTCTAGACTTGACCCTCACCATTGGCTGGTATCCACGTTACTTTTCTGGGAGCTGGGGTAGGCTCGCAAAAGTTCCTCCTTCGTTGCTCGGGTTTTACGAACCAACAAACCGGATGAACCTTTGTACCAAACATCCATACTGCATATTGCAGCACACCCTTACCACATGTCCATCTTAAGGAGGTGGTTTGTAGTATCTCTAATAACTCTAACTGGTTTTGTACTTGGTTTTTAATGTGCCGCAGTTCAGCATGCCAATACATTTGGGACTTTGGCGTTCATTGAGAGTGGCGCGGGTCTCGAAGCTGATTTCACAAGTGACTGCTTATCTCACGGTTAGAAAAAGATCTTCTGCTTATCTGGGAGCATTTCGCATCTTCTGAGGTTGTCGTCACGGGTGAGGCTACAAGGAGGTACGTCGCTTTTCTTTTTCCAATGAAGATACGGGGACTTGGACTTCATTAATAGTATTTGCAAACAATACGTTTAATTGCCGACACAGACATGGAAAAGATTATGATTTGTGTGATCCGCACATGTTTCGCAAATGCTACGATAATGTCTGGAGCTTATAGCTTTTTGACATTATCCTTGATTGTGAGACTTGATAACGTGCTTCCGCTTTTTGAACACTATGGAAACATTTCACGGCAGCCTCGCTGATTACACGTTTATCTAATTCCCATATATTCATTGTCTATATGCTCTTAGGCAACATAATCAAGGCTGGAGTTGTCGATCTTCGTCGAGTTGATAGTATATACCATAACCGCGCAATTATCGCCAAATCAGGGCACCCACGTGATAGTGATGGACACAAGCTCCAAAAGCGCATAGCTTCAACGACTGATTTCAACAGTTCTAAGAATCAATGTAATTCCGTCGTATCTCAGGCAAAGCTTGGGCATGAGAAACCTTGTATAAGAAACGTGGATCTGAAACGATCTCGGTACAGCGTTTCTACGGCATCCGCTACCAAATACCATGCGGGAAGAAACAAGAAATCTCGGGATGGGACTTATCAGGAACACTCTTCTTGAAGGTGGCTCAGCAGCTGGGCATCTAGGATCAAAAAGCTTGTTCAAGGGACCCTTGGAGTTTCCTCGCATATAAGCCCACTACTGCAGTTCACTTCGACCTTCCAGATCCAGTCAGTGCTGATGCGACCATCAGCATGATCGGGCCTGCATGACTAGGGTGATACTAATCCACATTGTACCGGGTCCGTCACTCACTCGCCGCGAGAGATGCTTATGGACAAGGCCCATTTCCAGCGGATTTAGTCTTTCGATTGTCAGATTGAGTAGTGCATAGTTGATGTAGCCAACTGGTGGCAGCCATGTACTCAAGATGACTGGGCTATCCACGCGTCCTTATTCACACATACAGCAACAGACCCAGATGAAAGAATGTTTTACAGGTGGCTGTTGTAATTACACTGGCCTAACGCATCTGAGTTTGGGTACAAGAGCAACAACGACCACTACAGAACAGCATACATAGAGGTGCTAAAAGATCCCAGAATCGAGAGGAAGACACTTTGTATACCAACAGAAGGAAATAACGCACCTGGAATAATTCTCAAGCATGAAATTTTGTTACCGCCTTTGCCCTCATTGCCCAGATTTACGGGCGGGATGAATACTTACAATCTTGCTACCTACAGACCCATAACCATGACCCCAGCCTTAAGAAAACGCCCTATAACGCCCATAACATGCAACTTGCCGTGGAAAGCCAAATCCCATATAAAAACAAGAACCATCGCTACTTTATGCACCCAAAGTCAACACCAGTCCATGCAATCGCCCAAATCACTCGTACGGAATGGAACCAAATTCAAACTCTGTCGGAAACGTCGCACAAGATAGATAACTCTCAGCCGGAAAGCTGTTAGCCATCTCTGTCAGCATCTTATCCCGACGAAGGTTATACCGCGCCTTGAAGCGGCTTCTCCAGCCTTCGCTCCATTTGGGCAGGGACATGCCCTGATAGCACGGCAGCGAGTACCACAGCTCGGTGGCTCGCTGTCGCAGCATGCTGCCGGTGACGCTGCCTTCGCCGCAGATGAACTCGTAGTCGAGCATCCACCTGATGAGCTCCTCCTCGAGTTCCTCCCACTTGGCGGGCCTGTCACGCTTTCTACTGTCATTGGTGGGGGCGCCCCCTGCGTATGGCTCTAGATCTAGGAAGGCATACTTGTGGCTTAGAATGTCGCTGACGGTGGTCGAGTTCAGGTGGTAGCCGTAGGCTTCTTGCCACCATACCGAGGCGTCGACCTGCGACTTGGGGCCGTCTGTCTGGTCGAAGAACCAGGCCCGAAGAGCCCGCCGCTGCGCGTTGGTGATGGCTCTTCGCCTCTTGGACTCACGCAGCGGCTTAGTGGTTTCCATTGCACGTATCGTGAGGCTGGTGAGCCCCCGGAATGCGGAGTGACGCGATCAGGGTCCCTAATGTCGCCTGCGACCAAAAAATCCACTGCACTAATGCTGTTGTGGACCACCTGTGCAACACCGATGCTGTGCTATGCTGACAGGCTGCACAGGTGCCTATTTAACCCCCCAGCAACGGTGCCAATAAGCGCGTGCTTATGTAGTAGTCGGAGAGTGAGGCACCTGTGGTATGTCTGGCTGAACCAGGTTTGTGGGACTTGGCTCTTGGCTGCTTGGTGAGGGGGGAGGAATAAGGCTGATGAGCGACGATCCTCCAGACAGAAAGCGACAACGGATTAAAGAGACAGTGGAGATATCTTGCAGCTCTCGTTGAACTTGCACGGGAAAAAAGCATGGGATGACGACGATCTTGATTATTGAATCATGTTGGCTACTCAAAAGTATATGTATTTTTCGCCCCCTGTATCTTGTTGAAGGTTCTGGTTGAACATGAGCTGGTGATGGATCCTCTGAAACGCCTTGCAGCCCGTATGTACCACTGCCTCTTTGGGACAAGCAGGAGACAAACGGGAAGATGAAGCTGGTATGGAAACATGCCCTCCCCCTTGCTTATGTTGCCCGATGTGTATATATATATCCCGTTTTTGTTGGTATTACTTGTCACTCCAGCCTCATCCTGCTGGGCGGCGGCGCAAGTCCACTGCGTCGTGTAGAGCATAGCGCGAGGCACAGCAGGGCCCAATGTCCCCGCAGGCGGGCCCCCTTAACCATTCACAACAGAGGGATGTTGCGAGAGACGCAGCGGGGCAGCAACATAACCTCGTTTCCTGTCGCGAAGGTGTGTAACTAGCGGGAAACAGCAACATGTGGAATCATTGGTGTCGATATGCACTGGGGTGTTATTGCATTGTGTGTTTTGTTGTTGAGTGTGAGAGTAAGCCCGAATGGTGGTGATGTGAACTTGAGCTTTGGTCCAACCTCAGCTGGAAAATCGGCTTGGCTCGCTTGGCAGGATCCCTGCCGAGCCACTCCTCTACGGTGTATATGGTGGATTGCTCCTTCGAAACACACCCCACGCGGTTTGATTCCTACAGTTGATTCCTACAGTCGGGTCCTCAACGGTTAGTCTAACGCAAAAAGGTTCCAACGAACATTGTGATGGCTTATGATGAGCCATGTGGTTTATCGTCGAAACCCCGGCGTGCAAGGCTTTGAAAGCTTCTTGCTCCGTCTTATGGAGAATGTTGGGGGCCGAGGGAGGTATAACATCAACAGATCAAGCCGCATTGAGCGGCCGAGAGTCAGCGTGGTGATCAAAAATAGGCCATGACATGGTTAGTGTTGCTAGTGCTGGCCAGATGGAATTTTAGATAAGGCTGTTTATCTTCATTGCCAATCAGAGCAGTCCCATCAGACTTCTTCTGCACTGACCTTAAGGTCCGAATATTCCTGGCCCTCTTTCGTCAATGATGAGGGCACAGCCAATGTCATTTTTGCCCAGGGCTTAGCTCCATCTTACACATTAGAACCACTACTGATCGAGATACGCAAGTCGACTATGAAAAGCTGAGTCGCCTAGTGTCGGCTGGACTGCGTAGTAGCCGCCATTCGATCCTGATGTACATCGAGCTTCGATCAATCACCTCGAGAAACTTCAAGTCACCTCTATGTGACTTATGGCGGAATGATAGACCTACGGCTTCTGTGCAAGCTTGTTTGGCGTGTTGGAGTCTGTATGGAATTCAAATTGACAATAACCTGTCATTTGCTGAAACCACAGAAATCGGTAGTTGCAAATGACGAAATGATGACATTGATACTTTTTAACTGGAAATCTAAACAGACTTAAAGGACGTGCTGTATTTCTTGCATTTATTCTCTCTTGAAACCAACCCACAAGAGATTGTGTTTTGAAATCTCATGGACCTTTAATGTAATACTTCTAGACGAGGTGCTTCAACAGACCTGCGATTGGCCTATGACGTTCCTGAGATGTATCAACGTTCCCTTGGATATGCTATAATTCCGTCTTGAGCGGTTACTACTAGATCTACTTACCCGACCTGTTTTTTGTTGGAATAGCCGGAACTCGCTCGGGGTTGGAGTGGCTCCGTCGCCGGCAGACTTGTCGGCACCCCGGGGTGTCCACGTGACGGGCAGACGGCTATAAGATCAACAGCCACTTCATCCAGCACTTCTGCTGAAACGTATTTCATGGATATCAGACACAAGACAAAAATCAGTTTCCCCCTTCAGTTTATCCCACTTTACGGGTACCCTGTGATATCAGCAGTTTTGCCTCTAATAGGTACACCAACGTCAGTTGCCGCAAAATCCTCCCCAACTTAAGAATCTATATGGCCAGTGATCAAAGTGATGGATGGGTTCTGTTAATCGTGCTTTAGCTTGCGGACCACCTTGAGTAGAATCATGGCAAGTTTAGACGTCGAAGGTAGCAGTCTTAGGAGCTTTTTACAAATCTACACGAAGTCTTTTTTTTATTTTTATTATTATAATTTTTCGTTTAAAAAGCACATCCCTTAAAATAAGGTAAACAGGCACTTCTTCGTCAAAAGGAAGATTCTCATACTTTTCATTACAAGCCTAAACCAAGTACCTAAACAGCATATTATATACTCCCACATGAAATTCATGATTCAGACAAAGACATTGTGGAAAAGCACGTGCCTTGTTGTAGATGCCTGACTTGAACATCGGACCTGGACGATAAACGGTCAGCTTCATGGCCAGGCCAGCTGCAAGCGGACTTTATTCAACAGAAAACTGCACCAACATGACCGGAAAGCACAAAACACAAAACTGTTTCGACATCACAGAAAAGGCACAGTATTGCAATATCATATGTTAATCTGTATTTGCTTCACCTCGGCAAGATTGCCAGAGACGTATCAACTAAACATGTAAAAATCAAAAAAAGCCACCGCTCATTCCGGCTTTGGCCAAAGCCATGCGGTCCCCTTCCATCCATAGTCTCCCCACGTGTGCTGCCTGCACTGTTTTACGCAACAAGTATATAAAAAAGTCTTTTTTTGACCACAACGCCAAATCATGTTTTCATCCCGCATCAAAACCCCATTCGCATAAGTCAATCCAAAGTACCCAAGATAAATACGAAGCTTTTTAGTAACCGCCCACCAAACCCTAAAACGAATTTGCAAGTCTACTGTCCTCTTCCAAAGCGAATGTCAAAGTCCTTGAGCACGCTCATGATGCTCGCGGCTTCGACTTCAATAGGCAGTCGCGAGGGAGAGGGCAGCGTCTGACCGGGCTTGGGCGCGGCACGGAGCTTAGGCAGCCAGGAGCCGATGTCGTCTGCAGCCTTGTCGAAGTTGCGATGACTAGACAGAGTCTGGTAGGCCTCGGCGCAACTAAGGCTTAGGCCGAGCTTCATCTTGGACGGAAGGCGGGGAGGGGCGGATCCGGACTTGCAGCATCCTCCTCCGGGACCGGCACCACCACAGCAGCCGCCGCCGCCGCCGGAGCTACTGCCTTCACGTTCAAAATTTGCTGAGAGGGCACGGCAGAAGAGGCCTGATTTGGGATCCGAGAGACACTGGGCGCAGGTTCCGGGGCCCTTTGAGCCGCATCCACGGGAGGTGGGAGCCGTGGGCTGCGTGGTCTGCGGACGAGGACGGAGCTTGACGGCGCCGTCAGAATCGATCTCCATGGGGGGAGGGACGGCGTCGTTCTCTGATGGGGGAGGGGTCTGGGTCTGCTGAGAGTAGGCGGGAGGAGGTCCGTAAGGGGTGGTAGCGGGAGGGCCGATAGACATGGTGTCGGCGCAGATGCAGTAGGTGCCGTCTTTACAAAACCCACACGAGTCTTTGATGGAAATAGAGGGGAGCGGCTGGGGCTGCATGATCTGAAAGGTCGACCGCTGGGGAGGCGCCGCCTTCTTGGAAAACATGGCAGTGAAGTCGATCTCAGTCTCCTCCTCAGCCGGGGTCGGGTCAGTACGAGCACGCTTCTCGGAAGAAGTCACGGCCGAGGGAGAAGGTGCCCGCTTGAGGTCGGACATGATGGCGCTCTTGATGGTCTCCTCGAGGCACTCGCATCGGCCTCCGAGGGTGCACCCTCCGCATCCTGTGACAGTGTTGGCGAGAACGTCGTCAGCACAGGCACATGAGCCACTAGGGCCGCATGACCCGCAGCCAAACGGGGCGGGAGAGTCTTCCATTTGGGTAGAGTCCTCGGGCGACACAATCTGGGAGATGGAAAAGGGCTGGTTTGAATGACCCACTGAAGGAGTGGGGGGCTCGTGATGAGTGGTGACCGAGGATGCCCGGCGGATAGGCGATGGCAGAGCTCTGGGGGCTGCGGCTTGCTCATTCCAGCGTCTCTTCTCACCCTCAAGGTCCGTCTCGGCCTTGACACGGTCCTTTCTCTCACGTTCAAGTAGGTTTTCCAAGACAAGGCAGCGGGACTTGAATGCCTGCAGCTCCATCTCCAATCCGTGCACCTTGTCCTTGAGCTCTTTCTCGGTCTTCTCATAGACATCACGCTGCTCGTCAAGCTGCTCCTCCAGCTCGCCAACCCTCGCAGCCCTGCGCTCACGGAAGGCACGCTGGGCGGCACGGTTCTGGGCCTTGCGTTTGGTAGGCGGCGTATCAGTGGCGGGCTTGCGACCAGGTTTTGGGCGAGGCGGGATGACCCATTCCTTGGTGGTCATGGACATCTTGGGAGCAGCCTCGGTGGGCGGGGGGCTAATGACGGAGGCCATGGACATTTTGTTTATAGGCTGGGGGGGCCTAGCTGATATGGCGGGGTGTGCGGCGTTCGGTCTGATGGCTGGCAGCTGATGCGGGTGGGAGGCATTTGTCGGACCGGTGCTGCCGGGGGTTGAAGCGCCAGGAGTGGACGCAGGCGGCGAAGCAGCGTTAGAAGCGGGCGTTGAAACGACCGAGTTTGATCGGGATGCGGCGGCGGAGGTGTATGCGCTGCCTCGTCGGGTTTCGGTTGGTGGTGAGGCGACGGGAGAAAAGGTAGAAGAGGAGTGGGAGGAGAGGGAAGCGGAAACACCTGAGGCGGCCATCTTGAAAGGGACGGCGGAGGAAACGAACGAGCACACTCAGCAGGGTTACCGCGGGTGGGGGTCAGTGTGGCTGCTCATTCGTTGCCGGCTGGTGGGATGGAGCCGGACAGGTGGCTGACAGGTGGTGGCAGCAGGTGTGGCTTGAAGGATATTGGTAGCGTTGGTAGCGGACGTTTAATTCCGAGGATGAGGTTCGGCGAAGTGATGACGCTCGGCTTAAAGATGAGATGATTTTTTCTTTCTTGCTTTCGTCTCTTCTTTTTCTGGCCGTTGTTCAAGAGTAAGAAAAAGAGAATAGGTGCTTGTATTTGGCTGTTATATTTGCAGACGATCTTCGGAGAGCAAATGGTTTTCTCGGAGAGGAATCGGCGTTGCCAATGTATTTTGGTGATGGTGCAGTGATCTGAGCTGATTCCGATCAGATGAGTGACACCCCTACAGTGACTGCACAGCTGATAGGCGCAACCAATGCACAAGAGCTGAGATGTTGGGTCAGGGAAAAGACGAGCGACGAAGGGCTTGTACGTCTTGTAAGTTTGCAGCCTGTGGCAGCCAAATGAGAATTGTAATAGATGTATAAGGGACAATGTAAGTGTGTGTGTGTGTGTATGTATGTGTCTCAGTAAAAAGAGAGAGACGATGCGGGCAATGTGGAAAGTTTTCCGCTCGTTCGCAGGGTAATGTTTGTGTGGGCTGGCTGATGAGGGAGACTCTTGTGTTGGTTTGGAGGGGGAGCCAGAACAGACCAGAGGGGATTGGAGGGACAGCTGGAGGGGGGACGGGGGACGGGGAGACGAGATTGAAAAGGAATTTTTGATCTGATTGATAAGATTATCTTGCTCGCAAGGACCCCACTCAGGGCCAGGCACTAGTCGCCTTTTTTTCACGCTGGTTTTTTTTTCCCTTCACTATGATACGGAGTACTTTAGTGTACGTACCCGGTAACCCACTACCCAAGGCCGAGGGTCCCCCCTAGCAGCTGTCAGAGAGCTGGGCCAGTTTTAACAGTTACGCACATGGTATAAACCAGTAGCACACACACAAAAACCCCATAGTACTATGAGCATACACTATTACACACACCCACACACGCTCGGGTCGGGTCATGGAGACTACGGAATCGTTCGATGGGCACCCTGTTCCGGCCCTGCGATCTCGGAACTAGTTCTCGTTGGCTCACAGATTCCTAGACTGTTTTGCACAGCCCGACTTCTCCCACGCCCGCCCACGGATCACCGCCCAACATTGACGAACCAACTCCACTCCATATGCCACTGCAGGCTCTGTCCTCGAGTTTCCATGGCGTAACAGTCCAACCCCTCCCTCCATCAACAGTGGCTGCCATTCTTGCCAAGATCACCACCTTCCAAGCACGCTTCATCTAAGGGTCTGCCGATGTCGCAGCTTGGGGGCCACGAAGAGGAGTTGTGGCGATCGATCAAGGGAGCCTATCTGTCGCCAACAAATAAGAACTGCCCTTTGCCCGATGACCCGTCTCGTATGCCGAGAGAAGAGGATGACGGTAGCTTAGATGCTCTTTTTTTAACACTGATATGTTTCGATCCGACGATGGGAATACAGACATGGGGGGATCGAAGAAGTTAAATGGGCGCAAATGAAAGAAAAAAAAAGCCCAATTGCCTATCAATCGCAGAAAAGTTTGGCATTACAACCATAATACGGATACATCTTACACACTGGGCGGTAAACAAGCGAATAACACCGAGATCGGGAATTTATGCCTCAATGGAACCTCCCACCCTCCTTCGCTGCAACCTGTCCGTGTCACCGCCAGTCGTCCAATCGCCTCGGGGCAGTTCATCAGGGACAAAGATCAAGAGGTACTTGATAAGATGTCACCACCCTCCATTCCATCTCATCCTATTACGGTATTACCACGCTCCGGTACGTCTACTCTTACATAGTACATAATGGCATGTATGTACTTGCAGGGCCCCCAGCATACCCTCCTACGCACCATCGTGCCATTTTAGCCCAGCCGCTGCTTCCTTTCGGCAACGTTGGTTCACATGAGATGCTGAATTTTTTTAAACCACACGAGTAGCTTCGCTCCAGTGCTCGACGAGGCTTGCGCACCGGGCTCCTTTCGGTTTCGTACTGGTTGGGACCGTCCTCAGTCATCCCTAGCGTAATCAGATCGGCCCTTCATCCACAGTTGAGCTGATACAAGTGGAGAGTGCCGAGGTGGGAGGCCGGAGACATGACCTACAAAATACGTACTGTAGGAGCCCAGATGCTACCTCGCAAGTTCACGGGTCGACGGTAATTGTCGGCGCATGCCATGCCTCAGAGTGGCTCCGACCAAGAGCTTCCTCACAAGGGATTCCCTCCCATCGAGTCATACTACACGGCCAACTCGGCCTCCGAGCCGTGAACATTTACTAGCTGTTTCTGTGCTAGAGCTGCCAGAGCTGCCAGAGCTAAGCTGGAGAATACGATAAACAGGCTGTTGTTTTTATCACTACAGCTAAGATACGCCTCTCGTGAATTGCCATTCACATTCTACTAGTACACTTCAATACTGAAACTTCCTCATCCCGGCTCTGCCAATAACCGCCCGCGAAAAATAATGATAGGCAAAGATGAGCGTCACAGAAGCCGGACTCCATTGAAGGCAGGATTTGCGCCTGGCAAGGTTCGGGATTGTCCAATAACCACCGTGTCCACTCCCAGAGTTATGGGTAGGTACACCACCATGTACCTATGCTACAGCATTCTGGTGGAACCCAATGCACTGTCCAGGCCCCTAATTCCCACAGTGATTCCCTACCCCCCCGCGTCAAATGTTAAACTGGGAACCAATTGTGTCAATCACCCAATCGACAGCCGACCCTCTCACGATCCTATCTGTACCACCATCAGAGGAGGGACCAACAACCACCAAATCAACACCCGCGATACGCAACACCATCCCAACAATTCCCATACACTAGATCTACCTACTATATTACCAGGCTCCAACGCGTACCAACCTTACTCCGAGCTAAAAATCTACCTTACGCCGACGTCGACCGAGCCAAGGGCGCACACAACCAAACAGGACGAAAAACACGAACAGCTAATCCAGCAACACAAACCACACCATACGGAACCCATCCCCCCCCCTTCTCCCTCCCAAAAAAGAAAATGGCCGACATGGGCGTCCAGTCGCCGACCCGCCAAACGGCCGCCTTCCACTTCCCCTCGTCCTCGGCATCCTCCTCCGCCGGAGGCGACGACTATGACGACGGCGCCCCGCTGCCTTTCCCTGCTGCCCTGCCGCGTTCCGACTTCCTCGCCCCGGACTTCCACCCGGCCAATTACCTCTCTGCCCTGCCGCACCGTCACCAGACTCTCGACGATCTCAAAGCTGAGCTGCGGGACCGCAGCGCTTCCATCAGCGCTGAGCTCCTCGAGCTCGTCAACGCGAATTACACCGCTTTCTTGTCGCTGGGCAACGAGCTCCGCGGCGGAGACGAGAGGGTCGAGAATGTGCGTGTTGCGATGCTTGGTTTCCGGAGGGCCGTCGAGGAGATCAAGTCGCGGGTTAGGACGAGGGGCGAGGAGGTCCAGGGGCTCAGTGGTGAGCTGAGGGAGGTAAGGAAGGGGATTGAGGCTGGGAGGAAAATGCTTGAGCTGGATGAGAGAGTGTCGGCTTTGGAGGAACGACTTGCGTTGGCGAGTATGCCGGGCAAGGCCGCCCAAGAGGAGGACGAGGACGACTGGAGCGCAAGCGACAGTGATGAGCAGGAGGAGGACGACGACGATGACGACGGCACCGGAGGGTTGGTGGGCAGCAGCCCGGCGAAGCTTGCTGGGTTTGCGGAGGATTACTGCATCATCGAGGCCCTGGCAGATACCATTGGGCGGGACGTCACGTTCGTCGTCAAAACGGAGGCCCGCATGACGAGATGTCGGAACACTATCCTCCTCGATCTGGGCACGGCGATGAAGGAGGCACGGAAGGCGGGCGTCAAGGGCCGGCCGAGAGTGGTCAAGTACCTCGGTCTATACGGCTTGCTTGACGCCCAGGCAGATGCGGTCAGGGCTCTCCAGAGCAGCTGAAGGCCCAGGAGGGGCCATATCGAGGGAAACGGACTGGCAAAAACAAAAAAGAGATTTGAAAAAAAAAAAAAAAACGAAAAGAAGTAGCGATGCATATGATACCCAATTCTCCGGCATGTTTTCTAAAGCGCTATGCCACTTTGATACAACGTGTAATAAACACATATGGTACATTTGGATTTTGATCTAAACCCTTTCTCCTCAACCCCAAACCCCTTTTGGTTTTCCTTCACACTTTCGTCCGTCTTTTTTTACATATTACATGATGCCAGACAGGTGAGCAGGCGTGACCTTCTCATCCGTCGAATCAAAGTTTCCGTTCAAGCTGAAGCCGGGGCCGTGCGAGCTGCTGAGGACAACCTCGTGGACCTCCTTGTAGGTGCCGTCGAGCTCGGCGATGTCGTTCTTGATGTGGCCCACAAACGCCTTCACGTTGGACGCCAGCATCTTGGGCGTGAAGCCGAGCTGGCCGATGGCCATGCGGATAACACCCTGGCGCTCGCGGTAGTCGTCGGCGCCCATGGTCTCACGGATGGAGCTCACGACGTTGTCGGTGATGGTCTTCATGCGGCGGTTGGGCATCAGACCCTTGGGACCCAGGATGCGGCCCAGAGCGGCTTTGTTGAGGGCAGCCTCGCTGTCGGTGTGGCAGATGAGACGGTTGAAGGAGATCTGGTCGTTACGGATGGCCTCGAAAACGGACTCCTGGCCCGCGACGACGGCGCCGGCTTGCAGGGCCTGCTGAGCGACGGCGCTACCCTCCTCGCAGATGACGCCGACACGGACGTCCGACTTGACGGGGTTCGGCAGGCGAATGCGGTTCTTCACGACGGCGCCGTTTCGTGGCGTCTTGAGGTGGACGTGGATCTCGTACTTGATGGACTGAGGAGGGCGGCCGACCTCGTGGGCGCGCAGGTAGCTGTCAACCGGGGGTCAGTGGGAGGGAGTCATTGGGGCTAGTAAGTCAAAGAGAAGACGTACCGCATGGCATCACACAAGGAGAACTGAGGGCAGTTCTTGACGTTGTAGGCCTTAAAGTCCTTGGACACCTTCTTCTTCTTCTTCTCCGTCTTCTTGGCGCCCTGGTTACTCGCGCATCGCGCCTGGGCGACGGAAGGGACGAGGAACCGCGGTATCGTAGAGGCCATGGGTCTTGCGGAGCTGGCCAGGCTCAGACGGGCCATCGAGGCCATGCATTGGGTCGTTGACGCCATCGTAGCTTGGGTATATGTGTGATGGAGAGCGACACCGAGCTGGGCCTCGAATGTCGCGTGTGAAGCTCTGGCCAAAGACTGCAGAAAAAATGCTTTGGCCTGGACTCTCAGGCAGGAGATCGCTATCTTATCGGTGGTTTTATCTTATCGGGTACTTGATGGCTCCACATCGGTGTGAAAGATACGTATCAACACACCACTGTCACCAGAGCTGATCGGAGATGAAGAGTCATAATTAAACGCTCATACAAGAAAAAGAGTATTTAAAAGGCGGTATCGGAGCTGAGTTCTATCTCTTGATTTTCTTAGCATGCCAATTTCTTTTGTTCAGTCTTTTGTGGCTGTTGCTCACTTTAGACGTCACACTATCATTAGTTAAAGGTACCTAAAAATCTCGGTGTGCTCGCTGAATCACCAATCATATAGCCACATCTCCTCCTGGCCGAGCGCTTTCGGTGAGTGCCCGCAGTTGTGGTGTTACCCCTCCATGATTTTTAACCCCACCACGAAATATCAGCCACCCAAACATTTGTTTGACTCACGAGACACCAGGACCGTCCTGACCATCCCCAATCTCGACCGCCTGATCGCCTCAATTGGACACCAAAAACCGCAACCATGAAGGCCGAGGAGCTCCAGTCCCTCCCCACCGCCCTGAGCGGCGACTTCAAGTCCATCGAGCCTCACTTCCGCGCTCTGGACAAGCACCTGACCCTGCGAACCTTTATCGAGGGCTACTCGCTCGGCGAGCTCGAGACCAAGATCTGGCAGACTCTCAAGTCCAACAAGGCTGCTATGGGCTTCCTTCGCAAGGGATCTCTGGCTAACCTTACCCGTTGGTGCGCTATCGCCGTTGTTCCTCCCGCTCTCTGTGCCGGAGCTAACTTGCGTCATTCAGGTTCACCTTCATAGAGAACACCTTCCCCGAGATCCAGACCGAGACCAGGGCCGCAGATGCCGCCCGCAAGGCCAAGGTTGCCGCTGCCAGCAAGGCCGGCGCCAGCTACTCCCTCGCCCTCCAGAACGCCGAGGCTGGTGTTGTCACCCGTTTCCTTCCCGAGCCTTCGTGAGTTCACTGCGCTCAATCTCTGTGTGGACAGTTGACCTAACCATAAACAGAGGCTACCTTCACATCGGTCACGCCAAGGCCGCCCTTCTGAGCGACTACTTCGCCCATGAGGCCTACAACGGCAAGCTCCGCCTGCGTCTCGACGACACTAACCCCGCCAAGGAGAGCGAAGAGTTCCAGGATGCCATCGTTGAGGATCTGGCCATGATGGGCATCACCCCCGACTTCGTCTCCTACACCTCCGACTACTTCGAGTACCTCTACGAGACCTGTGTCCGCCTCATCAAGGAGGGCCACGCCTACGCCGACGACACCGACCAGGAGACCATGCGCATCCAGCGCACTGATGGTATTGAGTCCAAGTGCCGCAGCCGCACCGTCGAGGAGAACCTGCGCATCTTCGAGGAGATGAAGAACGGTACTGCCGAGGGCTTGAAGAACTGCATCCGCGCCAAGATCTCCGTCGACAGTCCCAACAAGGCCCTGCGCGACCCCGTCATCTACCGCTGCAACGTCGAGGACAAGCACCACCGCACCGGCGACCGCTGGAAGATCTACCCCATGTACGACCTTGCCTGCCCCGTTGTCGACTCCCACGAGGGTGTCACTCACGCTCTCCGTTCCACCGAGTACACCGACCGCAACCCCCTGTACCAGTGGTTCATCGATACCCTCAAGCTGCGCCAGGTCTACATGCACGACTTCAGCCGTATCAACCTCGTCCGCACCTTCCTCTCCAAGCGTAAGCTCGCCAAGATCGTCAACCAGGGCACCGTCTGGGGCTGGGACGACCCTCGCATGCCTACCATCCGTGGTGTCCGTCGCCGTGGTATGACCATTGCCGCCCTTCGCGAGTTCATCATCAAGCAGGGTCCTTCCCGCAACGTTGTTAACATGGACTGGGCTGCCTTCTGGAACACCAACAAGAAGGTCATCGACCCCATCGCCCCCCGCCACACCGCCATCCTCGAGAAGGACGCCGTCAAGGTCAAGGTCACCGGCGCCGAGGCTCCCGCCGAGCCCCGTACTGAGGAAAAGCCCAAGCACCCCAAGAACCCCGCCGTCGGCACCAAGAAGGTTGTCTTCTCCAACGAGCTCATCATCGACCAGGCCGATGCCAAGAGCTTCAAGAAGGACGAGGAAATCACCCTCATGGGCTGGGGCAACGCCTTCATCCGCGAGATCGGCGCCGGCGAGCCCATTGCCGACCTCACTGTCGAGCTCAACCTCAAGGGTGACTTCAAGACGACCGAGAAGAAGGTCACCTGGCTGTCGGGCCAGGGCACCAAGCTCGTCAAGGCCGAGCTGTGGGACTTTGACTACCTCATCAAGAAGGACAAGCTCGAGGAGGACGACATCCTCGAGGATGCCCTCAACCCCGTTACCTCCACCATGGAGACGGCGTGGTGCGACGCCGGTGTTGGCGAGCTGAAGAAGGACGACATCATCCAGCTCGAGAGACGGGGTTTCTTCCGTGTGGATAAGGGACTGGACGAGGGCGACAAGGTTGTTCTGTTCTCCATTCCCACCGGCAAGGCCAAATAAGAAAAGCAATGTTTCCGTTTGTACGTAGATATAGGTCATGAAGCAGATGAAGAATTGAAGCATGAACCAATAAGTGTGATTACGAGTGACATTTGATCTCACTTCAAGTTTCTGGCGAACGTTTGGCAGTCTTAAGCCGGTTATTTTACGGACGGGCAGGGAGATGGAAATATTAACAACGCAAAGTATGAAGACCTCGGTCTTTTTTGTTTCTTTTATCTTATTACAGGTTTTGATTCTCATTTTCCTCGGTTTAATTTAAGACTTTTATCAACAGTGGAAGATTTTCAAGGCCAAAGTAAAACAGATCAAAGGCTAGAAATGCTGCTTTCAAAATAGTTCAAAGTACACCACTTTGACGTTCACTACCCATCTCGTCGCCACCAGCGTCTGACTAATTTTCGACATCCTTGGCCTTCATTTCCATACCACCGTCGCGTCCCCTGTATGAACTCTCAGGCAAAGCATTAAGAGCATCCTCCTCCTTATCAAGCTTCCGGAACATGATCCAAAAACCAACTCCCCCGACGCAGCTGATGATGGTGATGCAGGTATACAGCCAGACCAGGAGCGGGTCAGCCGCCAACCCCACAAACGCCTGGGCGATGGCACTCGAGAAGGCGTGGACGAAGAGGAAGACGCCGGTGACCAAGCCACGCATGTTCCGCGGCGCCTTGGTGAAGGCGTACTCGAGACCCGTGATGGACGCGAAGATCTCGCTGAGGGCAATGAGGATGTAGCACGGCGTCTGAATCCACACGGTCATCTCCGGCGGGCCGTTCTCGCGGATGCAGTCCGTGTCGCTGGCGCTGTACCCGCAGGGGGCGCGCTGGTAGATGAAGTGCTGGATGACGGCGGCGACCATCATGGACATCGTGGCGCAGAAGAAGCCCACCGTGATCTTCTTGATCGGCGTGAAGCGGACGCCCGCGCGCTCGACGGCGGGGTATATTAGCTTGTCGCAGATGGGGATGAATATGAGCAGCGCGAACGGGTTGAGGTTCGTGATGATGTCGTTTGGGATGCCGTCGAGGCGCATCGTCGCCGCTTGGTTGATGAGGTTGTTCGTCATCTGGCCGTACGCGAGCCAGAAGATGGGGAACCAGAGGAAGACGGTGCACGCCATGATTCCGCGGCGTACCTCGTCGACCCAGGCGTCGTCGAACGTCATCCACGACGGGCGGTCGGGCACCGCGCTGGGCTTGATGCGCTCCCAGAAGGCGTCCTTGCGCATGGCGAAGATGCCGCCGTGGCCCTGCCTGATGCCGTACGCCACCAACGCGATGGACTTCCCGAGGACGGAACCGGTGGGCGGCCGCTTGGCGTAGTGCTTGCGGCAGAGGACCATTACGACGGGGCAAAAGAAGAACATGATTGTCGGGAGGAGGTACGATAGCCAGAAGCCGACGTATTTCTCGGCGTAGACCATGGAGACCTGGCCCACGAGCGCGCCGACGTTGATGAGGAAGTAATAGCGCATGTATACGCGAGAAATCGTCATGACTGGGTCGATGATGACGCGCTCGCCCGAGGGGAGAGTTTCGACGGTCGCCCGAGGTTGAGTGAGCTCGTACTGTTCCGCGATGAGCGGCGAAATGTTCGCCTTGAACCATCCTACACCTGTGCCGAATCCCAAAAGGCCAATGATAAATGCTGCGAGGGCGCCGCTGGGGTTGGATATGACGGACGGGATGGCTGCTACGATGATGAGGATGTGGCCGACGGTAGCTACGACAATCGCGTATTGGATTGTGAGGTAGCGGCCCCAGTATGTGTCGGCAAGATAACCACCTGCAATCCCGATCACGTCAGTCGGTGGCTTTCTTCCCGGTTAAGTTACTGGGGAGTAATTGGCTCTTACTGACCAAGTAGCGGCATCACGTAGGACCAGAAGGAGTTGAACAGAGTGAGGGCGGTTGAAGCGCGCTGGCCAAGACCAAGAGCTCCAGCCTGTTCATGTGTACCTCCCGCACCTGTGGTTGAGTTGGGTGGCAGAGGGTAAGCGATAAAGTTGACGACTAAGTATACAGAGTTAGTGGAGGGAAACATCACGGCTGTTGAAGATGATGACTTACAGACTGCGGTGGTACCGTAGTACGCAAAACGCTCGCACATTTCAACAAAGCCGATGCTGTAAATCAACCAAGAGACTTTGCCATGGGTACGGCGTAGAGTGGTGAGCTCCTCTTCGGTCGGATAGACCTCGCCATTGGGGCCAGTGAGAGTCTCGCTGGAGCCTCTTGCGTCAGCGAGGTTGCCCTGATAAGCATCTGGTCTCTTCTCTCCGTCGAGACCTTTTTCAATTCCGGGGATGTCTGCTCGTGCGGCATCTACCACATCGAGGTTTGGTGCCGTCGACATGACTGGTTACTGTCAGAATTTCTGACTGGTCTGGTTTGAAAGCAATACAATAGATACCGCTAGCCGCACTTCATGAAATTCCAGGCAAACATCCACCTTGAGAAACAGGTGGCGGGGTGGCAGCATTTTGTAGCTTCGAGCACGTAGCACCCAACGAGCGGTATGCCGTCAAGGTTGCCCGATAGAGGTGCAAGCTGCATTGCCCAAGATAAGCGTCTGAGAAACTGTTCAGCGGTGACGGTTACATCTGCCAGTCTTGGCCGCGTTGAAGCGAAGCAATGCCGAGACAAGAAAAATGGTTGGTGGACCTCCTCGGAGCATAGTATTTGTTGGATATTCAAGACGACGTTGCACAGGAGCCATACGGCAATGAGTTGGAGCAACGAGACCTACAGACTCAACCAATCAACATTCTGATAATCTATGGCAGTGTAACTGGGTAGCCGTAAATATGCAATCATTGGTATCGGGAGTTGCTACTGTCTGCGTCTGATAGGATATGCCCGAACAAGCCCCACTGCTTGGCTTCATCGACGGGGGAGGGATCAGTCTGGAAGATACGACCAAGATGGTCGTTGGGAGATATGAAAACTCGGTCTTGGCGCCTTGGCCTTATCGAAAAGGGCAGGCGTCAAGACATATCTTGCATCTTCGACTGCGCCAGGTGACCATCAATCGGGCGTCTCCAAGTTGAATCGGCTTGGTATTTTGTAGCAGACGCCTAGAATCCTTTTTTCTTAGATAATGACTATAGTTGAACCTGGACATGGTAAACTCACAAGACTCACCAAGGGTTGCCACGAGTGTCTTCTTATAATGCCAATTTAGTTGCTAATTGCTAATGCCAAAGTCTGGCAAGTAGCGAATACAACCATAGTTAGGTGCATACCAGAAGAAGAAATTTTATTGAGGGTAAACCTATTCCTACAAAACAACTCTAAATAATGTTGTCGCTGCTGGCACTGCCCAAATTCATCTCTGCATAAGACTCATACCCTCAACAGCGTGCCAGACCTAGTAAAACGACGAACCATTTCCAACATCAAGGAATGGTCTTAGTTTCTCTAGCTCTTTCTGTTACACAGGGAGTCAAATGAGAGGGGAAGTCGGGTAGAAAACCCAAAAGCTTTGGATACGAGTAGTACATCTTAGTTTACATGCAAGTTGATATAAAAAAGAAAAAAACTAGACTCATACTAAAGTACCTTAGGTAAGCCGCCATTCCGCTGGATAGGTCGAGGAAAACATATAGAGCATCTCACATTAATATGGTACTCATAATAATAGTAGTCACCGCCGTTAAAAGTTGACCAATGTTTTTCTATCAAATTTCTAGCAAACCCCATTCGCTTTCTCTTCACAAGTCTCGTCCTAACTTACCTTCCTCAGTGTAACTAACTCTATCAATGATGCAATGTCGCTGTACGTGTTATTTGAGGTGTCTAATCGACTAGTTTTGTCTGGCTCAAGCTAGAATGTATTGTTGGAATGCTAGGTGCTTGAGTTTCTCGAATTAATTCATCCAGACCGTGGTACTACCGGATGTTTTATGGTGCACACCATCGCCTGAGTAATGTTTTCGCATAGAAATATCATCTGCTTCAAACATCAGTGAATAAAATTTCTCTCCTAGTTTTTTCAAATTCATATTCATATGTAGGCAGCCTGGAAGCCCAGAACTTTACATACTGGGCACTCAGCCCATCAAGATACGCTATACTTAATTTCAGGCACAACATGTTTCTCTTCATTCTTTTCATCAACAACACTAGCCACCGACGAGGCATCGGTGCCAGTCTTACCCAACAGCTCACTTGCATCCAGCCCACCAACACTCCCGCTCGCACTCTCATTGCTTGATGATGCCTCCTCGGACTCCTTGGCCAGCTCATCCGTCGTCACGCTCGGAGAAACAACAGATAACGGATCAGAAGAAGCAGTCGAAGCGGGACGGCCACCAACACGCTCCAGCAGCTCTGCCGGCAGCTTGTCGACAACAAGACGCACCAGGTCCGCAATCGAAGCACCCCCTAGAATCGTCATGACCGGCACATCCACGCCCAGCTCCTTGAGGAACCACGAGCGCATCTCGACGGCCACGAGGCTGTCGACGCCCATCTCTACAAGCGGCGTTGCGTCGTAGATGCTGTCGGCGTCAGGCAGGAACTTGAGCGCCTGCAGCTTAGCCTTGAAGGTGGCCAGCAAGATGCTCTCGACCTGGCCCATTGTCCTGGCCGCGTTGAGCAACTGTCGCACGGGCACGGCGTTGCCGCTACCAGAACCGCCACTTCCGGAGAGTTGCTGCCCTGTCTCTCGGATCAGCAGACCGAGACGTGGGTTGCTGGACCAGTAGGCTTGTTTGGCTTGCTCGGTAGTGATGGGGACGATGCTGGAAATGAGCTCCGAGCTGTCGCTGTATGAGCTGGGAGAAGAGCCAGAAGGTGGCCGACCAGCGATGATGGCCTCGGCAAACAGCTGGTGCAGGTCCGTCTCGCTCATGGGCACAGCACCGGACCTTGTCTGAAGTCTTGTCTGATGCTCCTTGGTCAGCCGACCCGAGCTCTCACGCTCAATGTAGCCGACGCCCACAAGGCGGCCGATGTCAATGGCGGCGCCCGGCAGACCTCTGCTGCGTCGACGGCGGACAAGGGACTTCATGAAGCAGTTGCCGGCGCTATAGGCGGACTGTCCCGGGTTGCCGAGCGTGCCGGCGATGGAGCTGAAGCAAATGAAGAAGTCGAGCTCGCGTTCCGACGAGGAAAAGAGCCGGTCGAGGTTCAGGGTGCCTTGAACCTTGGGTCGAAGCACGGTGATGAAGTCTTCAAAGCTCATGCTGATGAGGGATACATCGCGGAGAACCATGGCACCATTCGCCACACCGCTGATGGGGGGCATGCTTGTTGTTATGGCATCGTAGGTCTGGTTTACGGATTCCCAGTCGGTAACGTCACTGAATTGATCATGTTAGCTGCATTCATCGGCAATAGTATCTCGCTTATCGGTGTTGAATACGAATGAAAGAGAAAGAGAGAAAAGAGACTCACCCTGAGAAGTACGAAATCATAGCACCCCTCTTCTTGTGCCACAACACCCACCCTTCTTCCACCTTGGGCGTCCGACTGCTCAACGCCACATAACGCGCGCCATTCTCAACCATGAAGTCTGCCATGCTCCTTCCTACATCGCCCGAGAGCCCCGCGAGCCAGTACGTGCGATCGGGCCGGAACAGATCTTCCCGCCACTGCAACACAGGCGCTACCGACACGGCCACGGGCCGGTCTGTCTGCCAGTAGATGAGCGAATTGGGCTTGGGACGCGCAAGAGGCGACACCACCTGGGGGAGATTCAAGATGTCGAGGGGTTCCCAGTCATAGATGGAGCCTAGACGCCGCAGGGCGTTTGAGGAGGCGGTATGGAGAAGGCGTGTGATGGATTCGGGGGCGGTGTTGTCAATGTTGCCGTTGATCATGGCAGGTGAGCAGAGGAGAGGAGAGGCCTCGTCGGCCATGAGGCTCGAAAAACTGATACGGTCGCAAATGAGAGGTAGGGAGCGGGCGATGTGTGATCCCAAGCCGCTGGTGTTGCTCTTGTCATTCCTGTTGCCCATGGAAGAAGCGTCGACATAAAGTGTCACATCGGGCGGCATGACCTGGTCAATATCGCGCTTGGAGCTGCTAGGGTGCAGATATACCCAGTCTGGCCGCTGTGCGTGGAGATCGGGGTTGGATGTGACGAAGACAGCCTTGCGCCCCCTACGACCTAGCTCTCTAGTCAACAAGTCTGAGATGATGGGATCAGGCTCGTATGCGAGCACCGTGCCTATTGGTGGCAACATGCCCAGAAGCCGCTGTGCCAGAAGGTCGGCAGTGACGAACATCATGAACTGAACGTCGAGACCTTCCACGTCTACCTCATTATTGTTCTCAACTGTCACTGTCCACGACTGTGGCATCGTAATTGTGGACGCATTCTTCTCAGAGAAGCAGAGCCTCTTCTCGCCTGTCTTCACGTCGGTTCCGTAGCTGACGAAGACGTAGCCGGCTGGTGTCTTGACGGTCGACAGCAGCGAACACGAGACGCGGACGGTGCAGACATCATCATGGTTATTGCCGAAGCGGTCGAGCTCATGGAGCTCCTGAAGTACATATGAAGTCTCCGCTCGGCGCACCTGAAGGACGGTATCATTGTCGCTCATGTCGACCACTTTGGTTATCTGTCTCTTGGCCGAATTATAGCGAGCGTTTTGTTCATCGTGGGGACGCACCCGTGGCACACGCAGTCGTCCACTTTCGTCAAGAACCAGCTCCGGCTCAAAATTCCAGAGAACCTTCTCACCAATCGCACCATCGTCTTCCACGCGCCCTTCATGTGCCGTTCCTCCGCGTCTGGCTGTGTCTCCCAATGTGCGAAGGCGCAGAGACAACTCGGCTACCATATTCGATAACTTGACAACTTCATCATTGTTGTCGAAACTGTGACTGACCTGCTTCCCCAGATCCAGCGTCTGTAGGAGAGTGCCCGGCAGCTCATAGAAAAGTGTCCGGAACAAGCCCACGGTGATCCCGGCGTATGGGTTGCTGCCGCCGTCTCCCGCCAGCAGCCACAGCACCGTGGCGGCCGAAGAAAGCAGGGCTTTAAGTCCGAGGAAGGCGGGCTCCAAGGCATCTTCGAAGACGTTTTCTCCTTCCAGCTCGACGAGACTGATGACGTGGACGTCCTCTTTTGGCAATTTGGAGGCGATGCTGTCGTGATCTTCGAGGCGCGGCAGATGGATGATCTGGGAGAAATGAGGCTGGAGCAAGGAGGAGAGTTGGTTGCAGAGGATGAACAAGAATGCGGACGAGGAAGAAATATTCTTGCCTGATCCTAGCAGAACCAGTGTAGGGCCAGTACGAGTAGCAGTAGAAACCTCGGAGCTCCCTTCAATGACGGGCGTCGTGGGATTTGCCGTCAGGGGGTTCTTCAAAGTCCGAACTTGCTCTGTGGATGCCTGAGCAACGATAACGGCACCGGGGACGCCCACCGGATCCAGCATAGGCGAGTTCGTTTCAATGCCATCGAATCCAGTCTCTCGGAGGACTGTATCCCACTCCTCGAGCGTGATACTGGGCCCCCCAATCCGGCCATCCTTCTCTCCCACCCACCAGCCCGGAAGTCCGCCCATGACGAGGCCGTGTCTCAACACATCGTTCCGAATGATCTCTACCATGACCAAGTATCCTCCCGGTCTCAACAGCCGTCTCGCGTGTTCGACAGATGTTCGTAACGACTCAGTCGCATGCAGCACATTGCTCGCGAACACCACATCGTAGCTGTGACTCTTGAACCCCTGCCCCGTTGGGTCCTGGCTGATGTCCAGCGTCTTGAATATCATCTTATGCGCCTGCGCCGCGAACCTCTGCGCCGCGTAGCCGAAGAAGGCACTCGAGATATCCGTATACGTGTATGACGCAAAGGCGCTGCCGATACGCCCGAAGATGGCCTGCGTGGCGCCCCCTGTGCCGCCGCCGACCTCTAGCATGCGCATATGCGGATATTTGCAGCATAGCTGATCTGCAACGCCAGAAATAAGCCCGTTAAGCATATCGAAGCCGATGGCATCCGTGTAATACTTCTCCAGGTAGTTGTTTTGCGTCATATGCTCCAGGATGCTTGATTCGCCGTTCAGGACGGGGGATAAGGTTAGATTCTCGCCTACAGCGCGCGTGAGGTTGAAGTCGGCGTCATCGCTGCCATACTCATCCATCAGCTTTGTTACGTCCTCTCTCGTGTCGGATATCCACTCGGGGGGAACGAATGGGTGCTGGCCGTTCTTGACGCGGTTGTAAATCCGCTCGGCGTTGGAAAGGAGGGCCCGTCGGTACCACGGCAGTTCGGTGCGCTTCTCGGTATCAATGGAGATGTGTAAGTTCTTGAGGTAGAAAAAGGCGGCCCGCTCGGCGTCAAGGGCCTTTTGGTGTTCCCAAGGCGTAGCTTTGCGGTTGCCGTAGATGAGTGTAGCGTCAGGCTTGTCGAGGGTGAGGAAGGCCTCTTGGAATAGGAGTCGGTCGTCGTCCTTGGTGGCGGCGGCGAAGGGGGAAAAGGTAATGCCCTCGACCTCAATACATTGCTTCGTGATTTTGTTGCTATCACCACCACCTCCTTCAGGTTCTTCGCATGAGTACGACAAGTACACATTAACATCACCAGTAACACAGTTGGGTCGAGGGTCCGTAATGGTACAGTCAATGAGCACCTCGTCCGTCATTTTGTCCCCGCACAAATCAGGAACCAAAGTGATGCGCCGGACCGCGGTAGGCGCCACAATGGACCACAGCCGGCCGTCTCCAGGAGCACTGTACGCGGCGTTGAGACCTTGCAGCGCACTGTCAAGCATTCCAGGGTGGAAAAGCAGCGGGGTCTCGCCCGTCTCAAAGGCCGGATTGCGAATGGTGGCCGTGGCGTAGTTGGTCTTGCGCTGGATGCTCGTGAGGCCGTGAAAGGCTCCATCATAACCGAAGCCAAAATCATCGCGGAGGACTTGGTAAAATCTATCGACATCGATGGTGGAGAGGTGACCTTGGGGTGCAACTCGGGCTGCGAAGCGGGATGGCCATGTTTTTGTGGTTTCTTCTTCTTCTTCTTCTACTTCATCTTTTTGTTCAGGCTTGCTGCTGTTGCTGTTGGCTCCAAGCATGATACGGACATGACCTGTGCAGTTTAACGCCATGGATGTCGCCTCCTTGCCCGTGGTAGAGAAGGCGTTGAACTCGGCTGTGATGAAATCGTCGCCCGGTTCTCCGCCGCTGTGGCGCTTGATATGTGTCATGGACGTCACCAGCTCCGTCCCCGAATCGTTCAAAGCGATTGCCTTCGGAATCCGCAGGTCCAAGACATCAATCGACAGCACCGAGGTTGAGATTCCCGCTTCCCCAATCGCCGCCGCCATCTGCATGGCGGCCTCCATGGCAATGGCAATGTACGCAGTCGCCGGGAAGACGATCTGGCCCTGCAGCGAGTGGCCCGCGAGCCACTTGAGCTCGTTGATCTTGAGCACGTTGCGCCACCGCATCTCCTCCACGGTACCCTCGGCCATGTCGAGCCCCAGCAGGTCGTGAGGACGGCCAGGGTTCTTACTGAAGAGCTTGGCGAGGCGGGACTCAGCCCAGAGCACGCGATCATGGTTCCAGGGGTAGGACGGTAGGTCGTGTAATATCCGTAGACGCACGCTGCCACTATTTCTATGTGATGCTGAAGCTTGTTCACATGCTTCCTGGAATTGTCCTAGGTTGACGCAGCTGGGGCCGAAGCGCGTCCACAGATATCCCAGGGTTTGGGAAAAGGACTCGGCGTCGTCTTGACCGCGTCTCAGGGTACCCGAGTAAGGTAGTTCCTTTCCACAAACTTGAAGAATAGACTCAGTGGCGGGCGCCTGGAGAGCTGGATGTGGTCCCACTTCCACCACTCCCATAATGGTACTACTATTAGTACCATATGTCGACGCCACCAGGCACTTCTCGATGGCCGTGTAGAACAACACGGGCTTGGTCATGTTGTCGACCCAATACTGTACTCCCAGGCCCATCTCCGTACTGCTGCTGACCTGCCGTCCATCATAAACACTTGAGAACCACTGTGGGAATGTGCCATCTCCGTCAGCCGGCTGCAGAGCTTGAATTCCGCAATCGGTCAGAGCCGCTGAGTAGGCATCTGCGCACACCATCATGTGGTGCGAGTGATACGCCGTATTCACCCTCAACACCCTCGCAAACTTCTTCTCTTCGAGGAAAACCGCCTCGGCCCGATCCACGGCCTCAGCGTCCCCTGACAGCGTGACACTGCTCGGCGCATTATGGGCTGCCACAGAAAGCTTGCCGGCGAAATCTTCCAACTGGCACACCTCCTCGGCGTCCTCGAGACTTGTGCCCACGGCCAACATCTTGCCTCCTAGCCCCACGGCCAGCTTCGTGGCGAAAAGGCCCCGATAGTAGGCTACGCGAATGGCATCCCTGGCGGTTAGAAAACCGGCTGCATACGCAGCGGCGATCTCGCCCGACGAGTGGCCCACCACAGCGTGGAACTTAACCCCGGCAGCGCGGAGGAGATCGACGAGGATGATTTGCACGGCTGTACATAGGGGCTGCGAAAAAGCGGCTTCATTAACGCGTTGCCAGATGCTACTGTCACTGTTCTCGTCATCTTTGGAGAGGGCTTGAGTCAAAGTCCAATCGGGCCTGTCATCAGAAGGAAGGGTGGCTAGTGATGAGTCTAGTTGACGAAGTACTTCACGCGCCATGGGGACCGTAGCAACTAGGCTTGCGCCCATGGCGGGCCACTGGGCACCCTGGCCTGTGAAGACGCCCAGGAGGCATGGCGCGTCTGTAGTGCCTGAAGAGATGGCCTGGACGGCGTAGTCGTCGTCTGCCTTGAGAATTGCTTTTAGTTTTAGGCGGAGTTCGTCCGCCGCGACGGCGGGAATAGCGACACGCTGTGATAGTGTTGACCGTTTGGTGCTGAGGGTGTACGCCAGTGCCGACATGTCGACCACTTCATTGTTGCCAGTGTGCTGCTCGAGATAGCCCACGATGCCTTCGATGAGCGTTGAGAGCGATGATTTCGACGCCGCCGAGAACACAAACGGAACGAGGGCGGAAAAAGTTGACGAGTCTTCGTTTTCCTCCTTGAGACTTTTACAGTCCGTTGCACTGATAGCGTCCAAAAATCGAGTTTTTACCCCCCTAGGGTGGGGTTAATACAAACCCATGCCAAACTCCGTTTTTTTCGCTAGGAAAATTATAACGGTCGTATTTAGCTGCATTTAGCCACCGTATCGTTAAATCTACTTATTTCAACGCGTTAGTATAGCGTTACGTCTCTTAAAACTCTAGCTAAGGAAAGTTAACCTACTTCTTCCCTCTATTATTTAACTAACGAAGAAATCGTAAAGGCGGTTAGCTATAGCTAACAAACGATTTGACGATAGCGTTATCGATTCGATATAACTAGCAAGGTAGAATAATACCCTCGAAGGCGTAAAAGCTAGTAGAAGATAGAAATATAGTATCGGAATAAACTTCTCGAATTATTAAGTATCGTAACAACCTTTTATTCGAAGAGATATAAGAATTCCTATACGAATAGTTTAACTTCGAAGTAGTAAATCAATTTAAGCTACTACCTCTATATAGCTAGCTAGATAAGAAAGAAAGTCTATATAATACTTTTAATAAAAACCTAGAACTACGGTATAATTAGTTATATCGTATATTAATACTACTTAGAATAATATATTTATAAATAAATTAAGCATTAATAAAAATACTAGAAGAAGAAAGATAGGTTAGGTACTTAAGGTTTAACGCTAACGCGGTTAGTCCTTTTAAGCAAGGTTATAGATATAACTACTACTAGTATTTATAATTAATAGTATA